TTCAGATGTCTTCTAAATGTCAGGTAGTTGTTTATCTCCTTGACATCTGATGGGTCAAAGAATATACACAGCTGAGAGAGGTTGCAAGAGGAAGGTACATTTCTGAGAAAGTGGAAGTTGCTTTTACATCTCTAGAAATTAAAACGTTTGAGATTTTCTAGAAGATGCATAGCATAATTGTATACCATATATCTTGAATTTTTTTTACATTTCATATATTATTTGCTTCAATGGTTCTTATTTCACTTATGTGCATTGTTAATAATAATAATAATACTTTTATTATTTGTATGCCAGCCATCTGACTGGGTTGCCTAAGTACATTTCTTAAAAGGTGGAATTGCTATTAGAAGTAGTGTTTAGCTTTAATCTGGAATTGATAACGTACATACATTTAACTATGGATTCTTTTCTGTTGGGATAGACAAATTGCTTAGTGGTTTGTGTTGAAATATGAGGAAACATATAAGTTGAATTAAGGGAGTAAATGAAAGAAAAGTGGAGGATCGTATTTATTTTATTTCTATCAAGCTTTCATAGCCTGACTTTCTGAGCACAGGACAGCTAACAACAAAAATAAAAATGTAAAATATAAAAAATTGAAATGTTTTTTATTTGAGTTTCTACTGAAATGAGGCTGCATTTTAATGTTGTACTTTAATCTTGTTTTTAAGTTGTATTTTAATCAATTGTTTCTATACCTGGTGTTAGCCTCCCTGTGCCCAGTCTTGACTGGGGAAGGCAGGGTATAAATAAAATTTATTATTATTATTATTATTATTATTATTATACGTAAATCCGCCACTGGCCCCTGTGAGAAAAGCATGGTGGACTAGATGGACTCCCTTTGACCTTATTACGTTAAACTTAAGATCGGCACTTGAGGAGATATTGGGCAGTTATTTGTGTGCTGTTGTTTGAAACTTGCTAGTGGCCTATGGCAGGTTTGCAAGTGGACTGGGTGTATATTAAATAAGCAACAAGAGCATTTGACATCTGCTGAGCCACTCACCTAAGACGATCAGCCTCACCCCACTCAGGAAGGTGAATTTCTGAGCCATAGCTCCAGCACAGTAATACACCCCAGAATCTCTTTCCTGGACGTTGTGTCGAGTCAGATTCACTTGGCTTTGGGTTTTTGCTCCTGGTGTTTGAGTGGTATAAATGTCTGCAATCTTACGCAGTCTCCCTTCCTGTTCCTCTTTGTACCAGCTCACTACCGACACAAAAGTCCCTTCTGGAATGTTGCAGCTGATGTTGACAGTGGCGCCAGGAGGTGCTGAGATCCTTGCCAGCGTCTGCGGGAATTCAGTGATCCCCCGTGATCCAGCAGCTGCAGCAGGGAAGCAAAGGGATGTGTGGTTGGTCCCATTTGGTTGGTCCCACTAAACAGAAAACCAAGATGACCACCCCATGACTATAAAACATTTCTTTTAAAATAGGGTGCGTATGACAGACCTGTTTGCTGCTTCCCCCTTTCCCTGCCCCTGTCTGGGTTGTCACTTGAGGGAGGGTAAGATACAGGATTACTAAACCTCAATAAAAGGATGCACACAAAAAAAGTGATTTCTGTCAGACGTGTTGAATTTTTCAACTTCCGAAAATGAGGGGTGCTGAAAAGTTGTAACATAACTTGAGAATTCAAAAGATATTTAGGTTAAATTAATATAATTTAGCTTTGCTTGGTAAGTAAAATAATTGCCAGGCACTTGCAGTTATATTTATTATTATTAATTATTTCCTGCTGCTGCTGCTAATTCAGCATTACTTGACATTTTCAGAAGGAAAAATTAATATTATCTGGTTTTCCGAAAGCAGTTTATATGCTTCTTCATCAAACGTAGCCTTACCAAGCTAAATGTTGTCGGTCACAAAAACAATGGCAGATTTGAATTCCCCACACACCAAAACATAGTTTGCAAAATTTATGTTTTACCCCCTAAAATGAGATGCAGTGCTAAAACGTAAAATTTTTACGTTCCATAATTAGCAACTACTGTAATTCCAAGCAGATTTCTTGTGGGGAGCAATTGCTCTGCCAAACAAGTGTGCTTAAGAAACTTTATATACTGAGAGCTGCAAAAAGAAAACCAACCTCCTTTTTGCTCCTTAGGGAAGGAGACATGTCAATCAAGTTCCTGAACCAGGTTCCAAATAAGAAACCTAGCTTCAAATACTTATTCAATGTGCGCAGAGATAAATATGCTTTACTGATTACTGAAACTGAATCAGTAGATTGTACTATATAGAATTAAATATGTGTTTCTTTTTGCCAAGTTAAAAGAAATGGCACTCATCGTTTAATTGAAGCACAACTTGCTATTTGTCAAGACTGCTGAAGGTTTGAGGTGGGAGAGAAGTTTGTTCAGCTTTCATTTTAATGGGAACCAACCTAATTTGCGCTTCCTGAAAACATAAACAGATGGAAACACAGCATTCCTACAAAATTCACGTTACTCTGAATATTTCAGGGTAGCTGTCCAACCCAAAAGTGTGCAGCTATTAGTGAAAACAATGTGAAAACAAAGCTACGTTATGTTATGGGAAATTGCTTGAAAAATTGTTCACAAATACGCATGTGTTATACAACCGGCATTGGTATTATTAATTCACATCACAAATTTTGGACCGTGGGTCTTTGGCGACTGTCAATTTCATGCATTTTAACGGCAGGCATGCCTATTCTTTAACCATGACTTGAGGCATCCAAGCAAAGCTTTACTTAATGCCGTAGGTAAGGTGGAATGTTTGTGGCACACTTTTCTTTTTTTGCTTTAGAAATGGGAATGTAAGAACACAAATATTCTGATTTTAATAAGCTATAAAAAACTAAGCTATAATGATTTCGACTGCAGGTATTCAAGGGTTTTGCAAACTGTCCTTCTTGAAAAACTTTTCATAAAGTGAAAATATCTAAACAGCAGAGTTCCAATGATCTATCTATCTATCATCTACCTATCTGTTGGGCATTACTTTAATTCTTACATAAATACTGAGGCACATGGTCACTCGGTACTGTATATGTAAATGTCTGGCTCATGTAAGCCTTTGCAGTACATTTATTCTTAACAATGAAAGAATGCACAGGTGGATAATACTTTTATTTTTATATATCTTTATTATTTGCAAAGGGAATCTTTGCATTGTACTTTTGTCCTCCCAGCCCTTTGTGGTTTACATTTTTTATTCTTTGTTTTCTCTTTTTTTGTTATCTTTGCACTTTTTTGTTAATCAATAACATATCATGATAGACAGATCGATAGATAGAGAGATAGATGATAGAAAGATATAACATGTTCAAAAAATATACATTTACTGAAGCCGTATTAGATATAACAAACTATGAATATTTAAATGATTTTTCTGAAAACTATTGGAGACATTTTTGTTTTTACAAGTTTTCCTGCCTGGGTGAAAGCATCTCCCTGCCTTAGGGGTTATTCTGTCTTGTTTTTAAACCTAACTTTATTGTGTGTACTGTTTTAAAAACTAATTCTACTTGTTTTCATGTAAATCACATAAAACGCCTGCTGTTTCTTGAGGTTTTCCTGAACATAAGCAATGGATGTGAGAAGAAACTTTTAAAGAGATCCTATGTAAAAAGCAAAAATTGTACATACTATGCAGAAGGAGCAGAATCATCGCTGCAAAATGCAAGAGCATCTCAGAGGCTCCTTCACCTTCTGAACTGTGAAGCAGATCTGGTCATTATCGGGGTGGGTTCCTGGTTCCTGGTGCTTCTGGTGCCTTTTTCATTTCCTGCTGACAGAGGCTCTACAGAAGCTTCTTTTCAAAAACACACACAAGCAGAGGTGGCTTATAAAGGCACGAGCAACTCCCACCAGCTGCTTTCCTTTAATAATAATAATAATTTTTTATTTATACCCCACCCTTCCCAGTTCAAAAACCAGGCTCAAGGCGGCTAACAACAAATTTAAAACACTTAATTATAAAAGAAGCATAAAATACAATATAAAAACATGAATAACAATAAAATTTAAAAATCAAAAATCAATTAGATAATCCCCAGGGCTAGCTGGCTGAATTGGTCCTACATGGGCCAGCGGGGAGGCCAGGGGAGCCTTAGCTGTGGGGTCTCAGAGCGGGTGATCTTCATTAAAGGGAAGGGGGAGGGAAGAGAAGGGAAATGAAAGATCAGGCTGAATTCAAATTAAAGGCCAGGCGAAATAGCTCTGTCTTACAGGCCCTGCGGAAGGAGGTTAAATCCTGCAGGGCCCTGGTCTCATGGGACAGAGCATTCCACTAGGTCGGGGCCATCACTGAAAAAGCCCTGGCCCTGATGGAGGATAGTCTGACTTCCTTAGGGCCCGGGACCTCTAAGCTATGGTTATTCATGGACCTTAAGGTCCTCTGCGGGGCAGACCAGGAGAGGCGGTCCCGAAAATACGAGGGCTCTAAGCCGCAAAGGGCTTTAAAGGTCAAGACCAGCACCTTGAACCTGCCCCTATACTCCACCAGGAACTTTGCAAGTTCTGGGACTCAGAGACACAGCGAATGCCATGCAGGATGTGCATTTGCCCAGGAATCAATAGGTGGGAAACCAGATCCCTTCTCAACTCATTGTGAAAATATGGCGAACAGTCACTAACAAACTGGCGTCCCCAAACAGCAGACAGGCAATCTTCCCTCCAGTCTAGGCACCCAAATTCTGAAACCATCAGGGTGACTTGACTGCTGAACAAACTTGAAGCAGAACACACACACGCACACACAAATATCTGGAAAGCTGCATAGAAGCAAGAGATTTGGAAAACCTAAAACTGTGCTGGAATAAGGCCAGTGATCTGTTGACCAGCAAAGGATTCAAAGGTGAATTAGTGAGACAGCCCCCACCATTGACTTTTCTCTGTGCTGCCCATCAAGATATTTCAACGCCCACATGGAAGTGGTTTCTTTGCAAGAAGCCAGCGCCACATTAGATTTTTCCCCACTAAAGCTGCTGCACATTCGATGTGGGCTTTGGGCTTCCGGCTGCTGCAATGCCGCTGACCGCGTACCTCTTTTTATTCTCTGCAGGTAAAATTTCTTCTGATGCTTTTATCTGACTCTTAACTCTTGGGATGCTTCCAGACAAACCCTGTTTGTTGAGCATTCATCCCGATTTGTTTGCACAAAAGGGAGGTTAGACTACGTTGGCTACTTCTTGCGTTTCAGTTCCGATTTGTCTGCAACATCACTCCAAGCAATAGTTTCCCTACACTTCTCATCACTTTCCTTACTGTAATATGTTTTATGGGTCTTTGGGGGGGCGGGGGCGGTGTTGTTGTGCATTAATGCAAAATCTGCTCTAATTGTAACCTAGATTTTACCAGGATGGGACTGAATCCCACCCACAAATCAAGGAGATTCTGGAAGCAGTCTGAGCACCTGAGAAACTTGGTGGGTTGAATATTTATGCGCTCTGAAACTTTCTACAGATTACCGTATTTTTCGCTCTATAGGGCGCACCGGCCCATAGGGCGCACCTAGTTTTTTTTTGGGGGGAAATAAAGAAAAAAAATTTATTCCCCCCCCCAGGCGCGGGGCTGGGGCGGGGGAAGCCCGAGCTTCCCCCGACCACAGCCCCCAGAACAGGCTGCTATCCGCAAGTCTTGGGAGCCCGGCGGGAACTCCCGCCGCGCTCCGAAGGCTTGCGGATAGCTTCCTGAAGCCTGGAGAGCGAGAGGGGTCAGTGCACACCGACCCCTCTCGCTCTCCAGGCTTCAGCGAAAGCCTGCATTCGCCCCATAGGACGCACACACATTTCCCCTTCATTTTCGGAGGGGAAAAAGTGCGTCCTATAGAGCGAAAAATACGGTAGTTAAAATATTTTCCACCTTCTCCTTTAGCATGTATCTTGTTTCCAGGGCTTCAGTTGCAGGACAGTGTAGGGATCCTCAAACAGAGTGATGTCTCCTTCAACGTCTTCTTGCAAGAAAAGCCAGAGCGAGAAACGGCAACCGTAAACGGTCCTTGTGGTCTTTCTCCTCCACAGTGTTTCCAGCACACTTGCAGATCCTGCATCCAACCCAGCGGTTCCTGTTCGTGGATATTGGGGAGACGGCACAGATCTCATGCACTTCTGTAGAAGATATTGAAAATCAGGCATTATCATTCAGCTGGTACAAAAGAAGAGAACACGGAATGCCGATTTTAATCAAGAGCTGCGATGTTAGAAAACCCGGAGGCAGATTTGCTTGCAAAGTTAATCCTAACCGTCGAAATGCCATACTGGAGATCCTTCATGTGCAGAGCTCTGATTCTGGCCAATATTTATGTGCCCAAGCAAGTTCTAGTGGCTTGCATTTCAGCAATGCAACATCTTCACTGATTGTTGGAGGTAAGAAATCAGGGCTGACGGAGCTTTGCAGTGGCACTACTCATGTCAATGGCAGATTTCAGTTTGTTAATTTTAAAGCCACTGGGGCAAAAACTAAGCCCTTTGTTCGTTCCCCGGATAGGCAGAGCCCAATTTCCGACCAAGAGATGGAGTCAGGAAGAACGAGAAAAGTGCAATTGCATTTTATTATGCCGCAAACCTGGAAGTGAGTGTTCTGGTTTTCAAACGTTCTTTGGAACCCGAACGTCCAACGGGGCTTCTGCGTCTTCTGATTAGCTGCAGGAGCTTCCTGCAGCCAATTGGAAGCCGTGCCTTGGTTTCTGAACATTTTGGAAGTCAAACAGACTTCCGGAACGGCTTCCATTCGACTTCCAAGGTACGACTGTATACTACCCCCAAGATCAGAGGCAGCCTGTAGGTAAATCAGCTCCTCTTCCCAGACTTCTCCCTCTGACCACTCATCTCTGTCCCACCACCAGTCCCTGAGCTCTGAGCTTCCCCCCCCTTGGGGGGTTCCCCAGCTGGCCCCCCCACCATTCCACTGCCTCAAACCAGTCCATGACATCCAGAAACATTACTGACCATGGAGGCAGATCATCGCCATTGATTCTGAACTCCTTTGCTTTGTTTTCCTCACCAGACAGTTATACTCCGAGCACCTGGGTGATGCTTTTGCAGCCCTCTAACCAAGACCCAGCTTCCCGGTTCAAGAACCAACTTGTTTGTGTGGTCCATGGCGTGTCCAACTTCGTCCAGGTGTCCTGGGACGTCCCGGGAGGTCTCCAGCAAGAGGACCAGACCTTTTTGGCGAAAAACAGCAGTGGGTTGTTAACATTCCTCAGTGTCTTTCGCCTCCCCATGGAATTACAAAACACTGGGGGTAACATCACCTGTGAAGTCATGTTCTCATCCAGAACCATTGTGAAGAAGAGTTCCGTGTTCAACGCATGTGAGTAATTCTGCAAGCCACTGACTTTGCTAACATAAGACATAAGAACAGAGGATCTTGCCTTGTTCTGAATCAGACCCTTGGTCCATCTAGTTCAGCTAAGGAGTGGGAGAAAGAGACATCTGAAGGGGAAAACGTGATTTCATAGACTTGGCCCTGATCTGGTGGAACGGTCTGTCCCAAGAGACCAGGGCCCTGCGGGACTTGACATCTTTCTGCAGGGCCTGCAAGACAGAGCTGTTCCACCAGGCCTTTGGCCAAGGCACAGTCTGACCCCCTCTCTCCTTCTGTAATCCTCATAGAACTCCAGCCCAATGGTTGCCATTACGGTAATTTGACTCTGAATTGATTTTAGAATGAATTGATTTTAGAATGTTGTGTTACTCTTATTGTTGTTAGCCGCTCTGAGCCTGGCTTCGGCTGGGGAGGGCGGGATATAAATAAAAATTTGTTATTGTTATTATTATTATTATTATTATTGAGTCAGAAGCGACCCTGTGGATCATCTATCCCAACCCTCTTCAATGCAGGAATATTCTGCTGTCTCATACAGGGATTGAACCCGAAACCTTGGCATTATCAGCACCGCGCTCTAGCCAGCTGAGCTATGAGCTTAGTGGCAGAATGGGGTGAGACGGGGAAGCTGTAGGGAGTTAATATGGGGGGAATGGTGGGGGACTGGCAAGCAGGGCGGACAAGGGTGCAGCCCCTATTAGTACAATATAAATAAATATAGAGAACGGCATCGTGCCACAGCTGCGTCAAACACCACCGGTGCCAGGGCTGCAGAAAAATGTTTTAGTATCAGTCACTGTCTCCGAGGCTGGTGGTATAAACAAGGAACTAGAGAAACTGTTAAGACTTCTCTGTCCGGGGAAGGAAGTCCTAAGAGAACTGATCTGATGTTTCTTATCTTTGTAAAATTTCCCCTGTAGATGCAGAGATTCCTCAGTGCCACTTCATATATACGTGGGTCCTGGATACACTGACGTTGCTGCTGCTTCCCCTAAACTTCCTTTGGATTCGATTCTACCCTTCCGACTCCTAAACGGCATCAGGAATCACATCCGAGGAATAACTTAAAGGAGGACAACATGTCGCTTCATGCAGAAGGAAATCCACAGGATTATTAGGAGGGTTTATATAATATCCGAGGGGGTGGGCAGAAGTTAGACCACCGTATAACTGAATATATTTACACGTTGTCTGTATCTTGATTGCCCAGGCTTCAAAGTGCAATGCTGGAAGTTGAAGCAAACAAATAAACGTCATGTTCACATGTTGCAGGATGGGTATGGAATCGTTCCCCCTGTCAGGAATTTTATCCGTGTGTGTCCAGGGTTGCAGCAAGAGAGGCTTAGCATTACAAGGATTCCTTAGGTGGTGTTATAGGAATTCTAAGGTCATATATATATATATACATATATATATATAATATAATAAAATAAACATTCATAAATGTACAAGGCAAACACATACGTAAATATATAAACCACGTGTCTGAAATAGTACAGGAGAGCAACCCTGAAGCCATTTTGACTCTTCTCTGCAGTTGATGTAGGAAATGGGAAAACCTCCCCATTGTCTCTTTGCTCACAAATCCTGTGAGCCTGTGACCTGGATTCAGGAACTGAGTATTTGCTCTTTGCATTTAAGTTCCTCAGGGGAAACCGCATTTTCACAATAAAATAAAGAATTTTATTATTCATTGTTTTTATTTTATTATATTTTTTATCCCACCTTTTCCTCCAATGAGCCCAAGGTGGTGTACCTGTCAGGGATGATTTTGCTGTGATTCCTACATTGGAGGGGTCCTTTTCGAACCCTACGGCTCTGTGATTCTATCAACATCCCAATTTGCGCTTCGCTGTGCAATTCACCCGCAGCGCCTTTAAACCTTGCCCCGCTCATTTATCGCTCGGATTTCGGCATTCAAAAGTCTGGCGGAAACGGAGACCCGAGTTCGAGTCCTCCCTCCGGAAGTTTAGGCCAAGGCAGCCTCCTTCTTTGGGCCTGCCTCCTCAACCCAGGGGCCCTGCTGGGTTGTGGGCTCTCGGCAAACGCCCAATCCTGGTCACCCTTGGTGTTGGAACTACTCCCAGATTTGGCCATACGAATCGTCAGGGCAGAGCAGTTCCCAGGCAGAGAGGACCAGAAGGAGGCAAAAGCAAACTGACAACAGTTTTCTACCTCTCAGCAGCCTGTGACCAAGATGAGCAAACAAGAGATGCTATCACTTGCACAGCGGGTACCAGAAGAAGCCACAATAATTGCCTTAACGCATGTCAGAGGGTGAAGGGGCCCGAGGCTGTTTGACCACATTTGTTACGGTCAGGGTCCAAACGCCGTTTGTGGTCTTTGGGTCTGAGCCAGCCTTGCTGCGCTTGGGGCTTTTCTGCTCACAGGAAAGGGTGTGGAGCAGCTGTCTGTGCTGCTAAAATCTTCCCTGGCTTAGGCTCACAAGAAGTGGCCTTAAACTAGGGTTACCAGATTTTTTTCAATGAATCCAGGGACACTTTTTTATTTTTTGAAGCTGAGTAGCAACAGGGAGTCAGTAGTGGGGATGGTGAGGCAAAAGACCCTGGGCCCAAGCACACATGCATATTGTATAAAGGTGCAAAGCCCTTCTTTTGTTTTTTAAATAATATTTATTAAGATTTAAAAGATTACAAAAAGAAAAAATAGAAAACAGCATATTAAACAGAAAAACAGAACATCACATCACAATACAGAAAAGAAGAAAAAAGAAAAAAGAAAAAAAGAAAAATATATATACAATAAATCTTCCCATAATTTATCTTTCATTTGCTTGTTTCCTTGACCTCCTCATACCTCCCTTTTTTTGTATTCTATTTCAGTAAGTTCTTTCCATCTTTTCCAGTATTTGTCCTCTATTTTATCTTAATATATTGTAACTTTACTTTCCCTCCTTTCACCATTTAACAATCTGTTTTTTCTTAATCCTTTATAGCATTTCTGCTAAAACCACATTACTTCATTCCAACATCCTTCTAACATTCCTTAATTTTACAATGTTTCTGTAAATAAACTTTAAATTTCTTCCAATCTTCTTCCACCGACTTTTCTCCCTGGTCTCGGATTCTGCCAGTCATTTCCGCCAGTTCCATATAGTCCATCACCTTCATCTGCCATTCTTCCCGGGTGGGTAGATCTTGTGTCTTCCAATACTTTGCGATAAGTATTCTTGCTGCTGTCTTGCTGCATACATAAAGAAAGTTCTGTCCTTTTTTGGCACCACTTGGCCGACCATGCCCAGGAGAAAGGCCTCTGGTTTCTTCAGGAAGGTATATTTAAATACCTTTTTCATTTCATTATAAATCATCTCCCAGAATGTCTTAATCCTTGGGCACGTCCACCAAAGGTGAAAAAATTTTACCTTCAGTCTCTTTACATTTCCAACATTTATTATCGGGCAAATGATATATTTTTGCAAGCTTGACTGGTGTCATGTACCACCTGTAGATCATTTTCATTATATTCTCTCTTAAGGCATTACATGCCGTAAACTTCATACCTGTGGTCCATAACTGTTCCCAGTCAGCCATCATAATATTATGTCCTACATCTTGTGCCCATTTAATCATAGTTGATTTCACCGTTTCATCCTGAGTATTCCATTTCAACAGCAAGTTATACATTCTTGACAAGTTCTTAGTTTTGGGATCTAACAGTTCTGTGCAAAGCCCTTCTTTTGCACCCTATGAAACATAAATGCGCAGAGTTTTTAAAAAACTGGCAACGGCTGCTTGCCTGCGACTCCCGAGCCTCCCCCGATCAGATAAAGGCTTGGGAGTCACAGGCGGGCAGTGCACTGTTGCCCAGCTTTTTAAAAACTCTACACCGTGATCAACTCCCTCCCAGAAACCAATGTCTCCACTGTGGAAGGACGTGTGGATCCAGAATTGGCCTCCACAGTCACTTACAGACTCATTGTTAAAACCGTGTTTATGGAACACAATCTTACTCGGCTACGAGTGATCGCCTGTCAGGTGTGCGTGCAGGAGCCAGGCCCTGGGGCCAGTAGGGCTTTGCAGGACTGGGGCCTTCCTAAGTTTGTTCTGAAGAAGCACGGCGTGGCTGCACAGGTGAGACCGATTGGTAACTCACTGCACCTGGTGGCAAGAGCCGGGAAGGGATATAAGGCCAGCATGTCCCTTCGGCTCTTTGCCACAGCAACTCGTTTCCTGCCTTGCTGCGTTTGGCTTCTTGCTTTCTGATCCTCGGACCTCGACTTTGTGACTCTCTGCTTCTCGATCCTTGGACCCCTGACTTCGTGACTCCTTGCTTCTCGACCCTCGGACCCTGGAGTTCGTGATTCCTTGCTTCTCGACCCTTGGACCCTGGAGTTCGTGATTCCTTGCTTCTCGACCCTCGGACCCTGGAGTTCGTGATTCCTTGCTTCTCGACCCTCGGACCCTAAACTTCATGACTCCCTGCTTCCTGACCCTCGGACCCCTGGCTTCTGGACTCTTGTTCCTGCTCCCACCCCACCATCTTGCCCCCAGTCCCAACGTCCTCGGTCGGGGCTTCAATCGCCCGTAGACTGGACCGTGACAACGCCAAAGAAGGGGGAAAATATTTAATACAAGCATCTATGTTCAGCAAGTTAAAAGATATCAAAGTTGGGTTGGACTAGGCGGCCCTTTGGGATTGCAACACTGCAACTCTACGAAAGTCTCAGTTTTGCTTTTCTTTCTTCATCGCTCCAGTTTGATCCGGATTTCATTTGCTGCAACGTAGCTCTGCGTACTCTGTCTGGAAGGGGAAGGAAGCAGAGCAGTTATAGGCTGCTCACACGTTGTAAAAGTTGAATTCTCACATCTGTAAAATCAAATGAACTTTTGTTGTTTTTATTAGAATGTTTATCTCTTTTGCATGAATGGGTGTTGGAAAAAAATAGTAATTTTTGAAAAAACAAAACAAAAACTTTTTAGTTACCTTGGGTAGTTTCTACCAGAAAGTTACTTACAGAGAAGGATATATTCAAAGTAGAGCATTACAGCCTAGTAAAAGTGTTTATGGTCACTGGAGGACTATAAGCATTTTTGCCAACTCACCTGTCCCGTTCCCCACTTTGGCATTTGTTGAATATCAAAGGCCTAATAATGATGATGTTTATGTTAATTAATAATAATTTGTATCCAAGAGAATTCTACTCCGAGTAGTCTCAACTACCACCATCCTTAATCACTACACATCATCAATAAACATTTCCTGGGCAGCTTGCAAACCACATTTAAACACTCAGTTCAGGAAAGGTTCAGTGCCTGGTCACCTGGATAACATTTCCCCTCACCACAGGTGATCATTCACAAGCCTTTTCACATCCAAAAATCCTCATTCAAATGCAACCCACACTTCTGTACTACCTAGGGTTGCCATACTTCAGAAATCTGGACAGAACTGTTCACTTTTTTTTTTTTGCAAAATAATAAAAAAGAGGCATTAGAGCTATTTTTTCCAGAAATTGCCAAAATTGCCACTACCGGTATGCTCTCTGTGTGTCTGCCTCCTGCATTCCTGGGTTGTCCAAAATTAGGACTGGTTCCTTCCAAACCCTCCTGCAAAATACAGGAACACACATCTTTCTGAAATTTCAGTATGCAAAGCCAGGGTTTACCTGTGGGATCTCTCTCATGGGTATTTGGTTTCCTGGTTTCTCTGCAATCCCTGTGATGAAGTAAAAAAGAATGGACGTTTTATTGGTCTACTCAGAAGCTGCTCCTAGCTTCCAGTCTGCCTCACGCACTTCACGGCCCCTTGAATAACGACCACAGTTTATCTTACAAAAGGATTACCTGTGTGAAGAAGTTTTCTGAAGAATAGGGCTGAGAGCGGGATCAGGAGGATGATGGCGACAACGCAGGGCACCCCAAAATATAGTATGGAGATGCAGTTCTCTGTCAATGAGAAGGAGAGGGAAACGGGTCAGCAACTAGACCGGCCATTGGCAGAGAACAATGTTAAGCAAAGACTCTCCATTTCATAGAATCACAGAACTGCAGAGCTGGAAGGTACCCATGGGGTCATCTAGACCAATGCAATGCAGGAATCTCAACTAAAGCATCCAAAATAATGTCCTCTTAGCTACCTAAAAGCAACAAGACTGGGGTGCTGCCTGTCCTGGGATGACCAGAGGAAACATTAGGAAACCGGGGTTGCCATGCGCCTGGATTTTCCCAGACAATTTTGGGGGTCTTCCTAAACAACTTTCAGGAGGCCCTGGTTTTTTACTTTTCGAAATATGGCAACCCTGTAAACAGACGTCTCCTCTCTGTTTCCTGAGCAGACTCACCACCAAAATGATAATAATAATAATTAATAATAATTTATTATGTATACCCCGTCACTCTGGACAGCTTCCAACAGAATATTAAAATACAATAATCTATTAAACATTAAAAGCTTCCCTAAACATCTGTGATTCATCCGTGTTGCTCAGAAAATTGAGACAACCCCACTAGGTTAAAGGTGGGGAACATCAGGCCTCTGTGGCGGAGAGCAGTCCAGAATCAGAACCCGGGACAGGAGGGAGGCCAAGAGGCAGAGATGAGGCAGGCTGGTGAAGAAATCTGCCCTTCCTGCTGCAACAAGCTCCCTTCCCCGCTGGTCTCCAAGGACCAGGAGAGGTATGAAGCGGGAAGAACAAAGGCAGGCACACTGGCATAGTCTCAGATTGCTTGGGGAGGACTTGGAGAAGGAGGAAGCTTAGGCAGCTGTGGGAAGGCAAGGACCTTCAGCCTCGGCAACTGCCTCATAGGGGCAAGACCTGCAGAGAAGCGTTGCTGTGCTCACAAGGCCTGGCACTCCTGAGGAGACCTTATCTCTTCTACTAAGGAGTTAACTTCACTTAACGCCGTGTGATTTATTGCTGGCCCACTTCTACTAAGGAGTTAACTTCACTTAACGCCGTGTGATTTATTGCTGGCCCACTTCCACTAAAGAGTTAACTTCACTTAACGCCGTGTGATTTATTGCTGGCCCACTTCTACCAAAGAGTTAACTTCACTTAATGCCGTGTGATTTATTGCTGGCCCACTTCTACTAAGGAGTTAACTTCACTTAACGCTGTGTGATTTATTGCTGGCCCACTTCTACTAAGGAGTTAACTTCACTTTACGCCGTGTGATTTATTGCTGGCCCACTTCTACCAAAGAGTTAACTTCACTTAACGCCGTGTGATTTATTGCTGGCCCACTTCCACTAAAGAGTTAACGTCACTTAACGCCGTGTGATTTATTGCTGGCCCACTTCCACTAAAGAGTTAACTTCACTTAACGCCGTGTGATTTATTGCTGGCCCACTTCTACTAAGGAGTTCTTCTACTAAGGAGTTAACTTCACTTAACGCCGTGTGATTTATTGCTGGCCCACTTCCACTAAAGAGTTAACTTCACTTAACGCCGTGTGATTTATTGCTGGCCCACTTCCACTAAAGAGTTAACTTCACTTAACGCCGTGTGATTTATTGCTGGCCCACTTCTACCAAAGAGTTAACTTCACTTAATGCCGTGTGATTTATTGCTGGCCCACTCCTGGTGGATAGACACATCTACATCAGCTGGAATGGATATGGGACCAGTGGCATTGCCTCCTCCTGCTTGCCTGGATCGAGGATGGAGAGGGGTGTGCCTGCATCTGTGTCAAGGATGGGGGATCTTTGGCCCTCCAAATGCTTCTCAACCAGAACCCCCAATCTCCCTGGCCCTTCACATGCTTGCCAGGGGTGATGAGAGCTCAGCAACATCTGGAGAGGCAAAGGTTTCTCACACCTGGATGAAAGAGAAACCTCTGCCCAGTGGGATGTAGATTCCCGTACAAAAGTCGGGGTCATATTTGTTCCCTGCTTCTCCCCCTCTTTGCTTTCGCCTGACACTCTCTCCTGCCCCGTTGAAGAGCTTATTCAGTGCAAATCTACTTGGACTGGTTGACACTGTGTTTATACCTGCTGGAGAACCAACATTTCTCTTCTCTGAACAGGTATCAGGCACCTGTGTTGGAGTAATCAGCTTCACACTCCAGATACTGAAGTCTCCATTTCCGTTTGCCATGGTAATGTAATTCTGGTCCTGAGATGTTTCCCCACTTGTATTCCAGGCGTTGAAATCCCCCTTCGGGTCAGCATCTAAGAAGACACAGGGAAGGGGGGCGGCGTGGTTCAACTGAGCCTGCTCTGAGGAGGGTGGCACGACGACAAAAAGACTCTGCCTCAAAGCACCTGAAAGAATGTTGAGAAAAATACTGTTACGCGCTGCTCCAATCTGAGTGGCCAGAGATTTCAGGCATTCCAGGCTGAAATATACTCGGAGTCGAGAGTGGATTTCATGCTCTTTATTCAGCTCGTAGTGGTGAGGAGGAATGGAAGTTCCCCCAGAATGTCTGCTTTATATACATTATTTACACAATGGGCCCCACGTGATTGGCTAATTCCGGGATTCACCTGTAGGCCAATCTGGTTGCGGATTCACTTCCACCTGGAGCTGGATTGGGTGGCTCCTGTGGACCAATCAGACTGCTGCATTCTGGACCCTATCGTTCTAGGACCAATCAGACTGCTGCATTCTGAATCCTATTGTTCTAGGACCAATCAGACTGCTGCCTTTTGGATCCTATTCAACTCAGTACAGTGGTGCCTCGCAAGACGAAATTAATCCGTTCCGCGAGTCTCTTCGTCTAGCGGTTTTTTCGTCTTGCGAAGCAACCCTATTAGCGGCTTAGCGGATTAGTGCTATTAGCGGTTTAGCGGCTATTAAAGGCTTAGCGGCTTAGAAAAAGGGGGGGAGCGAAAAAAATCTCAAGACTCGCAAGACATTTTCGTCTTGCGAAGCAAGCCCATAGGGAAATTCGTCCTGCGAAGCGCATCGAAAAATGGAAAACCCTTTCGTCTAGCGGGTTTTTCGTCTTGCGAGGCATTCGTCTTGCGGGGCACCACTGTACATAACACAGGCACTTGGCTGGATGAAAAGAGAGACAGGAAGTTAGGGCGAGAGGAACAGGAAATACTATTTGCTCCACCCCAAGGTGTGACGATTTGCTACGCGGCAGGCGAAACCCAAATGGCACCAGCCAATCAGCCAAGTGGGGAAAATTCCTGCCGTGCCCCTGTCCCAACGACAGACGACACACGACGGCATAGCAAGGTCAAGCGCAAAGCCCTAAAAGTAGGGAGAGGTGGGCGGGTGTTCTGAATGCACGCGCCGAAAGAGGAAGCTCTGGGTCACGTGCATGGGCATAAATAGGTCCCTCGAACCGTTTGGACTGCGTCCCATTGGCCAGATTGCACCCAGCTTCAAGGGACCTACCAATCGGGTGTTGTGGCTGACCAATCGTACCGACCCACAACACAGGGTGTTGGTTGTCCAGGTCTCACCGCAATTAGTGCCCTCTTTAAGGGAGGACCCGATTTTCCAAAGTTTGCTGGAGGTGCCTTCAGGGATGGAACCTGAGGCCTTCTGCTTGCAGCTGCTTGATTACTGATCCCTAGGCAGAACATACATTCAATAAATGCTGATATTTCCCCCCAAAATCTTCAAAGGCACTCACCTGAGATGACCAGCCTAGTACCTCTCATGAGCCGGGTTGTGGCGCAGTAATAAACCCCAGAGTCGTTCCTTTGCACATCGCTGATCCTCAGACCTTGCCCTTGGCTTGAGTACCTGCCCTGTACCTGTTTTGCATATGGAAAACTCTCATAAATCCTGCGCAGATTTTTGCCTTCGTCCTCCTTGTACCAGGACACCATCAACAAGAAGGTTTCATTTACAACGGGGCAGTGGATGTCAGCCATGTCTCCAGGAGATGCCCAGATCAGGGTCAGATCCTGCGGCATTTCAGAATTTCCCTCTGACTGAGCAGCTATAAAATGGAAGCAAAGGAACGTGTGGTGAGCTGGTAGAAAAATGAGCGAAGGGGGAAGATTCAGGCATGTCGAACTGTGGATTTATCCACAGTCCTTCTTGGAACCGGCATTGATATTATTAATTAATTACTATTAATTGAAATATACATTCTTAAAAAAAGCAGAAGCATTTTTACTTGGTATTATAGGTCAGGACATTAATAGGCAAGATGTTAAATTGTTTTTATATGCAACAACTGCGGCAAGAGTATTGTTAGCCCAGAAATGGAAACAAGAAGAAATTCCGACGAAAGAAGAATGGCAGATAAAATTAATGGACTATGCAGAATTGGACAAAATGACAGGAAGGATTCGAAACCTGCGGGACCAGAGATTTACAGAAGATTGGAAGAAGTCTATGAATTATTTGAAGAGCAACTGTAATCGACAAATTAGGCTAGTAGGACTACAAGACGTTTTGTAAGGAGAAATATACAAAGTGTTACAAAGTAGAAAAAGAGAGAGATATTGGTTATGAGTTTGAAATGTAATAAGGAAAATAAGAAATGCATACTGAGAGATTAGATTGCAAAATTTTCAGACAGGATTGATGGAAGTCAAAAATTTGAATAAGATGTAAAAGTATGTTTAATTACTGTTGAAAATGATATGTTTTTTAAAAACTAATAAAAATTATATATATATGATATTATTAATTTACACCACAAATTTTGGACCGTGGGTCTTTGGCGACGGTCAGTTTCATGCATTTTAACGGCAGGCGTGCTTATTCCATAACCATGACTTGAGGCATCCAAGCAAAGCTTTACTTAATGCCCTAGCTAAGGTGGAATATTTGTAGCACACTTTTCTTTTTTTTGCTTTAAAAATGGGAATGTAAGAACACGAATATTTGGATTTGAATAAGCTATAAAAAATTAAGCTATAAATGCAGTGGCATTTTACAAGACGGACTTATACTCTTTATTTTTTAAAAGACCTCCTACGGTTTCATCCCGTCTCATTGGGTGCATTTTCTTGCACCTGTGTAAATGAAGAAAACGAGAAAGAGAGCAGCCAGTGCTGTTTTGTTTTGTTTTCATTCGTTTTGACTTAATTTTTACTGGAGACCTTTTTGCTCCAACCTTATCCAAGATAGCATGATGAAAGACCCACCTCCGTGGGGCTGCTCTGAGGTGGGGGGAGGTTTAAGGTGTTGCCACTGAAGCTTACGAAACGTTTTCACTGTATAGCTTTACCAAACAAAAGCAGTAATTCGTATTCCCCTCACAAGTACACGTACATCATATAACTTGCCTAAAGTCTAGCTGAATTTCCTCAGAACAGAGTTCTAAAAATGAGTGCCTTCGAAAACAACATTTTAGACACTATTCATCAGTCAGCTTTTCTTGCTTCAACTGCAAAATCTCACACCAAAAGGATCCAAAATCAGCAACGGCAACCAGGCAAAATATTTACAATAATATATAAGGGTTGTAATTTCCATGATCACTGAATTTGAGGGACCTAAATTGGCTGCATCCAGTGTCCTTAACAGGCCTACTCTGAGTAAGACTGAGGGTGGATACCTAGAAGTAAATCTCACTGTGTTCAGTGGGGCTTTCTGCCAAGCAAGTGTGTTTAGGGTTTTCAGCCTAAAAACCAAAACCAATATAAGGATACAATCTGCTGAGATCAAGTCTTTTAGCTTTCAAAGATGCTTACTGCAGAGTGATGAATGGAGAAACAAAAAATATGCATTCAATGCTGATTGGTTTACATTTATTTATTTTATGAACCATTACCTGGAGGAACCTAGACAAAAAACCCTCAACTCAGATATCTTTTAGGCGTAGTTATTTGACTTAACATGATGCAAAAATTGTTTTCTCCCTTGCAGACATCCTGACTGTATTTTGCTTTGTAGCTGATGAGCAATACCCATTATTTGCTTAGCTAGGTAGCCGTGCTGGTCTGACGCAGTCGTAATAAACAAAGAAATTAAAAATTGTCCAGTAGTACCTTAGAGACCAGCTAAGTTTGTTCTGGGTATAAGCTTTCGTGTGCAGAACAAACTGAGTTGGTCTCTAAGGTGCTATTGTACAATATTTTAATTTTTCCATTATTCGTTGTTTGCATTGTTTCATGTTATTCTTAATAAAAATCATATTATAGATAATAAAGATACGTACTCGGCAGATACAATAGAACGAGCCCAAGGAAGTGTGAGAGAGACCTCTTCAGGTGCTGAACTTGAAAGCAGGCCTGCTGGTTCAATGGCTCTCTCCTCCAGCCTAGCGCTGCGTGTGACGTACGTCTCTCAATTTCCTGCCAATTTCCGTGGGTTAGAAAGTCAAAGGTTGGGAAACGAAAGCCGCCTTTGACTTGCACGGGGTCCCCCACACAACACTCACAAGGGCAGACTTCAGCACCTTTGCTTTGAAGCCACAGAAGCAGGAAGGTTTTGGAAAAAAGAGGAGAACTACCGTATATTTTGCACCATAACACTCACTTTTTTCCTCCTAGAAAGTAAGGGGAAATGTCTGCGCGTGTTAGGGAGGAAATGCCTACGGGTGGCATGCCTACGGATTTTCCTCCTCTAAAAACTACGTGCGTGTTATGGTCGGGTGCGTGTTATAGAGCGAAAAATACGGTAATTTCACCCGCAACTTCTGGGGGATTGAGAGAAATGCGGCAAATATGCTTTCAGCATGCAGGAAGATGAGCTCAGGATAGAGTACCACATAATGGTTCAAGTGATGCATAAATTTTAGGGAAGAAAATTGGGGGGGGAGGTAACCATTTTCCACAAAGCATAGGAATACCATTTACCGTATTTTTTGCTCTATAAGACTCACTTTTTCCCTCCTAAAAAGTAAGGGGAAATGTGTGTGCATCTGATGGAGCGAATGCAGGCTGCGCAGCTATTCCAGAAGCCAGAACAGCAAGAGGGATTGCTGCTTTCACTGCACAGCGATCCCTCTTGCTGTTCTGGCTTCTGGGATTCAGAATATTTTTTTCTTGTTTTCCTCCTCCAAAAACTAGGTGCATCTTATGGTCTGGTGCGTCTTATAGGGCGAAAAATACGGTAATGATTTTGATCTGCACAGGCATATTTAAAGCATAAATTTTCCAAGCTGGTTTACCTACACAAACATACACCAACATGTGATAAATGAAGGGGTAAACAAGCCAAATTTTCTGAGAGGAAAAATATTTGTTTTTGTTGTATAGTCGTTTAGTCAAATAGAAGGGGAAGAAATGGAGGCCGTGAGAGATTTTACTTTCTTGGGCTCCGTGATCACTGCAGATGGTGACAGCAGCCATGAAATTAAAAGACGCCTGCTTCTTGGGAGAAAAGCAATGACAAACCTAGACAGCATCTTAAAAAGCAGAGACATCACCTTGCCGACAAAGGTCCGTATAGTTCAAGCTATGGTTTTCCCAGTCGTGATGTATGGAAGTGAGAGCTGGACCATAAAGAAGGCTGATCGCCGAAGAATTGATGCTTTTGAATTCTGGTGCTGGAGGAGACTCTTGAGAGTCCCATATGATGAAATATAAAGCAGATTTAAACCAATGCACGCGGCAGTTCATAACACCCATCAAAAGTCATCTGATTCATCCTTAACACGCCAATAATGAACGAACAAATTGGTACCCAGGAATGCCTAACTGTGCTTCAAGGCAGCCAGAAGCTGCTCCTGGTGGTCTATTCCTCATCACGTCTAATGTCAGGGCTGGGCTTAGATGGCACAGAAGACCTGCTCCTTCAGACGCCTGCCTATTGTCACCTCACCAGGCTCCTTCAGGAGAAAAATATCACCTTCATCTTCATTATCATCCAAGTTGAAACTTGTAGCACGATAAGGTACAGACCACTGTATTTTAATATTTTGTTGGAAGCCGCCCAGAGTGGCTGGGGAAACCCAGCCAGATGGGCAGGGTATAAATAATAAATTCTATTCTATTCTATAAGAATTCCCAAGACAGAAGCAGAAATAAGCAAAGGCCTACCTGCAATTTGGCCTCATTTTATTTCATGTACAAATCAAAGCAGCACACTTCAAAGGTACAGGCCTCAGGATAAATATTCAGTGACGAGATTTAATTTCTGCGTCAACAATGCTGGCAAGAGTCTTTTCCCTTTGGCTATCTCCATATGATACCTTTAAAAAAAAAACCAGAAACAAAAAAACATGCTCATGAATAACAGAATCGTAGATTTCTAGAGTTGGGATCCCGGTGGTCATCTAGTTCAACCCCGGCAATGCAGGAATGACAGCGAAGCTAATGAGGTTAATGTCATGTTATAATACTTCCAAGAACTGTTCCACATTTCCTTTCCCATTCCTTATTTGCATTCGTCCTTTAAAAAAGGGGTTCTATGATTCTATGGTTCTATTATCTGTGCATCTAAATCATAAAATAATAATTAAAAAACTTTCATAGCCTTGCTAGTGCTTAGAGGTCTCCAATACTGAGAGGGACATTTGTGGGCTGCCCAGGACTGATTCTGCCCCAGTCCGCTCCCTCGATGGCACGCCCACAAGGAGGTGGGTCCTCTGCAAGAAGCTGGCATCAAGTTAGACCTTCTCACTGTAGCTGCTGCACATCCGATGTGGGTTTTGAGCTTCTGGCAGCTGCGTCTTTCAACAATGCTGTGGGCTGCGTACATTGTTCTGGCCTCCACAGGTAACCTTTATTCTGCTCCTTCTACCAGACTCTTAACACTTAAAGCATGAGAAAGTCAGTGGGCTGTATATTTATGCGCTCTGAGAGTTCCTCCACACTCAGCTCAGGCAAAATACTTTCTCCTTCAGCATGTGTCTTGTTTCCAGGGCTTCAGTTGCAGGACAGTGTTGTTGTTGTTGTTGTTTAGTCGTTTAGTCGTGTCCGATTCTTCCTGACCTCCTGGACCAGAGCACGCCAGGCACTCCTGTCTTCCACTGCCTCCTGCAGTTTGGTCAGACTCATGCTGGTAGCTTTGAGAACACTATCCAACCATTTCGTCCTCTGTCGTCCCCTTCGCCTTGTGCCCTCCATCTTTCCCAGCATCAGGGTCTTTTCCAGGGAGTCTTCTCTTCTCATGAGGTGGCCAAAGTCTTGGAGCCTCAGCTTCAGGATCTGTCCTTCCAGTGAGCACTCAGGGCTGATTTCCTTCAGAATGGAGAGGTTTGATCTTCTTGCAGTCCATGGGACTCTCCTCCAGCAGGACAGTGTAGGGATTCTCAAACAGTGTGATGTCTCCTTCAACGTCTTCTTGCAAGAAAAGCCAGAGCGAGAAACGGCAACCGTAAACGGTCCTTGTGGTCTTTCTGCTCCACAGTGTTTCCAGCACACTTACAGAACCTGCATCCGACTTGGCGGTTCCTGTTCGTGGATATTGGGGTGACAGCACAGATCTCATGCACTTCTATAGAAGATATTGAAAATCAGGCATTATTCAGCTGGTACAAAAGAAGAGAACACGGAATGCCGATTTTAATCAAGAGCTGCGATGTTAAAAAACCCGGAGGCAGATTTGCTTGCAAAGTTAATCCTAACCGTCGAAACGCCATACTGGAGATCCTTCATGTGCAGAGCTCTGATTCTGGCCAATATTTCTGTGCCCAAGGAACTTCTGCTGGCTTGCATTTCAGCACTGCAACATCTTCACTGATTGTTGGAGGTAAGAGATGAGGGCTGAGTGAGCTTTGCTGCTGTGTGTTAAAGGCACCAGGGTCTGAATGCAAGCAGAGTCAAATAAGGGCCAGTTCTCAGGATCATCCCATTCACTGCAGGCAAGATTCTTGCTGAATTTTAGCCACTGCTTTCATGTAAGGAGGTGGCATGGCACCCCTGCCAGGCTGCAACCACATTTGGGTGGATTGATAGCTTATTGAGTTCAGTAAGTTGATGTTGTCCTCCAGAGCAAGTTTTGAAATGTTCTTCCTCTCAAGGAAACTTTCCCCATGTTGCCTTGTGGGCTAAGAGGTTCCTAGGCATGCGCCCCTGTGCATTGTAAAACATTCCAGGCTGTGGGGTTTCTGATGTGCATTCCTTATGAACCAACAACCCCAAATACACCCGAGTCTTCTCCCCAAATGAGCACTGCATGGGAAGTGTGTTAAACGTAAAGTTAAAGGTAAAGGGACCCCTGACCATTAGGTCCAGTCGTGGCCGACTCTGGGGTTGCGGCACTCATCTCGTTTTATTGGCCGAGGGAGCCAGCGTACAGCTTCCGGGTTATGTGGCCAGCAGGACCAAGCCGCTTCTGGCGAACCAGAGCAGTGCACGGAAACGACTTTTACCTTCCCGCCAGAGCGGTACCTGTTTATCTACTTACACTTTGATGTGCTTTCGAACTGCTAGGTTGGCAGGAGCAGGGACTGAGCAACGGGAGCTCAAGCCGTCGCGGGGATTTGAACCGCTGACCTTCTGATCGGCAAGTCCTAGGCTCTGTGGTTTAACCCACAGCGCCACCCGCATCCCATGATCTAGAGTTACTAAGCATCTTTTCTGAGAAGTCTCGCCCAAGCTTATCTTGAAACCCCCGCCATTTCCTGGCAGAAAGCCCAACACCAGGATGAAATTCTGAAGCCTTTGTTATCCATAGGTGGTCCTCCTTGCTGTACTCTCTTTGGAGATTGTTCTTACTGTGCCCCTTGCTTTGTTTTCCTCTTCAGACAGTTATACTCCGAGCACCCGGGTGATGCTTTTGCAGCCCTCTAACCAAGACCCAGATTCCTGGTTCAAGAACCAACTTGTTTGCGTGGTCCATGGCGTGTCCAACTTCGTCCAGGTGTCCTGGGACGGCCCGGGAGGTCTCCAGCAAGAGGGCCAGACCCTTTTGGTGAAAAACAGCAGTGGGTCGTTAACCTTCGTCAGTGTCCTTCACCTCCCCATGGAATTACAAAACACTGGGGGAAACATCACCTGTGCGGTCAGGTTCAACTCTTCCAGCACCAGCGTGAAGAAAACTGCTGTGTTCAACGCAGGTGAGTGAATCTTTTTATCCTGACATAAGAATATCAGCTGGCCTTTTTCACCAATGTCGCTTATGGAAGGTCTTGTTTCCATCCTGAATTTTAACCAAAAAAAACCCCCTGCATTGATAATACCAATGACTGCCCTTTTCTGCTTTTAGCGATGTCCAGAGTTTTACAAAACTTGCTCAATTACTCAAAGGCTCTTGAATATTCATGCCCCCAAAATGCTTGCTTTTTCCTGACTGGTTAGTAATACACAGGGCTAGAGTCTGTCTGATTTGTGCTTGTATTTCTGTTGCTTTTTTATTTCGCATATGTTGCATTTTATTGCGTGACAATCTGAATTCAAATTGCACGTGTCAAACTGTACATGCGAAAAACCACCTGAAGGAAGGTCCGTGGACAATAGTTTGGTTGCTCCTGTATTAGTGAAAAGTAACATACAGACTGAGTTGCGTTAGAAGAAATTTGCTCTAAAATGGTGCTGAATATTCATGTGGGCTTTAAGGGGAAAAAAGAATTGCAATCTGATGTGGAAATGTGAACTGGACTTAAAAGACTGAAATTGCCATGTTGTCAATGGTGACTTGTCACAATGCCTATGCTCTCTGTTAGAAGAATTTTAAGGTCTCAAATACAGAATAAACATTCATAAATGCACACATATCTAAATAGATGAACCATGTGTCTGAAATAGTATGGGAGAGCAATCCTGAAGCCATTTTGACTCTCCCCATGACCTCAAATATTCCTCTGCTGTAAGGGAGGCAAATGGGGAAAGCCTTCCCATTGTCTTTTTGCTTGCAAATCCCATCTTAAGGGTGCATTTGTGTATGACTAGAGTGAGCCTGTGACCTGGATTCAGGAACTAAAGTATTTACCTTCACAAAAGAATGGCCAGGCTGCCCAGGTAATGCAGTCAGTGACCATTATCAGGTATCCTGGCAGACAGGACTTCTGCTGTGGCCCGCCTCCTTCAGTGATGTACGTATGATGTTTTAGGGGGGTGGTCTTGGGCTTCAGGGTGGGCAATTTCAAAAGTCTATATAAGGGCTTGCACACCATTGTTTGGGGTTCTCCTCCCTCCTGCGTGTGATTAGTGGGGACCCTGTTGCAACAGTTTCTTGAATAAAGATCAGGCTTATTGATCTTTTATGTTACTTTTACAGTGGTACCTCAGGTTAAGTACTTAATTCGTTCCGGAGGTCCATACTTAACCTGAAACTGTTCTTAACCTGAAGCACCACTTTAGCTAATGGGGCCTCCCGCTGCTGCCGCACCGCCGGAGCACGATTTCTGTTCTCATCCTGAAGCAAAGTTCTTAACCCGAGGTACTATTTCTGGGTTAGCGGAGTCTGTAACCTGAAGCATATGTAACCCAAGGTATCACTGTATTGTTGTTAGCCGCTCTGAACCCAGCTTCAGCTGGGGAGGGCGGGATATAAATAAAATTTTATTATTATTTATTATTACTAGCTGCTTTGCTTCTCAATATACAGTGGTACCTCGGGTTACATACGCTTCAGGTTACATACGCTTCAGGTTACAGACTCCGCTAACCCAGAAATAGTGCTTCAGGTTAAGAACTTTGCTTCAGGATGAGAACAGACATTGTGTTTCGGCGCACGGCGGCAGCAGGAGGCCCCTTTAGCTAAAGTGGTGCTTCAGGTTAAGAACAGTTTCAGGTTAAGAATGGACCTCCAGAACAAATTAGGTACTTAACCCGAGGTACCACTGTACTCTGGTTGGCCTCTGTTATTTTCTCCTACTGATAGGGAACCTTAGAAGGACTCTATACAGACTCTGGAATACCCCATAAGGGAAAAGGAACAGGTTTCTTTCCTTATAGCACCTCCTCCCCCTTTCGGAGGCAGAATCCCTCTGAATAACACCAGTTGATCACAAGTAGTGCAAGTGCTGTTGTGCTCGGGTTCTGCTCTTGGACTTCCATCGGGGATCTGGTTAGCCACTTTGAGAAGAGGAGGCTGGACTAAGTGGACCTGATTCAACTCCGAGGCTATCCTTAGGTTCTTACGGAGCCTCCAGGTCCAGGGGCAGTCTATCTGGATTTCAAGGTTCTTAGGGCCATTTGGCCACTGTGGGAACAGAATGATGGACTAGATCAGGCCAGGCTCTCCATATGTCCTTCTCTAGTCTTTTGCCAAAAACAGCATTTCCTGAGTAAGCAAATCTTTTCCCTCTCTCTCTCTTCTTTCTAAAGCTTCGTTGACAGAAGGTGACGCAAAGTGCCTAACCCACAAAGTGTCCTTGGCTGTCGTTGCAGGATTGGCATCACTGCTCATCTTCCTGAGTTTCCTTTGGGTCCGATTTGGCCTTCCCTGGCTAGGTAATATGGGGGAACGCACCGTGGGTCAGAGGGGAGGGGGATCACATGAACAATATCCCCTATTCAAGTAGGTGGCCGTGTTGGTCTGCCGTAGTCAAAATAAATTAAAACAATTCTATAAAAAGATAGTTGAAAAGACTCTTCTTCAAAACCTAAAAACGCTCTTAAAAGAATCAAGTCTTCAAAAAAGTTATAGGATCTAAGGAAGTCTTTAAAAGAATCCTTCTGAAAGAATTTAAAAATTATAAAGTTGCACCCTAGAGTCCAACTGAGTTGTTTTCAATAAAAGCCTTCGTGTGCATGCACACTTCTTCAGATACACTGAAAACATATCCCCTATGTCAGTTTCTCCTTATGCAGAGGGCAAAAATGAATTTCTCCGCTTGAAGTGGACAAGACAGCCTCTGCTCCCCCTGATTTATTTTATATTTTAGTTCGTACATATTGCTTAATCAGCAAAAAAGGGTTTTACACAAATGTTGAAAACAAGCAGACATACAAACTGAACAAAAAAAATAGACAAAATCAGCCATTTTCCTCATCACAAAACATTGGACCAAGTCCTACTCAGACTAGTCCTATTGAAATAAACAAACCTGATTTTAAAAATGCATATATCATTGAAAGAAAACGTACAGAGATGCATTATGATCGGGGAGATTGTTTGCAAAGAAGTGTATATTAGTAAAAAGTGAATCCCCAAAAGTGTTTACTAGGAGAAATTTGCACTAAAATGCTGATTAATCTTCATGAGTTTTGTATATATAGTTTTTTAAAAATGCAAATTGCTGCGGAAGTGTGGAGAACTGACTTTAATGTTGGGGAAATGAGGGACTTGGAGAACGGAAATTTACAGATTTTCCCATCAGGCTCAAATATAGAATGCAGAAAGATGTAGACAGCCCTCTTATTTATGGATTTCCTATGTGTCTTACTATTCATTTTTTGCTCCTCAAGGTTCCCACACCAAGATATCCGAGCCCCCATTTTCAGGGATAACAGAGGTAGGAACTCTTTTAAATATATATACATATATAGGTTTTGAGATGCTCTAGGTTTTAAGGCGTACACAGTCTCAGGTGTACAATCTGGGCACACAACTGATAAGAATGAGGGATAAAATCAGCTCAGTTTGCATGCTATCAAATCCACCCGTTTTGAATCCTTTGAAATTTTTCACTCATCCGCTCTACGTGGGGCTACCTTTGAAGGTGCCCTGGAAACTACAACTAATCCAGAACGCGGCAGCTAGACTGGAGACTGGGAGCGGCCGCCGAGACCATATAACACTGGTCTTGAAAGACCTACATTGGCTCCCAGTACGTTTCCGAGCACAATTCAAAGTGTTGGTGCTGACCTTGAAAGCCCCAAACGGCCTTGGTCCAGTATACCTGAAGGAGCATCTCCACCTCCATCGTTCTGCCCAGACACTGAGGTCCAGCTCCGAGGGCCTTCTGGCGGTTCCCTCACTGCGAGAGGCCAAGTTACAGGGAACCAGGCAGAGGGCCTTCTCGGTAGTGGTGCCCGCCCTGTGGAACGCCCTCCCATCAGATGTCAAAGCGATAAACAACTACCAGACTTTTAGAAGACATCTAAAGGCAGCCCTTTTTAGGGAAGCTTTTAATGTTAGATGTATTACAGTATTTTTATATTTTTTTGGAAGCTGCCCAGAGTGGCTGGGGAAGCCCAGCCAGATGGGCGGGGTATAAATAATAAATAATAAATTATTATTATTATTATTATTATTATTATTATTATTATTATTATGTTGTTGTTGTTGTTGTTATTTTGCATTGCACTCCTCCATCCAAGCAACAGTGAATATATTAGGGGGAGGTGTGCCTGAAAATGAACAAATCTGTGAACGTAATGCACAGAAATACACTATATACTTGCAAAAAACATGTGAACGAGTCTTGTCCCCATGAGCTCTGGCTGTTTCTCACATGGGATATAAAGGTGTTGAATTTAAGCCATCAAGCAACTAACAGCCCTCTCCTCCAAATTTCATAACAGGATGGGATTTGCTACGCCCAACTGGACTTTCAAGCAAAGACCCAAGATGAGAGGAAGAGAAGACTAGGAGTGCAAGGGAAGAAATCCAAAACTTTGAAGGACCTTTGAGAAGCACCAGTTGCTAGACTCTGATTTGGGAGGGGGGAAAAAATTATTTAATGGATTTGTTGCCTCCGTTGTGCCAAACGTTAGTTGCTAGACGGTGTTTTCTTTCCACCTTAATCACGAAAGGCTACATTGCTTGCGACAAAAAACTCCGAGCCACTTCTGCTGCGTGTTTGTGGCTTATTCACACCATATAGGGGAATCGTACATTATGGGAGCAGGGAGGCTGGTCAAGGTATTTCAACCGTTCTGAGTCAGAGGGAGGTAAGACAAGTTTTGCATCGAACAAATAACACAAGAGAAGGAAGAGAAGAGTGGGGTTTGCTTAGATGGGGGAATCGCCAGCTTTCAGAATCTGGCTGCTCACTCCCGACTGAGGTGGAACACATTTTAGGGTTGCCAACTCCCCACCCCGCAATGCTCCTCTGCCTTAAGCAGCATAGCCAGAAGCAGAAATCCCACTGGAGATGCATTGCTGATGGCTGAGTGTCTGCCTTCTCCTTGTCCTGGAGCCTTGCAAGGGAAATAGTTGGCGTCCCTGGCTGCAGGAGAAAATGTAGTCTTTAGCTGGCCTGGTGTGAAACAGAGCAGGACTGGTGAGCATGTAAAGGTAAAGGTAAAGGGACCCCTGACCATTAGGTCCAGTCGTGGCCGACTCTGGGGTTGCGGCGCTCATCTCGCTTTACTGGCCGAGGGAGCCGGCGTACAGCTTCTGGGTCATGTGGCCAGCATGACTAAGCCGCTTCTGGCGAACCAGAGCAGCGCACGGAAACGCCGTTTACCTTTCCTATTTATCTACTTGCACTTTGACATGCTTTCGAACTGCTAGGTTGGCAGGAGCAGGGACCGAGCAACGGGAGCTCACCCCGTTGCGGAGAATCGGACCACCGACCTTCTGATCGGCAAGTCCTAGGCTCTGTGGTTTAACCCACAGTGCCACCTGCATCCCCGGTGAGCATGTAACAGACTGGCAAAAGAGGGGAGTTCAGCAGGTACAGCTGTACCTGTAACAGATGCTCATTCTGGCATCAGCCTGACCCACGCAATGACATTTTTTGAGGGCTGGCGGAAAGAGATCTGCCACTCTCCACGGCAAGCCCTGTAACCAAGTGGATGGAAAACAATAAACCTTCCAAATTGGCCAGCAGTCTGTTTCTTTACCAGTTTCGCAGTGTTTATAGGTTGACCTATTACAGGGCAGCTCCTATCAAGAAATAAAATTGCTTAAAGCTGATTGGAAAAATGAGAAACGAACAGAATTCGAAACTGAGCGATCAGGCCATTCCCCAGTCAACAAGACAAGGGTGCTTGTTTTTTCCTGTATTCAACATTGCCTGCAATTTTATAGATTGGAGGTTATTTGATGCTTTTGGTATTCGTCTGGATTGCCTTCAGATGATAATTTATTGCGTGTTTCCATTTTTTTATGCAAGGTGTTTGGGAAGCTATTATTATTGTTGTTGTTAATCATCAGAGCTCCCTCCCCCCTTCAGCCAGAGCTCACTGGAGCTCAGCTTTGCCACCTCTCAAGCGGACACCATTGCCATTCTAAGAGAAGAAGGGAGAAGTTCGTGGTGAGCTCTGGCACCTCATTTTCTAGAAAAATAGCACTGATGGTGATGGTGATTACATTTTGTTGCAGGAATTTATGTATAGGTTGGGGGGGGGTTGCCCTTCCAGCAGATATCATGCACATGCAGCCCACTACCAAAACCAGCACAATCGCTTTTGTGACTTGTCCCCACAAAACACTTCATCACAGTTTCTTCCTATCTATTCAAAGGGCCTTTGCTGCACGATACCAAATGTAAGAATTCGCTGATAAATGTATCTATGTACTGGCTCACAGGGAAAATATCAGAAATTCATATAGACATGTGAGCTCAGCTCCTCAGCAGCCCCTCTGCCTGAGTGATAATCCCTGGCATCCTGATACCTGAGTGCCAGACAGGTAGCCATTCCAGAAATAACAAACCCAGATGAAGACAAAAGGGTGTGATTAACTTGGCTGGGAAACAGAGAAATGTAAAGATCTCTTTTGTTACACTTGATGGGTGTTTGGTGGAGGGCAAGGAGAACCATGGGGCAGGGTCCAGGATGCTCAGATTACTGCCACCAGACCTCCCCTCTCATGATGTAATAGTGATGTATGAGTGTAGTTTGGGGGGGGTGTAACATGGGGATTAGCAGCTAATAAAAGTTTGGGGGCTCTTTTGTTCGGGGCTTCCATCTTGTTCCACCTTGTGGCGGGTGGGAGTCTTGTCGCGACAGTCTTCAATAAAGACCAAGCCTACTGGCTGCTGTTTTGCTCTGGTATTCCTGGCTGGTGTCCTTGTTTTTTGTCCAAGGGAGCCCTCAGATTTCTCCATTAACAATTTACATCCCCTCTTTCCTTCAAGAGGTCCAAGGTGGTGTACATCGTTCTTCTCCTCCCTCCCCTTTTATATCCTGCACAACAACCCTGTGAGGTAGGTTAGCTTGAGAGCAAATGTCTGGCTCTCAAGATCACAACCAGTGAGCTTCATGGCTCTGTGGGAGACTAGGAACCAGAGTAACATAAGAAGAGTCTGCTATATCAGGCCAATGGCCCATCTATTCCAGCATCTATTCCACCCAGAAGGCAGAAGTTTAGCTGAACTGTCCTTCTGGCATCAACATAAAGTCACCATCATGCTAGATCCTTTGGCTGGCCCTGTTCATGGATGCACAGAGAAAAGAAAGTAGAAACACAGAGTTCTAGGTGGCTCTTTGCAGTCCAGCTCTGGGTGATGCTGACCGCAGGGACGTCATGGGTCCCTGCTTACGAACCTCGGTTAGAGGCGCCTTCGGTTTAAAAAAAAGCCAAGCGCTCGCCTGACTCAATCTTTCTGCCCTTCTTGGTTTTGACACCCCCGAGCCCGTGTTCTTCACTTGCTAAAACAATAAAAACAGGAAGCTTCTGCAAAAGTTTGTGTGGCTTTGGCCTGGCCCCTCTTTATAGCTGCGACACTTCAGGTGTGAGGAGAATCGCCTCTCTCGCCTCGCCACCGGCAGCCAGGCCTGACAAGGCTCCCGATGACCCGGTATTGTAAGCACAATGAGCAAATAAATTCAGCTGGGCGTCCCGAGAGAAAAAGGCAGGGCAGGGCGGGAAAGACCCCTCAGGCTTACGGATAAGAGGAAACTGCCCTTTTGGTTTCACTCCGGCTGGATCTAGATGCATCAAAGAAGCGATTCAGTTAAACGCGTTGCAGACTTTGTATGAGAAATCGTGTTGGCAAAAACGGGACTCCACAGCGCCATCTGGTGTCACAGTGTTATGATGCATATTGTTATAAGAATTTAAGGTCTCAAATACATAAATTAAATGTGCAAGGCAAACACGTACATAAATACATAAACCACATGTCTGAAACATTACAGGAAGACAGTCCTGAAACCATTTTGACTCTCCCAAACTGACCAATATCCGCCCTCCCTTCCCCACAGGTATGCGAGGTTTGCGGCACCAAGCGAGGCTCACCTGGGCGGGTGCCACCCACCTGCCTGAGCTGGCCTTTGACCCGCCCTCGGCCAGGGAGGACAATGGACGGCCGGCTGGGGGTGGGCCTAAGGCCAAAAGAAAAGAGGCTGACCCCTGAGCTCAAGCCTCTTTTGCTGTTCTTCCTTCTGGGATCAACTCAAACTGACCAAATCTCCCAAACTGACCAAATGTTTCTCAGCAAGGAGGGAAGAACTGGGGGGAAAAAACTCCCCATTGTCTCTGTGCTCACAAATCGTGCCTTAAGGGCACATTTAAGGTGTGAATAGGGTGAGCCTGTGACCTGGATTCAGGAATTAAGTAGTTATAATAACAAAAGAGTGGCCAAAACCCAGATAATGCAATCAGGTAACTTGCCAGACAGGAGATAAACAACACACTCAGGATTCTGTTTTAGACAGCCCCCTGTGATGCATGTATGATGTTTCTGGGGGTGGTCTGGAGTTTGAGGGTGGGCATCTTAAAAAGCAGAGACATCACCTTGCCGACAAAGGTCCGTATAGTTAAAGCTATGGTTTTCTCAGTAGTGATGTATGGAAGTGAGAGCTGGACCATAAAGAAGGTTGATCGCCAAAGAACGGATGCTTTTGAATTATGGTGCTGGAGGAGACTCTGGAGAGTTCCATGGACTGCAAGAAGATCAGACCTATCCATTCTGAAGGAAATCAGCCCTGAGTGCTCCCTGGAAGGACAGATCCTGAAGCTGAGGCTCCAATACTTTGGCCACCTCATGAGAAGAGAAGACTCCCTGGAAAAGACCCTGATGTTGGGAAAGATGGAGGGCCCAAGGAGAAGGGGACGACAGAGGACGAGATGGTGGGACAGTGTTCTTGAAGCTACCAGCATGAGTCTGACCAAACTGCGGGAGGCAGTGGAAGACAGGAGTGCCTGGCGTGCTCTGGTCCATGAGGTCACGAAGAGTCGGACACGACTAAACAACAGCAACATATAAGGGCGGGCACACCTTTGTTCTGGGTTCCTCCTCCTTTCCTGCGTGTGAAGGGGGCACCCTGTCGCAACAGTTCAATAAAGATCAGGCTTACGAGCTGCTTTGCTTCTCAATATTCTCTGGTTGGCCTCTGTTATTTTCTCCTAGCGATGGAGAACCTACAAAGAACTCTATAAGGGTTCTTAGTGTCCCCCATAAGGGAATAAGGGCAGATTTTGTTTACAACAATATAACGTGTCCTTTCTTTGCCAAGGTAGCTGAGTCCTGTGCTCACTTCGGCTGCACATATACTAAAATAGGAACGATGCAGAGAAGATTAGCAATGTAGCTGAGTTCTCTGTTTCTTGTTTTCCCAGTCATAAGTTCAGTTTTCCACATTTCCACATCAATATGTAATAATAATAATAATAATAATAATAATAATAATTTCCTCATGAAAATTCATGAAATGATCTTTGCACAAAACATTGAAAAGCAAGCACAGCCTCAGAGTTTTTTGGGGTCATGTCTTTTAAAAACAAGCATCTGTTCAGGTTTTTGGTATTGCTTTTTTCTGTAATGAAGTTCTTCTGCACTTTATCTTCTGTATCTCTGTTAACCACACGAATGCTTTGGGCATTTCCCTATCTTTTTTTGGCTTTTGTTGCATCAGCCGTCGTAACTCTCAAGGAGTTACCTCAGCCTGTTGCACAAAATGTCTTATTTAGTTCCCTCTCTTCACAGGCCTACAGTTCATGGGTGATGCTTTTGCAAACGCCGAAGAAAGACCCACCTTCGATTGTTTGTTCCATGGACTTTCCAACTTGGTCCAACTTGCACTACAACTTCCATCATCCATGACCACTGGTCCTGCTAGCGAGGGGTGATGGGAGTTGTAGTCCAACAACAAAAACAACAACATTTCTATTTTCATCGGAGAAATGTTGGAGGCTATTTTGGCCTGATCCAGGAACCAGGATCTTCCTACATTCTTCTGATGCCCTGCTCCTAAACCGGCCACTCTCTGATGTAGCTTGAAAAAGAAATGGCGAGCGAGATCTTAACTGCATTCATTTTGTTAACTAGCGTACAGTGGTACCTCAGGTTAAGTACCTAATTCGTTCTGGAGGTCCATTCTTAACCTGAAACTGTTCTTAACCTGAAGCACCACTTTAGCTAATGGGGCCTCCTGCTGCTGCCGCACCGCCGGAGCACGATTTCTGTTCTCATCCTGAAGCAAAGTTCTTAACCTGAAGCACTATTTCTGGGTTAGCGGAGTCTGTAACCTGAAGCGTATGTAACCTGAGGTACCACTGTATTGAAAACACCACCCACTTGTATAAAATATCTAGGTGGTGGACTGCAATATATAAAAAACAACTGCAATAAACCAACAGAGCAATGGAAGTCCTGGATTCCTTGCCTATGGGGAAAATCCCTGATTTGCCTGCCTGTCTCTCTCCCTTGTTCAGCTTCCAGCACAGACTGCCAAAACTACAAAGCAGACCTGGTTGTCTCAGGTGTGATAGCGCTGCTTCTCCTCCTCCTGAGCTTCTCCTCTGTATTTGGTTCTTCCAGGCCAGGTAACAGCATCCTCAGGGACGCCTTCAGGGCATCCTTTCTCAGTATCTCTTTATGGCTTAAGGCTGTACACAACTCTCCCAGATTTGGAGATACTGCAAGCTCATCTCTAATTTGTTTTTGTGGAATTTGTGAGAAGACCTCAGCAGCTACAGAGGAGTTGTGGTTAAGGAGATGTTGGTAATGTTCTTTCCAGCGCATTGCAATAGCTTCAACTCCTCAAAAGATTCCATCAACGGTGTCTCCAGAAAAAATTACACATCACTTGGGAAGACAGGTGAACTAATACCAGTGTACTGGAAGAAGCAAAGATTTCCAGTGTTGAAGCAATGATTCTTCAACATCAACTTTGTTGGACTGGTCAACGGAAGCCTGATGATCGTCTTCCAAAGCAACTACAGTGGTACCTCGGGTTAAGTACTTAATTCATTCCGGAGGTCCGTTCTTAACCTGAAACTGTTCTTAACCTGAAGCACCACTTTAGCTAATGGGGCCTCCTGCTGCTGCCGCGCCGCCGGAGCACGATTTCTGTTCTCATCCTGAAGCAAAGTTCTTAACCCGAGGTACTATTTCTGGGTTAGCGGAGTCTGTAACCTGAAGCGTCTGTAACCTGAATCATATGTAACCCGAGGTACCACTGTACTCTATTCCAAACTTAAAAATGGAAAGTGTAAAAAATGGTCAACAAAGGAGGTTTAAAGACTGTCTCAAGGCAAATCTAAAAAAATGTAGCATAAACACCAACAATTGGGAAACATTTGCCTGTGAGCGCTCCAGTTGGAGAACAGCCTTTACCAACGGTGTCACGGGCTTTGAAGACACTTGAACTCAGGACGCAAGGGAGAAACGTGCTAAGAGGAAGGCACGCTTGGCAAATCCACACCGTGATCAACTCCCTCCCAGAAACCTATGTCCCCACTGTGGAAGGACGTGTGGATCCAGAATTGGCCTCCACAGTCACTTATGGACTCATTGTTAAAACCGTGTTTATGGAAGACAATCTTACTCGGCTACGAGTGACCGCCAAAGGGAGATGGCTTAGGGCAAAGCAGCTGGGAACCTCGGCCTCCTGGACATCAGGGGCTGGACTGAGGAGGAATGGTGGAGACCCCCCCTCCTCCTGCACTTCCCAGAGAAGTGGGAAACAGTATAGATTTAGAACAGTGGTTTGAGGAAGGTCACAGTTCAGAGGCTGCAGAGAGGAGAAGCTGGGAAATATTGGGAGAGGAGGAGGAGGAAGAAGCAGCAGCACCACCACCAGGGGAGAGATAGCTGGGGCCATGATGGGCGTTGGGAGTTGTTACGGAAATTATGTAACAACTTAAAAGTTGTTAAATGTTGCAAATATTATGCCTTAATGTATCCTTTCAACTTGACAGCTCACAGAAGTTACCGAGCTTTAAAAATAATATAAAATCAACTCCTTTGCCAGTTTCCTCCATTCCAAAGCTATTTTCCCCTTGAAAAAGGACTCCAGGAAGTTGCCAGAGGTGACAATTGCTGAGCTGATAGTTGGCCAAGGAAAACCTAATCCCATCACCAGACTTGCCAAGGGGTCCAGACATGCAAAGGAAGTTCTATTGTACTTTGGGTGGTGGGACTTCAAAGGTGTTTGCCTATGCTAATATCCGCCCTCCCTTCCCCACAGGTGGGCGGGGTTTGCGGCACCAAGCGAGGCTCACCTGGGCGGGTGCCACCCACCTGCCTGAGCTGGCCTTTGACCCGCCCCCGGCCAGGGAGGACAATGGACAGCCGGCCGGGGGTGGGCCTAAGGCCAAAGGAAAAGAGGCTGACTCCTGGGCTCAAGCCTCTTTTGCTGCTCTTCCTTCAAAGGTGTTTGCCTATGCTAATTGTCAGATGCTGTTGTGGTTGCTCGAGAGTAACCAGGCAAGACTCCGACCTGTCTTTTACAGGCTTTATTCTTTGTGCAAACTATTTACAGTGAAGAGCGTTGTAAGTTCCTGTCTGGCTCAATCGCTAGCAGAATCCAGGAGTGGTCGGTTTTTGTACCTCCCCCAGCATAAAAGTCGCGTCACCCCCAGGCTTTTCCACCCCTCCCTGTGCCGAAGACTACTACGCAGAATGGGTGCTGGCAAGGGCGCACTTCAAGCCTCTCCGGTTTGCTCAGGCTCGGTGTTAAGGCTCTCCCTAGCATCCCCTGCTCCTTGCACCTCTTCTTCACTGGAGGTGGGGCTTTCCTCCTCGCCGGAAGAGGAACTGCTTCGCAAGATTTTCGGAGGCTCCCTATAACACAACTGCCCCTCCATCTCTTGTCTCTGAGCTGATAGCAGTTCCCTGACACTAATCTTATACCTGAGTCTTGCCCTGACATGTCTGCTTATGCTAATCTTGTACCAAGGACTTGTCTGGACATGTTTGCCAAGGTTAAACTAGTGTAACCCCTGTCTAAAAGGTAAAGGGACCCCTGACCATTAGGTCCAGTCATGGCCGACTCTGGGGTTGCGGCGCTCATCTCGCTTTACTGGCTGAGGGAGCCGGCATACAGCTTCTAGGTCATGTGGCCAGCATGACTAAGCCGCTTCTGGCGAACCAGGGCAGCGCACAGAAACGCCGTTTACCTTCCCACCGGAGCGGTACCTATTTATCTACTTGCACTTTGACGTGCTTTCGAACTGCTAGGTTGGCAGGAGCAGGGACCGAGCAACGGGAGCTCACTCTGTTGCAGGGATTTGAACCACCTGGCAAGTCCTAGGCTCTGTGGTTTAACCCACAGTGCCACCCGCATCCCTAACCCCTGTCTACCCCTCCCCTTTTGTGGCATGTCAGTGATGTAGCAATGATGCTGTACGAACTGTATTCTGGGATATGGTGGGAAAGTTTTAAAAGTCCTCGTCACCCCATCCTCGGGGTTCAAAATTCCTCTTTGAACCTGTTGCGCAATAAACTTTGGTCTACAGCTATTTGCTTCGGTTGCCTGGACTCCTTCCTTTATTCCGCAGGGGCCCGCGGGCTCTGCCCGACGAGCCGGGTGACTGAGCAGCCTCACACCTAGATTTTTCCGTAACAGGAGTCCACCTGTATCTGGAAGGCAACAGACGTTCTTCATCCCTAATACGCATGGAGCAGATGAAGCAGCATTTCTCAAATTTGCTGTTGCACTACAACTCCCATCATCCATGACTGCTGGGTCCTGCTGGCTAGGGATGATGGGAGTTGTAGTCCAACAACAAGTCTGAGAAACACTGAACAGTTGTAGGGGAGATATCAAGGTCCTTCAGAGAGAGAGCAATGGCACAGGGTTGCAAGGGGTTGAACCAGATGAGCCTTGGGGTCCCTTCCAACTCTACAGCTCTATGATTTTCGGAAGCTGTGTCAGGCCATTGGTCCATATAGCTCCATATTGCCCACACGGGCTGGCAGCAGCTCTGGAGGGTCTCTCCCTGGAGGTGCCATTGGGGAATGAACCTGGGGCCGTTTTCATGCGAAGCCGATGCTCTGAGCCACAATACATGAGGACATTCTTGAGAATGAGGACATTCATGGAGGAAACATCAAGTTTAATACAAGCATCAACATTCAGCAAGTGGGGAGGAAAATATATTAAACTTTGATTTGATTTTCTTCCTTCTGTCTCTCCTTCTAATAAACCATGCTTTTTTTAACCACTTGACTGTATCGATTGGTTTGAACGGGACTTTTCATTTCTTGCAACGGACTTCTGCATATTCGGTCTAGAAGGGGAAATGGAAAAGCCAGAGGCCACTTAGTGTTTTTTTATTTTCTACATTTGTAAAAGTAAAGCGCCCACCCCCCGCTTTTCTTGGACCAATTTAACATTTTTATTTTTTTTAAAGCGATCTTGTTTTCCTGTGGTTATTAGTCATTTTCACCTTGTGAGCCTTACGCACTTTCCGTTGCAAAAGCAACATTACAAAGCTATGACTATTGAAAAGTAATGCATTTTTTTTTTAAAAAAGGAGCATTTTCACTAGATTCAGGGTGTTAGCCCTAGAATATTTTTCTTTTCTTAGTTGCACAATAGTAATTTATGACATTTAAAGGTCTTAAATAATAATAATAATAAATTAAAATAAAATAAATAAAATAGGACTGTGCCAGCAATTAAGAGCACATCCTTTCACAATGTCTGTTTTCAACTTCTTTTTATGGTTTTTATTATACGGTTCTAAATTTTATCACTGTAAACTGCTTTTATATGTTCTTTATGACACAGCAGTGTACAGATATTTTTTATAAATCAATAAAAACTTCACTATGCAGGGATGGTGAATTACCTGTGGGATCTCCCTCATGGGCAGTTGATTTACTGGTGCATCAACATTACCTGGGAAGAGAAAAGGGACAAGAAGAAGAAATGTTAATCAGAAGGAAAACCTGAGGAACAGATCCGCGTGACGCTGCTCATTCCCCAAAGGCATTACCTCCAGATCGAAGTTTTCTGCAGAGCAGGACCAAAGGGGGAATCAGCAGGACAACGACTAAACAGGGTATCCCAATCAGCAATATGTTCCTGCAGTCCTCTGCGAGAGGAGAGGTGGAAGAGAGAGGAAGAAAAAGGGGGTCAGTGACTGTGGAGGCTGGGGGATCAGTCTAGGGCAAAGGGGAGAGCAAGTTAATCTATGGAACTCTCTTCCACAAGAGGCAGGGAAGACCACCAACTTGGAGCACTTTAAAAGGGGAGTCATTTTGGGCTCACAGCTGTCCATGGAGGCGCAGGTCAATTCTGTGTCCAGGGTAGCTGTCTACCAGCTCCATCTGGTACGCAGGCTGAGACCCTACCTGCCCACAGACTGTCTCGCCAGAGTGGTGCATGCTCTGGTTATCTCCCGCTTGGACTACTGCAATGCGCTCTACGTGGGGCTACCTTTGAAGGTGACCCGGAAACTGCAACTAATCCAGAATGCGGCAGCTAGACTGGTGATTGGGAGCGGCCGCCGAGGCCTCCTAACACTGGTCTTGAAAGACCTACATTGGCTCCCAGTACGTTTCCGAGCACAATTCAAAGTGTTGGTGCTGACCTTTAAAGCCCTAAACAGCCTCAGCCCAGTATACCTCGTCTGTACCCCCATCGTTCTGCCCAGACACTGAGGTCCAGCGCTGAGGGCCTTCTGGCGGTTCCCTCACTGCGAGAAGCTAAGCTACAGGGAACCAGGCAGAGGGCCTTATTAGTGGTGGCGCCCGCCCTGTGGAACGCCCTTCCACCAGATGTCAAAGAGAAGAACAACTACCAGACTTTTAGAAGACATCTGAAGGCAACCCTGTTTAGGGAAGCTTTTAATGTTTGATGTGTTATCCTTTTTTTACTATTTTGTTGGGAGCCACCTAGAGTAGCTGGGGAAACCCAGCCAGATGGACAGGGTAAAAATAATAAATTATTATTATTATTCCCTCCCTGTGAGAAGTGAGATTACAGGGAACCAGGCAGAGGGCCTTATCAGTGGTGGTGCCCGCCCTGTGGAACGCCCTCCCAGCAGATGTCAAGGAAATAAACAACTATCTGACTTTTAGAAGACATCTGAAGGCAGCCCCGTTTAGGGAAGTTTTCAATGTTTTAGGTTTTATCGTGTTTTTAAAATTCTGTTGGGAGCCATGTAGAGTAGCTAGGGAAACCCAGCCAGATGGGCAGGGTATGAACAATAAATGATGATGATGATGAAAGAGGACTAGGCAAATGCACAGAAGAGAAGGCTATTGATGGCTACTAGCCACAGTGGCTATGCTCTGTCTGCCCAGTTGGAGCAGCAATGCTGGAAACCACAGGAGGGGAGAGTTGCTCTCGCGTTCGGCTCCTAACTACAGTGGTACCTCGGGTTACAGACGCTTCAGGTTACAGACTCCGCTAACCCAGAAATAGTACCTCGGGTTAAGAAATTTGCTTCAGGATGAGAACAGAAATCATGCAGCGGCGGTGCAATGGCAGCAGGAGGCCCCATTAGCTAAAGTGGTGCTTCAGGTTAAGAACAGTTTCAGGTTAAGAACAGACCTCCGAGGTACCACTGTACTATCAGGACACGGGTGGCACTGTGGGTTAAATCACAGAGCCTAGGACTTGCCGGTCAGGAGGTTGGCGGTTCAAATCCTTGCGACGGGGTGAGCTCCCGTTGCTCAGTCCCCGCTCCTGCCAACCTAGCAGTTCGAAAGCACGTCAAAGTGCAAGTAGATAAATAGGTACCGCTCCGGCGGGAAGGTAAACGGCGTTTCCGTGCGCTGCTCTGGTTCTCCAGAAGCGGCTTAGTCATGCTGGCCACATGACCCGGAAGCTGTACGCCGGCTCCCTCGGCCAATAAACCGAGATGAGCGCTGCAACCCCAGAGTCGGCCACGACTGGACCTAAAGGTCAGGGGTCCCTTTACCACTGTACTAGTTTCCCCTTAGGGCATCTGTTTGGCCACTGTGATGACAGAATGCTGGACTAGATGCCCCCCCTTTGGCCTGAGGCAGCAGACACTTCTTATGATCTTAAGGACTTTTGCAACATCCCAATAAAGTCATGTCCTGATGGCCCCACAGGAAAGGTATGTGCCCTTGCAAATTCTCACCATTTAGGGAAATGGAGTCCATGGAAAAGCTATAAACGGAACCAGCTATTTGGTTACAAGGTACCTTGGGTTGTAGAAGCTGCGTTCGAAGGGACCACTGCACTGATGTTTCTTTTCTCCTGGTCTGAACATGAATAAACCATCCCTTGGCTCCATCTCTCTTGAGGAATCAGTTTCAGACTCCAAACGGTGAAGGCTCCTTCCCCATCGATCACGTCACCATCCTTCCGGTCCTGAGAGGTTTCCCCACCAATATCCCAGGAGAAAGTATCCTCATCAGGGTTTGCGTCAATCAGGAGGCAGAGGAGGGGAAGGTGGTGGGAGAGCTCCGTGTCTTCTGCAGTGGAAGGAGCAAGGAGGGAAAGTCTTGGCCCAGAAGTCCCTAGGAGAGAAGGAGAATCGCATGAGAATAGCTCATCAGATCGTTATCTTAATCCCTCTCGTAGGTTTCATGGGGGTGACATGGCTCCTCAACAAACTAGACCCAATAAACAGCCATCCCAACGACCGCTGAAGTAGTTAGAGTGTTGGACTAGGGCCTGGAAGAGACCTGGGTTCAAATCCCCACTCAGGTAGCTCGCTTTGGGCCGGTCTCAGCCTAGCCTCCCTCACAGGTTGCTTTGGGGATCAGTGAGGAGCAGCTGAACCAAGTGCAATACCTGGAGCTCCTTGAAGAAAAATGTGGGGGTGTAAATGCAATAAATAAATAAAGCAAATGCTACAGACCATAATCTAAATCTAAGCCATAGTTGATTAAGCCTAGCCCTATCAATATCTACTAGTAGTAGAGTCATACCTTGGTTTTTGAACAGCTTAGTTCTCAAAGAAGAAGAGAAGAGTTTGGATTTGATATCCCGCTTTATCACTACCCGAAGGAGTCTCAAAGCGGCTAACAGTCTCCTTTCCCTTCCTCCCCCACAACAAACACTCTGTGAGGTGAGTGGGGCTGAGAGACTTCAGAGAAGTGTGACTGGCCCAAGGTCACCCAGCAGCTGCATGTGGAGGAGCGGGGACGCAAACCTGGTTCACCAGATTACGAGTCTACCGTTCTTAACCACTACCCCACACTGGCTCTTAAACGTTTTGGGTCCCGAACGCCGCAAACCCGGAAGTGACTGTTTTGGTTTTCGAATGCTCTTTTGGAACCCGAACGTCTGATGGGTCTTCTGCGGCTTCCAATTGGCTGCAAGAGCTTCCTGCAGCCAATCAGAAGCTGCGCTTTGGTTTCCGAACGTTTTGGAAGTCGAATGGACTTCCGGAACGGATTCCGTTCGACTTCCAAGGTAGGACTGTATTAGTATTAATAGTCATATTAATACATTTATTTCTTGCCCGGCACCAGAAGGTCCCAGAATGGAGATCACAATTTGCTAGAGTGAGGCACAGCTACCCTCAGATGGCAGATATTGGGGGGGAGGCAACCCCCTCCCTGCCATCCCCTCACCCCGTCTCCTAAGGCAGACTGCCTTGCACACAGGGGGACAGGCAGTTTTGGGTCCAGGGCTTAAATGAAATCCCAATGTCAACCCAGTTGGATTCTGTATGTGGAAGGAGAAGGTGCCATCTTGTTTTTCTTGCCTCAGGTGGCCGTGAAAGCAGGAAAAATGAGAATGGGAGCTTCACACTGGCTCCAAGTGGTTTCAGACCAGAGTCCCTTCAGAATCTATTTCAGAGGCGCCATTCAGATGTCCACCTGCAACATCAATTGTGGGTGGCCCCCACAACTGTGGAAGCCAACGGAGACCAGGCACATGCCCCCCTCTCTCGCAAATTTTAAGCAGGCCCAAAAGACTTATCTGGTTTTCTACTGGGCTGGGACTAAACGGGACTTTCAAACCGGATGCTGTGTTTATAAGGCGTTATTTCCTTTTCTTTTATTGCACAATGCGTCCCCTTCAAGTGCCACACGTTTGTGTGGTTCTGCGGAGACAGAGGTCAGTGGGAAAAAGCCCCTCGCAAAGTCAAGCGCAGCCACTTTTACTTTCGAGAGAGGAAACCAGTCACAATGGAGAGGGTCTGTTGAAAGGAAGTTGAAAGGGCGAGTCACTTAAGATACGATCGCTTCTGGCTGCTCACCATGATCACAAAATAAAATCAGACAAACACTCCGCAGATCAAGAAAGCATCAATTTTCTGCAGCTGTTTCAAATGTTTGGGAAAACCCAGGCATATGGCAACCCATTCTGGAAGTGGTTTGGTTGTGGGGTTTTTTGCCGAAGTTTGTAAAAAGGTGGCTCAGAAAGTGGTTTTAAAGCTCAGCAACATGGCGAAAGGAAAGGTCAACAACTCTTGTGTCTGGATTCCTGAAATATGGCAACCCTGTCTTCATCCTCCACCCAGCAAGAGGCGTTATCGCAGTTCAATGACACATTTCAGCCAGGCGAAAGCATTTAAACTGGGGGGTGGAACAGACACAGTGAGGGGTGTTGACCTGAAGGGGGCAGGGCATGGTCGATGTGGGAACATGTCCTGTGGGGGTCTGCCCAGGCCCTGAGAGTGAGGAGCCTAGAGGCCACATTCACACACCTTGGGCCTGACATTTCCCACCCCTGCCACTGAAGATGCCAGCGTGGTTATACAGCAGCGTCACAAAAGCTAAAAACAAAAAAGGCAAGAGAGCTTGTTTAAAGAAGTGGAAGCTTCGTCCAGACATGGATTGGAGCAGGGTGGAGAGAGACCCACAAAGCAAAATTAACAGAAGATAAGGTTTGGGGAGCAGATTGCTTGAGCCAGTGTGGTGTAGTGGTTAAGAGCGGTAGTCTCCTAATCTGGGGAACCGGGTTCGCGTCTCTGCTCCTCCACATGCAGCTGCTGGGTGACCTTGGGCTGGTCACACTGCTCTGAAGTCTCTCAGCCCCCCTCACCTCACAGTGTGTTTGTTGTGGGGGAGGAAGGGAAAGGAGAATGTTAGCCGCTTTGAGACTCCTTAAAGGGAGTGAAAGGCGGGATATCAAATCCAAACTCTTCTTCTTCTTCTTCTTCTAACAGATTAGGACAAACAAATAAAAATGTCTTTAAATATATCTGCGGCAGGAAACTAGGCAGGCAGGCAGGTGCGGCAGATAACAAAGCTATGAAAGGATTAACTAAAAGGTGTTGGGGAGATTGCAGAGAAACTCAATTATTTTGTGGGTCTTCACTTGAGAAGATATTGGGCAGTTATTTGTGTGCTGTTGTTTGAAACTTGCTAGGGGCCTATGGCAGGTTTGCAAGTGGACTGGGTATATATTAAATAAACAACAAGAGCATTTGACATCTGCTGAGCCACTCACCTAAGACGATCAGCCTCACCCCACACAGGAAGGTGAATTTCTGAGCCAGAGCTCCAGCACAGTAATACACCCCAGAATCTCTTCCCTGGACGTTGTGTCGGGTCAGATTCACTTGGCTTGGGGTTTTTGCTCCTGGTGTTTGAGTGGTATAAATGTCTGCAATCCTACGCAGTCCCCCTTCATGTTCCTCTTTGTACCAGCTCACTACCGACACAAAAGTCCCTTCTGGAATGTTGCAGCTGATGTTGACAGTGGCGCCAGGAGATGCTGAGAGCCTTGCCAGCGTCTGAGGGATTTCGGTGATCCCCCGTGATCCAGCAGCTGCAACAGGGAAGCAAAGGGATGTGTGGTTGGTCCCATTTGGTTGGTCCCACTAAATAGAAAACCAAGATGACCAACCCATGACTATAAAACATTTATTTTAAAATAGGGTGCATATGACAGACCTGTTTGCTGCTTCCCCCTTTACCTGCCCCTGTCTGGATTGTCACTTGATGGGGTAAGATACAGGATTACTAAACCTCAATAAAAGAATGCACACACAAAAATTGATTTCTGTCAGATGTGTTGAATTTTTCAACTTCCGAAAGTGAGGGGTGCTGAAAAGTTGTAACATAACTTGAGAATGCAAAAGATATTTAGGTTAAATTAATATAATTTAGCTTTGCTTGGTAAGTAAAATAATTGCCAGGCACTTGCAGTTATATTTATTATTATTAATCATTTGCTGCTGCTGCTGTTAATTTAGCATTACTTGACATTTCCAGAAGGAAAAATTAAAATTATCTGGTTTTCTGAAAGCAGTTTATATGCTTCTTCATCAAACGTAGCCTTACCAAGCTAAATGTTGTCCGGTCACAAAAATAATGGCAGATTTGAATTCCACACACACCAAAACATAGTTTTAAAACCCCTCACTGAAGAAATTTGCAAAAATTAAGTTTTACCCCCTAAAATGAGATGCACTGCGGGTGTCACATAGCATCACAAATTTTGTGTTAAGCAATTAGCAACTAATTCCAAGCAGATTTCTTGTGGGGAGCAATTGCCCTGCCAAACAAATGAGCTTAAGAAACTTTATAAACTGAGAGCTGCAAAAAGAAAACCAACCTCCTTTTCCCTCCTTTGGGAAGGAGACATGTCAATCAAGTTCCTGAACCAGGTTCCAAATAAGAAACTTCAAATATTTATTCAATGTGCGCAGAGATAAATATGCTTTACTGATTACTGAAACTGAATCAGTAGATTGTACTATATAGAATTAAATATGTGTTTCTTTTTGCCAAGTTAAAAGAAATGGCACTCATCGTTTAATTGAAGCGCATCTTGCTATTTGTCAAGACTCTGCTGAAGGTTTCGGATGGAAGTTTGTTCAGCTTTCATTTTAATGGGAACCAACCTAATTTGCGCTTCCTGAAAACATAAACAGATGGAAACACAGCATTCCTACAAAATTCACGTTACTCTGAATATTTCAGGGTAGTTCTCCAACCCAAAAGTGTGCAGCTATTAGTGAAAACAATGCGAAAACAAAGCTACGTTATGTTATGGGAAATTGCTTGCAAAAATGCACATATTTTGCAAAATTGTTCACAAATATGCATGTGTTATACAAGGAGGTATATATTATGGGAAATGCTTGTGAAAATGGATAAATATTTCAATACAGCCTTTTAACAAACATTTGCAAATTGATGCAGAGATGTGGCGGAAAGCAGGTTTCTTGGGAAGGGATGACAAACTGAAAGAAGGCAAAACCGAATGGTTTGTCCATTGCTGGTGAAGACAGGCGATTTTACTCATGTTTTTATTCAAAAAACATCCATGCACGCTACAATCCTATAAATATTTACTCAGAAATAAGTTTCACTGTTTTTCAATGCTGCTTTACTTCATAAGAAGGGATCTCAGGAATGCAGTCTTAAAAGCAGAACCAATACAGTGGTACCTCAGGTTACATACGCTTCAGGTTACAGACTCCGCTAACCCAGAAATAGTGCTTCAGGTTAAGAACTTTGCTTCAGGATGAGAACAGAAATCGTGCATCCAGCAGCAGCAGCAGCAGGAGGCCCAATAAACTAACAGTTGCAGCATTCAGGTTAAGAACAGTTTCAGATTAAGATCGGATCTCATTGAATACAGGACTGCAGTACTTTACCCGAGGTACCACTGTATATAAAATCCATCAAAACCTCATCTCACCACGAATTGTTAAACTTATCAGGTTCCAGAAATACTTACTGCGTAGAGAAAGTAGCACGATCCCAAGAAAAGATACAAACATTTCCTGGTTCTGCGCAGTCCTTTGTTGGGCGAGCGCGAAATGTCGGGATTGTGTGACAAATTCCGTGGGAGCGAAGCCGGCGAAATCCAGAGAAGGTTGTTGGAATAGGAATGCTAGATGATTGCTTTTCTCCTCAACCACGAAAGCAGGAACATGTGGACTAGTGCTTTGCTCTCCAGTGCAGCAAACCCAAACCTTCCCCCAATTTTCATCAAAAAAATATATTTATGAAACAGAAAACCATTTGGTGCTCCCAAACACTGACCAACCTGTGCTGCAGAGGCGACCCAAATCTGCCGAATAATAGGGCCGGCTTTTAACGGCACGAGAGATCTTCAGATATGGGACAAAACCTGAGAGCTAAGCTCTGGGATTCAAAATCCGGTGCAGCAAACCCAAATCTTCCCCCAATTTTGATCAAAAAATAGATTTAGTTTTGGGTGCTTCCAAACACCTGCCAATCTGTGCTGCAGAGACAACCCAAATCTGCCTATCAAAACCTGATAGCTAAGCTCTGGGATTCAAAACAGTACCGGGCCATCAAAACTGAGCTACAGTCCTGCTGTCGGTTCGACGTCTCAAACAATTCAGGTTCAGTGGTGGTTCTGTTGAATTCAGGTGGCTGATTCCCCCTCGCTGTCTGCCTGGGAGGCAGACAGTGACCTTTCTCAGTGGCTCCATCCCCACCTTGAACCGCCCACAGGGAGGTGTTTCTTTGCAAAAAGCTAGACCTCTTCCTTGAAGTTGCAGATCAGATGCAGGTTGGGGGTCAGGGAGGGGGGGTGCTTTTAGTGGTGGGGGGAGCGCTACAGCGAGGATGGTTCCAGCTGCACAATCATTCAATAATAATAATAATTTATTATTTGTACCTCGCCCATCTGGCTGGGCTTCCCCAGCCACTCTGGGCGGCTTCCAACCAAGATTAAAAATACATCAAAATGTCACACATTAAAAAAACTTCCCTGAACAGGGCCGCCTTCAGATGTCTTCTAAATGTCAGGTAGTTGTTTATCTCCTTGACATCTGATGGGTCAAAGAATATACACAGCTGAGAGAGGTTGCAAGAGGATGGTACATTTCTGAGAAAGTGGAAGTTGCTTTTTACATCTCTGGAAATTAAAACGTTTGAGATTTTCTAGAAGATGCATAGCATAATTGTATACCATATATCTTGAATTTTTTTTACATTTCATATATTATTTGCTTCAATGGTTCTTATTTCACTTATGTGCATTGTTAATAATAATAATAATAATAATAATAATAATAATAATAATAATACTTTTATTATTTGTATGCCAGCCATCTGACTGGGTTGCCTAAGTACATTGCTTAAAAGGTGGAATTGCTATTAGAAGTAGTGTTTAGCTTTAATCTGGAATTGATAACGTACATACATTTAACTATGGATTCTTTTCTGTTGGGATATACAAATTGCTTAGTGGTTTGTGTTGAAATATGAGGAAACATATAAGTTGAATTAAGGGAGTAAATGAAAGAAAAGTGGAGGATCGTATTTATTTTATTTCTATCAAGCTTTCATAGCCTGACTTTCTGAGCACAGGACAGCTAACAACAAAAATAAAAATGTAAAATATAAAAAATTGAAACGTTTTTTATTTGAGTTTCTACTAAAATGAGGCTGCATTTTAATGTTGTACTTTAATCTTGTTTTTAAGTTGTATTTTAATCTATTGTTTCTATACCTGGTGTTAGCCTCCCTGTGCCCAGTCTTGACTGGGGAAGGCAGGGTATAAATAAAATTTATTATTATTATTATTATTATACGTAAATCCGCCACTGGCCCCTGTGAGAAAAGCATGGTGGACTAGATGGACTCCCTTTGACCTTATTACGTTAAACTTAAGATCGGCAAAACTAAAACCTGAGTGAACCTGAAACTGAGATATTCCCCCATCCTTATCATTCGCTCAGAGAATGAGCCTGAGACAAATGCTGTTTTTCTTCCCGACAACAGTATGTAGCAGCTGGTGACACATATTGGCGCCACTAAACGCAGAAACATTATCGTTCTTACAAAAGACAGCAAAGAATTTCTGTTGTGAACCCACCCTGAGATCTACGGGTGTAGGAGGGTATGCAAATTTATTAAATAATAATAATAAAATAAAGAAATCAGCAGAGAAGGGAAGAGAAAATCAACCTTTGGTATCTCTTCACCCTGGACAGTTCCACCCCAGAGATGGCAACTAAGAACCTGAAACTGGCTGCTTTTTTCCTCCTCCCTCCCAATCCATTTTTCCTTTGGGGTTATGTATTTTTAACTCTTGGGCTCCATGATCACTGCAGATGGTGACAGCAGCCACGAAATTAAAAGATGCCTGCTTCTTGGGAGAAAAGCAATGACAAACCTAGACAGCATCTTAAAAAGCAGAGACATCACCTTGCCAACAAAGGTCCGTATAGTCAAAGCTATGGTTTTCCCAGTAGTGATGTATGGAAGTGAGAGCTGGACCATCAAGAAGGCTGATCACCGAAGAATTGATGCTTTTGAATTCTGGCGCTGGAGGAGACTCTAGAGAGTCCCATGGACTGCAAGAAGATCCAACCTCTCCATTCTGAAGGAAATCAGCCCTGAGTGCTCACTGGAAGGACAGATCCTGAAGCTGAGGCTCCAATACTTGGGCCACCTCATGAGAAGAGAAGACTCCCTGGACAAGACCCTGATGTTGGGAAAGATGGAGGGCGCAAGGAGAAGGGGACGACAGAGGACGAGATGGTGGGACAGTGTTCTCAATGCTACCAGCATGAGTTTGACCAAACTGCGGGAGGCAGTGGAAGACAGGAGTGCCTGGCGTCCTCTGGTCCATGGAGGCATGAAGAGTCGGACATGACTAAACGACTAAACAACAACAACAACATTTTTAACTCCTAAGCCTGAAGGTCAAGACTGATTTGCGTGTGTGTGTGTGATTTGCAAGCCATTCTCTGAACCCTTTTTGGCTGAAGGGAGACATTAAAAAAAAGAGAGAGCTTTAGATTTTTTAAAAAAATGAAAAATCCACTCCTTTGCTCTGCAGAGAGCCTGCTTAATGTTATTTTAGAAGGCAAGGTGAGGTGATGGGTCGCTATTGGGGTTGGGCTGGGATCTGAATGTCCCTGAGGCGTTTGTGGGCATTTCTGACGCAAGTCTATGCACCTCCAAACCTGAGCCGGTTTAAGTTGTATTATTGCGGCTCTCACACATACAGGAGAAGGAAACCGCACAAAGATAGAGGCAGCTTTGGTCAAGATATTTATACTTTTCTGAGCAACAGTGGAAAAAGAAACCCCGAATTGTTTGCCCAGAACAAATAAACAAAAGATAAGGTAGAGAAGAATGAGGTTTCCGTTGCCTACTTCCAAAATCTCCCCAAGCCCTGCATTTGATTACAGAAGAAGGGGCACAAACAAGAGTTGCCAACTTTTCCTGCTGGCAAGGCTCCTCTGCCTTGAACAGCTGTGTGAGAAGCAAAAATTGAACAGTGGGTACTTTGTGCAACACCGCACCTGAGGTTACTTTTAAAATTTATTTTTATTAAAGATTTCTTAGTTTACAAAAAACAACAACAACCCTTCATTGTCTCTTTTTTCAGGCGGTGTTTCCTGCAGATCCTTTTTCATTTGTTGTGAGACATAGTGTTGCATGCAGTGTTAGGTTGGGAAGAAAAGAGGGGGGAAGAGGGGGAACGGTGAGTGGGGTGGGGTGAGGTTTGTGTCAGCATCACTTGTGTGGGTTCTCTTACTACTCGCTACATTTCCTTGGTGGTGAGAGAGGATGGGGGTGGCCTTACGGTCTAGTTCTGAGGTTACGTTTTCCCCTTCTGCTTCTCTGCTCGCCCTGAAGCTGTCGTTAACGGAGAAATCTGAGGGCTCCCTTGGATAAAAAACAAGGACACCAGCCAGGAATACCAGAGCAAAACAGCAGCCAGTAGGCTTGGTCTTTATTGAAGACTGTCACGACAGGACTCCCACCTGCCACACGGTGGAACAAGATGGAAGCCCCAAACAAAAGAGCCCCCAAACTTTTATTAGCTGCTAATCCCCATGTTGGACGCGGGTGGCGCTGTGAGTTAAACCACAGAGCCTAGGACTTGCCGATCAGAAGGTCGGCGGTTCGAATCCCCGTGACAGGGTGAGCTCCCGTTGCTCAGTCCCTGCTCCTGCCAACCTAGCAGTTCGAAAGCACATCAAAGTGCAAATAGATAAATAGGTACCGCTCCAGCGGGAAGGTAAACGGCGTTTCCGTGTGCTGCTCTGGTTCGCCAGAAGCGACTTCGTCATGCTGGCCACATGACCCGGAAGCTGTACGCCGGCTCCCTCAGCCTGTAAAGCAAGATGAGTGCCGCAACCCCAGAGTCGGCCACAACTGGACCTAATGGTCAGGGGTCCTTTTAACTTTACCTTTAATCCCCATGTTACATCCCCCCCAAACTACATCATGGTTACATCATGAAAGGGGAGGTCTGGTGGCAGTAATCTGAGCATCCTGGACCCTGCCCCATGGTTCTCCTTGCCCTCCACCAAACACCCATCAAGTGTAACAAAAGAGATCTTTACATTTCTTTGTTTCCCAGCCAAGTTAATCACACCCTTTTGTCTTCATCTGGGTTTGTTATTTCTGGAATGGCTACCTGTCTGGCACTCAGGTATCAGGATGCCAGGGATTATCACTCAGGCAGAGGGGCTGCTGAGCTCACATGTCTATATGGATTTCTGAAGTTTTCCCACTGAGCCAGTACAGAGATACATTTATCAGCGAATTCTTACATTTGGTATCGTGCAGCAAAGGCCCTTTGAATAGATAGGAAGAAACTGTGATGAAGTGTTTTGTGGGGACAAGTCACAAAAGTGATTGTGCTGGTTTTGGTAGTGGGCTGCATGTGCATGATATCTGCTGGAAGGGCACCCCCCCCACCCTATACATAAATTTCTGCAACACTGTTCAAGGCGCAGGAGCCTTGTGAGGGGAAGTTGGCCTTCAGGTGGCCTGATGCAAAAGGGGACTGGATTGCATGCTTCTAATCATAGGTAGGCAAACCAAGGCCCGGGGGCTGGATCCGGCCCAATCGCCTTCTAAATTAGTGTGTTTTTACATGAGTAGAATGTGTGCTTTTATTTAAAATGCATCTCCGGGTTATTTGTGGGGCATAGGAATTCGTTCATTTCCCCCCTCCCCCCATAAGATATAGTCCAGCCCCCCACAAGGTCTGAGGGACAGTGGATTGGCCCCCTGCTGAAAAAGTTTGCTGAACCCTGGACTCTAACTGCAGAAGAATACCCTCCAACATTTATCTGACGAAAACAGGGACGTCCCATTCCATAATGATAATTTTACTATTTATACCCCCCACATCTTACTGGGTTGCCCCAGCCATTCTGGGCAGCTTCCAACATACATAAAAACATGATAAACCCATATTTACAGTGGTACCTCGGGTTACAGACGCTTCAGGTTACAGACTCAGAAACCCAGAAATAGTACCTCTTGTAAAGAACTTTGCTTCAGGATAAGAACAGAAATCATGCTCCGGCGGTGTGGCAGCAGTAGGAAGCCCCATTAGCTAAAGTGGTGCTTCAGGTTAAGAACAGTTTCAGGTTAAGAACGGACCTCCAGAACAAATTAAGTTTTTAACCCGAGGTACCACTGTACTGTTTTAAAAAACCCTTCCCTATACAGGATTGTCTTCAGAGGTCAGATAACTCCATACCCTCCAACACTTCTCCGTTGAAAATAGGGATGCCCTAATGAAAAGCGGGACATTCTGTGATCAAATCAGAAACTGTGATGGCTTCTGTAAATCCAGGACTGTCCCTGGAAAATAGGGACACTTGGAGGGTCTGCAGAAGAGACGAGCTTCATCACACTTTTTGCCATCCCCAGGGCTCCAGGAAATGTCACACTACTCCTTTCTCGCTTCCTTCATTTATAACACTATTAAATCAGGGCTTCCCAAACTTTTTGGAGTCACATCCCCCTTGGAGGAGGAATGATGGCTGGAAGGCGCACAGACAGAAGAAACGCCATGGTGCATCTGTAGCAACACAACCGGACGCCTTCATCTGCCCCAGCTGCAACAAAACATGTCTCTCCCCTATCAGTCTCTACAGCCACAGAAGGCGCTGTAACTTTCCGATGGTTTGGCTTCACCTGCAAAGGCACACTCCTCCGTGGTCTCCCAAGATAGACAGATGCCAAAGGCAACAAGAGGATTTAGAAAGATAGAGCCACAGGCTTACAATCTATTCCAGCCATCCAGATGTTGTTCAGCTCCCCAACTGATGACATGGCCAATTGGCCAGAGATGATAATAGGAGCGAGCTATAGTTGTCATCAGGACACAGGTGGCGCTGTGGTCTAAACCACTGAGCCTCTTGGGCTTGCTGATCGGAAGGTCGGCGGTTCGAATCCCTGCGACGGGGTGAGCTCCCGTTGCTCAGTCCCTGCTCCTGCCAACCTAGCAGTTCGAAAGCACATCAAAATGCAAGTAGATAAATAGGTACCGCTCTGGCAGGAAGGTAAATGGCATTTCCGTGCGCTGCTCTGGTTCACCAGAAGCGGCTTAGTCATGCTGGCCACATGACCTGGAAAAACTGTCTGCGGACAAACGCCGGCTCCCTCAGCCTGTAAAGCGAGATGAGCGCCGCAACCCCAGTCATTCGCTACTGGACTTAACTGTCAGGGGTCCTTTACCTTTACCTTATAGTTGCCATCATCTGAGATGCCCACCCCTGATTCAGACTAACTTGCCAGCCTGGCAAAACTCATGAGGACTAGCCCCATGCCCAAAATCATTTGGGCTAGGTTTACCTAGAAAAGCACAGGAGTGTGTTTGTTATCTGATGGCCTTTTTCTTCTGTCTCCCCCCCCCCCCAAGCTGAAAACAGGAAATCAGGCTTCTAACTTGCCATTTCAGAGCTATATTTAGGCTGAAGTTGTCCATCTATGCGGTTGAAACAGACTGCAGGTACATTTGAGGTCCTGCGCCTCAAACCAAATAGAGGCACCCTTGATAAATGCCACGCTTCTGCCTGGGACAACCTTTCTATTCTTTGGGTCTTGGGTTGTGTTTGTGTCTTTTTACTTGTTAAGGTTGGATAAAATAAGTTAGAATCCTGAAATAATAACCTATAATGGAACATATATTGGGAGAAAGGCGATGGCAAACCTAGACAGCATCTTAAAAAGCAGAGACACCACCTTGCCAACAAAGGTCCGTATAGTTCAAGCTCTGGTTTTCTCAGTAGTGATGTATGGAAGTGAGAGCTGGACCATAAAGAAGGCTGATCGCTGAAGAATGGATGCTTTTGAATTCTGGTGCTGGAGGAGACTCTTGAGAGTCCCATGGAATGCAAGAAGATCCAACCTCTCCATTCTGAAGGAAATCAGCCCTGAGTGCTCACTGGAAGGACAGATCCTGAAGCTGAGGCTCCAAGACTTTGGCCACCTCATGAGAAGAGAAGACTCCCTGGAAAAGACCCTGATGTTGGGAAAGATGGAGGGCACAAGGAGAAGGGGATGACAGAGGACGAGATGGTGGGACAGTGTTCTCAATGCTACCAGCAGGAGTTTGACCAAACTGCGGGAGGCAGTGGAGGACAGGAGTGCCTGGCGTGCTCTGGTCCAGGGGGTCACGAAGAGGCGGACACGACTGAACGACTAAACAACAACAACAAATGGAACATAAATAATAATGAATAAAATACATTGAGCAATTATAATAGACATGTAAATATGCAGATAATTTATAATGCCAGGTAAGTCGAAAGCCTTTCCTTTCCACTGCTGAATTCATGGAGCGCATCTCATTTTTGCCCCATGCCCAAGCGTCACATTTGTCTGCTTGCACACATGCACACATTCAGGATTTGCCAAGAAAGAAAGAAAGAAAGAAAGAAAGAAAGAAAGAAAGAAAGAAAGAAAGAAAGAATCATTTTAAAGAGACTGATCTTGGATAGGGAGGAAGCGCCTTCGTGACTTCCTGGGTGTTAGCCAATTGGTGCTGTTCTCATCCAAGGGCCACATCAAACTTGAAAAACCAGCTCATTTCCCTCTAAAGAAACATGGGTGTGCTGGGGAGAGGAGCAGTTCCCACTGCTCCAGAAATGTTCTATCCAACGTCATTCTGGAACGTGTCCAGAAGAGGACGACAGAGATGCTCAAGGGTCTGGAAACCAAGCCTTATGAGGAACGGTTGAGGAGAGATAGGATAGCCATCTTCAAATATCTCAAGGGCTGTCACACGGAAGAGGGAATAAACTTGTTTTCTCCTGCGCTGGAGGGTAGGACTCGACCCAACAGCTTCAAGTTACAGGAAAGGAGATTTCGATTAAACCTCAGGAAAAGTTGATCGGCAGAGGAATGGTCTCCCTAGGGAGGTTGTGGGCTCTCCTTACTTGAAGGTTTGCATTGGCTCCCAGGACGTTTCCGAGCACAATTCAAAGTGTTGGTGTTGACCTTGAAAGCCCTAAACAGCCTCGGTCCAGTATACCTGAAGGAGCGTCTCCACCCCCATCGTTCAGCCCAGACACTGAGGTCCAGTGCCAAGGGCCTTCTGGCGGTTCCCTCATTGCGAGAAGTCAAGTTACAGGGAGCCAGGCAGAGGGCCTTCTTGGTAGTGGCACCCGCCCTGTGGAACGCCCTCCCACCAGATGTGAAGGAAATAAGCAGCTATCCTATCTTTAAAAGAAATCTGAAGGCAGCCCTGTTCAGGGAAGTTTTTAATATTTAACGCTGTATTGTTTTTAACACTTGATTGGGAGCCGCCCAGAGTGGCTGGGGAAACTCAGCCAGATGGGCGGGGTATAAATAATAAATTTATTATTATTATTATTATTTTAAAGCAGAGTTTGGATGGCCATCTGTCATGGATGCTTTCAGTGAGATTCCTGCATTGTAGGGGGTTGGACTAGATGTGGTTCCTTCCTACTCTACAATTCTATGCTTCTATGAGAGGGCAAGATTCCAGTCCTCATGGTTCCAATCAAAGCACTGGGTTAGGCAGGAGCAGTGGAAGCAGACCATTGTCCCACGTAGCTCAGCACTATCTACACTGACTGGCAGCATCTCCCCAGGATTTCGAGGAAGGAGACATCCTGTGCACAAAGCAGGTGCTCTAACCACTGTGAACTACAGCCCTTCCCCACTACGTAGGTGATGGTTTTTTGTAGCTCGATTCTATTTTGGAAGGTGATTGCATCACACCCTAATTATCAGGCGAGGAGTTTTAAGGGACCTAAAAGGGAAAGAACAGATGAATGAGTTTCCTGCTGGAACTCGTCTCAGTCGCAGAGAATACCAAAAATGTCCCAAAGTGTTCTATGCGCCAGAGGAAATGTCTGAGGAAGGATACTGTTTGGACTATGTGTCTGCAGCTGCCACTTTGAGAGGGACGGCCGTGCATTTAGAAAAGGGGAAAGAACCTCAATGTACGATAATAACGGAAGGAAACTTTACAAACCCATGGCTGGCAGCCAAAGGAGGCTGGGGACGCGTCTTCTAAAGAGCAGTTCCTCACTTTCATCCCCATCTGACAAGCATTTTGTTGTCAAAGCATCCTGAAACCCCAGCGCCCAACTGGACCCTTCCCCAAAAACTTGGACACATGCCTATGGCGGCTGTTTTGATCCCTGCCTCTAAGCGATCTTCCCTTGCCTCAGCCAAAAGGGGTCTTTGCGTTGCCCATCACTAGCCATCCAAATCCTGTTCCTTCTCCTGCCTCCTCTGCTGTTGTGGCAAATAAATAGGATAAAATGTGGGCTTAGCATCTAGCCAGAGAATTGTAGAGTCGGAAGGGACCCTGAGGGTCATCTGGCAAAGCAGGAATCACAGCTGGAGAATTCCTGGCAGGCGGCCACCAAACTTCTGCTTAAAAATCTCCAAGGAAGGCGAGTCTGCCGCCTCCTGACAGAGTCCATTCCACTGGCAAACAGCTCTTGGTATCAGAAAGTTCTTCCTAGGTGACCGTGACGCCACGTGACAGGAATGGCCAATGGCTTTCTCATGGAAGTATGTGTTGATTTTGTGGAGTCTGCTGTGAATGCAGAAAAAGGAGGTAATCCCATAAAAAAGATGGAAGATCATTGAGGGGTCTTTCTAGGCCAGGACACCTCTGGGTGCTGGCCGCCTTGAACTGTGTGCCAACCTCATGGAAGGAGGAACAACACCTACTATAGGCCTTTTGCAAGTGGTGAAGCAGTGTATAAGGTAAAGGTAAAGGGACCCCTGACCATTAGGTCCAGTCGTGGCCGACTCTGGGGTTGCGGCGCTCATCTCGCTTTATTGGCCAAGGGAGCCGGCGTACAGCTTCCGGGTCATGTGGCCAGCATGACTAAGCCACTTCTGGCGAACCAGAGCAGTGCACGGAAACGCCGTTTACCTTCCTGCCAGAGAGGTACCTATTTATCTACTTGTACTTTGACGTGCTTTTGAACTGCTAGGTTGGCAGGAGCAGGGACCGAGCAACGGGAGCTCACCCTGTCGCGGCGATTCGAACCACCAACCTTCTGATCAGCAAGCCCTGGGCTATGTGGTTTAACCCACAGTGCTATCCGCGTCCCTGAAGCAGTGTATAAGGGTGGCTGTATTTGTGATGATCCACCCCCGTGGGGGGGGGGGATTTCCTCTATTCTGACCGAGAAGTTGAGGTGATGAAGGCAGACATCCGACTTGCCAAGCAACATGGGGCTGATGGGTTGGTGTTTGGAGCCTTGACTGAGGATGGACGTGTGGATACAGAGCTCTGCACAGCACTGCTGGCTGCTTCCCGCCCTCTGCCAGTCACCTTCCACAGAGCTTTTGACATGGTCTATGACCCTTTGGCGCGGCGGGGTGAGCTCCTGTCTTTCGGTCCCAGCTCCTGCCCACCTAGCAGTTTGAAAGCACCCTTAAGTGCAAGTAGATAAATAGGTACCGCTTTATAGCGGGAAGGTAAACGGCGTTTCCGTGTGCTGCGCTGGTGCTGGCTCGCCAGAGCAGCTTCGTCACGCTGGCCACGTGACCCGGAAGTGTCTCCAGACAGCGCTGGCCCCCGGCCTCTTAAGTGAGATGGGCGCACAACCCTAGAGTCGGACACGACTGGCCCGTATGGGCAGGGGTACCTTTACCTTTATGACCCTTTGGCAGCCTTGGAAATGCTAATATCAATAGGCTTTGAACGGGTCCTGACTAGTGGCTGTGACAGCTCTGTTCTAGAGGGGCCGCCCTTGATAAAACGACTGACAGAACAGGCTAAGGGAAGGATTGTTGTGGTGCCAGAAACCCTTACACTACCACTGGGGCCTACCTCTGCACACCTGAATATTCCATCAAGGTGGCCGATGTGGCTAAAGTGAGGACCCTGAATGCAATTGCAAAGAATATCCTGTAGAACAAGCTACTGTGAGCCAGGAAGACCCAGAGCCCTGTGACCTGCGGTAGACATAGCATAGGTATGACCTGCATAGACATAGACATTTCAACAGCATCCTTGCCAGCACTTAAAGGACATGTGTCAATCAAATGAAGAAGCCTCTGCTTGTTTTTCTCCTATTCCCACTTGCTCCACAGCCTTTTTTCCTCAGATGTCGTAATGCCGTTTTGTCTGTGGAGAGCAAATGATGGGGAGGGGCTTAATTAAAGGGGCACTCGCCATCGGGCAACACTCTCCCTGTTAAGGTCTCTTCTCAAATAAAACCTGAAGCCACTAAAAAAAAGAGAGAAAGTTCTTCCTGATGTTTAGTCGGATTCTATTTCTTGCAACTTGAAGCCATGGGTTCAAGTCTTCCCCTCTGGAGCAGGAGAAAATAAGCTGGCTCCTTCTTCCATTTAACAGCCCTTGAGATATTCGAAAATGGCTATCCTATCTCCTCTCAGTCTCCTGTTTTCCAGGCTAAACATACCCAGCTTCTTCAACCATGTTGTAAGAATTTTGAGGTCTCAAATATAGAATAAATATTCATAAATGCACACATATCTAAACAGATGAACCATGTGTCTGAAATAGTAAGGGAGAGCAATCCTGAAGCCATTTTGTCTCTTCCCATGACCTCAAATATTCCTCTGCTGTAAGGGAGGCAAATGGGGAAAGCCTTCCCATGGTCTTTTTGCTTGCAAATCCTGTCTTAAGGGTGCATTTGCATACGACTAGGGTGAGCCTGTGAACTGGATTCAGGAATTAAGAGTTAACCATCACAAAAGAATGGCCAGGCTGCCCAGGTAATGCAACCAGTGACCATTATCAGGTATCCTGGCAGACAGAATTTCTGCTGTGGACCGCCTCCTTCTGTGATGTATGTATGATGTTTCAGGGCGGTGGTCTTGGGCTCCAGGGTGGGCAATTTCAAAAGCCTATATAAGAGCTTGCACATCGTTGTTCTGGGTGCCTCTCCTCCCTCCCTGCATAGGGTAAGCGGGGGACCCTGTTGCAACAGTTTAATAAAGATCAGGCTTACTAGCTACTTTGCTTCTCAATATTCTCTTGTTGGCCTCTGTTCTTTTCTCCTACTGATAGGGAACTCACTTAAGGACTCTATACGGGCTCTTGGATAACCCATAAGGGAGAAAGGGCAGATTTTGTTTACTTCAGGCTATTGGCTTGATCTAGCAGGCTCTTCTTATGTTCTTATGCTCCACACTGCAGGGCAGGAAGTTTCAGGAGACAGGGCTGCTTTTAACAGGATTTGTTTCTTAGCAGGAAGAAAAGGTTAGAGACTTATAGGGCGCCTCTCCCCGATCTAATTCTTCTTTGCTCACAACTTCTATATGAGTAAGGTTGGGGTTAAGAGAGGGGTGGGATAAAGGAAGCACCTAGGTCCTAGACGAAGGGATGCGGGTGGCGCTGTGGTCTAAACTACAGAGCCTAGGGCTCGCCGATTGGAAGGTCGGCAGTTCGAATCCCTGTGACGGGGTGAGCTCCTGTTGCTCGGACCCTGCTCCTGCCCACCTAGCAGTTCAAAAGCACGTCAAGTGCAAGTAGATAAATAGGTACTGCTCTTGCAGGAAGGTAAATGGTGTTTCCGTGCGCTGCTCTGGTTCGCCAGAAGCGGCTTAGTCATGCTGGCCACAGAAGCTGTCTGCAGACAAACGCCGGCTCCCTTGGCCTATAGAGCGAGATGAGCGTGCAACCCCAGAGTTGTCCGTGACTGGACCTAATGGTCAGGGGTCCCTTTAAGTCCTATACAGATAGTGCTGGTCTTAACAGCACCAGATGCCCCCACCTCCAAAGGAAACAGCCCCTCCCATCTCCAAAAAATAAAGCCAGCTACAAAACTTCCAAAACTGATGACTCTGCAAACTGTGAAATTAATTATCTCAGCCTGTATCCAAAAAGATGGTATTTGCTCAGCCCCAAGGTGGCTGTCATGGAACGATAGCAAAAAACGTTGAATTGCTCTCAGACAGGTCTAGTTAGACAGCTCTGGCATAGTAAGAGATGCCATTCAGACTTCAGATGGTTTAAGAATATACAATTTCCACCTGCACCGGAAACCACACAGCTGTGCAGTTGTCACCCAAAATATCCAGATGGTACCAAGTCTATCGCTGCACTGCAGGGGGTTGGACTAGATGACCCCTGGGTCCCCTAAGTTGGAGAAGTCAGGTGATGGGTGCAAAATTTCTGGGCTGTCCAACCTTTGCAGTGCAGATATATTGGAGGAAGAGCAATCATCTTCACTCTGGGGTGTTATATACTTTTGAAAACTACTTTAAAAAAACAACCCCACGTTATCCAAAAATGCAAGTTATGAATAACGTTTCAATTGCCATAACAAATAGAAAGGAAGAATAAAATAAGCAAACGCCGCCCCTGCAAACCTTAAGTAAATCTTTATAAATTGATTCCATTTCGCCCAGCCTCCTACCCCTTCCCATACTTTGGATATTCCATTACAATATCCTCTCCAACCATTGACGATATTGCCCATTTACTGGACCTGAAGTATTCCCCACCCCCCTTTTTAAAGTAAAATAAATATATCTGGGAATAATGAAATAAAGCTGAATGTTGGAAGGTTCAGGATAGGTAAAAGTCATTCTCCATACAGCGCATGGTTAAACTCTGAAGCTTGCTGCCCCAGGAGGTAGCTGTGGCCAGGGCCGTCTTTAGGATATGTGCCGCCGGGGTGCAAAGATTCGCCCAGCGCCCCCAAATTTAGATTTGCCCCCAAATAAACTTTTTTATAGGGACGCCGGTGGTGCTGTGGGTTAAACCACAGAGCCTAGGGCTTGCCGATCAGAAGGTCGGTGGTTCGAATCCCCACAACGGGGTGAGCTCCTGTTGCTCGGTCCCTCCTCCTGCCAAGCTAGCAGTTCAAAAGCACGTCAAAGTGCAAGTAGATAAATAGGTACCGCTCCGGCAGGAAGGTAAATGGTGTTTCCGTGCGCTGCTCTGGTTCGCCAGAAGCGGCTTAGTCATGCTGGCCACATGACCCGGAAGCTGTACGCCGGCTCCCTCGGCCAATAAAGCGAGATGAGCACCGCAACCCCAGAGTCGGCCACGACTGGACCTAACGGTCAGGGGTCCCTTTACCTTTACTAGGAGAAACATCAGTCGTGTCAAAGGTGCCGCTGACTCACCAAGCTGCCGCATAGCAGCTCAATACAATACGTAACATAATATTTTGATGTAAGAGTTAATTTTGCGTGGACGCTGCCATTGAGAATGACAAGCGCCGCCGCTGGCGCAGCGCATCTTTGATAAACGAGCGCAGAAAGTCAAAAGTCCTTTAGTGAAACAGTAGGTATACATTTCGGCCAAGCCTCTTCTAATGCTCCTAAATTGCTTTAGTTTTCTTGGACCACATATGCAGATACCCACAATTTCACTGCATGCTTTCAGGTGAAATAAAGATTTTGATCGACATTAACCACTATGTTCTGCATGCATTCGTTGTGACGCATTCAGTTATTCTGGGACAGCCCCTGTTTTCAACTTTGAAAGTCAAAGGCAGTGGTTGTTCCATGAAGACTACATTTTAAAAGCATAATATTTCTGTGCAGCTGAAGGAAGCAAAGTACCTCCCTTTGCTAAGCAGCTAGGAAGTACCCAGAAATGAGAGAGATGTTTCTTCTCCACTATCTCAGTGATCTGCATATGAAGAGGAACTGCAGTTGATGAGTCAGACAGACAGAAAGAGCACTGTGAGGATATCAGAAGAGCTTGGCTGCTGCAGGATCAGGCCAAAGGGGGCCCATCGTAGCCCAGTGTCTTCTTCTCACAGTTGCTAACCAGATGCTCCAATGGGAAGCCTTGTTAATGGAAAAATCCGAGGGCTCCCTTGGACAAAAAACAAAGACACCAACCAGGATTATTAGGAGCAAAACAGCAGCCAGTAGGCTTGGCCTTTATTGATCTGTTGCAACAGAGTGCTCCCCTCACCCGCAGGAGAGAGGAGGGACCAGAAAAATGGCGTGCAAGGCCTTATAAAGACTTTTGAAACTGCCACCCTGTAGATCAAGACCACCCCCAGAAACATCATACATACATCACAGAAGGGGTGTAACCTAAGACCACCCCTCAGATACATCACACCTACATCACAGAAAAGGCGGTCTACAACAGAAATTTGAATGTTGTTTTTCTCCTGTTGTTTATCTCCTGTCTGGCAGGTTACCTGATTGGATTGCCTGGGGAGCCTGGCCAGTCTTTTGTAATGATAAATCCTTAGTTCCTGGGCCAGGTCACAGGCTCACACCCTATTCAAACACAGACATACCCTTAAGACAGGATTTGTGAAGGAAAAGACAATGGGGAGGCTTTTCCAGTTTGACCTCGCAGAGAAAACATTTGCTCAGTTTAGGAATCAAAATGGTTCCAGGTTGGCCTTCCTGTGCTGATCTATGTATGTGCTTATGAACATTACCATATATCTAAGACCATAAAATTCCTATCACAGCCTGAAAACAAGACCTCAGTGCAAAAGCAGCACAGCTCTCTACTCAGAGTTCCCAGTTGCTGGAGAGGGCAGAAGGGTAATAATAAATAATAATAATAATAATAATAATAATAATAATAATAATAATTTTTTATTATTTGTACCCCGCCCATCTGGCTGGGTTTCCCCAGCCACTCTGGGCAGCTTCCAACAAAAGACCAAAAATACACTAAGATGTCACGCATTAAAAACTTCCCTGAACAGGGCTGCCTTCAGATGTCTTCTGAATCTCAGGTAGTTGCTTATCTCTTTGACATCTGACAGGAGGGCGTTCCACAGGGCGGGTGCCACTACCGAGAAGGCCCTCTGCCTGGTTCCATGTAGCTTTGCTTCTCACAATGAGGGAACCACCAGAAGGCCCTCGGCGCTGGACCTCAGCATCTGGGCAGAACAATGGGGGTGGAGACGCTCCAGGTATACTGGGCTGAGGCCGTTTAGGGCTTTGAAGCGCTCAGATCCTGCTTGCAGATTTCTCCTGGGGGTCCCTGGGTTGGCCACTGCGAGGACACAGTGCTGGAGAAGATGGGCCATTGGCATGATCCATCATGTCTCTTCTTATGTTCTTGGGTAACACAGGCAGCAGGACTGTCAAATGGCATGGTCTCCAATCTGGAAGTGAGCAAAATGTGTATTCTTCATTAGCTGGCTTACTTCATTTCCTGGAAGGGGGAAAAAGAAGAAGAGGAGAAGGATTTCACTTCCTCCAAGAAGCCTCTAACTCCTGCAGGTGTTTTCTGCTTTAGCAATCAGCCTCTTCCTTAAACAATGAAACTATGTCATACCTAGTTCCGGACAGACAGCAGCTGAATTATCCAGACCAAACACTTAAGAGCAAACAACACACACACACACACCAAGTTTCCTCTCCCTTTTCCAGAAATCTGAATCACGCAGCAACAAACACAAGGAGCATGTTTGTGGATCGGGCCGCTGATAGCATGGATTTCATTCCATCTTGATCAGCAGCCAGTGGGTACAGCAGTGAACAGAGATAAGATTTCCCTGGGTGCTCTGCATCCATTCGCTCAGAGGTAGACTGCTGCTGTACATGGAGGTTTCATTTAGACTGGGCATGGGGGAACTTTTGGCTCTCCAGACGGGACTGGTCTACAACTCTCAGCAGCCTATATGCCACCCATGCTCAGAGACCTGCACTGGCTGCCGATTTGCTTCCCGGCCAAGTTCAAGGTGTTACAGTTCGAATATTAAAGCCCTTAAGAACTTTGGATGAATGTGCATGCAATGCCCTAAAAGAAAATGTGATGAAAATGATGTATAGATGGTATATAACACCTGTCAAGTTAGCGAAAATGTATAAAGTCAGTAATAAATGTTGGAAATGTAAACAAAAAGAGGGAACATTTTATCACATGTGGTGGGAATGTAAAAAGGTGAAATGCTTCTAGGAGATGATATATAATGAGATGAAAAAAATGTTGAAATATACATTCATAAAGAAACCAGAAGCATTTTTACTGGGCATTGTGGGGAGTGATATAAATAGAAAGGAATGTAAGCTCTTCTTATATGAAATAACAGCAGCAAGAATATTACTGGCCCAAAAATGGAAGCAAGAAGAATTACCGATGATTGAAGAATGGAGAATGAAGTTAATGGACTATGCAGAACTAGATAAACTATCAGGAAGGATTCGAAACCGGCGGGACCAGAAATTCACGGAAGACTGGAGTAAATTTAAGGACTACTTGAAAAGTATTTGTGAAGATCAGACAACATTTGTAGGTTTGCAAGAAGTTTTGTGAGGAGTATTATTGGAAGTATTGCAAAAATGGAGAAGGGGAAGGATGATTTCTTAAGAGATGTAAAGGCAATATAAAGTTAAGAAATGCATAAGAAGTGGTTAAAACGGTGGATCATCAGAGGTGCTGATGGAAGTCTAAAAAGATTGTATAAGTGATAAGTTTTGTGGTACATTTTATAATTTATATGTTAAAATCAATTAAAAAAAAAAGAGCTTGGGATGAATGTACCTGCAAGATCGCCTTAGACAATATTCACCCATTAGGCCGCTTCGGCCTATTGGCAGAATTGGCAATGTTACAGTTGCCTCATAATACTTATTCCTCATTTGTAAGAAATTGATGCGTTAGTGTGGCAACATTTTGAAACACACCAAGATTGCGCATAGTCAAAACACTTTGGGTCTGATGGCGGTTGGGATGGCGAAAGTCATTTTTCCTGGAATACTGACCCCTTTTTAATTAAAAATTATTATTTTCCCCCACACACGTAAAGAGGAATACGCACAAGTTAAATGTGCGTATAAGTTGCGGGCTTACTGTATTTTTAAACCCTTAAAAAGCCGGCAATAAACACCAGATTTAAACACATGCTGACGTTCTGCATGTCTGGACAGACTTTGCCTTAACAAATATGCTTTTTATTGTGTGCCGAGAAGATTAGAGTTGCCAGATATCAAGAGGCAGGGAGATGCTGGAACGTTGACCCCATGTGAGTTGCAGGCTTGCTGGAATTTGCTTTATTGCTTCGCTGTTTGCTAAACCGCTTTGAGGTTTCCTTTCGTTTTATTAAATCCATAGCAAATAAGACGCACGGAGTATTCCAACGATTCGGGAAAAGAGGCGTTGTTTTGGGGGTTTTTTTTACAACCAAGTGCTGCAAAAATCTTCATAAAATAAACAAGTGTGTACAATTTTCAACTCTGGCTGTTGGGCCAATGCTCCGAATTGGAGGTTGGGCGAGATTGAACCAGCCCTGCAAAATTCCCCAGAACCCAAATTTAGTTGCAGTTTCTGTTCTTTCTCCAAAGGCCTCCCCACCCTCCTCCTCCTCTGTGTGCGCTGAGATCCACCTTCGCTTTCAGTTTAACTGAGCTGAGCTGCATTCCTGAGGTCTGTCGCTTGTGGCTTCTTCTTGAATTCCCTCCAGACATGTAAGTACCGCTCCCTTTTGACGTCTATCAGGTGGGCTTGCTGTATTGCCAGGGGCAACCGCAAGAGGTTTCCTGCCCCTCCCAGAAAACATCCCACCCACTATACAGTGGTACCTCGGGTTACGGACGCTTCAGGTTACAGACGCTTCAGGTTACAGACTCCGCTAACCCAGAAATAGTGCTTCAGGTTAAGAACTTTGCTTCAGGTTGAGAACAGAAATCGTGTGGCAGCGGCATGGCAGCAGCAGGAGGCCCCATTAGCTAAAGTGGTGCTTCAGGTTAAGAACAGTTTCAGGTTAAGAACGGACCTCCAGAACGAATTCAGTTCTTAACCCAAGGTACCACTGTACTAGCATAAAGGCTCATAAGAACATAAGATCCAGAGTCTGCTCATAACCTCCAGCATTTCTCTGATGAAAACAGGTTCGTTGCAAGGGGAAAAGCGGGATATTCCAGGGTCAAATCAGAAACTGGGATGGCTTCTGTAAATCCTGGAGAATAGGGACACCTGGAGGGTTTTCTGGATCATCCTAATGGCTCGCTTAGCCCAGCATCTGTTCTCAAGTGGCGAACCGGGTGCCTGTGCAAATCCAACAAGCAGGACCCGAACATTGCGATTCAGAAGCGTTCTTGCCTCTGATGGTGGAGGCAGAGCACAGCCGTTGTGGCCAGTGGCCCTCAATAGCTTTTGCTTCCATGGATCTGTCCAATCCTCTTATGAAACCGTAAGAACAAGGTCAGAACCCATAAACGAAACACAACAGGGCCGCCCAGTCAAACTGTACATTGGGAGACCCAGGATGGGCAAAAAGAAAAGGCTTGTTCAAATTACGATAAATTCAACAGTGTAAATAAGTTCTGATGGATGTAACAATGGATTACTGAGCGGTTTAGTTAGTTCATGTAAAATATGCAGGGATGTATGGTATGCAAAATGAACCACGGAAAAGAAAAGAAGGGAAATCATTGATTTAAAGTTGTTTAAATGAAATGTAAATTATAAAGCGTTAAATATTAAAAACTTCCCTGAACAGGGCTGCCTTCAGATGTCTTTTAAAAGTAAAATAGTTGCTTATTGCCTTGACATCTGATGGGAGGGCATTCCACAGGGCGGGCGCCACTACCGAGAAGGCCCTCTGCCTGGTTCCCTGTAACTTGGCTTCTCGCAGTGAGGGAACCGCCAGAAGGCCCTCGGCGCTGGACCTCAGTGTCCGGGCAGAACGATGGGGGTGGAGATGCTCCTTCAGGTCTACTGGGACGAGGCCGTTTAGGGCTTTAAAGGTCAGCACCAACACTTTGAATTGTGCTCAGAAACGTACTGGCTATTAATGGCTACTAGCAACAATGGCTATGTGCTATTCCTCCCGTGTTGAAGGCAACATGCTTCTGTATACAAGACACAGCAGAGTTTAATGGCTCTCAGAGGATGGTGCCCGGTTGCCACTGTGTGTGAGTCTCTGCTCCAGGGCTCGCCTCTCCTCTCCTGGGATTGAGGCTGCAGAAGCAGGGGTGGCCAAACAATATCAAATTTGAGATTCACACAGAGAGAAGGCAGGCAGGCTTCTCTGAGGGAGAGAGCACTCAAGACCCCCTCAAAAATGAATTTAACTCAGCACCGCAGCCACAAAAACCCGCTGGGGAATAACCAACTCAGCCCGCACCCCATAGAGGGAAACAAAACTCCTCTGGAAAACCTATAAAGGAAGTAATGAAGATATCAAAACGTACTCGGGCTCAACCAACAGCTTCATCCATTTGACCTTTGCAATTTCCTGTTTCACCCTTAAACTTTGCTTCCTAAAGAAAAGAAGAAATCGTATAACTTTTGATCACCATTATACATAAGGGCATAAGAAATCTGCCTTATGCCCAGCCAGAGCATTGGTCCATATAGCTTAGTGTTGTCTACACTGACTGGCAGAAACTGGACTACAGCTTCCATTATCCCTGACCACGTTTGGGGCCAGGAATGCTCACAAATATCAGCTACTAGAAACCCCAGGATGAGAGAGTGCTCTTGGGCCTGATTCCTGCTTGTGGGTTTCCCTTTGGGGCACCCGGGTGGCTCATAGCTGTCAACCGTCCCTTATTTGGCGGGAAACTCCCTTATCCCAGCGCCGTGTCCCGCTGCTGTCCCTTATTGATGATGTCCCTTAAATTTCCCGGGTTTCAAAGGAAGCAGCTCCCCTCCCTCCCTGCCGGCCAGGGAGGAAGGAGGCTCCAACTGTGTTGCTTGGCTGCGTTGCTCACCCAATAAGGAGTCTAAGAACGACTGGGGGGTGGAGCTTGCATGCCTCGTGCCGATCAAATCGGCCGCGTTGCCTGGGGACTCGCCTTTGCTCAGCGCTTCCCAGTGGAGAGGTGACGGTGGTTTCCCTTGCTGCGTCCCCTTTGCCGGGTTGCTGCGCTGTGGGAACCACCGCTTGAGGCTTCATTTGGCTTCTGGCTGGGCTTTCTGCCTTTGGCTCAGAAGTTGAACATACCTGTGCCCGGAAAATCCCTTATTTTGGCTGCTGATCCCTTATTTTTGAGGCTGCTGGTCCCTTATTTTCAAATCTGTAAGTTGACAGCTATGGGGTGGCTACTGTGAGTACAGGATGCTAGACTGGATGGGCTCCCTTTGGGCCTGGTCCAGCAGCCAAGCTCTTCTGATGTTCTTATGAGCCACACTGACTCCTGGAGCTGATGGGATTTGGAGTCCATCAACATCTAGGGCCTAAAGTTTTCTCTTTCCATGGAATAATCCCTAAGCATTGGGCTAGAAATCCATTAAAGCAATAGGAATACTTATAAAATGTTGCACCTGCTAATCAAGACGATTCCTTCTGCAGAAATAAATAAGCAAAGTTTCAATGTATTGAACCCGTCAGGTCCCAGCATGGGTGACAACAATTTAAGATTCCCTATTAAAAGCAGTCGATAGCAAATTGTATCCAGTGATAGTTCTACTCAAGAGCAGAATTAATGAATAAACCAGACCAGCTTAGGTCCATTAATTTCAGGACTAGCACGGGATACAAAACAACAACAAAAATGTGAGTCTACTCTGAACGGGACAAAATGTAACCCTGTAATGATCATAAGTGGCAGAGGTGATAAGGAAACATTCGTCCCCTGCAAGAAAACATCTTTCCTTGGAGGGGTTACATCCGTTTCCTTGGCCTACCTAACATGATGATTGCACAACACGGGTTTCTCCAGAAAAAGATCTTGGGATATTTTTATTTTGTCAAAGTGGAAAAGCCCCTTTGCATCCAGGCTTTTCTGTTTCACAATAGAGGGTGGTGGTGACTGGTGTTGTTTCCTGTTAAGTCAGCGAAAGGAGCAGTCCCATCGTTCCTCAGCTAAGGAGTGCTCTGACAGACTCTCTGGACTTTGAACAATGGCATACGTGAAGATGGGAGCCTTATTCCTGCTCACCGCTATCCTTCAGAGTTTTGTAGGTAAGTCGCACTGCCTGATCTCTTGCATCTCCTTCATTCAGGAGGTTTGGACTTCTTGTTTTTGCCTTTTGCTCGTTTGCTTTGACCCAGTGAGATTTCAGGCAGACGGGTGACTGTCCTTATGGAGGAAGTTTGGACATTGCACCCATTTAGCTATAACCGCAAGGCTTTTTTTGAGTCTCAAGACATCTGAATGAGCACTCGGACCTAGGAAAGCCATTTAAAAGCTACGTTTTTCCTTTGAAAGAGCATCTTTGTTTTTATTTCGCTTTGCAATTAGGCAAACTTTACCAACTCATTTTTAGCAGGTTATTCGTTTCTTTTTTAAGGGAATGAGAAGGAATGAATCCTTTAGGTAGGCGGGGGACGGACGGACAGAAATGATTAGTTATAATTTTACCCTCAAATGTCATTTTAGCAGCTTTTAAAAAAGAAAATGAAATGGGAAGTAGTTACTCATTTACTCAGGGTGGGGGAACGTTATGACTTTCCTCCCAGGTATCATCAAGGAAAGTTATAGATAATATTTTACAAAGTCACAGAGAAGCCATAAAGTGATTTGTTTCTAAAGCAAGTCTTATGAAACATCCAGTTAGCCAGAAGATAAACATTTATTGCACAAGCCAAAGGCCATAACATCATCCGAAAACACTAATAGCATAAGAACATAAGCAAAACCTCCTGTTCTCATGACTCATTGGGAAACCTCCAAGTAGGATCTGAGCACAAGAGCAGTTAAGGCTTTGGGCAGGGGGCAGAGTTTAATCTGCAGCAGAAGGCAGAACGCTTCTGAGGTCACAGCCACACCGTTTATTTTTTTATTTTATTTTTTGTGGTTGCTAAGAGGTATTTTATTAAGGATTTTCTTGTTTTACAGAAGTGTAGTGCCTCGTATTTTTTTTTTCATGTAACATTTTTACAAATCCGTTTCATTTGTTGAGGCATTAGGGGGAGAAGAAAAAAGAAAGAAAAAAGAAAGGGGGTGGAGAGAGGGAAGATGGATGGGGGTGGGGTCGGGTGGCGGTGTTTCTATTATGTTTAATGTATGTAGAGTTTGGTGTCAGCGTTGCTTGTGTTGTTCACTTGTGTTCCTTTGGTGGTGAGAGAGGTTGGGGTTGGCCTAGGGTGTGATTGTTTGCTTGTGATTGGCTGTGGTGATCTTTGTTTTTGTGTGTGAGTGAGGTGGGTGGGTGTTTTGGATCAGGTTAGCCATATTGATTTGTATGCTGTTGGTGGATTATTGCCATTGTCCTGTTGGGCTGTGTATGTGATAAAGGGAGCCATACCGGGGTGAAGGCGTCTTCTTCTGTTTGTCCCCGTGTCAGTTTCAGTTTATTAGTTAATTTTTCTAGTAGGGCTGTTTCCCATACTATTTGGTACCATTGGTCCATGCTTACTCCTGACAGGTCTCTCCAGTGTCTGGTTATGGTGTTTCTGGCTGCTGAGAGCAGGTGGGTTATGAGTTCTTTGTGGTGTAAATGGGCATTGTTGTCTTGGAAGATGTTTAGTAGGGCCAATTCTGGGGTGATGTCTATTACTTGCTTAGTTATTTTACATATTTCTTGTATGGCTGTTGTCCAGAATAGTTGGATTTTGGGACACTCCCACCACATGTGGAGGTATGTGCCTGTGGAGGTGCACCCTCTCCAGCATTTTGGTGAGGTTCCTGGGTGTATTAGCGCTAGTTTCCTTGGTGTTAGGTACCACCTGTAGGTGAGTTTCAGTGTGAGTTCTTTTCTTTTCGTTGATATGGATTTAAAGGGGGTTTAGACCACATTCTGGTCCATTAAGTGGGGTTAATCTCATAGCCTATGTCATTCTCCCATTGTTTTTGATTGCATCTATGGGATTTGCGGGATTTTGGAGTAGTATTTTGTATATTGCGGATACCGTCCCTTTACCGTTTCCCTTTGTTGTTAGGAGTAGGTTTTCGAAGGTTGTCAGGGGCCTAGTTGCTGCTGATTTTACTGTTGGGTTGTTTAAGAGGGCATGTAGTTGGTGTTGTGTTAACCAGGGCATTTGGGTGTCTTCTAGTTTGTCTTGTATTTCTTGTGTTGACAAGGGTTTGTTATTTTTATAAAAGTCTATTAGGCGATATAAGCCTTTGGTTCGCCAGGTTTTTATCTTGAGGTTTTGTGCTGCATGGTGGAATAATGGGTGGTACGCCAGGGGGATTAGTGGGGATGGGGTTGGGGATAGTTTGCCTATTTGTGTTTTCCATGCTTTGAGCATGGTCTGTGTGTACCTGTTAAGTGTTGTGGGAATTTTCTTTAGTTTGTTTGGGAGGAGTGGGTATGTTGTGGTGCAGGTGTTTTCAATTGTGTCCCTCTCTAGGTGTACCCATTGTTTTGTCTCATCTTCTAGTATATATGGGATTATGTGGCGTATTTGGTTGGCATTGTAATATGCTTCTATGTTGGGGATTCCCCATCCTCCTTCTGAGGTGGGGAGGTGCAGGTATTTGGGGCTTATTCTTGGTTTTTTGTGTGAGAAGATGAAAGAGTGTAGTTTTCTCTGCCAACTGCAAAGTTGGGTTGAGGGGATCCAGATTGGGAGGATTTGGAATAGGTAGGTTAGTTTTGGGAGTGTGATCGTTTTGATCATGGCTATTTTGTCTGAGAGAGTGAAGTTCATGTTATTCCATCTCTTTAGGTCTTTGTTAATTTGTCGCCACAGGGGCTTGTAGTTGTGGAGGTACAATTTATTGAGGTTTCTGGTTATTTGTACCCCTAGGTATCTGAACTTGGTGTGGCAAAGTTTTATTTTGGTGACCTTCGTGAGTTCTTTTTGGGTGTGAGGAGGGGTGTTGAAGCACATAGCTTCTGACTTTGTAAAATTTACCTGTAGGCCCGACACCATTGCAAATGTGTTGAGTTCTCTGATTAGGGAGGTAGCTGTGCTTATGGGGTCTGGTGTTGTGACCATTAGGTCATCTGCAAAGAGCCCTAATTTATAGGTTCTGCCTTTTATTTCCACTCCCTTGATGTCTGTGGCTGCTCGGATGCGGATTGCTAGGGGTTCCAGAGCCAGGATAAATAAGAAGGGAGACAGTGGGCATCCTTGTTTCGTGCCTCTTTGGATAGCTATAGTGTTAGAATCCATATTGTTAGTTCTGCATTTTGCTGAGGCTTGGGAGTATATTTGTTTGAGGATTTGTAGGAAGTTGGGGCCAAATTTCATGTTAGTTAGTACTGCTAATATGTATTTCCACTCCAAGCAATCAAAGGCTTTGAGGATGTCTAGGGACATAATTGTCAATGGGAGTTTGGTTGCCTTGCTGTGTTCGATCAGGTTCAGTAGTTTCCTGATGGGGTCTGTTATATTGCGGCCAGGGACAAAGCCAGTCTGGTCTGGGGCTATTAACTTGTGTAGGAAGATTTTTAGGCGGTTGGCCAAGATTGATGTGAATATCTTGTAGTCTTGGTTTATTAATGAGATTGGGCGGTATGATTCTACTTTGAGGCTGTCTTTTAGTGGTTTTGGGATGGAGACTATTTTGGAGTGGGTCCAGGTTTGGGGGATGGGGCCCCCTTTTATGATGTCGTTGAATAGGCGGGTCATGTAGGGCATCAAGGGTTCTTTGAATTTCTTATAGAATTCTGCTGTGAAGCCGTCTGGGCCTGGGGCTTTGTGTGGTTTCAGGTTTTTGAGGACCGCATCTATTTCCTCTGGGGTGATAGGGCTGTCCATGAATTCCTGTTCCTCATTAGTTAGGGTAGGCATGGTCAGTCCTGCTAGAAATGTTCTGATTTCCTTCTCTGGTGGGTTATGGGAGGTGTATAGGTTGGAGTAGAATTCTGCAAATTCTGAGGTTATTTCTTCGGGGAGAATGTTATGTTGCCGTCTTTTTGGTGATGCAGTGTATTCTTGTTTTGAGTGCTTTTTTCCTACATCTATTTGCTAGTAATCTGGAGTTTTTCCCTCCATATTCGTAGAAACGTTGTTTAGAGTATAGAATGTTGATCATTGTTTTGTTAATTTCTAGGGAGTCTAGTTCTCTCCTTTTTTGTTCTATAAGTTTGAGGAGTTTTTAGATCCTGTTTGTTTGTAGCGTGATGAGAGGGCTGTGATGTCTTGTTCTATTTTGCTAATTTTTGAGGAGGTTTGTTTTTAAGGAATGTTTTCTCTTTTATGCAAGCTCCTCTGGTGACCGCTTTCATTGCGTCCCATAGGAGGGGGGTTGTTATATTCTTTACATCGTTTTCTTTGAAGTAGTTTTGGAGGGTTTTTGTGAGACTCTCTCTAATTTGTTTGTTTGTAGTTAGGATGGGACTGAAGGACCATGATGGGGTGGTTTGTGTTCCTTCTCCTATTTTAACAATGACTTCTACTGGAGCGTGGTCTGTGATTTTAATGTTACCTATGTTTGTTGATTCTACTGAGGGGATCAGACCCTGTGTGAGTAGAATGATGTCCAGTCTGGACACTGTATCATGGCGTCCCGATTGGAATGTATGGCTGATGTCTCCCGGGTTTTGCTCACCCCAAATGTCGTAGAGACCCCTGTTTTTTAGCATTTTTAGTAACTTGTAAGAGTTCCTGGTTGTTGGGGGTTTCCTTCGGAGGAAGGTTGCCCATGGGGTTGTGGGGTGGATATCTTTCAGGGATATACCTTTCATATTTAGATTGAGGTCCCCTCCTAGGATTGCTTCCCCTTCAGAGAAGGAGAGGAATTTGTTTAGTGTCTTCTGGAAGAATTCTAATTGTTTCGTGTTTGGGGCATATATGGAGCCGATTGTCAGTTTGATTTTGCCATCTAGTGTCCCTTTAGCGAAAATGAATCTGCTTTTTTGTCCTTGAGGACTGTTGTGGCAGTGAAGTTCAGGTCTCTACTGAGTATTATGGCTACACCACGAGCTTTCCCTGAGCCTTGTGCGACCCACTGTTGACTGAAGCGGGGGTTGCTCAGGAGTTTGCTGCCTTTGGGTGGGTTGTGTATTTCTTGTAGGAAGGTGATGTGTGGTTTCATGGTGTTTATGTATGAGGTGATGCGTTTTCTTTTGATGGGGTTTCCCAGCCCCCTCACGTTTAATGTAATTGCTTTTAGGTTAGCCATCTTGCTTATCTATTATGTGGGGCGATTCCCTGCCAACCCGTTCGGGTTGTCTTGTGTCTCTCTCTCTGTGTTGTTTAAAGAACCAGTGGGGTTGCGCTGACCTAGGATGTGGTGGGTGGGGGGCTAATGGGATTAGAGTAAGATTTGGGTTAAAGAGTAGGGGGTAAGTTGTAGAGAGTTTCCTATATGTAGTCATATAGGTGTTTGTTTGGAGTATTTTAGGCCATCTGGCATTTAGCCAGTTGGTCCTAGGTCTCAGCTGGTGTGGAAGGCCGTGTTCAAGGACAGGCCATCCCCCCTGTTGTTTGTGATAGGGGGTGATCAGTGAGACAGTGTGAAGTGACTTTGTAACGTCGCTGTCAGGTATAAGGTTCATAAGCAATGTTGCCAATGTTATGAGCAACATTGTTGGTGTGTTGGGGTGGGGATGTGGGTGCTGGTACGCTCTGGTGCCACCATAGTGCTGGTTGGGTATCAGATTTTAGCCTGATTGTGGGTTGTGTTATTAAGGTTGGAGGAGTTGTTTTTCCCTAGTATGGAGTATGGGGGTGTTGAAGGTGTGGGTGATGGGGAATGTGGTTGAGGTTGTCTGGACTGGTGTTGGGGTGGGGATTCGTGTGGGGGTGCGGGGCTGGGGGGGATGTTGATGGTGTTAACTAAATCTATGTTTTGGGGGGGGGAGAGAGGGGAAGGGGGGGGGGAATCACCAGTCCTTCAGTTTGTGGTTTTTCCTGGTTGCTTCATTCAGCTGGGGTTGTTGTTGTTGTAGGGTTGTCCATCTGCGATGAATTGGTTTGGTTAATCTTGGTCTGGTTTCTTGTGTCGTATGGCCAGCGGGACGGTTCTGAGCATGATGCTTGCCTGTATTGGTTTGCGTTGTTGTGCCGCTTCTGTTGTTTCTTTTTCTTCTGTACCGTTGTCCAGTTGTTTGCTGTTGTTTCCTCGTGGTTGGGGCTGTCACTTGGTGGGTTTGTCGGTTGCCATTCCGGTGGAAGGTCGAGTTCAAGGTTCTTTAGTATTTGCAGGGCCTCAGGTATGTTGGTAGCCATGTGTTGTGTTGTATTGGTTGTTACAATGAGGCGGAAGGGGAAGCCCCATCGGTATTTGATCCCTGCTTGTTGGAGACGCTGGGTGCATGGGCGCAGACTTTTCCTCCGGTTTATGGTATCCCGAGATAGGTCCTGTAAGGCCAGAATGGGGGTTTCTCCATATCGAAGGTTGGTTGAGTTTTTGAGCTGGTTCCATACCTCTTCCTTCTTTTTGTAGTGTGTGAAGCATACAATGATGTCTCTTGGGGGGGCGCTGGGTTTTGGCATAGGTTTTAGGGCTCTGTGAGCCCTCTCCAAGTCATCTGCCTCAAGTTTCAGGCTTGGGATTGTGTTTTTCAGCCAGCGTATAATTAGGTCTGCTGGGCTTTTCTCCTCTGTTTTTTCAGGAAAGTTGCGGAAGCGGATGTTACAACGTCTATTGCGGTCTTCAAGGTCGGCTTGCTTAATTTTCATCTCTCTGTGTTCTGCTTCCATTTGGTTTACCAGTTCATCCAGTTTCTTGTTCACACGTGCGTTCTCCTCCCAGTGTTGCTCTATTATTCTTTCTTGCATTTGGTTCTTGTTCTCTAGAGCTTCCACTTTGGAGGTTAGATTGTTGATTAGTACCTGCATGGGAGCCATTGTGGCCTTCAGTGTTTCTTCTAATCGTGCTTCTAATCTTGCTTCCATTTCCCTCAGATCTCGTTTCGTTATTGGGTGGTCATCATCTTGAGGGGAGTTACCATCTTAGCATTGTTTGCCATCTCCCTGGTTGGTGTCATCTCGGTCTCCCTGATGGTTTTGGTTTGAGGTTGGCTTGGCGTCCTCTTGGGGTAGGGCGTGTAGTGGTTAGGAGTTGTGGCAGTGGTGATTCCTGGGTATTGTTGGGTTGCTGAGCTGATCAGGCTTTGTTGGCTGGTGGCTTTTACAGAGCGTTTGGATTAGGTGGTCATTTGTGTCACTTCTAGCCTGTGTTTTAAGAACTTCTCTAGGGCTTTTGTAGATGCCTCAGCGGTGCCGCCGAGGCGGGGGGGGGCAGGTAAGCAGAGATGGGTAGACTAACGGACAGACAGTTCATATAAAGGGAGGGGGGTTAGCAGGTAGAGATGCAAGAGATTAGAGGGGTGGGGCCAGGGGAAATATGTGTTTAGGAGGGGGGTTGTATATGCCCAGAAGGGGTATTGGGGTCCAGTTAAGGTGGAAGTTGGGGTTGGGAGTGCGCTCAGAAACAGAGACAGACAAATAGGCTATATGTAAAGGGTGGAGGGAGAAAAAAGGGAGAAGAAGAAGAAAGAAAGAAGAAGGGGGAGGCGGGGGAGAGGGGAGATTGGAGTAAAAGAGAGAGAGAGAGGGGGACTAACAGAGAGTTGAAAGAGAGAGGAGAGATAGTACAGTAATCTCAGCGGTATTAGAATGCAGCAGTAGTTTTAGCTATAGTCTTAGGGGGTCCAATTATGATAGGGTGATATGAATGTGTGTATGTGTTTCCTGTAGGGGAAGGGGGGGAGGGAGAGAGGGAGGAGGGAGAGAAAAGGAGAGGAGGAGGGGGAAGGGTGGGAAAAGGAAGGAGAAGAAAAGAGAGGGGGAGAGGGGAGGGAGGGAGGGTGAGCTGCTGCAATGGTATGGTGGGTAAGTCTTATTGTAAAAGAGGGGTGGGGGAAAGGGCTCCCTCTCAAAAACAAACTGACGAACAGGCTAAAAAGGGGGGGTTGATTTAAAAAATAAAAGGGATAGAAAACAAAATTGGGGATGGAAAATGAAAGGTGGGATAAAAGGAAAAAATGAGGAGGGGTGAAGAGAGAGAGGAGAGCAAAAGGAGAGAAAAATAAAAAAGGGGGGAAGTTGAGGGAGAGAGTATCAATAGCAATAGCAGTGATATGGAGGAAATTTTTGTTTTAAAAGAGAGTGGTGGTCGTAGCTGGGGGCGAAAGATTCCCCCCTCAAGAACAAGCCAACAAATAGAAAAGAAAGGGCTTTAAAAAGAGAAAGAGGGGGAAAAAAATAATTGTATGGTGTTTTTTTAAAAAAAATAATAATAATATTTCCCCCTAATTATTGTTATTATTTTTTGTTTGTAAAAAAGTAATTAAAAATGTACGTGTAAAATATAAAAATGAGAATTAAAGTTTTAAAAAAAGGGGGGGTTGTCTTTAGATAGATAGATAGAGCTTTTTATTTTATTTTTTTAAAAAATGAGTAAAGTATAGGTAAAAGAGGATAGGTAAAAGAGAGTGGAAAGTCTGGGGCGAAGTGGCAGTCCCAGGAAATGGCCTGTGATGGTTCAGGGCTGTTTTCTGGGTACTGCCATTTTAATTCTTAAGAGGGGAGTTTGAGGTGGAAATAAAATGAGGTTTAAATTGAGGGTGTGTGTGTGGAAAAGTGTGTCTTTAAATAGTGTGTAGAAAAGATAGAAATAAAAATAAAGATTCAAATAAAGGGTGGCTGCAGCAGCAGTGGCCCCTCTTTTAAAAAGAAAAGTGATAAAAGTAGGTATATGGGGGGAGGGATAAAAAAGATATATATATATATTTTTAAAGGGGGGAGGGAGGGGGAGGAAGGGGTTAAAAAAAGGGGTTAAAAAAAAAAAGAAAGGGGGAAAAAATCCCCTTTGTTATGCGGCTTCTCTGTGTTTTCCTTGCCGCTGGAGGCTGGAGCTCCCGGTCGGGTTCAGCCACGTGTTTTTTCCGGAGCCTCTTTTGCCTTCCCGTGCTTACCTACCTCTCCTCTGCTTTCCCGTCAGCAGAGATGGGGGCAGCAGCGGTAAATTTGGGGCTCCTTTTTTTTCCCTTTCTTTTTCTTCCTCTCTCCCCCTTTCTTTCTCCCTCTTTGCGTTAGCTCCACTGTCCTCCTGGTTTTGGAGCTCCTCTCGGCTGTTGGGGGTGGTCGGGTGCCTTTCCGGCTCAATCTCAGTCGTGGGGGGGGGGGTGTTTTTGGCTCCTTTGATAGATGCCCAGGCACCCCCGATTCCTCTCCGCTGGCGGTGCTGGCGGCAGCAGTCCTGGGAGCCCGGTTTAACCCACAGCGCCACCTGCGTCCCAAATGTGTAGTAAATGTGTCTTAATATATATATGGTGCAGATATTAACTGAATGCCAATTTCCAAAAAAATAGGAGAGTTGCTGTTTTACTCAACACCCTGCTTTAGGCTTCACATTTGGGGCATTTGACCGGCCATTGAGAAAACAGGAGACTGGACTGGATGGGGGCCCATTTGGCCTGATCCAGTGGCAGGGCTCTCTTTAAGTCCTTGCATTTATTTCCCAGTTGAATGGATCCTTGTTGCTTTCAGATTTGGGGTAGTTTTACTATATTCTGTTTTGGAGCTGGCTGGGTTCTGTGCTGGCTGACATGTTGTGTGGGTGCCTGGTGATCGTCTTCCAAAGCAGCTACTCTATTCCGAACTTAAAAAGGGGACGCGTAATGCTGGTGGTCAACAAAAGAGGTTTAAAGACTGTCTCAAGGCAGATGTAAAAAAAATGTAGTATAAACACCGACAACTGGGAAACACTGGCCTGCGAGCGCTCCAGTTGGAGAACAGCCTTTAGCAAAGGTGTCATGGGCTTTGAAGACACTCAGGACGCAAGGGAGAAACGTGCTAAAAAGAAGGCACGCTTGGCAAATCCACACCATGATCAACTCCCGCCCGGTAACCAATGTCCCCACTGTGGAAGGACGTGTGGATCCAGAATTGGCCTCCACAGTCACTTACGGACTCATTGTTAAAACCGTGTTTATGGAAGACAATCTTACTCGGCTACGAGGGATCGCCAAAGAAGAAGAAGATGATTAAGGCGATGAGCTGACTCAGGATGCCTGTGAAACTGCTCTCTGGGCAGAATGAAGAAGAAGCATCAGGTCAAACTGACTTCGTAAATGAGCAGAAGATCCCCAATGAAGAGGAACTTGCCTTTCATGGCTCTGCATTTAATTTAATCCCAAATGAGCATGTGCAAATGCTAAGCCTGCCCCTCTTTGAAACAAACCAGACGAATTCTAAGGTGTATCAAGGGGGAGAGAGTTCAGAAGATGCACCCACACTTTGGAACTCCCTGCCTATTGACATAGAATCATAGAACTGTAGAGTTGGAAAGGGACCACGGGGTCATCTAGTCTAACCCCCTGCAACACAGGAATCTTTTGCGCAGTGTGGTGCTTGAACCCAGGACCGTGAGATTCAGAATCTCACGCTCTACCAACTGAGCCATAAAGCTGTGTACCTTGTTCAGCACCTGCTTAAGAACTATTTTTGTTTGGGCATTCCTATCCAGATATGTAGGGACGCGGGTGGCGCTGTGGGTAAAACCTCAGCGCCTAGGACTTGCAGATCACATGGTCGGCGGTTCGAATCCCCGCGGCGGGGTGCGTTCCCGTCGTTCGGTCCCAGCGCCTGCCAACCTAGCAGTTCGAAAGCACCTCCGGGTGCAAGTAGATAAATAGGGACCGCTTACCAGCGAGAAGGTAAACGGCGTTTCCGCGTGCTGCGCTGGCTCGCCAGATGCAGCTTGTCACGCTGGCCACGTGACCCGGAAGTGTCTGCGGACAGCACTGGCTCCCGGCCTATAGAGTGAGATGAGCGCACAACCCTAGAGTCTGGCAAGACTGGCCCGTACGGGCAGGGGTACCTTTACCTTTACCTTTATCCAGATATGTAGATTATTGACAGCATTTTAATTTGGTTTTTAGCTTACCACTGATTTTTTTACTTTTTTAAAATGTTGAAAAACTGTCGTTTTGCTGATAATGGCACTGTTTTGTTTTCTCCCTCTCTTTTTTGGGGGGTAAGTCACTTTGAGATTTGTTTTAACAATCAAGATGAATATGAGATCTTATGCAATAAATAAGAAGTTGACGGTTGGGCTCCCAACCAAGGGCTGAGTGTCAGAGGTAAAGAATGAGGGAAATTCCTTAAGACGAAGAAGGGAAACAACTTTCACAGCAAGTGGTGAGGAAGGAAAACCTCGGACATCACAAGTCACCCGACCCTGAAAAACAGATGACTAGAAAGGGAAGGAAGTTCAGGGAGGAGTCAGTATGCGGGTGATACCCAGCTCTACCTCTCTTTCAAAGCGGAACCAGTGAAGGCGGTGAAGGTCCTGTGTGAGTGTCTGGAGGCGGTTGGAGGATGGATGGCGGCTAACCGATTGAGATTGAATCCTGACAAGACAGAAGTACTGTTTTGTGGGGACAGGAGGCGGGCAGGTGTGGAAGACTCCCTGGTCCTGAATGGGGTAAGTATGCCCCTGAAGGACCAGGTGCGCAGCCTGGGAGTCATTGTGGACTCACAGCTGTCCATGGAGGCGCAGGTCAATTCTGTGTCCAGGGCAGCTGTCTACCAGCTCCATCTGGTACGCAGGATGAGACCGTCCCTGCCTGCAGACTGTCTCGCCAGAGTGGGGCATGCTCTGGTTATCTCTCGCTTGGACTACTGCAATGCGCTCTATGTGGGGCTATCTATGAAGGTGACCCGGAAACTACAATTAATCCAGAATGCAGCAGCCAGACTGGTGACTGGGAGCGGCCGCCGAGACCATATAACACCGGTCTTGAAAGACCTACACTGGCTCCCAGTACGTTTCCGAGCACAATTCAAAGTGTTGGTGCTGACCTTGAAAGCTCTAAACGGCCTCGGTCCAGTATACCTGAAGGAGCGTCTCCACCTCCATCGTTCTGCCCGGACACTGAGGTCCAGCACCGAGGGCCTTCTGGCAGTTCCCTCCCTGCGAGAAGCCAAGTTACAGGGAACCAGACAGAGGGCCTTCTTGGTGGTGGCACCCGCCCTGTGGAACGCCCTCCCACCTGATGTCAAAGAGAAAAATAACTACCAAACTTTTAGATGCCATCTAAAGGCAGCCCTGTTTAGGGAAGCTTTTAATGTTTAATAGGTTATTGTATTTTAGTGTTTTGTTGGAAGCCGTCCAGAGTGGCTGGGGGGAGCCAGCCAGATGGGCGGGGTATAAATAATAAATTATTATTATTATTATTATTATTATTATTATTATTATTATTATTTTATTATTATTACTGTCTATGGAGCTAGAACCTGGAGACTACGGTAGCCAAAAAGTGGACTGGCCCTCCTGATAACTTCATAGTTAATCTATGAAACTCCCTGCCACAGGAGGCAATGATGGCCACGGACCTAGATGGCTTTAAAAGAGGACTGGCCAAATTCAAGGAAGAGAAGGACTATCAATGTCAACTGTTGTTGTTGTTTAGTCGTTTAGTCGTGTCCGCCTCTTCGTGACCCCCTGGACCAGAGCACGCCAGGCACTCCTGTCTTCCACTGCCTCCCGCAGTTTGGTCAGACTCATGCTGGTCCAGGGGGGTTATTTTTACGCATAATTATAAGTAAATGTTATAGAATGACAGCCTGAGGATTTTATAGGAAATGAATTTATAAATAAATGGTCCAGATCCACATGCAGACATGATGGCTTGAGGAAGAGGGAGGGGTCAGTTGTCCCAGGGTACCAGGCAGACAGGAAGGTGAGGCAAGGCAAGATCAGCACCTTGGAGAGGGACCAAAGTGTGGGTATCAGGACCACGGTTTGCCTCAGCAGTGTCCTGAAGCCATTCGTAGGGGCATCTTATTCATGATAAATTAACGTTTCATTAAGGTAAGACGGGGAATAGGCAGGAGAAATGATTTTGAGGAGTTATGGAGGGTGTTAGTAGAATTTGTATTGATAAAACGGAAAGGGGTCAAACCATCACAAGAGGTGCTGAAATTTTGGGAGGCTGGATAGCTACAATGGAATGCTCTCAGTGGTGGGGTGCACATTTTTATTCTTATTTATTTATGATTATTGCTGTTGTTTAGTCGTTTAGTCGTGTCCGACTCTTCGTGACCCCCTGGACCAGAGCACACCAGGCACTCCTGTCTTCCACTGCCTCCCGCAGTTGGGTCAAACTCATGCTGGTAGCTTCGAGAACACCGCCCAACCATCTCGTCCTCTGTCGTCCCCTTCTCCTTGCGCCCTCCATCTTTCCCAACATCAGGGTCTTTTCCAGGGAGTCTTCTCTTCTCATGAGGTGGCCAGAGTCTTGGAGTCTCAGCTTCAGGATCTGTCCTTCCAGTGACCACTCAGGGCTGATTTCCTTCAGAATGGAGAGGTTTGATCTTCTTGCAGTCCATGGGACTCTCAAGAGTCTCCTCCAGCACCATAATTCAAAAGCACCAATTCTTCGGCGATCAGCCTTCTTTATGATCCAGCTCTCACTTCCACACATCACTACTGGGAAAACCATAGCTTATGATTATTACTTTATCAAAATTATTATCAAAAAATAAAATAAAAAGAAGGGGCATCTAGCCCAACTCCTGCAAATAGTTATAGCCTTGTCTATGTATTCATTGACTAGAGATCACTGACCAGATCCTGCATCTGCACATTTAAAGGCCTGATAGTTTCCTCTGTAGCCATTGCCTTATTCTGAGGACTGGGGGTTCAAGCTGCGGAGCTGTGCTCTTGACAGGAGATCCCTGAGGAGATAAGAAAAGCCTACTGGATTGGGCCCTTCCAGTCCAGAATCCTGTTCTCACAGTGGCCAACCAAATGCCCATTATGGAAAGCCTGCAAACAGGACCCCAGAACAGGAGCCCTCTCTCATCTTGCTGTTTCCAACACCTAGTATTCAGAAGCATTGCTTCCTCCAGCCACAGAAGCAGAGGACTGCCATTGTGGTTAATAGGCCTTGGTAGCTTTCTCCTCTGTTAATTTGTCCAGTCCTCCTTGGAAGTCCTCCAACCTGCTGGCCATCACTGTGTAATGTTGAAGCAAGTTCTTTTTTTTCTTTTTCCAAATGAGTTTTTATTGGTCTATCATTATATATACATATAAACAAATACAAAGTATAATACATAAATTACATGTGTCATATCCAGTCCATGAATCATACATATATTACATAGTTCTTTTAAGCTCCACCGAGCCTTAGACTTCCCTCCACTGGTAAGTATCAGATAAATTCTGGAATCACGTATTTTATCTCCTTTACTTATTAGTCGTGTAATGTTGAAGCAAGTTCTTCTGTGGAATTACAGTGGTGCCTCAGGTTACATACGCTTCAGGTTACAGACCCCGCTAACCCAGAAATAGTGCTTCAGGTTAAGAACTTTGCTTCAGGATGAGAACAGAAATCGTATGGCGGCGGTGGGTGGCCCCATTAGCTAAAGTGGTATCTCAGGTTAAGAACAGTTTCAGGTTAAGAACAGACCTCCAGAACGAATTAAGTACTTAACCAGAGGTACCACTGTATGTGCTGTGATATCTCCTCAAGAATCTCCTGACTTGCTAAGGCCTAGGACCCTTGTACTTACGGGACCGCCTCTCCTGGTATGTCCCGCAGAGGACCCTAAGGTCCACGAATAATAATTGTTTAAAGGTCCCAGGCCCTAAGGAAGCCAGACTATCCTCCACCAGGGCCAGGGCTTTTTCAGTGATGGCTCCGACCTGGTGGAATGCTCTGTCCCACGAGACTAGGGCCCTGCAGGACTTGATCTCCTCCCGCAGGGCCTGTAAGACAGAGCTATTCCACCTGGCCTTCAGTTTGAATTAACCTGATCCTCTATTCCCTTTTTCTTTTCCTCTTCTATGAAGAAACCCTTTCTGGGAGCCACATTTAAATTCCTTTTCACACACTTCCTTGCTGGCCCTAGTAGGACCAACTTGGCCAGTTAGCCCTGGATATCATTCAGTGTCTACTGACTGGGTTTTTGTTTTTGTTTTTCAAAAATGACCCCTGAATTTTTGAATATTATTGATATTGATGCTGCATTTTATGTTGTATACTATGCTGTTTTATGCTGTTTTTAAGCCGCATTTTAATCAATGTTTTATATTTGCTGTTAGCCACACTGAGCCCGGTTTTGAAACTGGGAAGGGTGGGGAATAAATAAATAAATATTAATATTATTATTATTACCATTAAGGAAGTATTTTTCGCTCTATAAGACGCACCGTATTTTTCTCTCTATAAGATGCACCAGACCACAAGATGCACCTAGTTTTTGGAGGAGGAAAACAAGAAAAAAAATATTCTGAATCTCAGAAGCCAGAACAGCAAGAGGGATCTCTGCACAGTGAAAGCAGCAATCCCTCTTGCTGTTCTGGCTTCTGGGATAGCTGCGCAGCCTGCATTCGCTCCATAAGACGCACACACATTTCCCCTTACTTTTTAGGAGGGAAAAAGTGAGTCTTATAGAGCAAAAAATACGGTATTTGATCAGCATAGGTCTGGGAGCAGAGGTATTTACCTTGGGAAAGAGATGCGGGTACCAGGGACCATGGAACAGCATGGGGCAGACCAAGGATTTGACCCATCATCAAGGATGCCTTCATCCTCTTAAGGATTCTGTATCTGGGCCACGACCCCAATGGCTTATGTGTAGAAGAGGCATTTGTCAATATCCGGAACAAATCTCTTGTGTCGTGCTCACAGGCTTGAAATTTTGCTTTCTTAGAAAGGAGCACCGCTGGCGTGACAATACATTTTAAGGAAGTCGGCCAGAATTACTCCTTTTATATCAACGGTAAGAAAATCCATCAGACTTTGGCAATTTTAAGGGGAGTATTAACAACTGCACAGAGAGCTATCTGTTAATCACCACCAACCATTATATTTGCATGCTGGTTTTCCCAAATTGTGCTTTGGAGGGAGTCACAGGAACGGTAGGACGAACCAGTGTTTTGGCAGGTGCGTTGGAAAACAAATTGGAAGTCTTACCAAATACATCCCACATTGTAACATTCAGACCAGTGGTTCCCAAATTGTGAGGTACCACTCCTTGGGGGTCGATGGGATTACCTAGGGGGTTGCTAAGAGGCAAGGGGCTCTGGAGGTGTCATTGACTTTGAAAAGCTGGTCTCACTGGATTAAATATGTCAGTTTCATTTGAATTCATTAAACTAAACTGGTTTCATTGGGTTTTGAATAATTTTGACTGTTTAGAACTGTATCATACTATATTATCTTCCTTAGTGGGTCCTGCAAAGTGTTATTCTGAACAATGCTTTTTCTACGGTAGGGGGCACTGGAGGGTGATTTATGGAACAAAGGGGGGCGGCCCCCAAAAGTTTGGAAACCAGGGGGAGAGGGCCATCTCTGTGGTGGCCCCCAAGTTGTGGGACCTCTGTCCCACAAAGGTGCCCTGGCACCTGCATTGTATACTGTAGCTTCCAGTGAACACCTTTGATCCATGAGGTAGATATTTTTAGGATGCATTTATTTTTGTGATTTTAAGTCGTTTTAAACCGTGTTTTATGGTTGCAACCTAGGGTGAAGGGAGGGTAAGGTAATAATAATAGTAACGATAATAATAATAATAATGGGGTTCCTTATTTTATTTCAATATTTTCCATTAAAAAGAAAATAATAATAATATACTTGGCACCTGCCTGTTCCATTAATGGAACTGGAAGTCTCTAATGACTGCAATTGTACATTGCAGTTTTTATTTCAGTGTGGTGTAATGGTTAGAGTGTTGGACTAGGACCTGGGTTCAAATCCTCCCACTTGGCCATGAATCTCTCACTGGGTGTGGCCTTGGGGGCCAGTCACTGCCTCTCAGCCTAACCTACCTCACAGGGGGGTTGTGGGGATTAAACGAGAAGCAGGGAGAACCATGTAGTACACCTTCTTGGGTGGAAAGCTGGGATATAAACGCAATGAATTAATAAACACGATTAAATTAATTGTTCTGACCTGACCTCAGAGTTAACGGTGCCAGAGGGGGATTCACATTATGACTATTCTTTGCACAAGTGGGAAAGGAATATTTGTCAGTATTCAGAATTAGTACCCTGGTCTTCAATGATTTCTGTTACTCACTTCAGTATTCTTACAACTTTTTCCTCACAGATACCTTTGAGTACTTTTACACGAACGACAGCGACTATTATGGTATGATGATCTGGAAGGATCTACTGTAACAGCGTGGAGAGTGTCATTTGGTCCACTTGGGGCCTATGGACTGGCCAAATTTGACTGGATCACCCCAACCGATCAGAAGGTTTGGGGTCAGACCCTCGGGTTTGGGGGCCTCAATGAAGCAGGGCCAGTTTAAAGCCACGGTTTTTGAACTTTCAGCTGCAAGGGAACCTTTTCTTCATTAACTGAATGTTGGAAATTGGGAAATATCAGGAGAGATAAACGGCCTTTTTTGACACAGTGCATACAGTCATACCTTGGAAGTCAAATGGAATCCGTTCCGGAAGTCCGTTCGACTTTTAAACGTTCAAAAACCAAAGCGTGGCTTCAGATTGGCTGCAGGAAGCTCCTGCAGCCAATCGGACGCAGCGTCGGACGTTCGGGTTCCAAAGAACGTTCCCAAACCGGAACACTCACTTGCAGGTTTCAATCACTTGGGAGCCAGTTTGTTTGGGAGCCAAGGCGTTTGAGATCCAAGGTACAACTGTATTTAACTTTTGGAACCCCCTCCCACAGGAGGCAGTGATAACTACCAACTTGGAATGCTTACAAGAGGATGGTGAATTTTGAGCATCTAAGCCCAAAGCATAGGAAATAAAATCCCACCAGACCAGATGACCTATAAGGGTCCCTCTGGTTCTAGTCCAAGTCTAGTCTAGTCTAGTCAGAGACATGCGGTTTATGTGTATTTTTTCCCACAATAGCTGAAGTTCTCCCCCCCCCCGCGCAGTGGTTAAAGTGCATACTTTAAAAAAATAATATTTTATTTGTTGAATATAAGAACAACATATAATCAAATACAAGCAATCAAATATAGTTTTTCCCTACCCCCCCCAAAAAAAAACCCAGCCCCAACTACGTCCAGGTAATTACATTAGTAATATAATAATAATAAAAACTGTACAATTGCTGGTTTAAAAATATCATCCCACTTGCTCCCATGTATCTTAGGTGGTTTAAATCTGAAGTTCTTATACAGTGGTACCTCTACTTACGAGTGCGATCTGTTTCGGGGTGCCGTTCGCACCCTGAAAAGTCCGTAAGGAGAGTGCTGGAGCTGTGCATGCGCGAAGTGCGATAGAGCATTTCTGTGCATGTGCGAAGCATGCAGATCGCTTCTGCGTCCGCGGTGAACCTGGAAGTAAACACTACCAGGTTTGCCACGTTCGTAACCTGAAAAGCGGCAACGCGAAGCAAACGTAACACGAGGTATGACTGTATACCACAAAAATCAACTGTAGATCCCCTACTCAGTTGGTTAGAGCGTGGTGCTGATAATGGCAAGGTTGCAGGTTTGATCCTTGTATGGGACAGCTGTATATTCCTGCATTCCAGGAGGTTGGACTAGATGATCCTCAGGGTCCCTTCCAACTCTACAGTTCTATGATTTATGACCTCCAAGGATGTTCATTGCTGGACTGTTGAAATCCCGGCTGCAGCTGACATCAGTGTCCAAAGCACTTTAGAGCAAAAATCATCCATGTTGTCCATCCACATATTCAGTAAAGGCAGTTTAATAAATACATAAATTAATGAATAAACATATAAATTAATAAATGTATAAATTAAGTGTTTACTTCTTTTTTTTTACCTTTCCAGATAAATTCGAGTATGATGAGTACGAAGAAATAGAAAAATTACCGGTAAGTCGCTTTTTTGGGAATCTACAGGTTAAATCCCACCCACTTCTCAGTGGGGTGTTAAGTCTCTGTAGGAGCAAGTCGAGAGGCTAGGCACTGAGTGTTGCAGTACAGAATGCTGCTAGCCATCCTCCCTCCCCACGCCATCGCTGAGTGTGCCCCTTCCTTCCTGGTTGGCCCAGTAGATGCCTCCTCTGGGGCAATGTGCATAGAGGCTAACACCTTCTCTTCTTTATTTATTTAATAAAATGTATACACTGCTTGGGGATGCAGGTGGCGCTGCGGGTTAAACCACCGAGCCTAGGACTTGCCGATCAGAAGGTTGGCGGTTCGAATCCCCGCAACGGGGTGAGCTTCCATTGCTCGGTCGCTGCTCCTGCCACCCTAGCTGTTCAAAAGCACGTCAAAGTGCAAGTAGATAAATAGGTACCGCTCCAGCGGGAAGGTAAACGGTGTTTCCGTGCGCTGCTCTGGTTCGCCAGAAGCGGTTTAGTCATGCTGGCCACATGACCCGGAAGCTGTACACCGGCTCCCTCGGCCAGTAAAGCGAGATGAGCGCCGCAACCCCCGAGTTGGCCACGACTGGATCTAATGGTCAGGGGTCCCTTTACCTTTATATACTGCTTGGTTGTAAAAAAGAAAAAGAAAAAAACCTCAAAGCGGTTCCCAAAAAAAGTTTAAAGTAAAAAATTACCATTGAGGAAAAAATTAAACTTTCGGAAAGTTAAAATAATAGAGTAAAATTGCACCAGCTCTCTAAAACATCTGGGTAGGCTTGCCCAAATAAAAATATTTCTCTGCAAGCACCAAATAGAGAACAGTTGAAGGCACCTGCCTGAAGTCAATAGGCAGGGATGTTCCAAAGATTTTAGTTTCTGCCACACTGAAAGATCGATTTCTCGCTCCTTTCGCCAGTGGCTCGCTCAGAGAGGGCAGGTCAGCAAGCAAACAGGAGGCAGAGGAGCACCAGGGGCAGAAAGACACGAAAGATTGGTGTGAGGGGTGTGCCTCAACTGGAGGGGGGCAGTGGCAGCTTCCGAGCAATACAGACCCCTTCCCTGCCAGCCCTAGAACCAAAGATCCATGTTTGCGAAGTAACACACAGCCTTCTGTTTCCTTTTGCAGCGCCCTAATGACTCCACCGGGCCTTTACACCCTTGCAGCTGTGCCCTGTTCTTCGTTAGTCTCCTCCACACTCTACCTGTCATCCTGCGAGTCCTCGATGCGCGACACTAGGAGGTACAGAAGTTCTCATCGTATTGATCTGCTTTGACAATGTGCCTGTGGAGTAGATACGATACAATAATCTTTATTGTCATTGTCCCATACAGAACAACGAAATTGGGGGAGAAAAAAAATCTACATAAGACATTCAAAACCAACAAGCCTGCTATCCCAGTTATCCCAGCCTGGTTAGCCCCCTAAAAACTCTGATACCCCATAATTAAATACAATATACTCCCATACAGACTACCTTACATTGCGTTTAAAACCAAAGTCGCATTTGGGTAGAAACTGTTTCTCAGGCGGCTAGTCCTAGTCTTTATAACCCTGTACCTTCTTCCAGAAGGCAGAAGCTGAAAGAGATCATTTCCAGGGTGCGCACTATCCTGCGCTATCTCTGCAGCTTTCTTATGGCACCTGGAAGCGTAGATTTGATCCAAAGTGGGAAGAGTGCACCCAATTATTCCCTCTGCAGTCTTTACAACCCTGGACAGCATTGTTTTTCCCCTGACCGTGCAGCTCCCAAACCACACACACAGACCATAAGTTAATACACTGTGAAGAGATGTAAAAAAAGTGTTGGAATATTCAGGACAGAGAAAAGAAAGTACTTCCTCTTGCAGCGCATGGTTAAACCACATGGAACTCGCTGCCACAGGAGGTAGAGATGGCCACCGACTTGGAAGGCTTTAGAAGAGGATTAGACAAATTCATGGGGAAGGCTGCACTGAGACAGCAATGCTTCTGTATCCCAGGTGCTGGAAACTTGCTCTTCTGCTTGGAATCTGCTTGCGGGTTTCCCAAAAGAGGCATCTGGGTGGCCACTGCGACAGCAGGATTCTGAACTGGAGGAGTCATTGGCCTAAACCAGCTGGCTTCTTATGTTCTTGACTGTAAGAGATAGCGTGAAAAGACATTGGTGTATATATATATATATATATATATATATATATATATATAGACGTGGGAGGTGCTGTGGGTTAAACCACAGAGCCTAGGACTTGCCGATCAGAAGGTCGGCGGTTCGAATCCCCGCAATGGGGTGAGCTCGCTTTGCTTGGTCCCTGCTCCTGCCAACCTAGCAGTTCAAAAGCGCGTCAAAGTACAAGTAGATAAATAGGTACCGCTCTGGCGGGAAGGTAAACGCCGTTTCCGTGCGCTGCTCTGGTTCGCCAGAAGCGGCTTAGTCATGCTGGCCACATGACCCGGAAGCTGTACACATGACCCTCGGCCAATAAAGCGAGATGAGGGCCGCAACCCCAGAGTCGGCCACGACTGGACCTAATGGTCAGGCGTCCCTTTACATATTTATATATGTCCCTTTATATATTTATTAATTTTTTAACATATAAATTCCAACAATCATTTAACATAACTTCTTATCTTATACAATATTTTAGACTTCCGTCAACAGCCTCTGAAGATTTTCCGTTCTTTATCACTTGCTCTGCATTTCTTAATTTCTCTATTACTTTTAATTGTCCTTAACTGAGAATTCTTTTCAAAGCCTTCCTTGCAATATTTCACATAATCCTCCTTACAGAACTTTTTGCAGTCCTACTAGCGTAATCTGTTTATCACAATTGCTTTTCAAATAGCTCAGATATTTACTCCAGTCCTCTAAGAATCTCTGATACCGCAGGTTTCGAATCCTTCCTGTTCATTTATCTAATTCTGCATAGTCCATTAATTTCATTTGCCATTCTTCTTTTGTTGGCAATTCTTTGTGAAAAGACATTGTTAGGAGAATCTGCTTGCTCAGACTGTACGAAGGATGCGTCGAGAGCTAAATCAGGCATCCAGCTCTGATAATGCAGGCATGCTTTTTGTCTGAGTAGGTGATTTAATTTCTGCAGATGTGCAAAGCTAAAGTGAGGGAATGCCTCTAGATAAGCCTGGGTAATTCATAGGTCCGTGGATTCTACCTTTGTTGAATTATTTTTAATGGATTCTCTTTGCTCTCTCTCTCTCTGTTCCAGATCTGATGCAATCTGCTTGCTTTGGTGACAGGATTTGTTGTTTTAATGTCTTCCTGAGTGCCAAAGAGGAACTTTCCTACACCTGTGAATGAAATGCCTTATTTTCCTACAGTACTGCTATGGTCAAAAGAACCACACAACTTCTTCCATGGGCACAACAACTTTTGTACCTTCCCTTCCCGGAGCAAGGCACACAGGCTCTTCACGGGACATTATTTGTTAAATTCTAGGAAGCATCTAAAGCATTTTGATGTTTTGGGGTGGGAGGGAGCAAAGAATCCTAGTGTGGTCCCTGCCTATGTCTTTTTCGGCAAAGGATATTGGAAAATTCAGATGGAATCTGCAAACAATACATAATTGATGAGTCTCCCCTGCCCATTTGCATTGAAATTAATGGTGGCAGAATAACGTAACGCCAATGTAAATTATGTAATAAATTATGTAAGTCTGCCACAGCAAGCAGCAGAATGAACAGTGTTGTTTTTGGCAGAAGGCGGCCTGCAGCAAAACAGAAGCAGTGCTGCATACAACAGGAAACGATTCCCTCGTACACCCCTACCTTCTGCTCATCTAAAAAACGTTATTTTTCGCTCCATAAGACGCACCTGACCATAAGACGCACCTAGTTTTTAGAGGAGAAAAGGGGGAAAGCCCTGGTTTTTTTGAGGATCAGCTCAAAGTTTTGCAGCTTCTTTTGCAAAGGGGAAAAGCCTTGTTTTTTTGAGGATCAGCTCAAAGTTGTTGAGCTTACTTCGCAAAGGGAAAAAATCCTGTTTTTATGGGGTTCAACTCACAGTTCTGCAGCTTCTTTAGGAAAGGAAAGGGAGCCATTTCTACAATTTCCAGACAGATAATCTAATCAGCCAGTCACATGTCGCTGGGGAAACAAACAGGCTCCATCTGCAGAACATTCAACAATGGAAGCCTGGGCAAGGGGGCGGGGCCAGAAAGGGAGCCAGTGATCAACCACACATTCGCTCCATAAGACGCACAGGCATTTCCCCTAACTTTTTAGGTGGAAAAAGGTGTGTCTTATGGAGCGGAAAATACGGTATTTGCCTACCATCTGGCACCTGCTTAATGGCAAGAGTTGTCGGCAATATCCATTCACTGTTCAAACAACTGGCCCGCATTATCGGCAAATGGCAGCCACTGAAAATCGGCTGAGTTCCATGTTGGAAGATTTGACTGTGTGGTTTCTGTGGTTCCTTCCTACACTGGTGCCAGCACTGCTTGACAGCTTCAGCAAGGTGGCAATGTAATAATAACCTGCAGGATCAAGCCAATGGTCCTTCTAGCCCAGCTTCCTGTTCTCGCAACAACCAAATGCCCCTAAGAACCTTGGAATCTTGATAGACTGCCTCTGAACTCAGAGCCTCCATAGAAACATCCGAAAAGCCCCGCTGCTGGATAAGGACAAAAGGGGCCCATCTAGTCCAGCATCCTCTTCTCACAGCGACCAGCTAGATGCCCATATGGGAAACTGGCAAAAGCAACTTAGCTGGCGACCTCTGAGTAGATCCTGACAACAACTGCTCACAGTGTGCTACTTAGGGTATGTGTGGACAAGCTCAAATGTTAAGGATACTCCCAGGGTTGGGTAGATCCAGGCAATGCTCATAAGCTGGACACCTCAAGAATACCAACATTGTTATTCAGAGGGAAGCTGGAAAAAGCACCATAAAGGCTAGTTTAGGTCAGCCCTCTGTTTCTCTCCCATTCTCTTCCTTATGTGGGATGTGCTAAGCGACTCTGCCTATTTGCGTGTGGACTACGAGAGGGTGATAAAATGTGTCTGTTGCAAAACAACGAATTGTCCTGGCGTTTATAATGAAACCGATCCACACTTCCTGGTGCAGATACAAACTTAGTCCAGTCAAATATTTATTTATGGTCAACCAAATAAATTACGACGTATTATAAATATATCTATACAACATCACAACCTCAGGAGAACGAAGATGATAGGCTAGGAGTTCACAATCATAGCGGGTTTAAGAGGTACCAGAACATACAGGTATATTGTCAGCTGCTTGGTTACGGATTTATGAAACCCCCTCTCGGAAGATGCTCAAAAGGGTCTTTAAAGGTCAACCAGGAAACTCTTGTTGTGAACAAAAATCTGCCCTTTTTCCCTTATGGGGTATCCAAGAGCCAATATAGAGTCCTTACATAGGTTCCCTATTGGTAGGAGAAAATAACAGAGGCCAACCAGAGAATATTGAGAAGCAAAGCAACTAGTAAGCCTGATCTTTATTGATCTGTTGCAACAGGGTCCTCACTCACCACACGCAGGAGGGAGGAGGAACTCAGAACAATGGCGCACAAGGCCTTATATAGACATTTTAAATTCCCTGCCCTGGAGCTCAAGACTACCCCTCCATACTTCATACATACATCACAGAAGGGGTGTAACCCAAGACCACCACCCCAGATACATCATACCTACAACACAGAAAGGGCGGTTTACAGCAGAAATCTGAGTGGTTTGTTTACCTCATGTCAGCCACGTTACCTGTTTAATGGTCACTTGATTGGATTGCCTGGGGAGCCTGGCCAGTCTTTTGTAATGATAAATACTTAGTTCCTGAGCCAGGTCACAGCCTCACACCCTATTCATTTCTTAAATGTGCCCTTAAGACAGGATTTGTGAAGGAAAGGACAATGGGGAGGATTTTCCATTTTCCTTTGACCTTGCAGAGAAAACATTTGCTCAGTTTGGGAATCAAAATGGTTTCAGGTTGGTCTTCCTGTGCTGATCTATGTACATGCTTGGCTGGTACACTTATGAACATTTAACATATATCTAAGACCACAAAATTCCTATCACACTCTCTTGTAAGGGGAACAGTTGCATATTCTCAGCCACTGATAGAGAATCTACAGTAGAAAAATCACTTGAGAGATCGTTTCAATGATTGTAAGGACACCAGATTAGCACAGAAGAACGCTTTGTTGACATGTTTTACGATTTCACCCTCTCAAGATCCCAGAAGACATTTATAGCACAAGGTTTCATAGATTACACTGGGTGGGTTGTGGGGGGTGTAAATCTAGATAAAAGCACACAAGAAGAGCCTGCAGGATCAGGCCAAAGGCTCATCCAGTCCAGCATCCTATTCTCACAGTGGCCAACCAGATGCCTCTTCTGGGAAATTGAACACAAGGAAACTCTCCCTTCCTGTGTTTTCCAGCAACTAGTATTCAGAAGCATTACTCTCTCTGACTGTGGAAACACAGCATAGCCATCATTGCTAGTTGCCATTGAGAGCCCCCTCCTCCATGAATTTGTCCAATCTTCTTACCAGGAAATATCCTGGGAGATCTCTGGGTAATCTGCAGTTGAGTGGCAAGGATTTTCGGTACCTAATCTTTTTAAGAGTAGAAGCAACAAAGAGACAACCAGCTTTGCCATGAATTACACTACGAAATGAAGAAAGCCTAGGACAGGCATGTCCAAAGTCTGTTTCTGGGGCCTAATCCAGCCCGCCGGTCAGTTTAATCCGGCCCCTGTGGCAGTTTATTTCCTGGGGGGAAATCCAAAAAACCTCAACAACTTCAATCCTAAAAGAAGCTCAACAACTTTGGTTGGCCCTTTGGTCGGCCCTCACGGCCCTTCACTTCATCAAAACTGGCCCTCTTTGAAAAAAGTTTGGACACCACTGACATAGGGTAAGCTAGGTGAAGATTTTTGTATGGAGGGAATGGAGAGTTCCATTCAGTTCCGATACTGAAACTCTTTGGCTTGGAATCCTTTCATTCTAAGCGTTTCTGATAATGGTTGGTGAGTCTTGTGGGGCTCTGTTAAAAAGTAACAACAAAGTAAATCTTCCCAGATCTGAAGACTGACCACCCCTGAGCTAAACTCCTGCACCAGTGATGAACGCAGAGCTTGCCTTCAAATTAGATGACCAGCCAAATCATAGAATTGCAGAGTTGGAAGGGACGTGGGTGGCGCTGTGGTGTAAACCACTGAGCCTTGGGCTTGCCGATCGGAAGGTCAGGGGTTCGAATCCCCGCGACGGGGTGAGCTCCTGTTGCTCGGTCCCTGCTCCTGCCAACCTAGCAGTTCGAAAGCACGTCAAAGTACAAGTAGATAAATAGGTACCGCTCCGGCGGGAAGGTAAACGGCGTTTCCGTGCGCTGCTTTGGTTCGCCAGAAGTGGCTTAGTCATGCTGGCCACATGACCCGGAAGCTGGCTGCAGACAAACACCAGCTCCCTCGGCCTATAGAGCAAGATGAGCGAGCAACCCCAGAGTCGTCTGCGACTGGACCTAACTGTCAGGGATCACTTTACCTTTACCAAAGGGACAACTCTAGCCCAACCACCTGCAATGCAGGAATCACAGTATCAACCTCTGCTCAAAAATCTCTAAAATAGGAGGGTCCCCCATCTTTCAAGGATGTCTGTTCTGATCAGTTTTTTTGTTTTGGTGGCCTGTCAGATCTTCACTGCATGATCCCCACTCCACCCCCGTCCAAGAATGGTTAATTGTTTCCTCAACAGGGAATGCCATTCAAAACCAGAGCTTAAACAGCCCCGGACAAGAAATAGATCCTTTTATTGTTAGCTATAGCTTCCTCATACAGTCGTACCTATGGTTACGTAAACTCCGGGATGCCCATGCAGCAAACCCGGAAGTATTTTACTGGGTTTCGCTGTGTGCGCAGAATCGGTCCTCGGATTGCGGAAACCTCAGGATCCGACCGGACCTCTGGAACGAATCCCGTCCGCAACCGGAGGTACCACTGTACTTCCTTCGATATCTCTAAAAGGACATCTGTATTGCAGATCAATTAATTAGTTCATTGATCAGTTAACAGGTGCTAAGGATTCTCTAATTAATTGGTTTACATGCCTGTTTAAAAAACTTTTAAGACTACGGCTGCATTCCTAAGCATATTTACTTGGGAGTACAGTGGTACCTCAGGTTACATACGCTTCAGGTTACAGACTCCACTAACCCAGAAATAGTACCTCGGGTTAAGAACTTTGCTTCAGGATGAGAACAGAAATCATGCTCCGGCGGCACAGCGGCAGCAGGAGGCCTCATTAGCTAAAGTGGTGCCTCAGGTTAAGAACAGTTTCAGGTTAAGAACGGACCTCCGGAACGAATTAAGTACTTAACCCGAGGTACCACTGTAAGCCCCTATAGAACACGAGTGGGACTTTCTTCTGCAAAAATAAGTATTATGCAACTGGACTGTGATTCTCCAGTTCCCTGACACCATCAAGCCCTATTACAGTGTACTGTATTACAGTAAATGTTTTGAAGTAATTTGGTATTGGTGGCTTTATCGTGCCACCTTGTGGTGATTTGCTAAAAAAGCAGCCCCCAAACCTTTCAAGATTCTTTACAGCATATAGCTACAAAAGTCGGGTGCCTGCCCCTCTTTCTGCCAAGTGGTGGCGAGAGCCCATGGGTTCCCCAGGCACCCATGCAGGGTGTGTGTCCGTTTTTAGAATTGAAGTTGCAGTGGAGACTGTCACAGCTTTAATAAATATGGTTTATTCACTTATTTACACCTTCAGTCTGCATGGAGGGTGTCCAGATCTTACCGCATGGTCATTTCAAGAGGAAGCAGCGCAAGCAGTCTGCAGCCGGTCCCCTCCAAAGATGGATCTCTCCTCTTCCCAATAACCCTTGCTCAAAAATACACCCCATCACCTTGGCAACCCCTGTCTCTATTTACACCTCAGGGCAACAGGGAAGGAGTTCTCCTGTATTGTTAATGGCCCTCTATTGTTCTCTTGGGACGCGGGTGGCGCTGTGGGTTAAACCACAGAGCCTAGGACTTGTCGATCAAAAGGTCAGCGGTTCGAATCCCCGCAATGGTGTGAGCTCCCGTTGCTCAATCCCTGCTCCTGCCAACCTAGCAGTTTGAAAGCATGTCAAAGTGCAAGTAGATAAATAGGTACCGCTCTGGCAGGAAGGTAAACGGTGTTTCCGTGCGCTGCCTGGTTCACCAGAAGCGGCTTAGTCATGCTGGCCACATGACCCGGAAGCTGTACGCCGGCTCCCTCAGCCAATAAAGCGAGATGAGCACCGCAACCCGAGTCGTCCACGACTGGACCTAATGGTCAGGGGTCCCTTTACCTTATTGTTCTCTTGATAGTCATAGCTCTGCCAGGTTGGTTTGCATAAACCTGCCCAGGAATTCCCTGTCTGGCACAGCTCTGCAGTTTGTGTTTTGATCCATATCCCAATTAATCAAAATCCTAGCATTTATCCATTCCTAGTGTTTAGGGGGAACTCCCCCACCCCATCTATAGCAATATATAAAAATGTGTTTCTAAAATCCTGATTGAAATGTATAAGCTTAAAAATAATTCAAAGGTTTCTGGAACATACCTTCAAACCCTCCCTGCTTCCTCGGAAGTTTGTTACTAATAAAAGAAAAATGCTAGATACATATCCAGTGGTGTAGTGGTTTACGGAGTCATGCAGAGGGGTTGAAACCTATTACTGTTTCTGCACCAGGATTGCTGTCTCCAGAAACACAGAGCTGCCCAATCAGCACGAAAGGGAAGCCAATTGGAGCTGATCTGAGTAAAAGGTGAGACAGCCATTGAGGATCGGCTCCCGGGGTCACTCTGGAGAAGGACACCGAAGCAGAATTGTCCTGCATGCTTCAAAGCTAAGCATCTAAGAACACGGAAAGGCGAAGGGGCTTCAGGAGAACAGGGCCAAGTACTGTTAAGAACAAGTGGAATTTACATAACAATGCAAGTCACTCAGGAACAAGATCATAGGAGCAATCCAAATCATTTACCCTAGTAGATCTAACTGAAAGGCAATGCCAGGAGATCTTCATTGATCATTGCAAAACAGCCCCAATTATGATCATTACATAATCATAAGGCGATTGCGTAATCTTGGAAAATTATATCATTATGTAATTTCCCTTCCAAGAGAAGTTGTAGACAGGCTCCCTCCTTGTTGTCTTTCTGCCAGCGGGGGAAGCCATTTCTATTGCAACAGGTATAGGGAACTGATTGTTTCTAAGGAAAGGACTGTGCAGTGGTGAAGCTGCATGCTCTGCTACCGGGGGCGGAGAGCAGGCGGGGGTGTGGCTGGCACGCCCCGGGGGCATGGTATGCCACCTGCAGGGGTGTGGCATGCATCGGGGGTGTGGTACACCGCCCACGAGGGCATGGCACGCGTTCTGGCGGTGTGACGTACTGTCTGTGGGGGCGTGGCGCCTGTTTGGCAGGGGGTGTGTGCAGCGCGTGTCCGGGGGGGCTGCCGCGATGGCACCCTACTGGAATAGTGGTGCCAGGGGCAGTCCGCTCCCTCCGCACTCCCATTCCTCCGCCAGTGGGACTGTGGTGTTTTAATTGCAACTATCTGTATGTTTTAATAGATCTTCTATACACTGTGTGTGTGTGTGTGTGTGTGTACAACCCCCTACAATTCAGGAATCACATCTCAAGGTTCCGACAGGTGGGCATCTAACCTCTGCTTTTAAAATCCCCAATGTGAGGCGAGTTGGCTGTGACTATCATGAAGGGATACTGTACAGTGGTACCTCAGGTTACAGACGCTTCAGGTTACAGACTCCGCTAACCCAGAAATAGTACCTCAGGTTAAGAACTTTGCTTCAGGATGAGAACAGAAATTGTGTGGCGCTAGCAGCGGCAGCAGGAGGCCCCATTAGCTAAAGTGGTGCTTCAGGTTAAGAACAGTTTCAGATTAAGAACGGACCTCCAGAATGAATTAAGTTCTTAACCCGAGGTACCACTGTACTTCTGAATTTGCCACTACACTACTATATGGATGTGTTTGTGTGTATGTCAGAAAAAATATGATACAGCCTGGGCCTTCTCCAGGACCAAACATCTTGGCCCCTATGATTGGCAGGTGAAACCTGGTCGGTGGTGCCGCCTTCGGAGGAAGCCTGGTTGCTGCTGCCTCGCGATGGGGCCTTTTCAGTGGTGGTTCCCCAGGTGTGGAATTTCTCTCCCTAACAAGGCGTGCCTCTCTCCATCATTAACTTTCAGCAGGAATTTCAGCAGGAACCCAGAATTCTGGGTTATTTGTGGGTCATATGAATTTTTTCATATTTTTTTCAAAATATAGTCCGGCCCTCCACAAGGTCTGAGGGACACTGGACTGGCCCCCTGCTGAATAAGTTTGCTGACGCCTGGACTATAGGGTCAGATAGAGGACAGTGGGGTGAATTTATGGAACCCAAGGGGGCGGCCGCCTCAAAACGTTAGGGAACCACTGGATTACGTATAGAATAGAATAGAATAGAATAGAACAGAACATCTTAAAAAGCAGCGAATCACCTTGCCAACAAAGGTCTGTATAGTTAAAGCTATGGTTTTCCCAGTAGTGATGTATGGAAGTGAGAGCTGATCGCCGAAGAATGGATGCTTTTGAATTCTGGTGCTGGAGGAGACTCTTGAGAGTCCCATGGACTGCAAGATCAAATGTATCCATTCTTAAGGAAATCAGCCCTGAGTGCCTGAGAAGACCCCCTGGGAAAGATGGAGGGCACAAGGAGAAGGGGACGACAGAGGACGAGATGGTTGGATAGTGTTCTCGAAGCTACCAGCATGAGTTTGACCAAACTGCGGGAGGCAGTGGAAGACAGGAGTGCCTGGCCTGCTCTGGTCCAGGGGGTCAGGAAGAATCGGACACGACTAAACGATTGAACAACAACTCTCTCTCTCTGTATATATATATATATATATATAGTGTGTGTGTGTGTGTGTATACCGTATATATATATATGTATATAGTGTGTGTGTGTGTGTGTGTGTGTGTGTGTGTGTGTGTGTGTGTGTGTGTATATATATACATATACACACACATATATCCTGTATGTACTTATACATGCAGTAAAGCTCATGGAAGGAAGAAGGGAGAGGTCCTTGGAAGCGAGCCAAAGGCCTTGCGTGCAGAAAGCAGCAAGGGCGACCTCTTAGGCCACTGCAAGGCAGCGTGCCAGCCCCGACGTTCGCTCGCCGCGCAGCTCTTGCAATGGCCGCAGCCCAGCCTCGCCGAACCCTGGGACCCCTCCCCGAGCCGCGCGTTGCTTCCAGCGCGCCAAAGGCGCACACAAAAGAAAACACAGCGCGGCGGCATCAGCGGGAGGAGGAGGAATCGGGAAGGTTTCGATGGGCGCCTCGCTCAGCCACTGGCGGCTGCTTTTCTCTCCGCTCGTGGCCAATCGGCTTTGGGAGGAGGGGAGCCCCGGCCTCTCCTCCCGCTGAGCTTGGAGAGCGCGCGCGCGCAAGGGCGACTGGCCGGGCGGAGGCGGGGCGTCTGCCAGGGGGCCCCATGCGCCGTGTCATGGAGGCTCAGTGTGCGAGCGGCCATTGAAGGGAAAGGAGCTGCGTGTTTCGCAGGAGGAGGAGGGATCGGGGGTGGGGGGGGCTCTGGGCTGGGAGAGGAGCCGCGGCAGCAGCCTTAGCACCTGGGAGTTCCCAACTTTCATTTGCACCGGCTCCTTTGGGTTGATTTAGAGGAGGACGGGGCTCCTTCCTTTTTTATACATTGCCACCCCGTTTTGGGGGGTCCCTTCCTTTGGGTAATATTTTTTGTTTTGCGCTCCTCCCTCCACTTTTTTTGTTTTTTTGGAGAGGGGCTTTTCCGAAGCAGGGCCGGCGCGCAAAGGCGGGAGGGCGATGGAGATGAAGAAGCGCATCAACCTGGAGATGAGGAACCGGGCGCCCGAGAAGGTGAGAACAAACTCCAAAATGAAAATTTAAAAAAAAATCCCTTAACCCTCCCCCCCCCCACGGAATATCCCAAGCGGCTCTCCGCCTCCCCTTAATCCCTTTCTCTCTTTAAATGGTGGGTTTCCCTCCTCCACGCTGCCTTCTTGGCGAGGCGAAATCTCCATTGCGCTAAAAGTGCGCGATGATGGGCGCATTTGGAGAGGGCGCGTTGGACTCGATCGCGCTTATTTTTTTTCGCCATGCTGGACTTCCTCTCCCGTTCTGCAAAAGGACAACTTGGGCTAATTTATCTCCTTTCTGTGGGGGGGCTGCGTATCCGATCCAATGCAAAGTCTCCCCCAAAGGCGAGGTTTTATTTTTCAAACGATGGCATCTGCTTGCTTTCGTGCTGGCGCTGGTTCCTTTCCACCCTCCCGGCGCTGCGCCTGGAAACCAGACCCCCATCTCCGCCCGGTTTGTCTGTCTCTCTCTGCCCCTCTAAAACGGGGGTTTGCGTGGCGAGCTTAAGTAAATTTGCCAACCGTGATTGAAAGAGGACATGGGGGGGTTAACTCTTCCGCTCCTGGCGCCGCCTTCTCCCCATGATGGGCGCAAAAGAAAAAGAAATAGAAATCTGGGTCATGCTTCGGTGCCATCTCTCCCCGCCCCAAAAGCGGTTAATTAAATATATATCTATGTACGTAACCGCCAAGCTAGGAGAGCGTGAATTCCCCCCCCCCCCGGCAACGCGTAAGAAAAGAAAGTATTTCCGAATTAAAAGTTTTCCTCCCTCGCTTTCTTTGCATTAGTTAACTGCTCTTCCGTCAAATCTAGGTCACGCGTCCCCTTTCGCCGACGGTGGGGAAAAGGATCGGGCTTTGGCTGGGTTGTGGCTTTTTTTGCAAAACAAAACTAGGGAGGGCCCCTTTGTTCTGTAACACCCCGAGGAAATATTCAGGAGAGCCCTTCTGGGAACCCCCCCTTTAAACTTTTTTTTTTAAAAAAAATCCTGTTGTTAGAAGGGGGCATTTATTTATGCGAGTTTAACTTGGCTGCGTAGATTGCTTGCTTGATAAACAAGTCGCTGGGCTTACGCCGAATCCATCTTAGTCCAACTACGCAGATGCTTTTGGGCTTTCCTGTAGCCTTGCACAAAAAAGCGATGGGGGAGGATTTTAATTTTTTTTTTAATGCTACCCGCGCCCTTTTTAAACGAGGCATTTTTGACGCACTAAGAACTGAAGCCTCGTCTTTATTTTTAATTATTCGTGTCTTGCCCAACCCTTTCCTCGGGTGCCGTTCTGCCCTGCTCTCGGAAAGAGAGCACATGGCTGGCGTCATATGCCCCCCCCCCCCCCGGCTCGCTTCCCTGTGCAAGCTCGCTCCCCTAATGGTTCCAGAAGATAAGGCGATTGCGTTGTGGCTGAGTCCCTTTTGCTCCGCGCTGGGGGTGGGTGGGTGGGGATGAGACAAAAGCGCCCGCCTTCTTCCCTCCGCCCTCTCTAAAAGCTAAGGTTCATGGCAGGAGTTCGCAGAGAACAGCCTTGCCAGAGAGGGAGGGAGAGAGAGGCTGGTAACTTCCTCCGCCCCATAATGTCTCTTCCGTGGAAGTGCTGGTGTCAAAAGAGTATTACAGGTAACGCAGCATGGCCTGGTTTGCTCCAAGCTCACTCGCAGCCACAGAGAAAGCAGCAAAGAGAACGGGATGTGGTGGCTGCCCCAAGCCATAAATGTACCCAAACTGGTTGCAAATATTTCCCCTTTTGTGCCTTCCGGTTCATAATGGATAGGGGCAGTCCTGGGTGTTACAGCCCCCCAAAAGGCTTAGCACAGAAGTCTCGGGTGTTTTCTTTGCACCCCGCCTTTGCTTGGATATGGGGCTGGGGGAAACCACCTGGGTATAGAGGCTGGGGCTGGGGGAACTTGTTTTTTAGATTTTCTCCCAGCTGCTTCTCACAAAATGTGTGTGGACTTTCTGACGGGTTGCAGCGTTTGGGGCTTTTCAGTTTAGAGAAGAGGCAAGTAAGAGGTGACATGGTGGAATTGTATAGAATTATGCATAATGTTGAGGAAGTGGATAGGGAAAAGTTTTTCTCCCTATCATGTGGATACCCTGTGAAGGTTCGGGATAAAAGCATGCACGTTTTGTGAACTGCCCTGAGATCTTGCGATGAAGGGCTGGGCATATATCTAATAAATAATAAAGTAACAAGGACGTAGTTAAACTGTGGAACTCACTCCCACAGGAGGCAGTAATGGCCACCAGCACGGATGGCTTCAAATGAGGATTGGCAAGTTTTTGGAGAAGGATCAGGCTATGGGTGGCTATTAGCCATGCACAATCGGAGGCGGGGATGCTTCTGGAAGCCGCAGGAGGTGGGGGGAAGAGTGTTGCTTTTGTGCTTGATTCCAGCTTGCGGGCTTCCCACAGACATCCAGTTGGCCATTGTGAGAACAGACTAGATGGGCAACTGGCCTGATGCAGCAGGCTCTTATGTTCTTATGAAATATGTCAAATTCACTTGTTGTGAACAAAGATCACAATTTGCTTTCTGCTGGGGCTGGGGCAGCGGTGGCCTGGCTAAACTTCAGTTTATAATTCCACTGCCATGTGTTGTTTCAAAGAGCAGAGTCAACCCCCTTGTGGCCTTTTCCAATTCCCTGCTGCTCAACTCACGACTCTCTGGCTCCAGCAGATGTTCCTGCATTTAGGTCAGGACAAACACTTGCTCTGTCTCGCCCCTTTTGCAGTTGATTGGCAGGAGGGAAAGTCTTCCTTCCCTTCCTCCCTGCTCCTTGCAGGTTAAGCCTTGAAGAGCTAACAGCTCCTGTGGCATTTAGTAATGCAAAGCAACTCTGCGTTGTTGAGAGTACTGTACTGTAAAGACAAAAAGTAACCCAGGTGTTGTTTTAAACTTGACTAAATTGTGCATTTCTGGTTTCTTGAAGAGCGGTGGGTGGGAATGAATCAAGCTTGTTCCAAAAATGTTGTTGTCTCTTTTCAGTACAGTGGAACCACGGCTTGCGAACGTGATCCGTACGGGAGGCACGTTCGCAACCCGCAGCGCCGCGTCTGCCTACGTGCGTGATGCGATTCGGCGCTTCTGCACATGCGCAAGCGCCAAAACCCAGAAGTAACCCGTTCCGGGTCTTCGAGGTTTTGGCGCGTCTGTAACCCAAAAATGCGCAACCTGATGTAGCACTCGTTGCATGTACTTTGGCTAAATTTTATCCTTGAGTGGACCCACTGAAATTAATGAACTTGAGTCTTCATGGAGGAGAGGGTTGTTGATGGCTGCAAGTCATGATGGCTATGTTTTGCCTCCAGTCAGGCAGAAATGTTTCTGAATACCAGGAGGAGAGAGCACTCTTGTGCTCGGGTCCTGTTCGTGGGTTCGCATTTGGGGTATCTGGGTGAGTGGGATGCTGGACTAGGATGTGCCATAGGCCTGATCCAGAAGGCTCTTCTTTTGTTCTTAATTTCAACAGGTCTGTGAGTAAAAGTTAGTTGAGCAACACCCATAATATCTGTTCGAATGTGACAGGGAGCATAGGTCTTTCTTCAGCTTGAAGTTGACTTGTGTCCTGTTTTTGTAGGTGGCTGAGCTGGTTCTGGACAATTGCCGGTCTAGCAATGGCGAAATCGAAGGTCTGAATGACACATTTAAAGAGCTAGAGTTTCTCAGCATGGCCAACGTGGAGCTGTCATCACTCGCCAAGCTCCCCACTTTGACTAAGCTTCGAAAGGTGAGTATTGACCAGAAAGCAACAATGAGTTAGTTCTGTTTGGCCAGTGGGTTGCAAGCGCATAGGATTAGCTCCCTAAATCCTTGGGTATATTTAGCCCATTCCTGTTGAGCTCAGTTAGCGACACTGCTTGCATAGAAGGAGTGCGGGTCCTGTCGGCTCGTCTATGAATTTAGGTCTCTCCAGGCCTGCTCTTGACGCTATCCTAGCCTCCTTGAGCATAGTGCTGCTGGCTGCGGCTGGTGGGAGTTGTGGTCGAGGACATTTTGAGGACACTGTGTTGCTCTCAATTGCATGTCTATATTTTGGGGTGTTTTTCCAGGCAATATCCTTTTTTAAACATGTTTGCACATGACTTTTTATTTTTCATTTATTTCATAAAAATTGTATACCGCTTGACAGTGAAAAAAAATATTGCAGCGGTTTACAGAAATTATCAATAGAAAAAAATAGTAATAATTTAATACTTTTGAAAAGTTAAGAACAATAGACTAAGAACAGATTGAAACTCACAGCAAAAGCAACTGCCTGATAGCAATGGGAAGAGAGTTCCAAGGTTTAAAGGGATTAAATTTACCTTCATTGTTTCTTATATTCGTGTACATTCAAAAACAGCCCTGTGGAGATGGGTTAAGCGGAGGAGGAACAACCTGTCCACTCCAGCAAGCTTCATGGCTGAGCAGAGATTGTTACAGTTAAGCTTGCAGGGAAATGATTGTATACTTGTAGGTTAGGTGCAAACTTGGATAATGATGTGAGGAAGATTATTAGAACTGGTATTCTTGTCTGGCTCTGAAGAAGTCAAAATGCATCTAAAAAAAGGTTTGTTTAGATTCCTAGAGCTGCATGGTTTTACTAAAATACGGACATGGGAAAAGTTGGAAAACATCTGCCTAATCATATGATACTTTTCTGCATCGTAGCTGGAACTGAGCGATAATCTAATTTCCGGAGGCCTGGAAGTCCTGGCAGAGAGATGTCCAAATCTCACATACCTAAATCTGAGTGGTAATAAAATCAAAGATCTCAGCACCGTGGAAGCCCTTGTAAGTATAAAGCGGCATTTATACAAAGTAGTCCCGATTTCATATTTACTTAGAAATCAGTGCTGCTGTGTCCACTGGAGCATACTCAAAACTGGCAGCTTTGCGTAGGATTGCAGTGTTTAGAAGCCTGGAATAATTTCAGCCCAGCATTGCTGGACAGGGTAACTAGATGGCATGACTGCATAATAGGTGTTGGTAAATGTTTCTCTGCTTGTAACCAGGTATATAAAGGCACAAATCTCATAAGCTGAGTTTAAAGCACAATGCTAAAGCAAGTCGGCATAATTTATAAAGGACAGTCTAGATGTCTTTAGAGGTTCGTATTCTGGACAGGAGACAGACAGATCAGCTTTAAGAAGGGTAGCTGCGACTATTTTGCATGTTGTTGCGCAGTTTGCATGGAGTGGTTAAATCAGTTTTGCCTCCATCAAACTGGAGCCTGGAACTTGTAACTCCACCTTCGTAGTAGAGCTCTTTTGCCAACAACTGTTTCCCTACGTGAATAAATTATTAAGAGCACTGAAGGAATGTATTGACTGCCTCTCCCTATGTAAACCCACCAGCACCCTGCAATCATCCTCTGAGGTCCTTCTTCATGTGGACCCTCCACGGTGGGTCCAGAGGGTGGCAACATGAGAACGGGCCTTTTCTGCGGTGGCTCCCCATTTGAGGAATGCTCTCCCCAGGAAGGCACATTTGTTGCATACCTTTAGATGCCAAGCAAAAACATTCCGCTTCTCCCAGACCTTTAGCTAAGTAATCAATCTATGGCCTTTAAGCTGTGTAGGGGGTTTAATTGTTTTTGTTCGTTACTATGGTATGTATTTTTGTGTTTTCATATTGCAAACTGCCCTGTGAACCTCTTACGAAGGGCGGTGTAGAAATTTAATAAATAATGATGGTAAATGTTGTAGAAGTGTTCAAAACAGAGTCATCTACCCAGAATCATGACTTAAATATATAGGGAAGTCTTTATATCTCTATTATTATCTTCCCTACTGGGTTGTGGAAACCACTATTCTGATAAATGCTTTTTATAGAGTAGAGGGCACTGGGGATGAGTTTATAGGTCCAAGGGGGCAGTGGCCAATTTTTTGGAGGAAACCACCGTTCTAGCTCAGTGGTAGGGTTACAGTTAGAAAATTCACTGATGTTTGCCTGCTTATGTTTGTAAGTCATGTTAGTTTGTGGAGTTGTGGGGTGTGTGTATATAAAATAAACAACAATCCAACCCACGCTTGCTTGGAAGTAAGTTAATTAGGGCTAATTCCTAGATTGCAGATGTAATGTTACAGACTGGGCTACCAACATTTGTGCAGAGTTGGCAGGCCTAATAATGAAGCATCTAAAGGTGTCGTTAAAAGGTGTTTTCTGTTGACGTAGAAATCTAATGTGCCGTTCTGTTCTTTTCAGCAAAATCTTAAGAATTTGAAGAGTCTTGATTTGTTTAACTGTGAGATCACAAACCTGGAGGATTACAGAGAAAGCGTGTTTGACTTGCTCCAGCAAATTACGTATCTAGATGGGTTTGATCAGGAGGATAACGAGGCCCCCGACTCAGAAGATGAAGAGGATGAAGGTAACTCTTTGTAAACATGTCTGGTGATTAGTTATTATACCCTTTCTAGGTTGGATATCAAGTCACAGGCTTGGAGCAAATGGCATGTCAATTGTGTGGTCTAACATTCACTGTTCACACTATACTTTTTATATATGTGCCAAAAAGACTTACAGTGCACAGCAAAACATAAATGTCACGTAAAGAATACATTTTGATGTTTTTTTTTTAAAAAATGTTTGCTATGTATAACATTGTATGAGCCACTCGTATATTCGGTTTTGTTCCTAGAATCGCTGTTCTAACGTCTGGAAAAGAGCTAACATTTGATTGGATGTTGAACTGATCTATACATTCCAAAAAAAATTGTACGTGTTATAGTCCTCCTGGGAATGCAGGTGGAGAATCACGTTTTGAAATGTTGCCCCCCCCCCAAAAAAAACCACACACATAGGGATGAAGGCTAAACGAAAATCCTCCTTGACACGATAGCACAGGTGGGGACGTTCTTGAGCATCCAAGCCTGCAAACTACTGCGATGCATTCAGAAGTAGTCATGTCCCAGGAGGACTGTACCATGTGCTTGTTTTTTGAGTCTGTGGGTTTGAACCTGTAAATTCTGTGTCAGCACGTGCCGTGTGCATCTCATTAGCGTTAGCTTTCCTTCAGATGGGGATGAAGATGAGGATGAAGAAGATGAGGACAAAGCTGGTCCCCCAGGAGAATATGAAGAGAATGATGAGGAAGACGACGATGGCTCAGACTTAGGGGAGGGTGAAGGTGAAGACGAGGAGGATGAGGAAGAAGTGGGCCTCTCGTACTTAATGAAAGAAGAGATTCAGGTAAGTTTTATGCTCTTCCTCCCCTCTCAAGTTCCAAACATTCAACCTAGATATTGGTGCATGCTGTGCAAAAAAGAGTATATTTTGTCCACGCCATGCTCCCATAGACAGCACAGAAATCATGGAAATTGTATAAATGTGCCGGCATATATATTCTTAAAGCAAAAGCTGTGGTTTGAGATCTTGGACTCTAGCCTATTTTGCGAGAGAATGCTGCTGATGGGACTGTTCAAAATAAATCAACCAAGCTGCGAATGACAGAAGACTAAAAGTAATGTTGCTAGGATTAGACCAAGGAACCTTAGGAAACAGGTAAAGATTCATCAGAGGAAGATGGGAATAAGTGCATAATCCCATGGCTGAGAAATTATCGTTATAGAACTCAGGGACTGTTGTTTTGCATGAAAAATGTACCCACATCTTAAAATGTACTTTATAGATCCCGAAAGAACCAGAGTTTTCTTTATTGGGGGCTCAGCACCACAAATGGTGCAGATGTGTGAAGGGTATATGAATCCTAGTGGGAAATGAAATGGCTGAGGACAAGTTAGTTAGAAGTCCCAAGAGTACAAACTGAGAACAAGATAAGCAAATGAGCAGTGAAACACGAAGGCAAGATACTTGACTTGGTTCTGGCTATATGTTGCTGAGGTGCATGTCAAGGCAGGTCGAAGACACTGGCTATATTCTCCCTGCACACCAGAGAAATCCTGCAATTCAGTAGCAAACAGTTTGGCCATTGCATATTATTTTTGTAATCGGCTTCTCCAAATTGTAAAAATTTAAGAACATAAGATGAGCTGGCTGGATCAGGCCAATGGCCTATCTAGTCTCTTCTGTTGTGAAGACAGATGCAAAGAATTCATTCAGCTTCTACACAGATTCCTTCTCCTCCTTTCACTCCCTTGTCAGCCAAGGGTCCAACCACCTCCCTAGAGGGTTTCCTGCTACTAATATATTTAAAAAACTTATTATTGGTAGTTTTAATGTTTTTAGCAATGTTTTCCTTTTTTTATCATCCCTTACTGTCTGCTTGCACTTTTTTTTTTTTTTTTTTGCCAAAGTTTGTGTTCCTTTTTATTCTCTATATTTGGACAAGACTTTGGTTTTTTGAAGGACGCCTTCTTGCCTCTAAAAGCTTCTTTGACTGCTTGATGCCAGCATCTTGGCCCTTGTGGTACCTTTCGTGACCTGTGATATACACCTCAACTGAGTTTCTAATAGTGTGTTCTTAAACAACTCCCAAGCATTTTGGAATGAGTTGACCCTCTTGACTTAGCTGTTTTTGACTTTTGCCTTAGTTGAGCACAGAGAAATTTGGCTTTGCTTTTTATAGAATGCAACAGTCTGGGAATGCCATGTTTTGCAGCCTTATTAGAGTATGATTAGGAGTATTGGTTTCACTTTGTAAATCATACTGAACTTCTGAGACCATCAACTTCTTTCCCTCTTAAGGATGAAGAAGATGATGATGATTATGTAGAGGAGAAGGAGAATGAAGAAGAAGAAGGTAAGTTTCATATTCAACTGAATGTGAATAAAGTTGCATTTTAATTCTTAAAACATCTGAAACTTCCTAATTTGGATCCAAAAGGTTCCTTTCCTCAGGCTTGAAAGAGCTACATTCCATTAGAGGAAGGGGACCTGAACCCAACATAAGTTGAATTTATACTTGGTTGATGTAAATCAGAGGAGGGAAGCCTTTGGCCCTTCAGAAGTTGTGAGGTTGCAACTCCCATCATCATCATCCCAGGCCATTGGCTATGCTAGCTGATGGGAGCTGAGAACATCTGAAGGACCATAGGTTTGCCATCTCTGCCTTAAATAGCTGATAATTTTTTTGCAACCTATATTTAGGTTTTATAAAGTTGCTACAGCTGGACTATATTTTTCTAAGAGGTTGTAAGTTGGTGCAATCAAATGGAAGTGTTAAATTAGTGTTTTCCTTTCTGTAACATCCAGCTTTCATTCCATAATTTTTCCACAGCAGAAGGGGATTTCTGGGAGAGATTTTTCTGTGGTCCACTAGAAATAGCCTCCTTTTATTACTGAAGTGCTTATCTTCCCGTACAGCAAAAGACAAGAGCTGAAATAGACTTCAGTACATGACTCATTAGCCACATAAGACGTTGCCCTGAAGACTTCATAGATTCTCCCATTGTCTGTCCAGATGATGCTGGAAAAACAGGGGTTGTGGGGTTGTTTCGTACCTGACAGGTCACCATACAGCCAATGTCCCGCTTTTGAGGTTGTTTAGTTTTGTCTTGGGGTGTATCTACACTATAAACCAAGGCACCCAGGTTATCAGCCCACAAAATTTGGGGAATTGATTTGGGTGAAGGTTTCTAGTGAAGACTTCTCAGCAGCCCTTAACCTCTGTTTCATGGACTGTTTTGGGGGGGGGGGGGAGACTAACAATACCGTAATTGATTCATTGCCTTTAGGAAAACATCTGATCTGTATTTTTTTATATACTTAAAATAGAAGGAGGTAATATGCCAGTTGCTCTGATACATTGAACAGTTGATGGCTCAGACTACGCATAATTTCTTCTTTCTGTTCAGCCAATTTCATGTCGAGGTATTTGTTTTGTGTTTGATAAACTAGGTGTAAGTGTCCAGAAGAGGTAGAAATGAGGCAGTGTGTGTGACATGCTGTAGTGTGCTTAAAGGTAAAGGGACCCCTGACCGTTAGGTTCAGTCGTGAAAGACTCTGGGGTTGCGGTGCTCATCTCGCTTTACTGGCCGAGGGAGCCGGCGTTTGTCCGCAGACAGTTTTTCTGGGTCATGTGGCCAGCATCACTAAGTCACTTCTGGCAAACCAGAGCAACACATGGAAACACGTTTACCTTCCCGTTGGAGCTTTACCTATTTATCTACTTGCACTTGCACTCTGACGTGCTTTCAGACTGCTAGGTTGGCAGGAGCTGGGACCAAGCAACAGGAGCTCACCCCGTCGCGGGGATCAGCAAGCCCTAGGCTCTTTGGTTTAGACCACAGCACCACCCGCGTCCCTGTAGTGTGCTTAGCCTTAGCTTTAACATCAGTGAACATTCTCCTTTCCTTTTTGCAGCGGAAGGCGTCAGAGGGGAGAAGAGAAAACGTGCAGCAGAAGATGAGGGAGACGATGACGACGATTAAGTTGTAGGGGAAAAAAATAGGACCAGATGCATTTTTTGTTGCAGGATACACAATAGCGATATGCAGACTTGTATGTCTCCATGTATCCTAGGTATCCCTACAGAAGATATTAATGTGTTAACTTTTTATAGGAAGTGTGTTTTTACTATTTTTGCCCTTTTTATCATTCCAACTAAGACATAATAGCCCACTCTGGATCATGTGCAGAGAGAACACTGTTTCATCCCTTTTTAATCACTGAACCAGTTGTCTCCCCCCCCCTCCACCTCCCCTAGAAACATTTTTCTCCAGATTCCCCCCCTATTTTTATGTGAGCATGCTGTTAGTTCTAGTAACAGTTAAAGCAAAACATTTAACTAATTTAATCCAGACTTTTAAAGATTGTACACTGAATTAAGATCCACTGCAGTGCGATAATCCAGCTTTTCCTTAGAGAGGCTTATATATGAGGTGAACCAAAGGCTGCATGAAGTCAAGAATTTGGATAATAGCAATTGGTTTATTTTAAAAGGGCATCTGAAGAATGCACAAACAGGTGAAGTCTTTGCTCTTCTGCTTTCTCATACACTTTATATAGACACACACACCCCTTTCCATTTTTTTAAAAAAAAAATCTATGTAACTATGGAAAGCATGGGATCAGCTCTCTTGAGTCAAACCTTTTCCATAAGAATGTAAGAAGAGACCTACAGAATCAGGCCCTAGGCCCATCCTTTACTCGCTGTTGAGAAAAGACTCCCACAGGAGGCAGTGATGGCCACCAACCCGGATGGCTTTCAAAGAGCGTTAGACAAATTCACAGAAGATATAAAGCTCTGTCCTACCTCCACTGTTGGGGACAGAATGCCTCTGTATGCCAGCTGTTGGGAATCACAAATGGGGAGAATGCTGTTCTGCTTGTGGGCTTCCCATAGGCATTTGGTTCTCCACTGAACTGGACTTGGCTTTGGCCCGATTGAGCAGAGCTCTTTGGAAAAGGCGAGACCCAAAACGCTTAAGAGAGAAAACAAAACCAACATTTCATTAACACCCACACCAGTAACCTGGAAATGCTTACTTAAAAGTTCTTTCAAGTTTGCTGTTTCCTTTGTGTTATCTTTCTGATCATTAGAAGATGAAAACAGGATTCATATTTCTGGTGCAAATTCTAGACGCCTCCCCCCTCCCTTTGTTTTTATTTTTAAACCCTGAAGCTTTTCAGGCTTTCATTAAAATATATACATAGTAGAGGCACATTTCTTTATATGTCACCTTTCAAGGGAACAGTTGGCAGGTAGACTAAGCCATGTGGCGAGGCCTAGAGCACATTTGGGGTGGGGAGGGTGGGCAAGCAGCTTACTTCTGGGAAAGGGTCACTGAAATGCCTTGCTGTTTCCCTGCCCTCGGTGAAGCTTGCAGTGAGGTTGGCTGTTGTCAAAAGGTGTCCTGAAAAGGGCTGTGGTGGATCAACCTTGCAATTGTCTGCATGCTAACCTTAAGCTGATGACAGGCCTGCAGTTGCTTCCCTTAGAAGTGCAGGTCATGCTGTGGGAAAACATTTGGGCAAGAATCCTTCAGAAATTTGTTCCGCAAAGCAAAGACAATGAGCCTTGGGCTGGCAACAAAACTGGTTTTTATGGATCTTCTTTGCAGATTGCTTTTTAACAACAAAAAACAGCAAACGGCATACTGGGCTCTTGAGAACTCCTGCTGTTCTTACTTAAACGATAGACTAACTTGGATTGTTAAATATTTTACCCAAATAGTAACACACAGCTGTATTCCAGAGATACTATTTTTTTATTATCTGTCCTGCTTAGGAGAAGCTGTCGCTAATGTGGTTTTAGATAAAAAGGGGTATTTTTACATAGATGGATGGGAGTTGCCCCTCCCCTTACTACAGTTGCCTGTGAATATAAATAACACATTAGACACACGTTCTGACATGTTTAGTATGTGACATTGGACTCTTAAGTTTTGATGACACTGCATTTGAGAAGCTCTGCGAAACAGTATTTCTCTCCCCCGCCCCCCAGAAATATTCACAGCTAACTCTAAAGAGGCATTTGAACAGAAGGAAATGCAAAAAGGCATTTCAATAGGAAGACTTGGATTTTTAAAAAATGACTTAGCTGAAAGGACTTGGTAAAGCTTTATTCCAATCCTGTTACATTTGTGTATGAATGAATCTTAGAAACTTTTAAAAAGCGTATACTGTTGTCCTGCTGGTTCTGTGTTTAAAAACAGTTACTTTGTATTCATTCAGATTCCCCCTCACCTTTCCATATACCCTTTTGTTTTTAATTTAGTTAGGCTCGGCAAATAATAAAACCCTTCCATTACAAAGAGAGTATTTAAATGTTGGGTCTGGCTTGTACTAATCCATTGCACATGTAAGGTTTTCTGGCTACAGTACTATCTGAGCTGTGGTTGACACCACAGAACAACTGAGCAGCCATCTTAACCCAATTCATCTCAATGGGAGTAGATTTCCTTATGCAGGAAATCTGCCTTCTGCTCCAGTTTCATATTTTAAAATTAGTGGTTGAGGGATCTCTCAAGTGTGCATCAAACTCCTGCACTGGTTCAAAAACATGAATGGCCGAATCAGTGATTTTTAGAAGATTCCCCCCCCCCAAGTTACCTTCAATGAATGACTACTACTAGTCTGTATTTGACCATTTAAAAGGCTGAAAGGTGGTTTTGTGTGTTATTTTTTTTACATAGGAGTAAAATGAAACCAAGCGCACCAGCATGGTTATACATAGTATGTATTTCAATAGTTTTACATCTTCTCTAAGGATCTTTTATGTAGTAAACGTAACAACCAGCTAACTACATTGCCACAGTTTTGAGTTGTCAGCTTTAGTGTGTGAGCAAAATAGAACTTTTTCTTCTTTTTAAAACGGGTGGGGGGTGAGTATTACAGAGCCTCTGGATAACTTTTTTTTTTTTTTGGCTTGGTGGGTTCTTTAATGAAAATACGTAAGGGTGGGTTTTATATTTTGTAGCAATTTTGTCCTATTTGGATGCTCTTTATATGGCAGTATGTATATAGTGTGTTCGATTCCTTTTCAAATTCTAAAGAGAGAGAAAAAAGACACAAACTTGGAGGTAATTGGTTTTTGTGCAACTGTGTTTTGGGAGGGGGAGAAAAAGCCATGACAGTGTTAAATAAATACCTACAGCACACTTCTGATGGATTTTAGTTGTAACAGAATGTGAGTGTTCCTCCTGCCCTCCTCCCCGCCCCCCCGTGTGATGTAAATTTTAAATTAAAGATTTTCAATCTGAAAATGTGAGGATTTGTTATTGGGGGGGGTAGTCTGAACTTCTTGGAAGTAAAATTACTGTTTTGAAAACTTTGAAGGGAGGTGTGTATCAATCCTTATTTGAGAACTTTCTTATACACCCCAGAGGGCCTAGATCCGTTGGGGTTTACCATAGTTACTTAGCCTGCAAACCCCTATAAAAGTATTGTGATGCTGTCTAGTCCAATCCCTGGTATCTCCAGGTAATAATAATAATAATTTTTATTTATACCCCGCCCTCCCCAGCCAAGGCCGGGCTCAGGGCGGCTAACAAGCAATAATAAAAACAAGTTGAATGAATACAACTTAAAAACGAAATTAAAATACAACATTAAAATATTGAAACATTAAAATATTAAAATGTAGGAGGAGAAAGGAAAAGAATAATAATAATTTATTATTTATACCCCGCCCATCTACCCAGAATCAAATTGGCTCCAAGCCAAAGGCCAGGTGGAACAACTCTGCGGAAAGAAATCAGATCCTGCAGGGCCCTGGTCTCATGAGGCAGAGCTTTCCATCAGGCCGGAGCCAGTGTTGAAAAGGCCCTGGCTCTGGTTGAAGCTAATCTAACTTCCTTAGGGCCCGGGACCTCTAGGGTGCTGCTGTTTATGGACCTTGAGGCTCTCCATGGGGCATACCGGGAGAGGCGGTCCCATAGGTATGAGGGTCCTAGGCTGTGAAGGTAGGGCTAGGGAAAAGATTGGTTGTCCGAGAACATGGAATATGCTGCCAGTTAGTGCAGGCAATATTAGATGGACTCAGTGCAAGGCAGCTTCCTATAAATTTGGAGAGCTGGAGTGCAAGAGATCCCACCACTGCTTTGACTAGTTTGCCCTATTGCCAACCTGCTATTGCAGTAGTCAAGATTCCTTATATTTAGCCTAAATCAACCTTTGCATATACTAAGCCTACTTGATTTTGCCCTCTTCTGAATGTGGTGAGCACCGTTCCGGTCTTTGAAGAGCCCAATCCTACTTACCTTCAGTCTAATACAGGGGTCAGCAGACTTTTCCAGCAGGGGGCCGGTCCACTCTCCCTCAGACCTTGTGGGGGGCCGGACTATATTTTGAAAAAATAATAATGAATGAATTCCTATGCCCCACAAATAACCCAGAGATGCATTTTAAATAAAAGCACACGTTCTACTCCTGTAAAAACACCAGACAGGCCCCAGAAATAACCCAGAGGTGCATTTTAAATAAAAGGACACATTCTACTCATGTAAAAACCCGCTGATTCCTGGACCATCCGCGGGCCGGATTGAGAAGGCGATGGATTGGGCCAGATCTGCCACCCAGGCCTTAGTTTGCCTACCCACGGTCTAATACATAGCCCAGTTCCTTCAATTTTTCCTCACATGGCTGGCTTTCCAAACCCCTGAACCAGTAGCCCTAATTCGTCTAAATACCTCCTCCGAAATGGCCACTGGGAAATAAAGAAATATAAAGGGTGTGGTGATGTACTGAGAAGACTATAGAAAAGACCACATGCAAGGATCACAGAAAAAGGCAGTCTACAAGAAAAAAATTGACCGTGTGGCTCGTCTCCTGTGCAGGTCATTATTTTGCAATGGCAAATACCCTAGTTTCTGGAATCACTGTCAGCTCGAGTGAAAAGAACTACTGGGAGAGATTTCCCCCAAGATATTTTCTTCTGCAGAGGAAATATTTGGGGTCATTAAGAGTCATCGCAGGGCTGTCGAAACCACTCTCAGATTTAGTGAACTACACTGCAAAGTTGTCTGCCATCCAAGCACAACCAACCTGGAACGGAAAGATAATGGATTGCAGTCTATTTTTGAATACTGCATTGAAAAACTCGCAATGCGAAGAGAATTGCATACAAAACACGAGCAGAGTTTCCTTTCCCCCACTCATTTCCACGGGCAGCCTCCACTTCCGCCCTGGGAATGGGGCATTTCAAAATGGCAGAGGAAAACCGGAAGCTCCGTGGCCAAGACTCCCTCAGAGAAGGCGGGAAGAAGACGACGGCGACGACGACGAACGACAGAACACAAACAAACGCCGCTTCTCGCTCGGGGTTTCCCTCGGAGCGACCGCAGGGGTCGTGCGTCGCCGGGGATTGGCTGGCGCTTGTCGCAGTCTCCCTTTCCCTCCCGCCCCCTGTCCAATCCGAGCCTCGAGCGGCGCAGCTGGCTGTTGGCGGGGGAGGAAAGAGGCGTTGGAAGCTTTGAAGTGGCGCGCGAGGGAGAGCTAGCTTTTCCCGCGCATTTCCAACCGTCGTTACCTCAGGTGCGCTCGGGTTTTGTGTTATTTTTACCTCAGAATTGTCCCCTCGCCTGCCAGCCTCTTGAAGCAATTGCGGTTAACGAATGCCAGAAGGGGCATTAGACACTTCTTTAAACAAGCAAAGCACCGCCTATTTATTACTACTGCGTGTTTTCCCCCCTAAGTACTGCTACATAAAAATGAGCTTTTAGCCCAGACCACTGAATAGGCGATCCTTCCATCCTGACTGAAAATAACTCCCTTTTTGATTGGGGCTTAAAACTAATCCTTACACACGTTTTAATTTTTGCTTTAAAAAAAAATAGATCAATATAAGGAAATACATATTTCTAAGGAATTTGGATCCCTCATTAAAATGTTAACCTTTCATTTTTTACCTGTGCCTTTTAAAGGTTCCTACTATTCCTCTCTCGTTCTTCTCACCTACTGTTTTGAGGATTATGGCCACTAGGGAGACATTCGTCTTTGTCTTTTTTATGTTAATTTCTCCTTTTTACCACATTTCAGGTAAGGTTTTGTGCAGGCAAGTATCTTTAGAGGTAGAAATAGTTCATTAAGGGGAATAAATAACCTGAAAAGTATCTAACCACAAGTGTTGCCAAGTGATGCAATTTAGTCATGAGTCACCCAGCTGTGAATAAATCGCTGTTTCTCACTGTGAAAGAGAAAATTATGTGTGCGGGTTGACTAACCAGCCCAAACACCATTATTTCAAAAAACCCACATTCTCAATATATTTAAATTAAGCTTGGAACCCTAAACATGTTTGTGACTGAGTTAAGTTCCATTGACATTCCGAGTTACATACATCAAATTGCTTAACTTTGGATCATACCCCTAATTTGCAAAAAAATAATAATCTGTGAGAGCGCAGAATGAAAATAGCAAGATATATTAAAAGATTTGAAGACTAAATGGTACATTCTCAGAGCAACTGTTTTAAGTTGGCATATCTGTAATAAAATCAAAATGTCAACTGTTCAGCTGTCATCTATTTCATGTCAACCCTTCTTAAAAGGAGGATGATTCTGCTTTGATTCTCTAATCAATTCTGTATGAAGAAGTGTGTAAAGTCATCTTTCTTGCCATTGCCTTGTTAAATCGTGCAACTCTCCCCATTTTTCCTTTCCTTAGGTAACTCGGTAAGATATCAGGTAAAAACCTCTTTCCTGTTCCTAGAAAGCAACAAGTTGTTTTATTTTTTATGTGAGCGGGGGGTGAGATTGGAGAAATAAAAATTAGGAGCGCTCCATATTCAACTTGGAAGGGATCCAGAATGCCTGAGGAGCTAAGCTTAGACAAGATGTAATTTTCAGGAGTTAACGTCAGATCTTTTGGAGACAAATCCACCCCAAAAAGCTAGGTTGTCCAACAAGCCTGGCATTAGAAATCTGAAAGGCTCTTGGGCCTTCATGATGCATTATTTTCAGGGCTGCTGGTAGGGGCCCAAATTCATCTTGGCATCCTGGACCCGCTACCTGGCTTGCTGAACTTCCCTCATCCTCAGGGATGGCATCATGTGCCATTTTGCCACCCGAGGCAAGAAGACGGGAAGCCAGGTGGGCTGGCTTTGTTCATCCTCTTGTTTGAGGCCATTTCAGTTACTATCCTTCTGGGTGTTCAAGATGAGTCGTTTGGGAGTGGCTGCCAAGACCATATAACAGGCATGTCCAAAGTCCGTTTCGGGGGCCTAATCCAGCCCGCCGGTCGGTTTAATCTGGCCCCTGTGGCAGTTTATTTCCTGGGGTAAAATCCTAAAAAAACCTTCAACAACTTCAATCCTAAAAGAAGCTCCGCAACTCCAACCCTAAAAGAAGATCGATAACTTCAATCCTAAAAAAAAGCTCAAGAACTTTGGGGTAGAATCATAAATGTATGTATTATTTTACTGTTGTTAGCTGCTCTGAGCCCGGCTTCGGCTGGGGAGGGCGGGATATAAATAAAATTTATTTTTATTATTATTATTATTATTATTATTATTATTATTATTATTAAAAAGCTCAAGAACTTCAATCCAGGTCAGCAACTTTGGTTGGCCCTTCGGTTGGCCCCATGGCCCTTCACTTCATCAAATCTGGCCCTCTTTGAAAAAAGTTTGGACACCACTGCCATATAACATCAGTCCTGAAAGACCTACATTGGCTCCCAGTACGTTTCTGAGCACAGTTCAGAGTGTTGGTGCTGACCTTTAAAGCCCTAAAGAGCCTCAGCCCAGTATACCTGAAGGAGCATCTCCACCCCCATCGTTCAGCCCGGACACGGAGGTCCAGCGCCGAGGGCCTTCTCAGTGGTGGCGCCCACCCTGTGGAATGCCCTCCCATCAGATGTCAAGGGGATAAACAACTATCTGAGTTTTAGAAGACACAGAAGTTTTTAATGCTTGACTTTTTATTATTTTTTTATATGTGCTGGGAGCCGCCCAGAGTGGTTGGGGAAACCCAGCCAGATGTGCAGGGAATGTTGTTGTTGTTGTTGTTATTATTATTTATTGCTGCTCCCTCAGAAGATCAAGGATTATCTAGCGCACCTCTGCCAGCTGTATGAGAAGATCTTGACACTTTGGTTATCAACTAAAGTTAAGATAATAGGCAACACCCTGCTTAAAATGTCTTTTTTTTTTTTGTTAATTGGCTTTATGGATGGCATTTCTCTATGGTTATCAGCTGCTTTGAACTGTTAGGAAAGCGGAGAATACATCTCTGAAAATCATTTTCAGCAAATTAAACAGCTACAAGAGGTTGTAACACTCCTATTCGAATTGTTTGGAGCAGTGCCTCTGATGCCTGAGATCACATCTTTTACGAGATACTGGCCTAGCAAGAAGTATTATGACCTTGCATTGGTGTACCTATTGGTTCATTCTGTCCTACATGTTATCACCCCACCAACCTTACAACTGGACCGTAAGTAAATATGTCCATGTTGAAATTTGCCAAGACATCATGGTGACCTGATGTTTTAAGTAATTATGAAGTTGCTTATGATAAAAAAAGTTATGAATTTTATTTTGTATCTGCCTTGGTCAGTAATGTACACAGATCTCTGAATTTAAAAAAGCATTTAGCATTTATGAGCCAGCAAGCATATACTGTCAAAAGTTTTTAGCGATGTAAACACAGTATTTTACAAGTCCCTTTTATTGTGGTGTTTTGCTTGCTTGTTTAAGGCAAGAGTTAAACAAATGGATAAGTTTACCAGCGAATCCATGAAGGCAGAAGAAGCTCAACCTGATATTATCATCATCCAAAAGGAATCAGGTATAAAATGTTTATCACCACCACAGATGTGCTTATAAATTATTGGTCAGCATTTCCCAAATAACAGTAATTTGCTGAATATATGTATGTAGACTTCCAGCTATATATTTATGCTGGATCTGGCTGAAAACATAACACATGTGAACAAGGTATTTGTTAGAAGCCTTGGGAATTTTTTAAAGGAACTTGCTAGTCCCTATGGTAATGGAGACATTGCTGAACCTAACATTGCTGAACCAGTGTCTTCACTAATACTTCCCAAATGTATTGACTGCAGGGATATCTAAGAGATTATATTTCTTGAGTATATCTTTAGTATTGCAGTTGTATTCCTGCAGACACAGAAAACCTTTTTGTGTGATAACGAAGCAAAGTTGCAAGTGGAGAGAATCTCCACTGTCCCTAGTCCACATGAAATGTAGTGTTTCTGGAGCAGGTGATAGTGATGAGGTAGATTAGAAGAAGCTGGTACAACGCCACCAGAGGAGGAATATCAGGAGAGGGGTATCTTAAATGACTTGTTTGGCAAGAAACTGAGCATATGTGGGTAGCAGGAACAAAGAATGAAGGTTTTGGAGGAAGAGCTGTGTTCCAAGAGGGATTTTGGTACTCCAGGCTAGAACATTCATTGGCATGCAGCGTCCACACAAATAATATAAAGGTTACAAGGTTACAAAAGAGTAACCCCATTGAACGTCGTTGGACTTCTACTATATTAAAAGGTGCATAATAAACATCTCGTTATCATGGGAGAAGTTTGCTTTTACCAAAATGTTCCATTACACTTTTAAGCCAGGGGTTCCTAAACTGGTCTGTGAGCTTCATTCAGGTAGTCTTCTGCTTGTATAGTGAATATTAATACTGATTTTTAATTGTATATATATTGTATATTTTGTTTCTTGTATTACAAAGCAATAAAAATACAATTAAAAATCATATAGCACTGAGCAAAACATATTACATTTCCTACAACAGGCAGAAAAATCATTAAGTGGTCCACCAGGACCCTCAGCAATTTTCAGGTAGTCCGTGGAGAAAAGAGTTCGGGAACCACTGCTTTAAGCCCTTGCTGCTCTCATTCAGTTGCTTTTAAAGTAGGATTCAGAGTAATATGTCCTTAGAAACAGGCTTTTGTTCACATTAATTTCTTTCAGTAGAGGCACCGTTTGGATCATATATCCCCCAGGCTGTTAAAGAATCAAATGAAGTGGTGTCAAAAATTCTTAGCGATTTGCAGCCCAGCAAACCAGTGCTTTGGAAGCAGTTAATGTGGCAGGTAAATCATGATATAAAGAGCTTGTTCACATTGGAGCTTACTACGTGTTTATAGCTGTTTTGTGTTCTCATTTAATTTGTGTTCTCAAACACCAGTCTCATCGCTGTCTCCTGTAAATTCGCGTTTACCCAATTCAGGGTTAATACAATAAACTGCAGGAAATTGGGCTTCAAACTACTCCACTTGGGGCGGCAAACAGTTTTGGTGGGTGAGTGGGTCAGTCACTTTCTGCCACATCTGTTTCAACACTCTGTGACTTCCTCGGTTCTTTTTCTTTTCTGGCCATGCTCGTCACTATTTGTGGTGTGCTTCTGGATAGAGAAGCATGGCCTTGCAACACACACACACATACACACACTTCTTTGGATCCCTCAGATTTGAACAAAACAAAAAAAAACTGCAGAAATGTGCATTGAGAATTTACCATTGCCTAACTGTGCTTTTGCACACTTACTGGGTGGGGAATTTTATTTTTAAGTTGTATGCCACCATCTGTGAACATGCCCTGTTAGTAGTTAATTGGCATAAGAGAATCGACCAATTAGAAGGCAAGGAGAAACACAAAAGGGATGCCTGCTGGTATGAACTACTCCAGTCTAATTCAAACTGGTGTGGGCTACTCCAGTCTAATAAAAATACAGGGATTTACAACTAAATAAAATCACATGTGGGCAGACCAAAAATAAGGAGAAATGATCACATACAGAGCTGGGATTGATTGGGCTCTTTTATATGCCATTTTCCCCTGTTGAGCTTCAAGCTCTGCCCCATGTGAGAAGGAGTACTAGAGACCCTAGAGCCTGACTGAGGCTTTGTTCCATATTTTCCCACAGGGAGAAATAGGAGACAGGGGTCTCAGTTTCTATCTTTCCAGTGATCTAACAAGCATAGTGGCCTAGGAGGTGCAGAGTATGTGTCTGAGCTATTCTTATACAATCTTTCAAACTTAAGCATTTATGGATGTTTTACTCAAGTCATGGTTGGCATTTTGCAGAGGAAGAAGCGTTGGACACATAACAAAAGGGGGAAAAAACCTTCCAGTAAAAGAAGGGGAAGATTTAGAAAGCATTTGGAAAGAAGTACAAAACCCAGGTTTGCAGACAGACAGGACTGGATTCCCAGAAGGTTCAAAAGGCAAGAATGTAGGATCAGAAACATACAGAATAGCGAAGACAAAATTCAGAAAGCCATAGAGCAGAAAGAAATTCTTAGATGTGTAAGAAGTACGTATGTTGGTGAGAAGGAATCTAAATCACAGACAACTTCCACACATTCCAATGAACGTAAAAGAAGAAAAGCCAATGAAGTCATCACTTATAATGTTAAGGAAGGACAACTCTTAGGACTAAAGGGAAGAAGAACAAGAAGAAGAAGATCAACATACCCAGGGAAGCCACACTTGGTTTCTTCAAAACCCTTTGATAGCTATAGTTCTTCCTACAGTTTGTCTTCTTATTTTACCCCAAGTAGCTCCCAGAGTACATTATCAAGAAGAATGAAGAGAAACGTTTCCAGTTTTCATAAAAAAGAAGGTAGTTTTGAGGATACATTTTTGATCAACACAAAGGAACAGAAAATAAGAGAGAGAGAAATGGGAGCATTTCCAAAGAAAAGAGAAGCCAGAGAAACACAGTCGGTCAGAAATGTAAGTCTTAAACTGAAAACCTTAAAATCTCAAGAGAAATTATCTAACATGGTAGACCGTCTGTCAGACCCATCCAATAACATGTCAAAAGATGAAAAACTCACCTACATGCATGAACTCCTAGATGAATTAAAGTTATTCATTAAGCTGTTGGAGCAGCAAATACTACTACAATCACTAAATAACATTGTTTATTCAACCACAGTTTCTGGCTCGCAAAAGTAGAGAGCGCTAATATTGCTGAATTTAAAAACATGTTGCTATTTTGTTACATAAAAATCCTGATAATACGTAATTTTATTTTGGCTTAATTAGTCTTTAAATCATAATGTTGGTTTATAGCTCGTATTAGAAAAAAGTTTCTGGATAAACGACTGAAAAAATACTAAAATAATTCCTAATAAATGACATTACTCTGGAAAATGCTCCTTGTAAGAAAGATGCACCATGACAGTAGTCATAGGAGAAGGAATAATAAAATTGTAGATTTGTAGAGTTGGAAGATACCCCAGGGGTCATCTAGTCCAAATCTCTGCAATGCAGAAATCTCAACTAGATCATCCATGACAGATGGCCATCCAATCTCTGCTTAAAATCATCCAAGGAGTCCACAGCCTCCTGAGGGATATACTGTTCCACAGTCAAACAGCTCTTACCCAGAAAGTTCTCCCTGATGTTTAGTTGGAATCTCCTTTATGTAACTTGGGTCCTACCCTTTAAAGTGGGAGAAAACAAGCTTACTCCATCTTCAATGTGGTAGCCCTTTAGATATTTGAAGATGGCTATCATATCTCCTCTCAGTCTCCTCTTTTCCAGGCTAGACATACCCAGCTCCTTCAACCATACCTCATAAGGCTTAGTTTACAGACCCTTGATCATCTTGCTCACACTCCTCTGCACACATTCGAGCTTATCAACATCCTTCTTAAATTGTGGTGCCCAGAACGTGATCAGGACACTAGACCTTTGTTAATGCAGCCCAGAATTGCATAAACATTGTCGTGTTTTTTTTTGCTTCTGTATCACACTGTTGACTCATGTTCAGCTTGTAGTTTACTAAGATCCTTCTCACATGTACTACTGGCAAGCTAGGTGTCCCCCACCTTTTATTTGTGCAGCTGGAATCATCAACCACTCTAACATTCCTGACTTCAAATGCATCAAATCACTTGGAACTCAGAGATACAACAAGAAGGTGGGATGGTGTAATCACCATTAATATGAAACAAGGCAAAATCCTTTAAGTCTCATTCCAGCTAGGCCAATTTCAGTTTCAGAGGAAACTCACAACAGTTTGTTTGTTTTTTAAAGGCTCTTACTTGTCCTTAAATATGCTTTCATAATTTCATACAGTACTTTTAAAAGTACTGCCTTTACATCTTATGGTGTCAACTATGGTTTGGGAATTTTTTTTGTCACACTTGTGTTTCTACATGAAACGGGTTTAGGGCAGGAAAATGAGCCTTCAGCCTGAATGACGAAAGAATAATTCCGCTTTCGTACTTTGCATGTAAACTCTTCAAAGTGCTTGAGGAGAAGAAGTTGCATGTCTCTCTGATCTGCAGAACCCACTTTGACTCCTGAAGTGTTACTATCACATATTAAGTAAGAGATGATAAACATCTGAATGTTTATTCAAAGACCTTTATCATCTGTATATCTTTCTTTAGCCACAGATATTTACATTATGGACTTCTTCATGGCAAACCCTTTTTAGAAATCTAGTATATTTTGAGGATAAATAAGTGTTTATAAAATAAGCAGTAGGGGGCAGTAGAAGCACAGAAGTTACAGCACTGAGGAGTGTTTGAGATAGGGTTCAGAAGGCAGGTGGTCCAAATAGTGACCAGTTTTTATGGAAAGTGCATCTTGACTGAGATAGTAGCAGTTGTGGAAAAAGGCAGTAGAGTGTTCCTAGTGAAACTATTTTAATTAATGTCAAGGGCGGGCTCAAAGAGTAATGAAAGCAAATTCCCAACTGTCTCTGTCAGTAATGATATCTGAGGCTCAAAAGCCAAATGGCGGTCAGTTTCCACAGGATGCATTTCAGTTACATAGTTATACTACCATATGCCTTGCCCTGCGTGACGTTATTTTGTCCCTGTTTTTTTGCCTGATACGGACACCTTGTTAAAATATTATGAATGTGATTTGCTAGCGCTGCCATGCTTCCTGTTTTCAGCTGCCTCTCCAGGGAAGTTCAAACAGTACTGAGGGCTCAGGGCCGGGGTGGCCTTGATCCCTTTACCTTTTATGATACCTCCTGAGCTACTGTTTTAAAAGACTATAGCGGGGCAGTATGATACAGTTGAAATGGGGGGGGGGGCAGGAAGCCCAAGGTAAAGCTTGTGGATTCTTCCTCTCCCCATAACACAAGTAAATGAACACAATATATGTCGGTCAGGGAAAAGCCTTCAACAAGAAAGAGACTTAGGAAGGGATCTTTGGTATGAAAACCATGATGTCACAAGGATGTCCCTATTTCCATATGTGAAACATCAGGTTTTGCATTTACAATACTATTGTGCTTAACATAATTCTTTTAAAATTCCATTTTTATAAAAAATATTAGAGCTGCCTTTCCTGGGGATAGAATAGTGGCCTCTATTGCCTATAGACTCTAGGTCCTAGAGCAGATTTTGCCATGCTACCTAGGGGTCATGGGAGTTGGAGGCCAGCAACATCTGAAGGGTGCCAGCAGGAGCAGACCTTGGTAATATACTGCCCTGTACAAGGCCAGCATTTGACCCCCTCTTCAAGCCCTCTTGGCACTGGCTTAAGCCAGGTGAGAAGTGCCCTCCTCAGCTGCTCACCCAGTACTGTGATATCGCTTAAATGTAAAGGCAAAGGACCACTAACAGTTAAGTCCAGTCACAGACGACTCGGGGGTTGCGACGCTCATCTTGCTTTACAGGCCGAGGGAGCCAGTGTTTGCCCGCAGACAGTTTTTCTGGCTCGTGGCCAGCATGACGGTGCAACGGAACACCAAAATCAGAACAGTGCATGGAAATGCCATTTACCTTCCCGCCGGAGCGGTACCTATTTATCTACTTACACTTTTTGGCATGCTTTCGAACTGCTGGGACCGAGCAACGGGAGCTCACCCCATCACGGGAATTCGAACCACGACCTTCTGATTGGCAAGCCCAAGAGGCTCAGTGGTTTAGACCACAGCGTCACCTGCATCCCTTGCGACATCGCTTAAAAGGTAAGGGTATTACATTGCCCTAAATCTGCCTCTGGCACTTAGTTAGCAAAGGTTTTGAGGGAGTCCATAAGTTTTTCTAAATCTGTTTCTTGAATTCAGGAAGACGACACAACATGTCATAGAATGGGTTTCTCTTCCAACTGTGTCAAAGACCCCTCCACGCCACTGAGCAAGACAATGCACCTATTGGCCTCCACAGATCAGCCCATACAAGTGCCACAAAGATTAAGTGTAAAAGCCATTTACACTTAGGGCCCTCATATCTACGGGATCGCCTCTCCTGGTATGCCCCGCAGAGGACCTTGAGGTCCATGAATAACCATAGTTTAGCGGTCCCGGGTCCTAAGGAAGTCAGACTACCCTCCGCCAGGGCCTTTTCAGTGATGGCTCCGACCTGGTGGAATGCTCTGTCCTGTGATACTAGGGCCCTGCAGGATTTAACCTCCTTCCGGCAGGCCTGTAAGACAGAGCTATTTTGCCTAGCCCTTAATTTGAATTCAGCCTGATCTTTTATTTCCCTTCTCTTCCCTCCCCCTCCCCTTTTATGAAGATCACCTGCTCTGAGACCCCACATCTAATTCTCCCCTGGCCTCCTTACTGGCCCAAGTAGGACCAATTCAGCCAGCTAGCCCTGAAGATTATCTATTTGATTTTTGAATTTCATTGTTATTCATGTTTTTATACTGTATTTTATGCTGCTTTTATAATTAAGTGTTTTAAAGTGTTTTAAATTTGTTGTTAGCTGCCCTGAGCCTGGTTTTTGAACCGGGAAGGCCGGGGTATAAATAAAAATTTAGTATTATTATTTATTATTATTATGGAGCAACAGTGCAAGATGCACTAATCAACACTGGCCAAACCACAAGCCACAAGTTCATCACCCCTGCCCTGTTGTCTTTCCCTTGGCACAATAAATCAACAAAAGTTCATAGGCGCTGACTAGATGGTGTGTTGGAATTCCGGCTTCCAGTCAAAGAGGAAAGAGTTAGGCTCTTACAGTCCATACCTCCTCAAAGAGACAAGCTTCAGAAGGTCAGTGGCTGATAACAGAAGAAGTTGCAGCAGTGAGCAGCTGTGTCTGAAAGCCAGCCTGGAGCACTTCTCAGTTCTTCAGTTAAGAACCGGTATAGTTCAGGAGTTGGAGCCAAGGATATGAGCTGCTGCTTAAGAGCTCTTTGGTGACAAAGCAAGGTCATAAGGCTACACTTGTAGTCCAGTGGCACAGAGACCATTCACATGTGTAGTAGCATTGGAGCCAAGAAATCAGTATCATTTAAACTCTTCTGCCCTGAATGAATAGCATGTTTTCAATATTGTTAGATGTGCAGAATCAAAAATACTATTCAGCAAGGGACAGCTGTAAGACATGCTTAAGGGTTTGTGTTGTTGGGGTTTTTTTTGGGGGGGGGGGAGTTGCACATGGACTTGCTCCAACTTCCTCTCTGCTCACCAGCTGAGAGGTTAGTGGCTGTAAATCACTCCCTTAGAAAATAAGTGGGGCAGTGTCCAGTGGCTGAAAGCCATCACTTCACCCATCAGCCTGGAGGGCCTTTTGCCACTTTGTCTGGTATGTGATGGCCTTGTAAAAAAGAGTGTTTCAAAAATGTACATTCTCTCCAACAAAAAGATGCCTTTTCTGGCATGAAGCACTATGGTATCCTTAAGAGGCCTTGGCTTGGCTGTTTAATCTGATATGTCATTCAATCTCTACATTATGGTCGGTGCCTAGTATCCAGTCAAAAGGAGCTCAAGGCAGCTAACAAATCCAAACATCATGCCATTATTAAAATATGTAATGATCCCCATTCTGACATCGCGTCATAAAAGCAAAATATCAACGTAAAAAGCCTAAACCTGAACAACAAACTCCAAAAGCTACCACCAGAACTAAATCATCAAAAAGAAACAAGAAAAAAGGAAATGACCGACCAAATGACATTTTTGCACTGTTATGTTTTCACTACCTGCCTAAAACAGGACAACAATGAGGCTTGCTTGACACATTGACTGGCAAGGCATTCCAGGCAATGGGCACCACCCACTCATATAGAAAAGGCCCTAGTCTCTGAAAACATACCTACAACAGCTGATCAGTCCATGTGACCAATTAACTGAGAAGACAGGACTGAGTTTTATACAGCATATTTATATAGAGGCTGTAAATATTTTTTTTAAAATGACACTCAAAACCCTGGAAGTCAGTTCCACCAATATGCCAACATGCAACCTGCAATTTTCCATTTCGTAGAAGCAGAGCTACAGTATTGTGCGTGTTTATGGCTCCAGTGTTAACATTGCTCATGTGAATGGCTCTTGTGCAAGCAGGGCTTTTTCTTTTAGTCAGCAAACCACATTTCTTTGGAAAGGAAACAATTGTGGAACATCCAGTGAAACTGAATTCATAGAAAATTGGCCTGCGATGGGGAGGTTCAGAGCTGACAGAAGAACTTCATGTAATTCACTATTTGCCTTCCCAGGTTGTGTGCTTGTGAAGCAGCTTAGAAACTAGCATATTCTTGACACATAATAGCGAACAAATCTATTTCCTGTACACCCCCTCACAATAATCTCTATAGTAAGAAACATTGCAACAAAGTTGGAGAATGTCAGAGAGCTATGTCCTTCACACCAAGAAGCCTCTTATTCCCCAATCCCAGTAAGGTACCAGCAGATTGTTGGTGCTCAGTGGTGCTTTGCATTATCTGGGGGCTAAACCAGCCCCACTTGAAATTATGCTCCAATAACATCTCTGAAATCAGCGCAATCTATTTGCTGGTGTTACTAACACACAGCTGCCATTTTAAGGGACCAAAATGCATTTAGTAACTCCTTTCATTTGTCCACATCTGCTGTTTTCTGTGGGAGTACAAAAAGGAGAAAAAATAGTTTCCCCAGTTTTTTTAAAATACATTTTTAATAGATTGTAGCGAGGAGGTCTATCTGTGTGCTGTGTGTTCGTAATACCAGCAATCTCTTATTGGATAAGAAGGGCCAGTCCAGTTTCCCACTCACTTAGCCTTAAGAGAGTAGCTGCAAGTGTAGGCTCAGGGTTAAAATTAGACATTGCATTAATACCTGCCTACTACTAGTTGGCCATTTGCTTGCACCATATGTCCTCCTCCCATTTCTAATTGTACTATACAATGCAAGTGGTGTGTGTGAGAGAGAAGCGGTGGGGGGAAGTGTGTGAGAGAGAGGACAGCTGAATACGATCAAAGCTAATCCAAATTGATCCGGCCCAGCTCCAATTATCTAACTGACCTTCATAAGAAGCTGCTTTTCTGTGCTACCAATACATCAGGTGCAGGAAATTATTCTGATTTCAAGATACCAGTGTACATATTTGATTTCATGTAAAAATTCACTTAAATTCAGCTGAAAATGTATGCAAACTTGAAATTTCTACCCAAGAATCCTGGGAACTGCAATTTAGCAACTATTCCCTTAACAAACTACAACTCCCAGGATTCTTGGTGGATGGGTGTGCTTTAAGTGTATGGCATGTATGCAGCATTGGTATATATAAAACTAGCATGGGGGATACAGTATGCTTGATATGTATTTAATAAATGCATACCTCGCCTATTTCAATATAGAAGTCACAGCAATCTACAATAATAAAATAGCCAGACAATATATAAAACATAGATCAACACTACACAAAACAGTAAGCGTGGAAAACAGCTGAGCCAATAAATCGAATATCAAAACCAGCAATTAGCACACACAAATGGAAAACAGCACTACTAACATTAGATGCAAAAAAGGGGATAGAAAATATTCACAGTTGTAGAGTTGGAAGTAACCCAAATGGTCATCTAGTCCAACCCCCTGCAATGCAGGAATCACAGCTAAAGAATCCCTAACAGATGGTCATCCAACCTCTGCTTAAAAACCTCCAATGAAGAAGAGTCCACCACACAAAGTAGTCCGAACAGTGCTATTAACATCCCAATTGTAACCAAACATATGAAGATTGTATGTTGCATGCTACCCCAATGTGTGAGCAGTCTTTCTAACTATCAGACAGTTGAGGAAGGCCCACCCATTTGCCCTCTGGTTCCCTTAAGGACCCATACTTAGCAGGCCATTACCAAACTGGCCTGGCCTGGCTATTCCAAGATTTAGATGTGAGGTGGTGGTCCAGGCATTAGAAGGGTCTCGGCCTACTGCTTCCGCCCCTCTCCACAAACTCAACAATATACAGAGCTTCCTTGGAAGGACTTTCCACAAGGTGGATCCCACCACTAAGAAGACTGTTGCCCAAATAAAAAAAGCAATAACTAATCCGCGGGTGGATCTACACACAGGGGGAAAATGCTATAAGTCAGAAATTAAATTGTTATAATGAAAGAGAAAAAAACGCTATGTAAAACCACATAGAAAAGTTTCCTGCTCTATAGCACCATCTGGTGCTGCATGTTATATAACACATTCAAAACACTGTTTTTTTACTAATGTAGTCAAAGCTGGACCATAAAGAAGACTGATCACCGAAGAATTGATGCTTTTGAATTATGGTGCTGGGGAAAACTCTTGAGAGTCCCATGGACTGCAAGAAGATCAAACCTATCCATTCTGAAGGAAATCAGCCCTGAGTGCTCACTGGAAGGACAGATCCTGAAGCTGAGGCTCCAAGACTTGGCCACCTCATGAGAAGAGAAGACTCCTTGGAAAAGACCCTGATGTTGGGAAAGATGGAGGGCACAAGGAGAAGGGGATGACAGAGGACAAGATGGTTGGACAGTGTTCTCGAAGCTACCAACACGAGTTTGACCAAACCATGGGAGGCAGTGGAAGACAGGAGTGCCTGGCGTGCTCTGGTCCATGGAGTCACGAAGAATCAGGCATGACTAAATGACTAAACAGCAACAAAGTCAAAATGTAGCCGAGTTCCTGGAATCATTTGTAGGGCCAGGTCACAGAGATTCATTGGCCTATGTGTGAGGACAGAACTGAGCTGGCCCTGAAGAGGCTAAGCCTCTTAGTCCTTCACATGATAGTCTTGAGTAGCTCTGCTGCATCAGAGGTATGAGCATACAAACCACAGTTTCGTGGTTCAAGGCCCAAGTCGTCCTGATGGATACCAAACGCCATATCATAAGCAAACGTGCCATATAGGGTAGTTAGATGCAACAGAAGGCACTGGCAGGGTTCCTGCAAATTTAATATTAGCTACGTCTGTTGAAATTCCCTATTCAGCCCAACTGTTAAAGGTTTGGGAGCCCTATCTTGCATATTACAGCCCTCTCTCTCACACACAGAGATCTTGTTCCATTGCAAGCTCCAGCACCGAGTGAGAACATTATCTGGAGTTTACTATCTGCCTTCTGTTTGTTGAGATGTGCTTGAAAGCCCAGAAGGCGCTGCACTGCCTTCTCATGAAGCACAAATTTAACAGTCTCTTTTCTCCCCCAGTTCCAAGCAAGACTGATTCACGTCTTTGGATTTCATGAGAAAAAGCATCTCTTTATTTCTGTCTGCAGTGACCAAGCAGAATGAGTGCTTCTTGTTTTCCTAGTGACACTGCTGATACGCATTTGCCAGAGGCTATTTGTTTGCTGTTGGTGGTAGGTCATGCCTCCCCATGAAAACAAAGAAGCAATGTGTTTTCTACCCTGCACTTCAGTTGAGCTTGATAATAGGAATTCTCCTTTCTCAGCATCTGATATAGTAGCGATGATCTGCGAGTGTATTTTTCTTCCCAGTTCTGTCTCTCAAGTCACTAAAGATAAAGGGAAATATAAGGGTTGGTTTATTTTTGGTGTATGCAAGATTGGCTTAAGGTTTGCTATTTTGCTACCACACCGTTAGAGAAGGATGAGGGTGCAGCCTGGGAATTAATTGAGGACCTTGCCCTTTTCCTTTCAGAGAAACCCAACTGCTGAAGGAAAATTCACATTTAGTTTCATGGGCTTAATTAACTAGTATGGTTGTGGGTTTTGGTGGGTTAGTCTGGATGAAGCCCTGAGTCACTTCAAATTCTTGGGATCCTGTATCTGTGTGGGATCTAAAGCAAGATTTGTTGAGATGTTAATTCTGTGAGCCCCTCCATCTTACGCTCTGGTTGTACATCTGTGTTTTTGAATTATGGTGCTGGAGGAGACTCTTGAGAGTCCCATGGACTGCAAGAAGACCAAACCTATCCATTCTTAAGGAAATCAGCCCTGAGTGCTCACTGGAAGGACAAATCCTGAAGCTGAAGCTCCAATACTTGGGCCACCTCATGAGAAGAGAAGACCCCCACCCACCCTGGAAAAGACCCTGATGTTGGGAAAGATTGAGGGCACAAGGAGAAGGGGACGACAGAGGACGAGATGGTTGGACAGTGTTCTCGAAGCTACCCAAACTGCGGGAGGCAGTGGAAGACGTGTTCTGGTCCATGGGGTGCTCTGGTCCATGGGGTCACGAAGAGTCTGACACGACTAAACGACTAAACAACAACAACAACATCTGTATAAATAAAACCATATATCCTAAAGACACCAAGGTCTCCACTGACCTTCATTCCAAGGAAACCGAACCTGGGTAAATGCCTAGAACTCCTGGAATCTCTCACCACTCAGAGATTGGAGTGGTGTGTAACAATAATTTGCAAGACAGCTGAATTCTCCTTGACATTCAAAACTTGGGAACAGTTGCATCATTCCCTGCACAAGCCTGACTGGAATGGAGACAGAACAACTGTTGAACTAAAACCAATGGCAAGATCTTTGTGGGCTGCCTAGAAAATATAATCAACCTTGCAGATCCTTCTCATCACTTGTCTTCTGGAATCTACCAGGTCATAACAGCACCTTAATGAATGCACAATGTGGTTTTTTGTTCTTGTTTTAACCAAGAAGCACACAGAAATTGATTTACAGTAGTAGTTAAAAAGCCTAGGGGGAAATGTGAACATCACAAACATGGCTAGAGAATAAGAGAATAAACTGTGTGCAGCCAATATATTTTGCAAGTGAGAACAACCCAATGACAAACCTTTCCAAAAGGCAAAATTATGCATCCCCTAGTTGGGGAAATCGCTGAATATTTATAGCTTAGGGAATCTCTGGTTTTGATTGAGATTTATTCATGTTCTTTACTCTCATGAGTATGTGGAGGAGTATAATGATATTAACAGATGAAAAGATGCTCTTATCTCTCTATTTTTTAAAAAAACAAGCAGTGGGGGGAGTATAACACTCCTGGGGAAGTTAGCGGGATGTGGAAACTACGCTAGAGTAGCAACTATGCAAATACCATAAAAAATGCCCTAATTAAACGTATGAATTTTCAAAGCGATTCCAGGGGCATGCTCTCGATTTAATATCTCCAAATCCTTAACAGCAGAAATAACCAAAAATGTGGTGGTGGTGGTTCCTCTTTTAAGTAAGTAAGTTGCAACCTGCAACCTGATTAGAAAGTGAGAAGTGCAAAGCTTTGACTCCCAAAAGAAAAGAAAAATAAACTTCAGAACTGCGAAGTTTAGACTAGTTCGAAGTACCATGGCCAGTTCCCACCACAGCAGTTTTAAGAAGGGTGCTAATAAATCAGAAGGGGCCCGAGGGGGTTGAAGGAAACCGGACAGTTGCACCACTGGTAATGCGAAACGTAGCGGATTGTGACAAGCAGTCACAGAAACCCCAGTTCTGGTGCCCTCTGATTCACCTTCTTGACTATGATTTGGGATAGCAAATAACAGTACCCTGCAGGGAGCTTGATTTGGCCAGGGACTGTCAGTTGCTGATCCCTCAAACATGAAATAGGAGGCGGAAACAGAATGGAGCCAGGGAGACAAACTAGAACAGAAGCAGGATACGGTTGTGGGTCTGGTGTGTGTGGGGGGGGGGTGTCAGTCTGGGTGATTGCCCTGAGCCCCTTCTAGTTCTTGGGGTCCTGCACCCGGTGAGGGTTAGAATCTAATAGAGGTTTCTATCACCGAACTAGTCAGACAAGTTTCTTTGTAAGACAGTGACCTTAGCTGGCTACTTAGCTGTATCTTTTGCAACCTACCTCATTCTTTTGGGATGCTGATGAGGATACTTAAATGGTGCTACCCTCTAGCCCTTTCTCCATTTCCACTCCCAACTAGCTTCTAGGTAGGAGAACAAAAGCCAGTGGGGCATGTGTGAACTGAGCTGGAAGCAGGCTGGAAGCCGGAGACACAGAGACATGCTTGATCTGTGCGGGATCCAAAGCTCTTACTAATGGAGCAGCAAGATTTGTTGGGGTGTTATTTTTTTAAAAAAATGATATTTATTGAAAATTTTTTAGAATTACAAAAAAGAACAAAGCAGAAAAAGGAAAGAGAAAACAAAGAAAAAACACACCACATCAAACAATACAAATTTTAAAAAAAAATACACCACAAACAGACAAAAACAAAACCATCATTCTCGAATCCTCAACTTTCATTACCTTCTTTCTTTGACCTCCTCCTCCTCCCTTTTTTTGTATCCTGGTTATTAATTATCGCAGCAAATCCTTTCAATATTTCATAATATTCTGTCATTACATTACCTTAATCTATTTTCATCTTATCTTATAGAAAACCTTAAAACTTAAAGCTTAAATCTTATTTTTACCAACTTCTCATAACCATAATATTCTTACCTTATTCTTTAAACATTTTTACTAGAGCCAAGTAATTTCGTTCCAACATTTTTCTAACATTCATCAATTTTATAAAACAATCCTAGTAATAAAAAAAGAAATAAAAACAGTTCAATCTTCATCCAGCGTCCCTTCCTCCTGGTCCCGGGTTTTGTCAGTCCTTTTTATCTCATTGATCTAGCGCATTAACCTGGTAACCTTATATCCGAGGCCCTTAAGTTGCTTCCATGTCCCTTCCGCGGCTCTTCTTCATATTCTCCTTTCACTCGTGGGAACTCCAGCCTGGTAATGTTTCTGACCCTTTTCAACAAATCAGCCCCTTTTCCATAGTCCAGATTAAACTCCATGTGGTATTTAAAAACATGTTTCAGAATCCCTCCAAAATTAAGAGCCCCCACAGCCCCAAACATCTCACGGCCCATTGCCAGACTTGGAAAGTCCAAACATCCCTGCATAGGGGGGTCTATCCAACCCCCCATTTCCAAACCAGTCCAAACTTTATCTTTCCAAATCTGGCTTTTTCCAAGTTCATTTGTCAAATCCAAAAGCTCATGTTCCTGCAGGGCCACAGCTCCCTCCATCTCTGGCGCCCAAGATTCAGCAGCGTCCTCTTCTCTCATCTGTTCTGTCAGGGCACACTCCTGTTTTAATTCCTGGGTGGGCTCCATATAGTTTCCCACTGCCTGTTCAAAAATTCTGACCGCATTAGTCATCAAATCCGTCTTCTCATTTAACTGTTCCAGTAGGGCATTTGTTTTACAGAGAGCACACAACAGAGCTTCTGAATGCATTGTCCTACAAGGTCAAAAGTCTATTCCCACGATTGTAATCTGTAACAGCTTCAAGCTCCCTGGAATTGGTTACAGTTTCACAGTCTCCCTCTAGGGGGAAAACTTTTATTTGTTCTTTCTTTTAAGGACAAATCTAGCAACAAAGTTTCCTTTTTCAGATATTTTGTCAATATTTGTTCCTTTAAAATGTGAAAGGGAACAGTGGAATCACTGTTTCTCTTCTTTTAGCTATCTGTCAAAAACGTTTGTCTCTGGTCAATGAGCTTCAAACGTCAGTCCTGACACCCCGCTCCAGGATCAGGACGGTGGAAAGTTACTTTACTTTAAACTCACTTCTGCAGGTTTAAACAGTCCGAAAAGATCCCCCTTCTTCTCCTGCTTCCAAAGGGGGGTTCAACAATTTTAAATGATGAAAGTTAATCTTTTAGAAGCGATTTTCTGAGCTCTAGTTTACCTTGTCTTTGCTTTATTCTGTCTACAAAGAAACGGAAGGCTGACTTCCTGTTTAGACCTTCCCGTTTCAGTGCCAAATTGAAGTAAATTTTTAAGTCCAATTCCTTTCTGCTCGCAAGTCCTTATTTAAAGTCCAATTGTCCGAAATTTAAGTACTCACGGGTGATTATTTTAGAAGCCAAATTGTCCCAGGAAAAAGGCAGCACTCTCCGGCAACGGCTATGCGGCTTCGCTCCACGGAAAAAGCAGTTGACTCTCAGCACCGCGCCACTTCCCCCTCTTCGCTTCGGAGCCCGTTAGTGGGTTCCTTTGCGGGTTGGGGGGGCGCTAAGGGTGCCCGCTGAGTCCCATGGTCACAGGCTTCATCCGCCTGTGATTTTTGAAAGGGTCCCCGTTTCGCCGTAGCGGAAAAGACCCGTTTCGCGCGGAGCTAGTCCCTCCAGATCAGAGGGAGTCCGCCATTGCCGATGGCGCCACCCTGGAAGTCTTCAAGATTTGTTGGGGTGTTAATGCTGTGAGTCACTCTGTCCTGTTCTCAGGGTGTGGGTGTGTGTCTGGAGTCTCACATCACTCAGAGATATTGGTGGCATGTAATGATACATTAGGGGGGCAGGAAAAAAAGACTGTAACAGTCATAACTGCATGAACTTGGAGAAGCAAATCAAACTTCCACCAACGGATTTATTAAATAAACATGATTCCTGCATGGCAGGGGGTTGGGCTAGATGACTCTTTGGGTCCCTTTAAAGTCTACAGTTCTATGATTATATGAAAAATATTTATGTTTGAACTGACTCAGCAGCATAGATGCGACAGAGAGCCTGCCCTTTACTTGATACAGGCAATCTGGGTAGGAACACTCAAATTACCATATTCATAATCCGAACATGAAATAATAACATGTATTATCCTTCAAAGCTTCTTTATCCACTAACCCATTGACCCAGTTGTTAGTGAACTGGATTTTTCTGCGCGCACACACCATTCCCAGCTCCTCTCCCGCCTTCCTCCCTGTCTCTGCATCGCTACTGTCTCTGCTTCCTGTCTCTGCATCACTACTGATTCATCTAAGCAAAATTATGGGCTGTTTTCATTTCACCACTGTTTTTGCCTTGCAAAACATCATCATTGTGTGTGTGCATTTTGAGTGTTCCTGCAACTTCCTCTTTCAGGCTGATGGGAGGGGGTCCACATGCTCTTCTACTCCTTGCTTGCTAGCTGCAGGTAACCAGCACTTTGTAACATCCTCTCTGCAAAGCTCACTTCAGCACCCAATCCTTAGTTTGACACCCAAGATTTGTTCCACTGCAGGCAACAGGACAGTTCCATCTTACCTGGATCGCTGGATGAGAATCCATCCTGCTCAGAAATCGGGCTGAGCCACCCTACTCCACCCCACTCCCAGCTGATTCACTGTGGAGAGAGATTCATAGTGGCATCTGGAAATACATCTATCCTTGGCAGAATAAAGGGGTGTTGATGGGATACCCCTCTCTCTTCATTCTCAGTGACATTCCATTTCCAATAACAGCCAGAATTGTTTCCATGCTTTTGTATTATCTCTCTGCACATACCAGGGACCACAGAAAGTCTGTCTAGAGTGGTGCAGCAATAAAAATGCTACTACATTTGCAAAGCTAAGCAGGGTCTGGTATGGGGGAACCACATGTTGAGATTCTTGCATTGCAGGGGGTAGGACTAGATGACCCTTGGGGTCCCTTTCAACTCTACAAATCTATGAGTCCTCTGAACTGGTGCAGGCAGAGGTTAGGAGGTTAGCATCAGCGACTACTAGCTGTGATTACTATATTCTGCCTCCACCATTAGAGGTATCATGCCTCTGAATGCCTGTTGCTGGGAATTGCAGGAGTACAGAGTTCTGTGGTGCTGAGGTCTTGCTTGTGGGCTTCCCATTGTGGCACATTGTGGATCAGGCCAATGGCCCATCTAGTCCAGCTTCCTGTGGCCAGACAAATGCCTATGAGAAACCCACAAGCTGGACCTGAGTGTAAGAGCGCTCTCATAAGAGAGTAGCGCATTTCGTTGGCCACTGAGAGAAAAAGATGCTGGACTAGATGGGGCCATTGGCCTGATCCCACAGGCTCATCTTACATTCTCAAAAGTCTTCTATCTGGGCCTGGGTCAACCTTGGCCTGCTTAAACTTCAAATAAGGAAAAAGAGTCAGGATGCTTACGTTGCTTATTTCAATTCTTTTACATCGCCTTGGAGTGAGCAATGAGGTTGGCTGTAACTGGGACCCAGATTTCACAGCCAGATTCTCTGGACGGCTGTGCTCCACTTTCTCTTGGCTGCTGCACCGCGATGGAAGGCAAAGCACATGCCCCGGCTGCTATCAGCGGGAAGCCGTGCAGCGCGATGGAGGAGCAGATGGGAAGGCCCGGCTGTCTCGCTGGGAGCAAGGAACAAGCAGCCGAGCAAAGCTGCGGAAACTCCTTCGTCGTAGGTTTAAAAGAAGAGGCAGGATAACAGGATCAAACGTTTGCCAGAGACAGTTTTAGGTCTAGCTAATCTCATGCTGAACTTTGTGATCCCTGCATAGTTCAAAGCGTGCTGCTTAAACCTGGCTGCAAAAAAAGAAGACAGCAAGCATAGAATATTGCTAAATGAAGACGGTACGGATGTAGCTCTCCCTGGTCCCCTGTCTCTCCTGGATGCAGCTGCAAGAGGGGGGAAATGATTACTTAGCAGCAGGGTCAGTGTCAAGTAGAGTTGCCAGGTCAGGAGCATCCCAGAGCCTGAGAGTTCAGGGCCCAAACCTGAGACATGGAGCGGCCTCTGGTGATGTCATGGGCTGACATCCAGTGATGCCATGGGGGCAGGCCCTGGAGACGGAGGTTAATTGGGAGGAGCAGAGGAGGGCAGATCGCTCTCCCAAGTGTATTTGCTATAACTTGCAGGCAGCGCCTGCTGGGCTGAATTTTGCAACCTGCATGCACAGTCTTCTTTTTAATATATATTTATACATCCTCTCATTGCCTTGAACCCCTTTTGAACAGTAGTGTGAGATAAGTGCAGTGGTGGTGGGACAAGGCAAGCAAATCTTGGTGTAAGTTGCAAGACCGGCTGTGAAGGGACAGAAACACCCTCCCCCTATGCCCCCATCAGAAGCTGTCTCCAGAAGAAAGGATCTAGAGAGGTTAGGCACTCAGAGCCACTATTCACCCACTGCATTGAGAAAAGAAAGAAGTCCACCAAGGTCTTTGACTTCTTAGCTAAATGGACAGAATCTGGAATGCCTACCATGAGCCGCAGATGTCACTGTTTTAAGCTTCATCCCAGGCATACTTTGAATGAGAATTGTCTGGTAGCAAGGAACATAAGAAAAGCCTGCTGAATTAGGCCAGTGGCGTATCTAGCCCAGTATCCTGTTTGCACAGCGGCCAATCAGATGCCTATTGTGGGAATCCTCCAAGCAAGATTTGAGCACAAATCTCCCCTCCTGTGGCTTCCTGTGGTATTCGGAAGCATTGCTACCTCCAACTGTTGAGGCAGAGCATAACCAACATGGCTTGTAGCCACCGATGGCCCTGTCCTCCCTGAATTTGTCCAGTCCTCTTCTAAATCCACCAAGATTAGTGGCCGTCACTGTTTCCTGCAAGAGCGAGTTCCACCGTTTAACTCTGTGCTACAATGAAGTCCTTTCTTTTATCTGTCCCGAATCGTCCAGCATTCAGCTTCATTGGAGAGCGGGTGCTGCGGCCTAAGGAGTGCTATTTCTTACAGAATTAAAGCCGGCCGTCTCGTTTGTTTTACTTTTTAGAAGAAGAACTATGGGAAATTAGGGGGAGAAAAGGTGGCCTTTGCAAATATGGAACTAGCAAAAATGCAGAGAAGTACAGGTGTCCGCTCTGAGGAGGAGGAGGAGGCTGGATAAGGAGGATGGCAGAGCACATTTGAAGCCATCTGTCAGCTTCTAATTATCAAAATGGCAGGGCTTCCTGAGCCCCTTTTGCTGAAATCAAAGCTGAGGTCAGGGGGTTGCGGGGAGGCGGAGAGGCTGTGCACATTACCAGCTTAAGATGCAGTGAGGTCGTTCCCCACCGCTGCTGCTGCATTTCAAATGGCATTTGCATGTTGGCATATGCGTCAGTTGTGTTGTGTGTGTTTCCTTGTTTCCCACTGTCTGTCCATGCACAAGTGGGCAGAAAGATATAGGATAACAGCATCATAGAGTTGGGAGGGTCATTTAGTCCAGCCCCCTGCAATGCAGGAGTCACAGCTAAAGAATCCCAGACAGGTGGCCTTCCAACGTTTGCTTAAAAACCTCCAAGGAAGGAGAGTCCACCGCCTTCCAAGGGAGTCCATCCTGTTGCCGAACATAAAGTTATTCCTAAAGTTTAGTCAGAATCTCCTTTCTTATCATCTGAATCCATTTGTTCAGGTCCTACCCTCCGGAGCAGGAGAAAACAAGCTCGCTGCATCTTCTATGAGATAGCCCTTTAGATGTCTAAGGTTTGTGTTCTCAAATCGGATTGAAGCTGGTTTGCGGTGGGGAGGGCACACACCAAAACACAGTGTGGATTGTGTCATGTGAAAGCAGATTCAAATGGGAGAGTGCTGGAGAAGGAGTAATGTGTACCCAGTGGCCTTAGTCATGCTTATATTAGAACCACTAAAATTAGGGTTGTCGTTATGTCCTCTTTTCCCAGGATACATCTTTTTTTCATGGGTAGATTCGTCATAGTGATCCATAGTTAACAGCATAAGTCGGCAAATGTGCCCTCTTTTTTGCTCTTCAAAATATGGCAACCCTATTATTAAGTCCTATTGAGTGTGACAGATCTACTGAACATTAGTCTGGTTCCAGTCCATTATTACAAAAAGAAATAAAAAATAAAAAAGGACTAGTTCTTTATTTTGAGCTCTCAGCAGGGCTAAGAAAGTTCCCTGCCTCTTTCAACCAGCCTAGTGGTCGAGACATTACTTCCAGAATGAAGCAAAACAAGCAACACCAAAATAAAAGAAATCGGAGAAAGAAGTTCATTGGTGGGGTGGGGGTGGATAAAAGAGTTATTATAAATTTTTTTATCCCACCCTCCCTCAGAAACTATCAGAGGAGCCCACTCATAGTCAATTAACTCAACAAATAACCCCAGATGAATAGACAACAATATTCCAGTGAAATCTTACAAACCACCCAGACCCCAGCAAGTCCAGACAGCTGACATTTGGGAGGGTTTTTTTTTTTTTTTGACTGGCGTATGTTGCTGACCTTATCAAGCCTCCTCAGACGGGAATTTTCTCAAAGCGGAAGCAGGCAAATGACAAGATTTCTTTGTTGCTTTCTCTGAGCCAAGAGAAGTCGGAAAGGGCAGAGGGAGGACAGAAACAGGGTTCTTCATGGCATGAATATATGCCTATATCTATGAAGAATCTCCATTAAAAAGAATTTTTTTTAATGGGTTGGATGCTCTAGGACAGGGTCAGGGGAACTTGTTCAACAGGTTAATCAAGGCTCCCTTTTAACTGATCAGATTTGCACCCAGGGTGATTGTCTCTCTTTCCTGGATGGAAGTCCCCTTTGTACTCACATCTAGACTGTTGAGGTTCTGCCAACACCAGAAGGCATGCCACTGAGACAGCATAACCACTTCTTGTTGGAAGGTATCCGAGACTTCCGCACTGAAGAAGCAAACCAGACTTGGGTCCAGTCAGGGCCTGGATAGTGACTTTATGGGAATCTCATTCACGCTGCCTTGAATTCCACAAAGGAAACCCAGAAATGGGTCTACAAGATATGTAATCACCTACATCGCTACAGATATGGATGTTGTGACTGTGTTTCCTTCTTCATACTTTGAGAAGGTGATCTTGCTGTGGATGGTTGCTTCTGTACAACCCTAAGAACACAAGAAGAGCCTGTTCCTGGATCAGGCCACTGGCCCATCTAGTCCAGCATCCATTTCTCACAGTCGCCAACCAGGTGGCCGTGGGAAGCCCGCAAGCAGGATTCAAGCACCAGAGGACTCCCCCTTCCTGAAGCTTCCATCAACTGGTATCCAGCAGCATTGCTGCCTCTGACTGTAGACGCAGACCATAGCCATTGTTCATTCTGCATTAATTTTGATTTTGCAACCCTGGGAAGAGTTTGCTAGAACAGCCACTGGCAAGTTTCTCTACCTGCCTTGTCCCACCCCCTACAGGGGGGGCAGGTATTGTTTGTGGCTCTTTTGTACTTTATTCTTGGGATTTGTTTTACATGTTTATTGACATGAGATGTCCGTTTGCCCTATTGATATTAGCGTGGCTTTTTGCTGTGGCTCTTTTTTGCAATTGTTTGTTCATTATCTTGGAATGTCGCTATATTTTATGCTGTGTGTTGTTCTGAGCCACTTTGAACATGGCTCTGCCATAGGGAAGTGGCATGCAAATAAACTCACCATGCTGATGAGCATCTTTACTTTATTCCAAGACCTCCACCATTTAAAAAATATATATTGGTTTTCTTTGGCAATACCAAGACACCTGTGTTACCAGTCCCAGAGACCGGTGTTGCTACTAGGGATCTCCAAAGCACTGCCTGGCACACAGTGGAGACTGGAGAGAGAGGAATATTGTTTTGCTCTGTCCTTCTTTTTATGAGGAGTGAGGAAGGCAGGCAGCAGGCAGGGGAGAACAGAAGTTCTGCTTCATTTGGCCTCTAATAAGATTAGTGTCTGTTCTGCCGATCAGGTGACCAGGAGCTGTCTGTCTCTCTTTCTGTGTGTGTGTGTACAGAGAGCTGCACACATGTGGTGCACTAGGGTTTCCTGGCTCCTACTTCTCCTTATATGGTGTGAAGCTTAAGGAAGCTGCCGATTGGCTGGTCCAGCAGACACCCCAGAGGTAGCAAGAAAGAGGGTGACAAGAAGGAAAGAAGAGAGAGGGAGCAATCGAGGGTCTTGAATGGCAGATGACAAGGAATCTGGGTGCATCACATGCTCTGGAAAAAACAACAACAACAACCCAAAATGTGTCAAGCAAATTGCAGCTGTTTATAGAGAGCCTCCCCACCATTGCCACTCTCAGCAAGGCTGCACACTGGCTGTTTCTGATGCCAGTAAGGAAAGTGAGCCAAATCCAAACTGCTCTGCACCAGGTCCCCCTCACCACCACCATCTCCACCTCCCCCTTTCCTAAATGTGACGGTACTGTGGATGTCGTACAATGAACCACTGCCGGAATGTCCGCCGTATCTCTGCCGCACTGCTGGGTGCCTCCGTTACATAATGGAATAAAATGCAACCCGTTGTTAGCAAATCAAAAACGACGGAGCCCTGCGAAGAGACATTGCAAGCGTCTCCTACCAGGAACGGCTGTCTCTTGTCACGCCGATGAGGCAGCCGAGGCTGTGGGGAGGTTTATCAATGCTCTTGGCGGAGAGAGTTGAGAGAGCGTTGCCAGAGGCAAACACATATGTGTAGTGCTGTCCCATTGTTGGCCCGCTGTTAGGGCGCCGCACTCAGCGCTGCAGAATGCACATTTCCAAGGTGATGGAGGCAGAATGACATTCATGACACCCGGGACAGCTGGCAAAACGTTCAAGCAGCTGGGGTGACTGCCCTATAAGGAAAAGCTGCAACTTTTTGAGAAAAGGCACGAAAGAGGAGACCTTCTCATACAACACTACGATTCGTGGAAGCTGAATGTTGGAAGATAAAAAGAAGCCCTTCTTCGCTCAGCGCATTGTTAAACTATGGAACTCCCTCCCACAAGAGGTAGTGGTGATTTTGAATACCAGTTTTGGGAAACCAGAGGAGGAGAGAGTTTCCCTGTGTTCAGATCCTGATTGCTGGTTTCCCATTGGGGCATCTGAACGGCAACTGTGATAACAGGATGCTGAACCAGTTGGGAGAGCCAGGCTCTGTTTATGTTTGCACTGTAGCAAGGGACACAGGTGGCACTGTGGGTTAAACCACAGAGCCTAGGGCTTGCCAATCAGAAGGTCGGCGGTTTGAATCCCCACGATGGGACGGGGTGAGCTCACAACCTCCCTAGGGCAGGGGTCTGCAACCTTTAAGACAAAAAGAGCCACTTGGACCCATTTCCGAAGAAAAAAAAACTGGGAGCCGCAAAACTCGTCATTATAAAAATAACTTTTTTGTCACTTTTTTTATTATTTCTTTGTTTGACCCCTCAGAATTACTCCTCCTCATAGAAATAAACATTAAATTAACAAGTTACCTTTTTGTGTGTGTGTGTTCTTCACTCCCCTTCAAAACAGTGACCAGCGTACATGCCCCTTACAATGTAGCGGGCGGGCAGGTGGGAAGGTGACGTCGGGACGGTGCGTGACTAACGCACGCACCGCCCCCATGCGACGTCACAGCCAGTACAGTGCCCGCCACAGTGGGGAGTGTCGGGGCGCACAATGCGCCTCCTCCCCTCGCTAGTATCTGCCCCGGAGCTGCGGCAAAGGTGTAAAAGAGCCACATGCGGCTCCGGAGCCGCGGGTTGCAGACCCCTGTCCTAGGGAGACCGTTCCTCTGTCGATCAACTCTTACTGTCAGAAAGTTTTTCCTGAGGTTTAGTCGGAATCTCCTTTCTTGTAACTTGAAGCCACAGGTTTGAGTCCTACCCTCCAGAGCAGGAGAAAACAAGTTTGTTCCCTCTTCCGTGTGACAGCCCTTGAGATATTTGAAGATAGTTAAAGGTAAAGGGACGCAGGTGGCGTTGTGGTCTAAACCACAAAGCCTAGGGCTTGCTGATCGGAAGGTCGGCGGTTCGAATCCCCGCGACGAGGTGAGCTCCCATTGCTCTGTCCCAGCTCCTGCCAACCTAGCAGTTTGAAAGCACATCAAAGTGCAAGTACATAAATAGGTACCGCTCTGGCGGGAAGATAAATGGCGTTTCCATGCGCTGCTCTGGTTCGCCAGAAGTGGCTTAGTCATGCTGGCCACATGACCCGGAAGCTGTACGCCAGCTCCCTCAGCCAATAAAGCGAGATGAGCACTGCAACCCCAGAGTCATTCGTGACTGGACCTAATGGTCAGGGGTCCCTTTACCTTTAGTGCACTGTAGCACCAAAACTCACAAGCATCCAATGAAGCTGGATGTTGCGAGACCCAGGATGGGCAAAAGAAAGATGGGAATGTACCAAGTATTCTTTAAATGCTTCCACACATTTTAAGAAAATGTGGTTCTAGATTGCGCTGGAACCTTTTGCCTCCATATGCTAGATTTCTACCTGCAGATGTGTGTGCTTAATGGAAAATATTTCAAGGATGTGTTCCCGCATGTCTGAATCAGTCCTGCTGCAGAAAAGCAGTATCAGCTAATTCTGTTGGACATGTGGCTTAGCTCTTAGACTTTTAAATCTGCTTCTGTTTAAGCACGTTAATGAACAGCAATACTTCAGAAAGGCGTTTAAAACAAGCACAACCCCAAATTCCAACTCAACACCTGCAAAGAAAGGAAAAGGACACGCCTTTAAAAACATTCAGTGTTTTTATTCTTATCTTCATCACAGCCTTAAATATCAAAGGAGAGCTGCAGCAGGCTGGAGCAACACGGCATATACAAAGAACCGGGAGGGCTTTAAAAAAGATTTCACAATAAAAATCAGTGCAGAGTTAGGCTTACTTTGAGAGAGGAAAGGCAGGCATTGAGAACTGGCAGGGGGAGAAATGCACAAACGGCAAAGAGAAAGAGGAAATAGACAAAACAAATGTACAAACCTAGTTTGTGCTTAACACCAGGCAATGGCTTGTTTGGCAAACCATGGTTTGTCTCACAGATGATTAAACAAACCACAGTGGTCCAAACTTTGCTTTGTTTCTTTGCTGCTCTTGCTTTGTTCCTTAGTAGCTTGGCAAGCTTCTAGGGCGATGTGGTGAAAACAAGCTATGGTTAAGGAGGGGAGGCCTGGTTGACTCATAACATTACCCTGTAGTTAAAACAAACCAAGGTTCATCAGTCAACAACAAACCATGGTTTGCCAACAGTGAATGAAGCACAGTGAAACCGTTGGGCAGGGCTGAAGCACAACACTTAAGCCATGGTTTCACCAGTGGTTTAATAAATCATGGCTTTGCATTATGGGCAATCAAAGCCATTTGCCGGATCAGGGGTTTTTTTTTTGCACTTTTGCCAAACACATATCCCCGAGCTGGCGGAGAAGGAGACACAGAAAAGAGAAAACTCAAATCAAAGAAAGTTGGGGCTTTTTTAGTTTACTCAACGCAGAACATGATGAAGAGGAGACATGATAGAGGCTTACAAAATCATGGATGTTGGGGAGGGAGACAAATATCCCCGCCCTGGAGAAGATACCCTGTGAAAGTAATTAGCAGTAAGTACAGGACAAACAAAAGAAAATGTGGTTCGAGTCAAGGCATGAACAGCTTGTGGAATTGACTTCTGCAAAAATGCAGTGATGACTGCTAGCATCGATGCCTCCCCCCCTTTTTTCTAAGGATTGAGAAATTTGTGTGGGACAGGCGGCTGTCAGCAGCAACAGTTAAGAACAGAGCTTCCACATTCGGGAGCAGAATACCTGTGACGAAGGGCCTGAAAACAGGAAGTGGATATGCTCACCATCCTAACCTGGCTGCTTGTGAGCCTGCAGAAGGCCTTGGCGGAAGCAGAAAGCTTGCACAATAAAGAGAGACTGAAACCCAACAATGCAATTATTGCATCCTTAGGCTGTGTACACATCGCCAGCATTAGGAAGAACTATTCCTGACAATGAGAGCTGTTCTACAGTAGAATGGGCAACCTCGGAAGATGCTGGACTCTCCTTTATGGGAGATTTTTAAACAAAGGTTGGGTGGCCATCTGTCAGGGATTCTTTAGCTGTGATCCCCGCATTGCAGCAGGGGGTTGGTCTAGATGACCCCAGGGGTCCCTTCCAACTCATTCTATGTTTCTATGATAAAATCACAGCCCAGTCATTATTTTCTTAATAAGGACCAAAGCTGAGTTTTGTAAACTAATAATAATAATAATAATAATAATAATAATAATAAGTTGTTATTTGTACCCTGCCCATCTGACTGGGTTACCCCAGCCGTTCTGGGCAGCTTCCAACATATATGAAATGCACAAAATGTTTAACATTTAAAAACTTCCCAATAGAGATGGATTGTGGCTAACACTCTGCGAACAGCGCTTCCAGAACCAGTGGTGGAAGAACACTGGGCGTAGATCAAAGTGTGTACACAGCCTTAGCTTACACATTTCACCCGCCCCCAAGGAAACCTCGGGAGCAGGCTTGCGCCGTTAAGCGCTTAATTGCAAAAGGGACCAAAAACCCCGTTTGCCAAAACTTCTCTGCAAATGTCCCTCCTCCTCGCCTCCCTGCAGCCGTTCCATTTACTGGCAAGTTTCTTTCTTCGCTCAGAGGCCTTTCTGCAGAGCTGCACTAAAAAAGAGTTTCTCACACGGCTCACCACAGACCCGCTTTTTAAGGGCAGAGGAGGACAAAAGGCCAACCGTTTGCTTCTTGGCGCCGGGAGCCGAGATTCCGCGCCAGTTTTGCTCGAGAAGAAAAGCCCCAGCTTAATCACATATGGGGTTTAATACACTCGTACGTGCAAAGCTCTTGTGGAAACCTCGCAGAGAAAAAAAGAGAGAGAATCTCTGCCTGGAATGAGAGGACTCAAGAAACAATATACGTATATATATATATATAGATATTTAAAGAGAAGGAAGGAAAACTTAAGATTTTATTGGGTGGTTTGCATAGTGTTTTTCTTTTTTTAAAAAAAGCTGGCTTTGTAGCATCCACAGAACTTTCGGAAAAGCAGAAAAGCAAACATCAGCAACAGGTAGTCAGAACTCTTCGCTGTCCCGCGTGGATATTTTCCGGAAGGACAAGGCCATAGATTTCGTAGCTCTGAGGGTGGAAGGCGCACAGAGCACTGTCTTGTCCGCACAGACATTTGTCCCCATCTAAGACTGCCTGCATAAAGCGGCACAGGAGGGAATCACACGAAAGGGAACGCGTACAGGGGACAGGGCGTGCTGCAGTGCATGCGTTGCTCGGCTTTTGGGATGCGGCGTTTTGAATTGTTTCTCCCACGTGCAGGAGTCATGCACAGATGCATCGCGCCCAGAGTCCAGCCACGCCACTCATGCAGGATGCAGGCTTGGAATCGGGGTGGCTGCCAATGTTCCCCACTTCCTGGGAGCGCCACAAACTTGATGCTTCCCCCCTTCTTTCCTGCAGCCCCCCACCCCACCCCAAAGATTGACTCCTCCATCCTGCTTTCAAATTGGCTAGGACTCCTACTTAAGCTCTTCCAAGGGGCAGCTGAATATATCTTGCCTATCTTGGGTCAAGAGCGGACCCTCCTGGTTGCAGCCAACTAAATGCTACTCAGAGTAAATGCACCGAAATCAAGGGGCTGACCCAAGAAAAGCTTGCTGGATCAGGCCAATGGCCCTACTAGTCCAGCATCCTGATCTCATGGCAGCCAACCAGATTCCCGTCATTAGGGTTGCCATATTTCAAAAAGTGAAAATCTGGACACCTTCCACCCCCAATTGAAATCAATTTTGGATTCAAGCACAACTGGGATTCAGAAGCATTGCTGGGCATAGTAGCCATAGTAGTTATTGATAGCCTTCTCCTCCATGAATTTGCCCAGTTCTCTTTTAAAGGCACCCAATCTGGTGGATGTAAGTTAGCAATGACCCTTGGTTTAAATAGGTCTACTCTGAGCCGGATTTAGTTGGGACACAATCCTCTTTGGAGATTTGCCTCCCATCCTTTCCGGCCTTCTTCCCCCTCACCCTTGATCTCCCTTGACACATATTTCAGCTTTTGCCTACTTTAATTACAAGTAAGCCGCCACTGATCCACCCCAGCTGTGGGTCCACACTGAGAAGGGTTGCTGTATTGGACTAGCCATGCATCTGATGGGGAGCCGTTGAAGCCCTTATAAAGCTGACGCCACAATACATTTGCTCATTGCTAAAAGGACGTGCTGTTGTTTTAGCTACCACGGACTAGCGTAGCTAACCCCACCTGGAGTTGTTTTTTAACAGTTGTTAGCTCGGACCACACATACACACACAACACACGTAACACACACAAAATAAATAGGAGAAATGGAATGGAATACGACCGACGGGCCTCTCCCCCTCCTCCAGTCTGGAATGAAATCTCTGGAACTGTAATGAAAACTGGGAGATTCTGCACTCTGCCACCCCCTGAGTTTATGAGGGCATGAAGAAACCAAATGTTGAAATAAAAAGCAATGATTAGAGAAAGGACCCATTTTGTATGTCTTGGGAAGAAAAGAGAAAATGTTTAATCTGTGGTTCTTGAGAATGTACCCTTTCCCCCTAAATTTCAGGGTCTAAATCAAGCCCCAAACCAGAACATTCCTCTCCACTTTGAGTCTTCCTTTGATCACCACGGTTGCTTGAACGTTACAAAGATGGTCAAAGGGTCCAGTGATCCCCACAGGATTGAGGAAGCAACTCTGAAGGGCTGAGAGGACTTGGTGCTTGTGGGAACTGAAGCAGAGAGAGAGATTTCCACCCAGTAAGTCAACCTAGACTGGAAGGTGACCGTTCTGGACACCACATTTTAAGAAGGATATTGACAAGCTGGAACGTGTGCAAAGGAGAGCAACTAAAATGATCGAGGGTCTGCAAACCATGCCTAATGAGGAACAGTTGAGGGGGATGTTTAGCCTGAAGAAGAGAAGACTAAGAAGCCAGATGATGGCCGTCTTCAAATATCTGAAGGGCCATCACATGGAAGATGGAGCAAGCTGTTTTCTTCTGCTCCAGAGGGGGTGGACCTGAGCAAATGGATCCAAATGAAAAGAAAAGAGATTCCGACTAAACACGAGGAAGAGCTTTCTGATTGTAAGAGCTGTTTGACAGTGGAATGGACTTTCTCAGAAGGTGGTGGACACTCCTTCACTGGAGGTTAATAAGCAGAGGCTGGATCCAGGCCACTTGGTCTTAGCGGCTCAAGGGATGGAGCTGCCCTGTGTACATTTGAGCATTCTTTGCCACTAGCTAATTTCACTTAATTAGCAAGAACGGCAAGGAACGACGGCACTTTCCTGACTGGCGTGTTTACCGACAAACATGCCACTCTTGCCATATAATTCGTGGGGAGAGAAGAGATGAGGCTGTCTGCAATCGGCGGCATAGATCCCTTTTGGATAATTTGCAATATTGCAGGAGGGGGTTGGGGGCAGAGGTGTGAGCTAGCAGCGCTCACTTCAACCTCAGTCTCAAAGCTGAAGAAGTGGAAGCTGTCATTCTGCACAGCCGCTGCTAAGAGAGTATTGCATTCATTGCCTGATGCCCACGCCAATAAAACAGGCTAAGGAATTTAGGGAGCTGCTAAGCCATGGGGGCCAATCTGTACCAGTACTGTCTGCACTGACTGGCAGCAGCTCTCCAGAGTTGCAGGGCAGGGCATATTCCCAGCCCTGCCTGGAGATGCCACACAAAGTGTGTGTTCTGCCACTCAGCTGCGGCCCTTCCCCTAAAAATAAAGCAAGTTTCTAGTCCTCATGGCTCTGAACAATGATTGACACGGGAAAATAGGAAGCTGCTTCATATACAGAGAGTCAGGCCCTTGGTCTGTCTGGCACATTATTATCTGCATTGAATGTCAGCAGCAATCCAGGATTTGGGGCATGGAGCCCTTTCCCAGCCCTAGCAGGAGATGCTAGCAGGATTTGAACACAAGACTTTATCCATGAAAACCAGATGCTTTGCCACTGAGCTGCAAGACCCACCATCAACACAATGGAAAGGATTGAGGGGGAAGCCATCAAGAGATGATCAATGCTCCAGAAGGCTGAAATCTCCTGAGGAATGTCTGGATGTCACATGTGCTGAGAAGATGGAAGGGATCCAGAGGGCCATCTAGACCAACCCCCTGCTATGCAGAAGGAGATGACAGCGAAGACCACGCTGGCTGTTTTCAAATATTTAAAAAGGACGAAAGAAAGGAAGATTGCTCATCCTGGATTCTGAGAATCAGGTTTTCCTCCCTCCCACCCATCCACCCCAAAAAGCAATTGTGTTTAAATGACAAGAAGCTTAAGAACTTAATGCTCAGGAATGAAGGCCGATGCGAAGGATGTGGCGGAATCTCTTTATTTGGCGGCTTTTCAAAGATGATTGGGCAAGCATCAGCCTGGGATGCTTTCGGTAGATCGGCTATCCTGCTTCTGAGGACAAATCTGGACAGCCCACTGGCTCCACTCCAAGCATTCGGTCGTAAATCCGCTAACACGTCCAACCAGAATTTGCTGGTCAAAAAAGATAAGAGAGGTGTTTTGCATTTTTTTGCACCCACTTTGATTCAGTATGACAGTCACAGTGCTCACAAGGGGAGCTGAGGAGATCAGCAGTACCTTAAGACTTTATTCAACAGACCCACTGAAATTAATGCACATGGCTACAGTAACTTGGGCCCATTTCTTTGCAGAAGCAAAGAAAGCTGATGCTATTCTAGGCTGCATCAACAGAAATGTAGCGTCCAGATCAGAGGAAGTAATAGTACCACTAGATTCTGCCTTGGTCAGGCCACACCTGGAATACTGTGTCCAGTTCTGGGTGCCACAGTTTAAGAAGAATATTGACAAGCTGGGACATATGCAGAGGTGACCAAGATGATCAAGGGTCTGGAAACCAAGCCTTATCAGGAACGGTTGAAGGAGCTGGGTAGGTTTAGCTTAGAAAAGAGGAGACTGGGGGGAGATATGTTGATACCTTCAAATGTTTCAAGGGCTGACACATGGAAGATGGAGCAAGCTTGTTTGTTCCTGCTCTGGAGGGTAGGACTTGAACCAATGGATTCAAGTTACAAGAAAGGAGATTCTGACCAAATTAGTTCTCCCTAATATTTCCTAAACAAACTTTCTCAAGTAAAAAATAAATTGAATAAGTTTCTGAAGGAAAGAGCTGTTCAGCAGTGGAATCCCCTTGGAAGGCTGTGGTGGTTTTTAAGCAGAGGTTGGATCCATGTCAGGGATTATTGAACTGTGATTCCTGCGTTGTAGCAAGGGGTTGGACTAGATGACCCTCCGGGTCCCTTCCAACTCACCAATTCTATGATTAATGCATACACAACCTTAGACGGCCAGGATCGACACACCCAGGACTGCACATAAGGAGGAAGGCCAGCTGGTGGATGCTGGTTGAAGACAGACCAGGACATCAGCAAAGCAGTGTCCTGTGTGCCCTGATGGAGCAGTTTCCACTGCTTGGCCATGTGGGGATTCCACCCCACAAGTCTGAAGGGACAGCGTTGCTGGGAGAGTAATAAAGCCTCCTCTTATCTAATTACGCAAAGCAGAGAAAGCTGAGCTGGTCTGGTTACCAAGAGCAAGATGAGGACACGTGAGATAAGGGTCTGTGGCTGGTGTCAGTTTCCCAGGCTCAGTTCTCTGGCATCATTGAGGAGGACGGCCACCTGGTCTGGTGCAAGGTTGGTTCCTAGCAGAAGAAGGTGAGAAGAGCCTGCTGGATCAGGCCAATGGCCCATCCAGCCCAGCATCCCCTTCTCACAGTGGCCAACCAGTTGGGAAACCCACAAGCAGGATTTGAGCATAAGAGCCCTCTCTCCTCCTGCAATTTCCAGAAACTGGTATTGAGAAGCCTTGGTACTGAGAGCATAGCCAATTGCGGCTAGTAGTAATCAACAGTTTTGAATTCTGGTGCTGGAGGAGACTCTTGAGAGTCCCACGGACTGCAAGAAGATCAAACCTGTCCATTCTGAAGGAAATCAACCCTGAGCACTCATTGGAAGGACAGATCCTGAAGCTGAGGCACCAATACTTTGGCCACCTCATGAGAAGAGAAGACTCCCTGGGAAAGACCCTGATGCTGGGAAAGATGGAGGGCACAAGGAGAAGGGGACGACAGAGGACAAGATGGTTGGACAGTGTTCTCGAAGCTACCAGCATGAGATTGACCAAACCATAGCTGTCAACGTTTCCCCTTTTTTAAGGGAAATTCCCTTATTCCGAATAGGATTCCTTGCAAGAAAAGGGAAAAGTTGACAGCTATGGACCAAACTGCAGGAGGCAGTGGAAGACAGGAGTGCCTGGCGTGCTCTGGTCCATGGGGTCACAAAGAGTCAGACACGACTAAACGACTAAACATCAACAGTCATTAACAGCCCTCTCCTCCTCCATGAATTTGTCCAATCCTATCTGAAAAAGCTACCCAACACCTTTCTGCACCACTAGAGAATTCACCTACCCACTTCCCACCCTGAGTATATGCTTATCCAGGTCACTTCCACTATTCTGAAATCAACCCACCCAAGCAAAGATCGTGTCAGGCAGTGAGCTGGGTGGACGTGGGATCATGAAGTTTACGAACCGTAGAGTTGGAAGGTGTCCCCAAACACAATCTAGTCCTGGCATCCCCAACCTTCAGCCCTACAGATGTTTTGGACTACAGTTCCCATCATCCCTGACCACTGGTCCTGTTAGCTAGGGATCATGGGAGTTGTAGGCCAAAACATCTGGAGGGCCGCAGGTTGGGGATGCCTGATCTAGTCCAACCCTCTGCAATGCAGGAACCACAGCTCAGGAATCCCTGACAAATGGCCATTCAACCTCTGCTTAAAAACCTCCAATGAAAGAGAGCTCACTGCCTTCTGCAGGAGTCTGTTCCACTGTCAAACAGCTCAGTCAGAAAGTTCTTCCTAATGTTGAGTCAGACTCTCCTTGCTTGTCATTTGGATCCAGTGGTTATGGTCCTCCCCTCCGGGCCAGCCGAAGACAAGTTTGTTCCACCTTCCATTGCAACTGTCCTTTAGAAGATGGCTATGCTGCCATCCCTCTTGTCAATGAAAAGAGCCTTCCATTGCAATCTAGTACCAGGCTGTCTGCAAGAGAAAACAGACCTGCTGTTTATGCCAGTCCCATGGCCCTTCAATCAACCTGTCTGCTGGTTTTCTGAGAGCAGAAAGGCTGTAGTTCAGTGGCAGAGTGGCACAAGGTCACAGGTTCAATCCCCAAGGGCATCTTCAGATTGGGCTGGGAGAGAACCCTCTCTGAAATCCTGGAAAGCCACTGCTAGTACGTGTAAACAATACTCAGCTACATGGAACAATTGTCTGAAATAAAGCAGCTTCCTAGGTTCCAGAAGGGCTAAGGGAACAAGGGCTCCAGGCCTGGCAGACCCTTCAAACAAGTCCTTGACTATTTGCATAGCCTTGACCGTGGTGGCCCCAGTGAGGAAGCCCATTTAGAAGCAAACTGGGTTTGCAATCCATTGAGCAGTAGAGAGAGAGGGCCCCAACGAACTGAGACCTACTCTTGAGCTCCTTCGTATCTGTTTTGCACCAGTATCACTGAAGGGAAGACAAAGCAAAGAGGAAACAAAACTCTCTGCTCTTGGAAGAGAGGAGAGAGGACTTGGTGTTGGTTACCAGGAATGATTGGGGCCCTTTTGCACATTGCATTTGCAAAGATACGGGCGGTGAAACATATCCTTGAAGCCACGCAAGAAACTAACATCATGAGAAGGGCAGAATCTGCCTACAGGCCTCTTGCAACGTGAGAACTCTGATGAAGGATCCCAGATCTCGTGAGTCACAGCTTTTCTTGCAAACTGAGTCACATGCTTTGCTAACTCGTGAGCTGCATTTGACTGTACAAAGCAGCTTTTAGGAAGGCTGCGTGGGATGTCCGTATGAACAGGCCAATCGGCGACATCAATGTGTGTTGTTGTTGTTTAGCATGACTCATGAATGTGTACCCAAAAACTCCGTTGCCGGTCATGTAGAACTTAAAAGACAACCAGAATTCCACCAGAGAGCAAGAACAGTCAGATAAAAGTTTTAAGAACTGGGGTGCAATTCAATCTGACGTTGTGCTCAAACACAGAGCTGAATTGATTTGGTTTGGAAACATCAGGGAAACCTAGATGATTTTTCTGCATAGTTTAAGGCCACCTTTGTGGCAGGGTTTTGGGCGCAGGCCAAGGTGGGCACTGTGGGCAAAGGAACGACCGCCCAAATAGCAGAGTGGCGTGGAGTGAGAGCCCGAAGAGCAGATATTGTAGAGCGAGAGAGATCTGGATGTGGAGGGACTAGTAGCGGATTAAATCTGCTGTTTTGTGGGAAGAAACCCACATCCTGGGCCCCAAAGTCAATCTAAATCTCCAGTCATTTCTGGAGAAAGCTCCTGGGATGCTCTCATTTGCTCCATCCTCTCTTTGCTCAGGTTGAGGACCTCAACAGTTTCCATTTGGAAGCCTTCTCCAGAAAGAAATTATTGTGCCAGAGTCTGTTCCCTGCCACCAAACTACAAAAGAAAAATTAAGCCCTCCTGCCGCAAACCTAGAATCCTTTATCCTCTTTGAAAAAGAGGCTCGATATTGTTTTAGAGCGAGAGAAAGCTGAGGAAAACGAAACCCCCCCAAAATAAATTTAAAAGCATGGATACAAACTGATTTATTGGAATGTGTTTGTCTGGGGCTGGAGAAGGGGAAAGGGAGGGGGTGATAGGGGGCAAAAGAAGGGCAGCAAATCAAACTGGTGAGAAATTAGGATTGGATGAGAACAGGCACCTCGTCAGCATCAAACACTGTAAATAATAATAGTGGTAATAAAAAGGTACATACCAACCCTTTTGACCCTCTTCCTAGCCGCCCTAACACCCTGTCCTTCCCGCCTAAGAGGGCCCAAAACGGGCCTCCGTTCACATCATACTTTTCCTGTACTGGGATTGCGCGTTCTGTTTGGATTTGGGGTCTGAGAGCTGCAGTTCGAGCTGCTTGTACAGGCCCCTCAGTTCCTGAACCTCCTGCAGCACTTTCTGCGCCTGGCTCCAGTTGGACGAGGCCTCCCCAAGCAGCCGCTCCGTCTCCTGCAAGATGGCCTTCGAGTCCAACTTGGAAGAAGACGAGGAGGAGGAGGGAGAGGAGGCGGTGGTGGTGGTGGTGGCGGCAGAAGCGGGGTCCTTGGCCTTCCGTTTCCCCTCGGCGTAGCCCCTCACCTCCGCCAGCAGTTCCTGGGTCTTTTCAAGTTTCAACGCAACAAGTTCCTGGATCCGGCCCAGCTGCTCTGGCCCGGCCGAAGCCAGCTGCTCCTCCAGCCCTTTCCGCAGCACCGCCCGGTGCGCCGAGGAAGAGTCCCGGCACGACAGGATCTCCTCCATGGAGGCACATTTGTTTTTCTCCAGGTGGGAGAGCTTCTTCGGAACCTGAGGGGTGTACATGGTACCCTTCTCAAAGGAGTCGGTGCGCTGAGAGAACTTGTCCCAAGATGCCACCTCCCGCCTCGGGAGGCTGTTCGTCCGGCTTTTCTCCGCGGGCTTCACGTTCTCGGAATCCGAACGCCGCCGCCCGGCCGAGAGGTGGGCCACCGATTTGTCCAGGTCCACCCGGAAGCTCTCCTCGCAGGTGCCGTGGTCTTCCGGGGAAGCGTCCTCCTCCTGGATCAAATCGAGGGTCAACATTCCGTCAGACGTTGAGGTAGATGCCTACAGAGGTCGTGGGGCAGGAAGAGAGAGAGAGATAAAGGCTACGTTTTTTGAGAATTATTTTGGAGGCATCACAAATCAACCCACTGATACAACAGTGCGGTCGCATCTTACGCAGGGGTCACGTTCCTGGGATGGCAGGTAAACACAAAAGCACATGGACACAAACCACCCCATGTCTTCTAGAGCTGGCATGCCAAAATAACCCCTCTGCAGCAAGGCACAGAGCTTCAATGCTCTTTTTGTGCCAGGTAACCCAATACCAAGGACAGAAATGAAGAATTTGGCTCTGGTCTATAGTTGCTACTTCCTATGCCCAATGAATCAATCAACTTTTGCATGTGTATAAACAAAACAAAACAAAACATGCATGCTTATGCCATCTGACACACACACACACACAAAAAAACCAGGGATCAAATACAAACATAAGCAGAGCCTGTTGCTGGATCAGGCCAGTGGCCCATCTAGTCCAGCATCCTGTTTTCACAGTGGCCAACCAGATGCCTCAATGGGAAACCTGCAACCAGGGCCTGAACACAACCACGTCTCCCGTGATTTCCAGCAATTGTCATCTGATGTGCACTTAATTTGCTCAGTTTCAGACATAAGTGGTTGAAGTCCGGCTGGTTCAAATTCTGCAAGTTAAAAGCAAGCGACACAGAGAGCTTGAAAGCTCTTTTTGCGCCGGGTTTTCATGGCGTGAAAAGCCTGTTTGAGGTCTCTGCCTTGCTTGGGCAAGCCCCACTCAGCGCGCGGGCTCCGAGATGCTCTCATGAGATCACATGGGGCCATCTGAGTTCCTGTGAGATCTTGCATGAGCATCTGTAACCTGGAGCCAGTGTGCCGAGTGGGCAAATGAGGCAGAGAGCTTGAAAGCTTTTTCCATGCTGCGTTTTGCGGGAAGCTTTTGAGCTCTCTGCCTTGCTTGGGGAGCGAGACCTGCACAATGTGCTAGTTCCTGGAGTCTAGATATGCTCACACGGGGCGGTTTGAAAATCTGCCTTTTTGTGTGTGCATCGAACCCTTGGAACCGAACCCCTGCATAAGATGAGATTGTACTGCACATATATATTTCCCGTGTCCAGTTCTGAGTGTGCGCAGTTAACGGAAGCAGGAAATCCGCCTTAACGTACCACAGCCATCAAATGCCCCCTGGTCGGCGGCCGCCTAGAGTGCTGGATCTTGGCCCTGTCGCGAGTCGGGTGGGCAAGGTAGCTCTCCTCCTCCACGGTCACCTGAAATGCAACACAAGCACACCCACCGTCAGTTAGTCACGACGACAGGCCAGCGCGGTGGATCGCGGTGAATAATTTAGCCCTCTCGTTTTGGCTCCCTGCAAGGGGCTGATCCATCAGCTTAGCCTGGAACTCTGCAGCGTATTCATTACCCGCAACAATTAGCTGGAATCTCTTTCGGGGTCGAAAACGGCTCGACTGCTGCCTGGCAGAGGCTCCAGAATTTGCAGGGCTGCAAATCTTCTGGAGAGACAGGCGCTGCTCAGAAGTGTGTTGCCGGCCAACATTCCAGGCATGAAGGTGCAAGCGAACTTTGGTCAAAGCTGAGCATCATTCTGCTAAACCTGTTGGGCCAATGGCCGCCTCCAGGCAGTCAGAATTTTCCCGGATTGGAGCCCATTCTGGAATGTCAGTCGGCGCATCCAAAGTGGATTCAAGCGCTCTGTCACCCTAGCACAGCACATTCCCTAGCAAGGGCCATTTCCCTTCCAGGCAGCTGTCTTGAGGGACCACATTCTGGAGGTAGACAAGGCCAGTGAGGAAACCGGACAGACAAGGGAATGTAACATTTTTCTTTTCTACAGTGGGCTAGTTGCTACACACAAACACCCCTCTGTCATCCATCCATAGCCAGGGCCTTTTCAACACTGGCTCCAGTGGAACGCTCTGTCTCATGAGACCAGGGTCCTGCAGGATCTGATTTCTTTCTGCAGGGTCTATAACACAGAGTTGTTCCGCCTGGCCTTTGGCTTGGAATCAACTTGATCCCCTCCCCCTCTATCCTTTTTCCTTTCTCCTTCTGTGATGGAACTCCTATTTGGGGACTTCCTTGGCTTTTTTTCTGGCCCACGTAGGACCAGTCTGGATAGTTGGCCTTGGTGAAGATTTGATGTTTTCATCCCCAAAAAGTTTTTAATTTGAGTTTCTACTGAAATGAGGCTGCATTTTGATGTTGTATTTTAATCTTGTTTTTAAGTTTTATTTTAATCAATTGTTTTATACCTGGTGTTAGCTGCCCTGAGCCCTGTCTTTGCTGGGGAGGGCAGGGTATAAATATTATTATTATTATTATTATTATTAGGCAAGCAGACAGCATGACCAGGGATCAAGGACAGGAAAAAGCATTCAGTGGGGGTGCAAAACAGCTGGCGAGGGGTGTGGCCTGGGCACAGAGGTGTACCTAGGAGTTGGTGAAACCAGTTCCCACCAGGGGCTCAAAAGCCACCTATCAGACTATGGAGCATATGATGTATTTGTTTGGGGAGATTACTGCTGCTGTCGCCCTGAGATCAAACACAGGAGAAGCTTCCCATTCTTCTCGCACTGGGGCACAAAGACGTACAGTTTTTTCTGCCCTTCCTCCCTGCCCTTACTCCAGACGTTTCAAGCAATTGGGTCGCGTGAAATGTAGTAATTTCTAATGTGGCTATTGCAGTAAAGTGATTTTCCAGCGAGGGGAGGCGGCGATACAGCTCTTTGATTGGGGCACCAGAGACCTTGGTTACACCTCTGCCTGGGAGGAGAATTTGCAAGGCTACATTTGGCCCCCAGGCCTAAGGTTCCCAACCTCAGCCAACCCCAGAGCAAATTCCAAGGGCTGGAGGTAATAGATTTAAGGACAACGATAAGAATTAGCCGCTCTTCACCCTAAGGTCCGAGGGTGGGTTACAGCAATTAAAACGTAATGTTAAAATCAGTTTAAAATAACAATCAAAAAATAAGGTGGGTTTTAAAAAATCATGCACCCCGAGTGCCAAAAGCCTGAGCAAAGAGGTACATCTTTAGCATCCTCTGGAAGGTGTACAATGAAGGTGGTGGGCACATCTCTGCAGGGAGGATGTTCCACAGCTTAGGGGGCACCACAGGGAAGGCCCCCATCCCCTGAGCCTCTGCAACAACCAAGAGGGTGCCCTCTGCCCATCTCAGCACCCAAGAGGGTCTGTAGGGAAGGAGGTGGCCATTGTCACCAAGTTTAACTATGCAGCATGTGGATAAATCTCTTCTTTGGTCTTGCTGCTCCTGATTCAGGCCAAAGGGAGCCTACTTAGTCCAGCATCCTATCCTCCCAGTGGCTGACCAGGTGTCCCAACTGGAAACCAGTGAGTGGGATCTGAGCACAAGAGTAACACTCTCTCCATCCTGGGTGTCACAGCAACCGGCATTCAGAAGCATCTCTGCCTCCGACCCCGGGGATGATTACGGATCAAAAGGCGGAACCGCAACCCCAGCCTTTAAATAAAAGCGATAAATTCTCACCGTGGCCGCCCCTCGGCCTTCCCCTAAATTTAGCAGCGAGGAAGCAGCACTCTCGATTCTGCCCTCTCTGCAGATGCAGAATGAGTCACGAGCCCACAAAGGCAGAGCGATCAAAAAAGAGAGACAGATGGCCCCGGCGATATCGGAGACAGCAGACTGTAGTCTCGGTTCTTCTTTCTTCCTTCCTATTTTTTTCTTTAAAGGGGTTCCTTAATTCAATCGCACTGTTTAAAACTCCGAGCAGAGGCAGCTCTTTATATAAGCTCACGTTACAGTGGGTGGGAGGATGGCTGGAAAGGGAAAGGGGAGCAACCAGTGGAGAAACAAAAGGGATCTTGGAGGCAGTGGGGAGGGGGGGTCTCAAAAGCTTCGCTGTGGGAGACTACAACCTGGCAGAGGCCCCTTTGTTTAGCTTGCCATAAGCGCAATGTTTTCCTCTTCCCTCCCAGTCCATTTTCCCTTGCATGCTGTGGTTTTGTTTGCTTTCAGATTGTGCGGGAAGGAACTCTCTTGTTTTGACTGTACATTAAGCCACTCTGGGGGCCTTGGGGGGGGGCTGAAAAGAAGGGTACAAATGCTCTGAATGAATGAATGAATGAATGAATAAATACAAACGATGTCCATTTCTCATTGTTCCTGGGAGGAGGAACAATTAAGTACTGTATTTTTCTGTGTTTAACTAGGTTTTTTCCCTAAAAAATAATGTCATTAAATTAGGGGGCCTCTTATACACAGATACATCTCCCCCCATTTTCTTAAATCTGAGTCCTCCAAAATAGGGGGTGTCTTATACATGGGGGCGTCTTATAGACGCAAAAATATGGTAGATAATTTTATGAGCCAAGAAACCAATAGATTATTAATCTACTAATTGCTTTGCTCATAAAAACAACTCCAAGGCAACTTTCAAAGGGCAACCCCTTTAACAGGTTGCGGGGGCGCAAGACCCACATCGTAGGAACAGACTCTGCCTTATGCAGAGTCAGGCGATTGGGGTCCACCTGGCTCAGTATAGTCAACACTGACTGGCAGCAGCCCTCCAGGGTTTCGTAAACGGGGGACATTCTGAACCCTAGGTGGAGATTCCATCAAGGATCAAACCTGGGATCTCTTACACACATAACAGGTTCTCTGCCGCTGAGCTATGGTCCTCTGTTTAAAAATAAAGACTCTAGTCCTCATGATTCTGAACCAAAGGGCCAGTTTAAATAGGAACATGCCTTGCCCCAGGTCAGAGTATTGGCTGTCTAGTCCTACCCAAAAAAGTAATAAAAAGAAAAGTAGAGACATCACCTTGCCAACAAAGGTCCGTATAGTAAAAGCTATGGATTTCCCAGTAGTGATGTATGGAAGTGAGAGCTGGACCATAAAGAAGGCTGATCGCCAAAGAATGGATGCTTTTGAATTATGGTGCTGGAGGAGACTCTTGAGAATCCCATGGACTGCAAGAAGATCAAACCTCTCCATTCTTAAGGAAATCAGCCCTGAGTGCTCACTGGAAGGACAGATTGTGAAGCTGAGGCTCCAATACTTTGGCCACCTCATGAGAAGAGAAGACTCCCTGGAAAAGACCCTGATGTTGGGAAAGATGGAGGGCACAAGGTGAAGGGGACAACAGAGGACAAGATGGTTGGATACTATTCTCGAAGCTACCAGCATGAGTTTGACCAAACTGCAGGAGGCAGTGGAAGGCAGAAGTGCCTGGCGTGCTCTGGTCCAGGGGGTCACGAAAAGTCGGACACGTATAAACGGCTAAACAACAACAACAGTCCTACCCAGAAGATGCCTTCTGCCCATGAACACCTCATTCCCCAAAGGTTACTTGCCTCGTCCAAGATGCGGTTCTTGGCCCGAGTTATCGCAGAGTTGAGAGCGTTGATCCAGGACTCCTTTTCTTCAGGACTCACAGCCAGGAAGACAAGGTTAGGTGCCTAGGAGAGAAGGAACGCGCATCAGCTGTGAATGTCACGCCATCAACAAACCCATCCTGGGGCAAAGGAAGGTGGCGTCCGTCTACATCAGATGCACCAGCGCCTAACAGCTTCTTAGTGGAAGAGAGAATCCCTTACAGTGCATGGAAATACAAAACCCGCTTACAACTCGGTTGGTTTTTTGAAGCACCCAGGTGACAGCCTAGTACTGGAAAGCAGAGCTCCCTCCATTAGCTCTGCTACGGCAAGCCCGTTCCCTCAGGCCTCCTTTCCCCTCACCTGTCACCTGGGGGTAGCCATCCCATCAGGAGAGATGGGTAGCAGAAGGCCTTTTCCATCAGGACAACTGTTTGGAAATCTGTGCCTGAGTTTTGATTTTTCCTCTTCCCTCCTTGTTCGTTTCCCCTTGTGTGCCATTCTTGTTTACTTTATAAACCTGTTCAGGCAAGGACTGTCAGGTTGTCATTTTTTTAAAATTGTAGCTAAGCCTTTCCTGGAGCCTTTTTGGCTGAGCAGGGCATGCATTCTCAAACTAAAATAAATAGTAATGCAAAACCATGGTGTCTGAGAGAGGATCACTTAAACCTTGCTTTATTACATCCCTTCCTTGTCTCCCATTAAAGGAGATACAAGCCAAGAAGACCCATTCTTCACTCGTGGCTCTATAGCTTTTGATCAATGACGAAATCCTGGTTTCCTAGGGTGCATTTACTATCCCAGGACTGGGGAGTCTGCAAAGCCTCAAGGTGTCACTGGAATCCAGTTCTCCTAACTGCTGACCACTGGCCATCCCAGCTGGTCTGGCTCCTTTAACCTTGCTGGATGGGTTACCTTATGCCTACAGGAAGTGAAGCTGCAAAAAAAAATCATAATCTCCCATTGTCAACACAAACTCCCTAGCAAATCTGGAGAGGTAGAAGCAACTATTCTTATGCGTTGCTCTTTCATTGTGATTCACGCCGGATTTTTATTGGAAACTCCTTTTTACAGAAACTCCCCAGGCGATCAGGTGAATTTTATGCTTCTTAAAACTCCTCTCCGATCGGGGATGCATCCATCTCTTCTAAGCTGGGAGCTAAATACTGCGCTGCAGCAAGTAAAACTCATTGGGGATTAATTTTAACGAACTTACGGCTTTATTTTCTGCGCCTGGCATTCTATAGTATGCTTCAGTTATTTAGTCATCGTATTGTTATGGCTCTCTGTCTTGTTTTGTCTGGTACTAGCTTACAGATTTTAAAATACTGGCCGCTGACTGTAATAAAGAGACTGGCTGATGATGGACCATTGGCCACCTTGGCTGGGGGCTGATGGGAGCTGGAGTCCAAGGATGCTGGAAGGACCATCCTTTTCCTGCCACATCCTGCAGCAGGGAGTTCCATAGTTTAACCAGGAGCCAGGAATCCCTCTGGGTGGGGGCGATAGGGAAGACCTACTGTGTTCCCAGGCTCCTTGGAGTGGGCGAGCGAGAACTTGCTGTAGTTCTTTTTGCTTCTGCTTTTTGATTTCCTGAGCTCTTCGCATTTCTCGTAATCGTTCAAGTCAAACACTTCCTGAATGTTTTTCTCGTCTTTTACCTGCAGGCAGGGAATAACAAACACATACACAGAGGGACACAAGTTCAGTGAGAGTCTTTCATTTGCGATTGATTGCTGGTTCTGTCTCTATACACTACAAACCCTCAACTGTTTTAACTATCCTGGCTTATGGAGCCAGCTTGGTGTAGTGGTTAATAGCGGTAGACTCGTAATCTGGTGAACTGGGTCTGATTCCCCGCTCCTCCACATGCAGCTGCTGGGTGACCTTGGGCCAGTCACACTTCTCTGAAGTCTCTCAGCCCCACTCACCTCACAGAGTGTTTGTTGTGGGGGAGGAAGGGAAAAGGAGATTGTTAGCCACTTTGAGACTCCTTCAGGTAGTGATAAAGCGGGATATCAAATCCAAAATCCTCTTAACACAACGAAATCAGACATTGGAGGATTCTGACAGAAGCAAAATGGCCAATGTTGACTTATTTGTCCTGTCTACGTGATGAGAATCAACCCAGCAAATATTGATTGGCATTTGCTGCTGCTGCTTTCAGTCCGCAGACAATACGTAATTGATTATGGTTGCTGCCACCTCACATTTAAATTGCATCCAGCATTCATGAGTCATGACGTCAGTAACTTGCGTAAATGGCATTTGTAACGTGCATAAATAATCAAGTCGATTGCGTTGCATAGGAAGACAGGAAGAAGAATAAGTTAGCATTTGGTGGAAACCAAGATGCAGCAGAATGAAAACAGCGTTGATTGCGACGAAAGCAGATTAGAGTGGGAATCACTGCCTTCTGACTTCCCTAGCCACAAAGCATTCTGGGAACTGTAGTTCCCACAGGGAGGCTAAGGCTCCTGGTCCCCACTGCAGTTCAGCAATTGACTGCACCCGTTTGGATGGCGGGTGTAAGAGGATTGCACCCTGGAAATGAAGAGGCAGGGCGACTCCTCCATCTGCTCATGGCCCTCTCTGCTCGCTAGGTGGGATCCCAGCCAAAAAGGGTTGCCAGCTTTTCAGCTTCCCACTGCAGTTGTGTCAATGCCAGACTATCCTCCACAAGGGCCAGGGTCTTTTCAGTGACAGGTCCGACCTGGTGGAATGCTCTGTCCTACGAGACTAGGGCCCTGCAGGACTTGATCTCCTCCCGCAGGGCCTGTAAGACAGAGCTATTCCACCTGGCCTTCAATTTGAATTAGCCTGATCCTCTATTCCCTTTCCTCTTCTATAAAGAAACCCTTTCTGGGGCTCCACATTTAAATTCTTCCCTGGTCTCCTTGCTGGCCCTAGTAGGACCAACTTGGCCAGTTAGTCCTGGTGATTGTTCGATGTCTACTGACTGGGGTCCCCCCCCCCAAAAAAATGACCCCTGAATTTTTGAATTTTATTGATATTTATGCTGCATTTTATGTTGCATTCTATGCGGTTTATGCTGTTTTTAAGTCACATTTTAATCAATGTTTTATGTATGCTGTTAGCTGCCCTGAGCCCGGTTTTTAAACCGGGAAGGGCAGGGTATAAATAAAAAATTATTATTATTTTTTATTAATTGGAAAGCATTACGTTTATCTCCATAGCTGGGGAAGCCACACCTGCAGATTTCTGCAGGGAACACTGTCATTGCAAAAAGTACAACCGCCAGGCAAGGTGGACAAACATTTCCTTAAAATAAATAAATAAAGTTTTCAGGTTTTACAGGTGGAAAAGCATTTTCTGGTTATTTAGAAGCCATATGGTGAACGCACTACCACCTTTGGCAATGCCTCTCTTGGCGGCAAATCCCATAAGTTAACCATGTGTGCAGCTGCACTTAAAAGCGCAAATGACTACTAATAACAATAATACCCGGGAAGCGGGTGGCGCTGTGGGCTAAACCACAGGGCCTAGGATTTGCCAATCAGAAGGTCAGCGGTTTGAATCCCCGCGACAGGGTGAGCTCCCGTTGCTCGGTCCCAGCTCCTGCCCACCTAGCAGTTCGAAAGCACGTCAAAGTGCAAGTAGATAAATAGGTACCGCTCCGGCAGGAAGGTAAACGGCGTTTCCGTGCGCTGCTCTGGTTCACCAGAAGCGGTTAGTCATGCTGGGCACATGACCCGGAAGCTGTACGCCGGCTCCCTCGGCCAATAAAGCGAGATGAGCGCCACAACCCCAGAGTCGGCCACGACTGGACCTAATGGTCAGGGGTCCCTTTACCTTTACCTTACTACTACTAATAATAATAGTAATAGTAGTGTTTGGGGTACTGACTGCAAATGACACTCCACCAACCAGAACAAGGGATTCATTTACCGGAGACTTCCCAATGGAACGAATGGAAGTTGCAGGAGAGAAAGCGCATTCACAGGCAACTTGGGTTTGGTCCCAAAGGTTACACACAGAAGCAACATCCAGGTATAGCCAAAATTTCCTTTGGAGTTGCCCCACGGTTAGCCAGCGATAAGGGAGCCAGTGAGCAGTAGGCTCAGATGTGAGAGGAAGCTAGAAACTCAAAGCAGACCCAGTGCAAAAAGAGCTTTTAAGCTATTGGTCTTGCTTCCAAGTTTTGGTCTTTCTGGCCAAGTCCCCCCTGGGGCATCCTCTGAGTGGCTCACCTTTTGCCAGGGGTGCGGTAGGCAGTGGCGGACCTTGCAGGTCTCAAATTTCAGCAGCGCCTGGTGCGATACCAAAATTTGGCGCCCCTGCCTTTTGCGCCCCATTCTAAATCACATTTGTGGCATCCCCTGCAGCTTCGCCAACCTTCGCAACCTGACTTCCTGCGAGAACTTGAGAGCTCTTTTTTGTGGCTTCCACTCGCCTCTGATCCCCGCCAGCTCGCCTTCACAACGTACGGTTGAAACTCTGTTGGTGGGGTGCCCAAACTTTTTTCAAAGAGGGCCAGATTTGATGAAGTGAACATGTGTGAGGGCCAACCAAGGTTTTTAGGATTGAGGTTGAGATTTTTTTACAATTTTACCCCAAAGTTGTTGAGTTATTTTTAGGATTTTACCCCAGGACATACAGTGGTACCTCGGGTTACATACACTTCAGGTTACATATGCTTCAGGTTACATACGCTTCAGGTTACATACGCTTCAGGTTACATATGCTTCAGGTTACATACGCTTCAGGTTACAGACTCCACTAACCCAGAAATAGTACCTCGGGTTAAGAACTTTGCTTCGGGATGAGAACAGAAATCGCACGGCGGCAGCAGCAGGCCCCATTAGCTAAAGTGGTACCTCAGGTTAAGAACAGTTTCAGTTTAAGAACGGACCTCCGGAACGAATTAAGTTCTTAACCCGAGGTACCACTGTATACTGCCACGAGGGTGCTGGATTAAATTGATTAAACGGACTTTGGACTTGACTGCTGTATGTGAACCGCACCTAAGATGCAGGTTTACTGCATTCCTATGGACGTGTACATATGGAAGATACTTCCTTGTTTTAAACCGTCCAGCACTCGAAAATATCGTGGGGCGGGGTGCCCGAAAAGCCACAAAAGCAAAATATGAAATTAAAAATGACACGGATATCTTAAATCCATCTGCGAAAGTCAGCTTTGAGGAGGGGATGAGCACGCCTACAGTTTAGCAGGAGGAAAACCAACATCGCTGCGCTATTATCTGGTTCATTTTGGAAGCGGCCAGGAACAAAAAGTCAAGGGGCGGGGGGAGGATGAGCGCCGTCTATTTTTAACCGGGCCAGAATCTGCTGTGTTCAAGGCAGGACAGCTCGCTTTAAGCCGCTTGAGACCCGCAGCCAACGCAGGATTTGCGACACGTGAAATAAAACCACCGCCTTCGCTCCTAAAGCTTTTTGTCCCCAGAGAAGAGATTAGCCAAAAAGGGAATTAAACCCCGGCACAGAAGAGCGTGGACCCATGTTGGGCTTGAACCCGGCGGTCAGGCTCCCCTTTCCTTCCTGCGATCCATTTCCAAACGGACACATTCGCTGCGCATGGGGGGGAAAACAACAACAGCCTACCAGCCAGATCTCAGTCTAATGCCAAGTTAGCAGCTCACTTCTCCATGAATCAGTCTAATCCTCTGTTAAAGCCTTCTAGGTTGACGTCCGTCACTGCCTGCTGCGGCAAGTAGTTCCAAAGTTTAATTCTGCGCTGCAGGAAGAAATCCACCCTGAATCTCGCAACATTCCGCTTCCTTAGATTTCGACAAGTTCTAGTGTAACGAAAGAGAGAGAGAGAGCGGGGAAAACACTTCTCTGTCTGCTTCCTCCATGCCAGGCAGAATTTTACAAACATGTTGGCTCTTATTTGCCTTTTCTCTAAACTAAAAAAATCCCAAACTCTACTAACCTCTGGTAGCGTTCGTAAAGCTAGCAAGGCCCGTCTGACTAGTGGGAGGCGTCCCCAAACAAGTGTGTCCGCACCACGAGGGAACGAGTGCACCATCGCACTGCTCACAACACCCTCCAAAACCACAGGGATTTGGGAGGAAAAAAAACAGCAAGGGCAGAGGCAGCTTAATGGAGCGCCATGTTCATTCCAACTAGGGAGCCGCAAATAAATGCAATTTTCTCCATTGCAGAACGGAGGGGACGGCGATATCGATTGCCGCTCACGTCAGGTTGACCTAACACAGCTCATGCTCAACTCTCACAAATCAATTTGGGGGAAGGGGAAGGGCATGTCATGCGCGCCTCTGTGAGCACATGGGCAGCTCGGCTGGGCTATCGCAGCGCAAAAATCTATGCCCGTGAGCTGGCGATCGGAGCAGTTCGTTGGGAAGCAGAGGGGAGAGAGTCCTTGGGAAAGGTTTACCATGCCTGGGGTCACGAGGAAGGGAATGGAAATTGCCAATATCGTAATGCAGCGATACCGATCGGTGGTGCGGCCGAATTTGGAATATTGTACGCCGTTCCGGCCGTCTCACCTCAGAAAGGGTACTGAAGAGCTGGAAAAGGTTCAGAAAAGGGGATGGAGAGACTTCCCTATGACAAAATGTTGCGGAGTTTGGTCGTTCTTAGTTTAGAGAATCGGCGAGTAAGAGGCAAAATGATAGAAGTTTATAAAATCATGTGTATCATGGAGGTAGTAGATAGAGAAAAGTTTTCCACCCTCTCGCCTAACAGTGGAATTCAGGGATATCCAGTGAAGCTGAAAGTTGGAAGATTCAGGACAGATAAAAAGGACTTCTTCACACAGTTGAAACTGCGGAACTCCCTGCCACAAGAGGCAGCAATGGTCACCAACTTGGATGGCTTTGGAGTAGACAAATTCACAGAGATTTCCCCAACTCATCCGCGCTCTTTCCAGATCTGTAAACGGGACATCGGAAGCTGAACCAGACACTATCGGTCCATCTAGCCCAATCTGGAGATGTCTTTGGGGATTGAACCCAGGACTACAGAGCTACATCCATAAAAAAAAATAAAGTAAGATTCTAGTCCTCATGGTCATTGTTACCATCGGTCATTAACTGGCAAGCCAGAACGGCTTGTGAATGAGCAGCCGGTTTGACCAAGAACCTAAGACTCCACTTTCTGCAGAGTCAAGGCTGTGGGTCCATCAGGGTCAGCATTACCCACACTGACCGGCAGTGATGCTCCAAACTTAACGCCGGGGGGGGGGGAATCTGCTAAGAGCTAGTGCATTAAGTAAACGGATGGAACAATTTTAACGTTGGATTAAAATTTAAAGCGAAAAGCTTGTGCGTGCCTGCAGGGATCTGGCAACCTGTCTTGGAGGGGTGTGTGTGTGTGTGTGAGCTTCCGCCCCAGGAGCAGCGGAGGCCACGGCTGAAAGTGCCCCCCCCGCGCTCTCTTTCACACACATCAATAAACACAGACTTTCGCTCTCCAGGGGCATCGATCTGCGCACCTTCTCAAAGGCTCGTATCAAATGCATTTTAGCACGCTATCGGAATTAATTACAAGAGGTGAAGTCGGGTGGCGGGCAAGGATCAACGCTCTCCTCCGCCCAGCCCCCCCCCCAAAAAACAATAAGCAGCATTTTGAGGACATGTGAAGCTGAGGCCTAGATTTTGGGGTTGGGGTTGGGGTGGGGGCTTTTAGGACCAAAGGGAAAACAGAAACAGGCTGTCTCTCAAGTCTACGGTCTTGGTTAAAGTGGATTATGTGCCAATCCGCCGCCCCCCAGCAACTAGAAGGTGGTGGTGGGTGTATAGGGGCAGTGTTGTGTAGTGGTTAGAGTGTCAGACTAGGACCTGGGAGAGACCAGGGTTCAAATCCTGCCACTCAGCCATGGAGGTCATCGGGGTGCACTTGGGGACCAGTCCCTCCTTCTCAGCCTAGCCTCCCTCACAAGGTTGTTGTGGGAATAAGCAGAGGGAGAACTATGCTTGGCACCTTGAGCTCCCTAGAGGAAAAAAGGTGGGATGGAATTGCAATCACCTGTACGTAAATAAATGGAATTCACCGTCCTGCAAACTGGACAGAATTTCTGTATTTGCAGTATTGCAATTGGCTGCTGGTTTAAATGGCTCTTAAGTCAGATTAGACAAATTCATTGCTTTACCAACTGCACGAGCTCCCGGTGGAGTACAGGGTCAGGTTTAAGGTGCTGGTTTTGACCTTTAAAGCCCTATGCATCCTAGGACCCACGTACCTACGGGACCGCCTCTCCTGGTATGTCCCACGGAGGACCTTAAGGTCCACAAATGACAACATTTTGGAGGTCCCAGGTCACAAGGTGGTTAGATTGGTCTCAACTAGGGCCAGGGCCTTTTCAGTACTGGCCCCGACTTGGTGGAACGCTCTGTCACAAGAGACCAGGGCCCTGCGGGACTTGACATCTTTCCGCAGGACCTGCAAGACAGAGCTGTTCCACCAGGCCTTTGGTTTGGACTCAGTCTGACCCTTATGTTTCCCTCCCGTTATGGTTTTGATCTATGGGCTACTTTTAAAATGAGGCTGCATTTTAAATTGCATTTTAACCTGTATTTTAAATTGGTTTCCCCCCTATTATGTTTTTACTGCAATTTTACTGGTGTTAGCCAACCTGAGCCCGGTTCTAGCCAGGGAGGGCAGGGTATAAATAAAATTTATTGTTTATTTATTTATTTATTTATTTATTTATTTATTATTATTATTGGGGGCAGGGAAGGAGACCTAACAATGGCTGTTAGCCCTAATGTCTAAATGGAACTCCAAGTTTAGGGGCAGTCTACCTCTGTTGCCTTCAGTTCCCTTCCCCATTGACACCCGTTGATACTGGACTGGAGAAATATTTAATCTGATCCAGCAGGGCTCTTACATTCTTCCACTTTCCTTTCCTTCCTTTCTTTTAAGTGGGAGAGGTCAGGAATAAAAAGAGCAGATTTCTAACCCTTAGGGGTTTGAAGGTAGACTTTTACAATATTCCGGCAGTGCCTGGCATAAACTCAGACGACAAAGAATTACAGGGCTGGGAAGCCCTCAAAGGCTCATCTAGTCCTACCCAGTAGGACTGCAGGAATCTTTTCTCCCTACTTGGGGTTCGAACCCACAACCCAGTGATTCAGAGGCTCTACGGACTGAGCCAACCAGAAAGAGAGTTTCGTAGCAGAAGGAATTGAGCAAAAAAAATCACCAACCACGTGAAGTTGCTTGGTGTGTGTGACTCACGCGGGGTCACAGATCCAGCCTTTCTTAGTGCAAGGATTTGGGTTGCCTGGGCAAATAATTTCGGAAATATTTTTAGCATGGAGAACACCCAGCCTTTTTTACAAGCCTGTATCCTGAGAGGATGAGAGGAAGTTCAGAATCAGCAAAGGAGGCTGCACACCATGACTGCAGTTGGAGGGCCCGCGACAAAGAGAGAAGGCCAGAGAATCGTTGACTTTTTTAGAGTTGGAAGGGACCCAGAGGGTCATCTAGTCCAACCCGCTACAACACTGAGGCCCAGGCAGCAAGGGACGCCTAACCCGAGGTTATCTCGCAAACCCTGGTTGGCTAGGTCCCTCCCAGCCAAGTCCTCCTGAAAGAACTTCAGGACTCAATATTCCGCCATCGATAGATGGGGAACATCCTCCCAGCTCAGTCTGGATCCTTTGGCTCAGACCAGTCCATCAAGAACACACAAACACGGATTTTGATTTAAGGTATGATTTCAAAAACATGCCACTCGTCATGGAAACAGAAAACCGGCTTTGCATGCAGAAGGTCCCGACTTCAGTTCCTGAAAGTCTGGGAGATACGTCCTTCCTGAAACCTTGGGAGAGCGACAGCTGCCAGCCAGTGTAGGCAGTACTAAGCTTGATGGACCAGTGGCATTCAGTACAAGAAGGCTCTTAGAGATGCTCCCACAATAACATCAGGTGTAATGGCAGCTCAGTGACTGGGAGAGAACATCGGTTGCCCTGCCTTCCGGGACCGCCTCTCCTGGTACGCCCCGCAGAGAACCTTACGGTCCACAAACAATAATACTTTGGAGGTCCTCAAGGAGGTTAGACTGGCCTCGACCAGGGCCAGGGCCTTTTGAGCCCTGGCCCCGGTCTGGTGGAACGCTCTGTCACAAGAAACCAGGGCCCTGCAGGATTTGACATCTTTCCGCAGGGCCTGCAAGACAGAGCTGTTCCGCCAGGCCTTTGCTCGGGGTTCAGTCTGACCCCCTTCTTTCTATGGGACACTATGTAAGTGGCCTCTTTGGCTATTTCTATCGACCCATATGGGACCAGCATGAATGGCTGGGCCTGATGCACTTTTAATTCCTTACCCCTACGGTTATGATTCGTGGGTTCCCATTTAATTTTATTTTAAATTGTATTGTATTTAAATTGAATTGTATTTTAAACTAATGGTTTGATTTTGTGTTTTTAATGTATTATATATTTGGTGCGATCTGCCCTGAGCCAATAAAAATAATAATAATTATAATTATTATTATTATTATTATTATTACTACTACAGTGGACGCTCGGGTTGCAAACGTGATCCATGCGGGAAGCACGTTCACAACCCGCAGTGTCTGCAACCCGCAGCGCCACATCTGCACATGCGTGGGTTGCGATTCGGCGCTTCTGCGCATGCGCAAGCGCCAAAAGCAACCTTTTCCGGTACTTCCAGGTTCGGCGCGGTGCGCAACCCGAAATCGCACAACCCGAAGCATCTATAACCCCCGAAGTATGACTGTATTATTATTATTATTAACCAAGCCAGATGAGGGATGGATGAGGGAGTTGGGAATGTTTAGCTCGAATAATAGGAGACTGAGAGGAGATATGACAGCTGTCTTCAAATATCAAAGCTGACACCCAGAGGATGGAGCAAGCTTGTTTTCTTCTGCTCTGGAGGGTAGAACCCGAACCAACCGATTCAAATTACAAGAAAGCAGATCCCAACAAAACACATTAGGTAACCGTTTCTGATGGTAAGAGCTGTTTGAGGGTGGAACAGACTCCCTCGGAAGGCTATGGACTCTCCTTCATGGAAGGTTTATAAGCAAAATTTGGATGCCCATCTGCCAGGGATTCTTGAGGGCATTGCAGGGGGTTGATCTAGATCAGCGGTTCTCAACCTGTGGGTCCCCAGATGTTGTTGGACTACAACTCCCATCATCCCTGAGCTCTGGCCTTGCTAGCTAGGGGTGATGGGAGTTGTAGCTCAACAACATCTGGGGACCCACAGGTTGAGAACCGCTGATCTAGTTGATCCTTGGCAGTCCCTTCGAATTCTAGGATAGCAAATGATTCCCCCCCAAAGAATCCTGGCAGCTGCAGTTTGTGAAGGTTGCTGGGAACTGTAGCTCCATGAGGGGTAAACTACAGTTCCCATGAGTCTTTGGTGGCGCCGGGGCGCCTTTAAATTGCACGGCGTGCAACGCAGCCTTAAGGCACGGCGGATCTCGAACGAGCCCCTTCCTCCAAGCCCTTCGCCCCCACCTGCGCCCGCCTACCCATCGAGCGAGCCACCCACCCACCCTGGAGATCGGGTGTCTCCGTAACCAGATCACCCCGTTCTCTGCCTTTCTGCCTAATCACCTCTCTGCATTTCTAATGCCTTAGTTTCCTGCCACCAAAGCGCCCGGTCAGTTTCATGGTAATTAAAACGCCCGCTCTTCTGAAAGCCTGTTTCAGAGAACCCTCTTCCTGCGAAAAGCCTTTGGGGGGAACTTTTGGGTTTACAGGAAAAGTGAGTAAGCAGAGACGTGAAAGAAGTTGACCAAGTTATGCTGAGAAAAGTTTCCCTTCCCTCTCCCATAATGCTGGAATTTGGGGGGGAGGGATCTAACAAGGATGTTTCAGGACAGGCAAAACCAAGTCCTTCTTCTGTTGAACTGTGGAATAATAATAATAATAATAATAATAATAATAACAATAATAAAAATATATTATTTAGACCCCACCCATCTGGCTGGGCTTCCCCAGCCACTCTGGACGGCTTCCAAAAAAATATTAAAATACTGCAATACATCAAACTTTAAAAGCTTCCCTAAACAGGGCTGCCTTCAGATGCCTTCTAAAAGTCTGGTAGTTGTTTATCTCTGAACTTCCCTAAACAGGGGTGCCTTGTTTGTGCTACAGGAGCTACAGTTCTCAGCAACCTTCACAAACTGCATAAACTACCATCTTATCATCTGATGGGAGGGCATTCCACAGGGCAGGCGCCACCACCAAGGAGGCCCTCTGCCTGGTTCCCTGTAACTTGGCTTTTTGCAGTGAGGGATCCACCAGAAGGCCCTCGGAGCTGGACCTCAATGTTGGGTGGAACGATGGGGGTGAAGAAGCTCCTTCAGGTATTCTGGGCCTTTGAGGCCGTTTAGGGCTTTCAAGGTCAACACCAACACTTTGAATTGTGCTCGGAAACATACTGGGAGCCAATGTAGGTCTTTCAAGACCGGTGATATGTGGAACTCACTGCCACAGGATGCAGTGATGGCCACCAGCTTGGATGGCTTTAAAAGAGGAAGATTCGTGGAGGAAGGGAAGGCTCTATCAGTGGCTACGCTCTGCCCCCACAACTGAAGGCGGCAATGATTCTGAATACCAGTGGCTGGGAAGTGCAGGAAGGGAATCGTTGCTGGGCTCCATCTCCCAGCACAACCAATGGACAGGAGTCAGGGTCCAGAAAGATCTGGATTGCATTGCAAGGGTCCTTTCCGACTCTATGAGTCTCTATAAACGGCCTCGGCCCAGTATACCTGAAGGAGCGTCTCCACCCCCATCGTTCTGCCCGGACGCTGAGGTCCAGCTCCGAGGGCCTTCTGGCGGTTCCCTCATTGCGAGAAGCAAAGCTACAGGGAACCAGACAGAGGGCCTTCTCGGTGGTGGCGCCCGCCCTGTGGAACGCCCTCCCATCAGATGTCAAAGCAATAACAACTACCTGACACACAGAAGACATCTTAAGGCACCCCTGTTTAGGGAAGTTTTTAATGTGTGACATTTTTGTGTATTTTTGGTCTCTGTGGAAGCCGCCCAGAGTGGGCGCGGTACAAATAATAAATTATTATTATTATTATGAAGGTTGCTCGATTCCTCAGCCCTGCCTTAGGGGCAGTCCACTTTTCTGTTTGTCTCGGGAACTGAGGACATGGAAACACCAACTCGCTCTTCCCTTCCCTTCCCAAGATTGTGTAAAGCCAGGAATACGATAGACATTGGCGGGATGGTGCAATGGGGTGTCCCATTAACTCCCCACCCACCCCAAAGATTTCAGGTTCCCAGGGCTTCCTGAGGAACAAATCCTATCTGACCATAAGTGTGGGAAAAGCAGGTTTACAAAAACAGGTCCTCACACAGGACTAATTTCAAACCTTCTTTGCAACCCACGTGGACTGCAGAAATCTTTCCGCAGAAATCTCTCTCCAGTCATAGGGACTAGGAACTCTCCCTGCTTTAAGGCATCACCCCCCAGGTGACCCGGTGTCTGTTTACATCCATTCGCAGCCCCCATCCCTGGGTTCTTCTCTTGCTGCTATCCTGCCCATCCTAACCCCGACCTCTTAATTCTGAATGCAAGCTGATGGGGGCAGGGACCCGACCTTTTCACACAAGTGGAAAAAGCACCATCTGCCCTGCACGATGCTACAAAAAAAACCCCCACACACCTCAAAGTGAAAAAAGAAGGAAGAACAAATGCATATAAGTTAGGCTTCCTGCTGCTATGACAAACTGAGGGTCACAAAGAGTCAGGCCAGAAGGCCGGATGTGCAAAATAGGTTTAAACCACATCACCTCTTATTAGAAACGAGACCCTCTTAGTCCCCAGCTGCGTGCAAAGTGCTTTTTTTGTCTCTCACCACCGAGAAATTGCTGCCGTTTCCTGTCCACCTGAAAATTAGGAGCTCTGAGTGCAACTTCCAAGCAATTTCTTTGGAAATAATAAATAAGGACATGCACTGTGGAACTCCCTGCCTATTGATAGCAGGTCTCTTTTTTTTGCACACACCTGCTGAACGCATTTTTGATTAGACAAAGAATCTAAAACAATATCCAGCTGGTGTGAGTTTTAATCCTGTTTTTACTCTACTGCTATTTTAACTTTTCAAAAGTCTTAAACTGTTGCTAGTTCTTCTCGACAACCTGTGAGATTTGTTTCCCCCCGCAATCGAGCGGCGCATAAATTTTATGGAATAATTTCTTTAGCCCCAGGATTTTTTTTATTTTGCAAAGGGTCACGGCGATGGTGGAAATAAGAGGGCACAGGTAAGAGCGTCAGGCACATCGACGCCAATGCAGCCAGGTTAATCGTCTGCAAAGGATGAAGGTTTTAACAAGGCTAAGGGAGAGATTTCCACTTGGGGGGCCTGCGATGTGTCACACGACTTTGCATTTAACCTGCCCTTTGTCTCACAGCCGGCCTGGCAAGCAGGAAAGGATGTCACAGGAGGAAGCAAGCCTCGAAATCGAGATGCAAATTTTCAGGAAAGGTTGGCTGACAATGCAGAACTCTACAGGAATACAGGAAGCTGTCAGACCTCTGGTCCATCTGGTTCAGTATTGTCTACACAGACTGGCAGCAACTCTCCAGGGCCTCAGGGCCTCTCCCATCCCTACCCAGAGATGCTGCCAGCAGGGACTGAACGTAGAGCCTTCGCCACCGAACTCTGGCAAACAATGTTCCCGACACCCGGGATGTAAAACCCATAATGGCGCACATTGCTCTGGCCAAGTAGCCAGGGGAGCACCATCACAGGAACGCACATCAAGTGCTGAGCTGCAGAGCCACCGGCCTTCCCTTTAAATCAAAGCAAGATTCTAGTCCTCAGGAACACAAAGGAAGGACTAGCGAATAAGAAGGCAGGAACTTGCCATTCCAGAAGTCAAGCCATCAGTCTATCTAGCTCAGTACTGCCCACACTGACAGGCAGCGGCTCTCTTCCTGGGCACTGAGTCTGGGACCTCCTGCATTTCTTCTCTAAGAAGAAAGCAGGGCGCTAGTCCTCATGGATCTGAATAAAGGGCCGGTTAATGGAAGAACCTAAAAAGCCATATTAATACAAGTGAGGCCGTTGGTCCTTCTATCTCAGTATTGTCTACTCTGACTGGCAGCTCCAGGGTTTTGAGATGGGGGTCCACCTGGAGATTGAACCTGCGACTTTCTGCATGGAGGGCAAATGTTCCCGGCCTCAGCTGCGGCCCTCTGTAAGCTGTCTTACGCTGACCATCTGTGTCCATTAAGCTAAGTATTGTCTGTACTGACAGGCAGCACCTCTCCCAGGTTCCGGACCTTCCCAGCCTGACCGGGAGATGCCGGGAATGAACCCTTCTGCGTGAAAAGCGAGTGCTGGGTCCCTCAGCCAGGAGACCACCCGTCCCCACTCCCCAACAGCTGTGAAGACACCAAAGGGCTTTTGAACCTCTTTCCCTGCCGCCAGGCGTGCCAACCTGAATAAATCATTGGGGGGGCAGGTAAGCCCCACATAATCAATTCCAAGACACATTACATGCACACCATTTGAATGGCAATTCCCATCCACTTAGGGGGCAGCCCCCTCAAATATTTATTGGGGGGGCAAAGGGGTCTCGGCCCCTAGGAGTTGGCTCCTTTGCTTGCTTGCAGCTGCTGGCAAGCAACTGACCCCTCTCAACATTAATCACCTTTGACCCCACATCCTGGGAACGAGCCGCCACATTCCCACAAGGGCCCTGGGCCTGTGTCCTTTGGGGGCAGCCCTATAGCGCTTGCCGCACTTCCACGAACTTCAAAAATTGCTGCCCCTTTTCAACTTGCAAAATCTAGGTCTCAGGCAAGGCCAGTGGTCTCTCCTCCCTCCTCCCCCCCAATTTCCTGTTTTGGAGCTCCGGCTCTGAGGGTGGGGGGCGTGGGAAACGGTTGCCATCTCTCTCTGGGGTGGGGGAGCAGGGCTGCCCTCCAAGGAGATTCCAAGAGAGAGAGAGAGATCCTACCTCCTTCTCTGAGATGTACAGCTGGTCCCCTTTCAGAACCACGTAGCGGTTTTTCCAGATCTCCCGGAAAATGCCTCTGCCACAGAATTTCCGGACCCAGCCCACCTTCTCCAGCAGAGTGGGTTGCTGGTTCCCATCCTGGTGACCCTGGAAAGAGAAGCCAGAGAGAGAGAAAAAGAGAGAGAATTGGAAACTGTGATGGAATGTCTTTTATTTCAAGCCTCTCCAACCTGCATCCTTCTTTCCCGGAGACTGCAGGATAGGGCCCCTCTATTGCTGCAGAGTCCGCTGGCAATCTTTTCCGAGCCACCGTCCTCCCTTGAAAGTGTGCAGTTATTATTATTATTATTATTATTATTATTAAACTAACAAAACAATCCCAATTCTAACGGTTCCTCTCTCTCTCTGTGTGTGAGAGACATGATGATGATGCACAAATCAATAAACAATTTTTTTAAAAACCCTCTGGCACCCCACCACCACCCCACACCGCCTCCACATCCATTATGTAAGGAAACAGACTGTGTCAATCTGTTCCCCTGCCCACTCTGCGTTTCACCTTTTTTCCTTAAAAAATAATCATCACAATTTTCGTGTTTTCCCTGCTTTCTCACCCTTTGAAAACGCGCAGCATAACAACATAATATTAGCGGTCCTAATAATGATAATATTCGCACGAGGCCCCGTTTCTAAGAGCAAATGTGGGGCTACAGAATTGGATGTTTTCAAATGGATCTCCCCCCCCCTCCGCCTTTCTAACCACGGTAAACAGTCTTAAATCTGGAGAATAGGCACCATGCGTTGTTTCTGTAAGGGTGGTGGGTTTCCCTGTTGTTTCGAATACTCCCAGAATTAATGCAAAAAACCAAACGAAAACAAAACACCACCCACCCCCAAACCCACAGTTTTAATAATAAACACTTGACAATCCAGCTTCTGTACCAGTTTAAAGGACCCAGCTATTGGGGGCTACTGGGGAGAGATAGGAGGCAATTGAATTGTTGGAGGAAGGGGGCCGAATCGAAGGGCATCGAAACGATATTTACAACAGCAGCAACCAAATAATCAATAATCCAGAAAAAGCGCAGGCTCTGACACCCCAGCTTCCCCCCTCCCCACCGCGCGCCCCTCCGACCTCACAGAAACTGGACAATGACCCTTCTGCTTTTGGTGGGTCTTCAGAAAGCGGGCTGCAAACTCACCCGCTTGGTAGAATTGGTTTTTTTCATCATTCCTCGGGGGGGTGGCCGTCAGGAAAAAGGGGGTGGGGGGAGGAAGAGGGGTGGGGGGAGGAGAAGAAAGAAAGAAAGAAAGGAGAGGGAGAGAGGAAAAATCAGAGTCGAAGCTGGTCTCCTGGAGACGAGCAAGCAGCTGAAGGCTTGGGCTGGCTGTTTCGCAGGAGGGGGAAAAAATAAATGGCTCCCCCCCTTTTTTTCCTCCCTCCCTCCCTCTTTATTTCCTGGTTGCCTTCCTCCTTCCTCCCTCCTGCTCCTCTTTCTTCTCAGAGGGAGCGCAAGAGACCTCCGGTGGCATGGACCTCTTTGCGATGCGCGCACATCCCTACTGAGAGAGAGAGAGAGAGAGAGAGAGAGAGGGGCGCCCCCTCCCTCCCTCTCTCCCTCCCTCTTTGCCTCGCCTGCTCCTTCCTTCCTCCTCCCTCCTCCCCCCCTTTTTTCTCCTGTGGGCAGGCGCTGGGAGAAAGGGGTGAGTCGGGGCTCCACAGCCCCATCTATAGCCAGACGTGCGCCACGGTGCCAAGAGGCGAGGCGAGGCGCTCCTTTGTTCCAGGAGGAGCGTGGGATGGGATGTGGGGGGCGGAGATGGACGGTGGGGGGGGGGGAGAGAAGGCGCTCAGCCCCCCAGGAGAAGGGGCTGCAGGGGGTCGCGAGCAGCACCCGACGCGAATAGGAACTCCTGCTCAAAGTAGACCTCCCGGGGGAGACTGATTTGCTTCGTGACATGGTGCGTATTTTGAAAACAAGCAAGCCAACAAAAAACCCAGCCAAGCACCAAGCGGTTTGCAAAAAATGGTCAGCGAAAGGAACTTTTTCAAAACATTCAAACAATAAAATGGAAACGGACAGAGGGCACCGTCGGCTCGGCTCTGTTATTTTCCATAGGGCTACTCTTGAGTCAAAATGAGTTGGTGCCAATAGTGCTTTTTTCAGGGCAAGGATACCCCTAAACATTTTGTGAATCTTTGTACTTTTGTCCATTGACTCTATTTCTATCCCCCGATTTGAACTATAAAATGGGGGTTTTCTTGAGTCAAAAGGAGAGTACCCCTAAAAAAAATTTTTAGAAAAAAAAGCACTGCCGGTAGTAGTAATAATAAATAAAATGTTCCACTGACAGGACCTGAATCACTAATGTCAAATACAAGGGAATGCTAAGAATAATTTATTGTTTGTGTTTGTATTGCCTGGAGGCTGCCTTGATTTCCCTCCACACAAGTATTTTATAGATAAATAAACTTAATGATAATAATTGTAAAATGTGTTGCATTAACAGGACCGTCCAAAGAATTGCAAATGTCAAATACCAGGGAATGATGATGATGATGATAAGAATAATAAGTATTGCATTAAGAGGACTGGTCCAAGAAACTGCAAATGTGAAATGCAATGGCTGAATGAGATATTTAAGAGTTACTGAGGATATCAGGTTTCTTTCTTTTTTTAATGTTAACGCCCCAAGTGTCTAGTTCTCATCATCTCAAATATGTGCTTAAATATGCACAGCGAACACCTGGTGGAATCGCAGGAGTGGGAGAAGTTGTTGAGTAAGATCTCCTGCGTTTGGGGCTTGAGAACTTTGTTGCCCCTCCTCACCAATGGCGGAAGCAGAATAAATTATGCGAAGTCAGGGAAATTATGCACAGCTGCCCAATCTGCATGATTAATGCAGGCGGCAGCCTTAAAGGGTCACCTTGGCACCAAAGTCTGCACGCTCGGAGGCCTCCCTCTCCCTCCTCCTTCACGGCCAAAGGCTCAGTGAACCCAAGAAATGGGTAGCAACTGTGGGGAAGCAGATTTTGGCTATAACCACTAGAAGAGACTCCCTAAAGGTGAGAGCTGATCACTGGTGGAGCAGAGACTGCCTCTGAGGTCAGTGGCTTTGCTTTTTGCCAGAAGGATGTAAAAGCACAGGCTGGGAAGGTCAGCTTGCAAGATCCTGACCCTGAGCAAAAGTGGGGTTGAGATGGATGACCTCTAGGGTGTCTCCCGCGTCTAAGGTTCTAAATTCCCTCCTAGAACACTTATAGGGCACTCTACCTTTCCTCCTTCAGTTCCTCCTTCAAGCCCCATCTTTCCCTTGAACATTTCAGTGCTGATTCCATTCTAAGCTAAACGACTTTTGGCCCAGTTTCGTCCTGTTAGCCTTTCCTGCCCTCTGTTGAAACTCTTTTTCCAGGAGTTTAGATTGTAGGTTCCTAGAGGGCAGGGACCTGCTCTCTCTCCCGTCTCTCGTGCGCTTTCTTTTTAAAAAAAAAACTTTGGAAAATGCCCTACTTGCCACCGCCACTACTTAAATAAATAAAACCAACTCTTGGCACATTTAAATAACAGCTCTTTTAATTGTGCATTCAGGAATATTTGCACTCATGACTGAGAGCGAGCCCAACTGAAGCTGGGAATTATAGCGTTAGAATTGTTGTGAATTGTAGAATTGCTAGAATTGTAGCGTTAGAATTGTAGTCGTCCCAACTTTCGATCTTTGCTTGCACCTACAAAGACAAGGACCCTGTGGCGTCTGCCATTGGGGCATTCCCCAGAATTTCCTGGTGCTATCCTGCAGCTTTTCATACCACAAATGTATTAAAAAAAATATTGTCCTACTTTTGTTGCTCCATAGTGCAAGAGTGCTTTTTCAGATGGCAATAATGCGGTTATCTTAGAGGGGTGGAGAAGCATCTCAGAACAACCGATGAAGCAGAATGGAAGATTTGGGACACATAAAATACGGTCCTTCTTCATGCAACGCCGAGTTAAACTGCGGAACTCCTTGCCACAGGAAACAGTGGTGGGTGGCAACCTGGATGGACTGGACAAATTCAGGGAGGAAGAGTGGGCTATATCAGTTACTATTAGTCATGGCAGTTCTGTTCTGCCTCCTTCGATTGGGCAAGAATGCTTCTCAACACCAGTTGCAAGAAAACACAAGAAGGGAGAGGCCTCTGGACTCCAGCAAAACTATACCAGAAGAAAATAACAAGTGCAGACAACTGCTGGAGATGTGGGAGTAAAAAGGCGAACGTCGTACATATGATGATTAAATGTCCAATGATAAGATCATTTTTGGTGCGAGGTGGGGATATTTATAGTAAGAGTAATAAAAAGAAATTGTTATTTAGGGGAATTGAATTTCATTCTAAATTATATTCCAGAAACGTGGGAGATTTCAAGGGGTCAAAAACAATGGATGTACCATGTTATATTAGAAGCAAAAAAAAACTTGTTTTGATGAATTGGAAGAGCCGCAAAAAGATTCCATTGAGCACATGGATTGATAATATGGACAGACTAGCTACATACAAATTGCATGTTGACGCAAATTAAGAATGGATAAATATGAAGAAATCTGGAATGAATATTTAAGCGATAAGGCGGATAGTGGTGGGAGGAGAGAGAGGTGGGAAAATATTGTTATAAAGGTTCAGTCATAGGTATATCTGTGTATTTAAATCTGAATTGTCAAATTGTGTTGTTATGGTTATTATGGTTTTTGTTGTAGTGTCTTTTGCGGTTGTTGTTTGTATCAAAAAAAATGATTAAATAATTATTATTATTTTAAAAGAAGGCTCTTTCTAGGTTCTTAATGATGTGGACGACAGCAGGAAGAGCTTTCTGACGGTCTGATTGGAACAGACTCCCAGGAGAAGTTGTGGTCTCTTCTTCCTTGGAGGTTTTTAAGCAGAGGATGGATGGCCATCAGCCATGTTTGATCTAGCAAAGATTCTTGCACTGCAGGGGTTGGACTAGATGACCGCTGGGGACCCCTTGCGACTCCACGATTCTACGAGCTGTGCGTAAATTCACCAGAATTCACCAGTCTGGTAGGGTCCCTATATCTACACACACACACACACACACACACACACACACACACACAGCGGTAACTCTCTGTGTACCAAGTCAAGATCAATTATCACTCCTGGGGAGGCTTCAGTCATCCGATTCTCTCCTCCCCCCCCCAAATACTAATAAATTATCTGCAAAAGTCCCACCGTAACTCTCTGTGTACCAAGTCAAGATCAATGGTTACTCCTGGAGAGGCTTCAGTCATCTGAATCTCTCCCCCCCCCCCCCAAAATACAGTGGTCCCTCGGGTTACAGACGCTTCAGGTTACAGACTCTCTGTAGTGCTTCAGGTTAATAACTTTGCTTCAGGATGAGAACAGAAATTGTGCTCTGGTGGCGCGGCGGCAGCGAGAGGCCCCATTAGCTAAAGTGGTGCTTCAGGTTAAGAACAGTTTCAGGTTAAGTACGGACCTCTGGAACGAATTAAGTACTTAACCCGAGGTACCACTGTACTAATAAATTATCTGCAAAAGTCCCATCATTGATAAAACTAACCAGCTCTTTATCAGCAGGCAATTTGGACAACCGCAAAGCCGAGTCAGGACCCTATAAGGGTGAAAGGGTAGTGATGGAAAGAGATGGAAAGAATAGCAGACGAAATTAATGGACTATGCAGAATTGGACAAAATGACAGGAAGGATTCGAAACCAGCGGGACCAGAGATTTACAGAAGATTGGAAGTATACGAATTATTTGAAGCACAACTGTAATCAACAAATCACGCTAGTAGGAGGCCCAGGGTTCGCTCTGATTGTTTAGAAATACACAATCGCTTTGAGGTCCTCTCCCCTAGCATGGAAGACGAAGAGCAGACTCCATTTGAGGATCTCTCCCTCATTACAGTCGATCAGGTATATGAAGACGAGCAGCAAAGTCAGTCCTCAGGGAATGTGCAGGCGACCTTGGAGCGGACAGCTCACGGAAGAACCCCGACCAAACCTAAGAGGAGGCGTGTAGTGGTGATAGGGGATTCCCTACTGAGGGGAACAGAAGCAGTGATCTGTGGGCCTGACAAGATGTCTCGGGAAGTGTGCTGTCTCACCGGGGCTAAGATCCAAGATGTAACTGAACGACTGCAAGGAATCATAAAACCCACTGACAAATACCCCTTCCTCTTGGTTCATGTGGGAACCAATGACACTGCAAGCAATAGCCTCCAGAAGATCAAAAGAGACTACGAGGCTCTGGGCAGGAAATTGAAGCAATTAAATGCACAAATTGTGATCTCATCTGTCCTCCCAGTTGAACGACGTGGCCCAGGGAGAGAGGGAAAATAGTGGAAGTGAACAGCTGGCTTCGCAAATGGTGTAAACAGGAACGGTTTGGATTCTTAGATCACGGTCTGCAGTTTCTTGAAGATGGACTTCTGGCAAGCGATGGGCTGCACCTCACAACGGTTGGGAGAAATGTTTTTGCCAAAAATCTCAGAAACCTCATCAGGAGGGCTTTAAACTGACTAATGTGGGGGAGGGAGACAGTGCTTCTGAAGGTAGGAGTCTATCAATTGATGAAGATGATCATCCAAATGTCATAGACCAAATGGAGCAAACAGCACACAGACCTAGTGGTGGGAGGAAAAATCCTTAAATAAGAGACACGGGGAATGATTAATGGACTTCAATGTCTGTACACTAATGCGCAAAGCATGGGAAATAAACAAGATGAGCTTGAGCTCTTGGTACAGCAAACTAAATATGACATAATAGGCATCACTGAAACCTGGTGGGATAAGTCCCACGATTGGAATGTAATAATGGGGGGATACAATCTATTTCAGAGAAACAGACCAGACAAGAAAGGAGGAGGAGTGGCGTTATATGTCAGGGATGTGTATACCTGTGAAGAGATCCAAGATTTAGAACCTCAAAGCCAAAGTTGAGAGCATTTGGGTCAGAAGTTTTGTAAGGAGAAATATACGAAGTGTTACAAAATAGAAAAAGAGGAGATGTTGGTTATGAGTTTGAAATGTAATAGGGGAAATAAGAAAGGCATACTAAGAGATTATATTGGAAAATTTTCAGACAGGACTGATGGATGTCAAAAAATTTGAATAAGATGTAAAAGTATGTTTAATTACTGTTGAAAATGATATGTTAAAAAACTAATAAAAATTTATATATAAAAAAGAAAAGGAAAGAGATGTAAAGAAGACAGGAGGGGAGAAAATCATTTAAATACCCGATGCATTCTGAGCCCAATGGAAGATGCTCAGAGGCAGGGGCTGAGTGCAAGACACGCCGACATAGGAAACTGCCTCTTGCCAAGTAGAGACTTGATGCACCAAGTTCAGTGTTGTCTACACTGACTGGCAGTAGCTTTCGGGGGTTCAGGTGGGGCGTTCCCAGTCCTACCCAGAGTTACCTTCTGGGATTGGGCCTGGGGCTGTTCTGCAGGCAGAGCAGGTGCTTTTCTCACTGAGCTATGCGGCCCCCAAAATTAAGCAGGATTCTAGTCCTTATGGTTCCGAATTAAAGGGCTGGTTCAAAGAGGAAGCTGCCTTCTACAGAGTCAGCTGTCTGTTGCTCCATTTGGGCCAATGTTGCCTGCACTGACTGGCAGTGGCTCTCCAAGGCAGGGACTCTTTTCTGCTTGGGAGATGCTGGCGATTGAACCCATGACCTTCTGTGTGCAAAGGAGATGCTTCCTCACTGAGTTATGGAGTTTTGCTCTGTCCAAATTCTGCTCCTTTAGCATCTGACTTGAGGTTTCAGCAAGCATTGCCACTGCAACCCGAAGCTTATGTAATAAACGGAAATCTGCCCTTATTCCCTTATGGGGGACACAAGAGCCCTTATAGAGTCCTTTGTAGGTTCTCCATCGGTCGGAGAAAATAACAGAGGCCAACCAGAGAATATTGAGAATCAAAGCAGCTTGTAAGCCTGATCTTTATTGAACTGTTGCAACAGGGTGCCCCCTTCACACGCAGGAAAGGAGGACGACCCAGAACCCAGGTGTGCCCGCCCTTATATATACATTTTAAACTGCCCGCCTTGGAGTCCAAGACCACCCCCAGAAACATCATACCTACATCACAGAAAGGGCCGTCTACAGCAGAAATTTGAGTGCATTGTTTACCTCCTGTATGGCAAGTTACCTGTTAATGCTCACTTGATTGGATACCCTGGGGAGCCTGGCCAGTCTTTTGTAATGATAAATACTTAGTTCCTGAGCCAGGTCACAGGCTCACCCTATTCATACACAAACATACCCTTCAGACAGGATTTGTGAAGGAAAAGACAATGGGGAGAGGCTTTTCCATTTTCCTCTAACTTTGCAGAGAAAACATTTGGGAGTCAAAAATGGTTCCAGGGCTGTTTTCCTGTGCTGCTTCAGACATGTGGTTTATATATTTATGTACGTGTTTGCTTGGTACATTGATGAACATTTATAAGACCTTAAATTTTTTTATTTCACTAACTTCCACACTCCCAGGGACTAGAAACTTGGTTCCTTTCCCCACTAACGAAAGTGGAGGTTCTCAGGATGCTACCGCCCATCCAAACCCCCGACTGCTGTTCTTTTTTGTACTGTCACAGAACATGCAAAGCCCCAGATATGACCGGAATTATCTGGTTCTTTCAACAACAAAACAAGACCGAGCGTCTCACAAAGTTGCATTGTGTGTGTGGCAAAATCTCGCAACCTTGGACCCGGCCTGGAAACGTTCCCTCTCCGAGGGGCCACGGAACAATGAACAGGAGGGAAAATAAACAGCAAAGCAAGGAGTCTTGTTTACATTTTGCTACACACCAAGGAAGTCTCACTAAATCCACAGAGGCAGGCTGCAAAAAGCGACCTTGAAATGCCTGGTGGGTGTGTTACATCGCGAATGGAAGGCAGAGAGATGTTCCCTATCTAAAGCCGTTATTATCTGCCTCTGTTCTTCTGTCCTGGAACATCCTATTCACACACGCTGCGTCCCCATGTTGCAGTTTCGTTCTCCGATTCTCCGGATAATCACCAGTTACCAAAATATCTTTTGCTCGAGTCAAGCCAGTCTCTCTCTCTCCCTGCTGGCCTGCGGGGTTGCAAATGTCGCTGGTGCTATCATCTCCTCACATCTATCTCTTGACACCCTGCTTCTTCCCACCCCCACAAAACTCGCAGACAAAATAAAGAGGATTTTAATTGGGGCATCCTAGTACCTGCTCCATTCAAGATTGCTTGGACAAAGAGGTCGAATTTAGGCCCTTGGATAGGGGTCCTGCTCGAAGCATAAGATCTTGGTCTGGGGAGACATTAGACTTTTGGGGAGTACCAAGAAAGCCCCCAGCATCACGGGAGAAATTCATGGAGGAGAAGGCTTTCAATGGCTACTTCCAGCCGCGATGGTGACACGATTCCTCCATGCTCGTGCTTCTGAAATCCCAGTTTCTGGAAACCCGGGGACAATGTTGCTGAGTCCCCCAATGCCTGGGTTAAACAGGAGCGTTTCCAAATCCTCCTCCGAAAATCAATAATGATGGAGACAGGCACACCTCATTAGGGTGGGCTATTCCCCACCCCTAGACAGCACCTTAAAAAGCAGAGACATCACCTTGCCGACAAAGGTCCGTATACTTAAAGCTCTGGTTTTCCCAGTAGTGATGTATGGAAGTGAGAGCTGGACCATAAAGAAGGCTGATCGCTGAAGAATTGATGCTTTTGAATTCTGGTGCTGGAGGAGACTCTTGAGAGTCCCATGGACTGCAAGAAGATCAAACCTCTCCATTCTGAAGGAAACCAGCCCTGAGTGCTCACTGGAAGGACAGATCCTGAAGCTGAGGCTCCAAGACTTTGGCCACCTCGGGAGAAGAGAAAACTCCCTGGAAAAGACCCTGATGGTGGGAAAGATGGAGGGCACAAGGAGAAGGGGACGGCAGAGGATGAGATGGTGGGACAGTGTTCTCGAAGCTACCAGGATGAGTTTGACCAAACTGCGGGAGGCAGTGGAAGTCAGGAGTGCCTGGCGTGCCCTGGTCCAGGGGGTCATGAAGAGTCGGACACGACCAAACGACTAAACAACAACAATTCCCCACCCCTAGATATGGTGGAATTGTATCTCACATTCTCATCCCCCCTGGTCATGATCCAGGCTGACTTTCTGGGGCAAACACGTCTAAGGAGGGCTTGTGAAGCTGGGGAGGTGGGGGGCAGGACAGGTGAAGAGTCTCGAGGGCCACGTTGAGAGCCTTGCAGGGCCACATCCGGCTCCTAAGGCCGGAGGAGCCCGTTTTAAATCCAGGCACGAGCGGAAAGGGAGTTGTGGCACCCAGTTTTCATTCCTCCTGCTAAGTAGAATCCCACAGTGTCAAGACCAGCCGGAAGTCGTGGGTGGGTTTTGGGAAGCTTAATTCCCGACAAACACGGTGGAAGGGGGAGGGATTTCATATTTAAAAGCCCTGCAGAGCTGTCCTATTTCTCTCTTGCTCTCATGCTGCCCCCCCCCCGGCCCCCAGTCACCCAGTTCTAAACCTTACTGGTGATCTTGCAATGTCATTGGGCTTCCCGTACGAATGGATCCATTTCTTGCACGGAGGAGAGGAAGGGGGGGGGGATTTGAAATATAATAAAAAATTAAATTACCAGAGGGGATTAAAGGTAAAGGGACCCTTGACCATTAGGTCCAGTCGTGACCGACTCTGGGGTTGCGGCGCTCATCTCCCTTTATTGGCCGAGGGAGCCGGCGTACAGCTTCCGGGTCATGTGGCCAGCAGGACTAAGCCGCTTCTGGCGAACCAGAGCAGCGCACGGAAACACCATTTACCTTCCCGCTGGAGCGGTACCTATTTATCTACTTGCACTTTGATGGGCTTTTGAACTGCTAGGTTGGCAGGAGCAGGGACCGAGCAACGGGAGCTCACCCCGTCGCGGGGATTCGAACCGCCGACCTTCTGATCGGCAAGTCCTGGGCTCTGTGGTTTAACCCACAGCGCCACCCACGTCCCTACCAGAGGGGATTATGAGCTGGTTAATTAATCAAATTAACCGGAGGGGATTATGAGCTGGTTAATTTGATTTGACCCATTATTTCCCCAAATAAATTTCCAATTACCGCTGAGTAGGTTCTCTGGAAAATTCTTCTTCCTCGGTGTCAGAAATGGGACCAAATCCCAGGAGCAATGGGCTCACCATTGCACGACCAGCGGGTGCAACCACGAGGGTCTGTAAGCAAGCAAAGAACAATTCCTCCCTTCTCTCTTAGCTGTGGTTCCTGCATTGCAAGGGGCTGAACAGTCTCTTCCGATTCTACAACTATGATAGCAAATGACTTCCCCTCAAAGAATCCTGTAGCCTGTAGTTTGTTAGGGTTGCTGGGAACTTTAGCGCCACGAGGGGTGAACTACAGTTCCCAGGAGTCTTTTGTGGGGGGTTACACTTCCTCTGGGAACGCAGGTGGCACTGTGGGTTAAACCACAGAGCCTAGGACTTGCTGATCAGAAGGTCGGCAGTTCGAATCCCCGTGACGGGGTGAGCTCCCGTTGCTCGGTCCCAGCTCCTGCCAACCTAGCAGTTCGAAAGCACATCAGAGTGCAAGTAGATAAGTAGGTACCACTCCAGTGGAAAGAGAAACGGTGTTTCCGTGCGCTGCTCTAGTTCGCCAGAAGCGGCTTAGTCCTGCTGGCCACATGACCTGGAAGCTGTACGCCGGCTCCCTCGGCCAATAAAGCGAGATGAGCGCCACAACCCCAGAGTCCGCCACGACTGGACCTAATGGTCAGGGGTCCCTTTACCTTTACACTTCCTCTGAAGGAACAGGTTCTTAACTTGGGGGTCCTCCTGGATCCTTCGCCCTCGCTCGGTGCTCAAGTGGCCTCAGTGGCCCAGAGTGACTTCCATCAGCTTCAGCTGGTGGCCCAGGTAACACCTCTGTCTGGACAGGGATAGCCTAACTATTGTTGTCTATGCTCTGCTAACCTCAAGGTTAGATAACTACAATGCATTATGCGTAGGGCTGCCTCTGAAGATGGTTTGGAAACTTCAGCTGGTGCAGAATTCAGCAGCTGGGTTGCTCACTGTTTGAGCATATTGCACCGATCCTGGTCCGACTGCACTGGCTACCAATTAGTTTCTGGGCCCAATTCAAAGTGCTGGTACTGACTTATAAAGCCTTAAACGGCTCAGGACCGCAATACCCCTAGGACCGCCTCTTTCCATATGAGCCTACCCAGACACTGAGATCACCTTCTGAGGCCCTCCTTCGTGTGCCTCCTCCTTAAGACTTCCGGAGGGTGGCAACACGAGAACAGGGCCTTCTCTGCAGTGGCTCCCCTTCTGTGGAATGCTTTCCCCAGGGAAGTTTGCCTGGCACCTTCATTATGCACCAGGCAAAAACGTTCCTTTTTAACCAAGCCTTTGATCCGATATACATCCTATGCCCTTTTAAAATGTCTTTTTTTGTTTGTTCTGAGAGTCGCTCTGAGACCCCCAGGTATAGGGCGGTGTATAACTTCTAATAATAATAACAATAATAATAATAATAATAACCATTGATAGCTCTTTCCCCCTCCACAAATTTGCCTAATCCTCTTTCAAAGCCTTGTAAGCTGGTGGCTGTTGCTGCCTCATGTGGCAGAGAGTTCCACAGTTTAACTCTGTGTAGCGTGAAGGAGGACTTTCTGTTTTCTATCCCGTCCACCCGCTCTTGTGCTATGACCGCACTCGAGCGAATGGCCTCGGCTCAGACTACCCCTCCCTCCTTAGATGAAAGCAAACGAAATAAGCAGCTACGCAGGGGACGCCTGCTGTATCTTTGCCCAAGGCTCCTTGATAAGGCGGATTCGAAAGCAGGGCCGCAGCTATCGATGACTGCAGTCGCCAAGGACAATGGAAAACCCCAACCTTTGACCTGGCCTGGCCAGATGAGTCCGCGAGGGAAGCCGCTCGCATCTGAATAAGACCTGTAGCCGGGAACGACAGGAGAGATGCTCTCGCACTCAGGTCATGCTTGGGGGGGTCTTCCCGAAGAGGCATCGGGGGGGCCACCGTGGGAACAGGGTGCTGGCCTGGGGGGGCCTGATTCCAACTCCCATCAGCCCCAGCAACCGTCACGGTCAATGGTCAGGGAGAACGATGGGATAGGAGTCCGGAAACATCTGGAGGAGCCCCAAAAGTTGTCCCCGCCCTCTCTAAAACACCAGACCCCCTCTTCCCTGCAAGCCTGGTGCTGGTAAAGCCAAGGTTGCAGGTTCGGTTCCCATTCGGAACAGCTACGCATTTCAGCATCGCAGGGGGGTGGACTAGATCAGGGGTAGGCAAACGAAGGCCCGGGGGCCCGGATCCGGCCCAATAGCCTTCTAAATCCAGCCCACGGACAGTCCAGGAATCAGCGTGTTTTTACATGAGTAGAATGTGTGCTTTTATTTAAAATGCGTCTCTGGGTTATTTGTGGGGCATAGGAATTCATTCATCCCCCCCCCAAAAAAAAATATAGTCTGGCCCCCCACAAGGTCTGAGTGACAGTGGATTGGCCCCCTGCTTAAAAAGTTTGCTGACCCCTGGACTAGAGCATGGGGAGGCAAACTAAGGCCCGGGGGGCCAGATCTGGCCCAATCGCCTTCTAAATCCGGCCCGCAGACAATCCGGGAATCAGCATGTTTTCACGTGAGTAGAATGTGCACTTTTATTTAAAATGCATCTCTGGGTTATTTGTGGGGCATAGGAATTTGTTCTCCCCCCCCCTTCAAAATATAGTCCAGCCCCCCACAAGGTCTGAGGGACAGTGGACCGGCCCCCTGCTGAAAAAATTTGCTGACCCCTGGACTAGATGATCACAGGGTCCCAACTGTGATTCTAGGATCTTATCTACTCCTCCGTCGAAAGCAGGAAAAAGAAACAGCAACGCTCTCTGCTAGAAGAATTGCAACTTCCTTTTATTGGGACCATTTTTCTCTGGAGGTGGGTTATCCCAGGGCACGGCGGGGGGGGGGGGAGGTAAATGAGTTTGGAAAAGAGGCAAACGACTCTCATGCAATGTGAGAGCTGGAATGGGAATGAAGGTGACAGAGGGACGGTCCTTTCCTTTCTCCTTAAGATCTCGATCAAGTCTTTTGAGATGGGGGGGAAAAGGACCCCATGGTTTGGTCTTGTGAGGAGAGAGCGTGCCTGCCCCATACTTTTCGGCAACAGGTAAGTATTGTCTGCTAAAGTGCTTTTCTGAAGTTTCAAACGCCAGGTGGGTGAGTTTGTGGGTGTCAACGGGCAACAGATGCTGAGTAGCCTAGAACGGACGGTCAGTCGGAAATGACGTAAAAGATGTCATCAGTTCAGCCTCCTGGACGCTGCCCTCGCCGGCCCCTGGGAGCTGTCCGCGCCTCGTCCGCGGAAACCGGAAGCCGAGACCTCTTCTAGGAAGCTGGGAAGAGAAGAGGGAAACAGCGGCAGGGAGTTAAAGGAAGGCGTCCCAATGAGTTGGCGATTGTGGTCAACAAGAAAGAGCAGAAAGGTTTCCCAGCTCTGTAATGTTTTATGTACTGTGGCTTGCCGTTTTATTGATTATAGTTTAGATATTATTTATCGTAACTGGATTTCTGTTTATATGTTGATATATGTTTATATGTTGATATTCTGTTATATGTTGATATCATTATTTTATGCTATTCTAAGGATTGTAGAATGTTACTTTTTTGATGAAGGCTGTCTATTTTGAACTTACGTTTTATTATCACGTTTTTGTATTGCATTAGATTGTTATAAGATGTACATTTTTTGTTTCTTCAGCTTGTAAGCCGCCTTGAGTATTGTAAGATAGAAAGATAGAAAGACGGTATACTAATTAAAAATGATGCTGATGCAGGAACTCACGGGGTTTTCTCCATGCCAGAATAACTTGGCTGAGCTTGGATGTGCATCTTATCTCTCTCTCTCTTTCCCCCCCAATTTTTTAAATTAATTTTCCAAGTTTATAACAGATATGACATACAAAAAAAGAAAGAAAAGAAAAAGAAAGAACAGTTTTCCAACCTCTTCTTTCTAACAAAATTTACTTTTTCAAATTACTTTCTGAGCTTCTTTTCATAATTTCTCCCATAATGTTTTACAGTTTAATCATGTCCTATTCCGAAGCCAAATCGGTAAGTTCAAGTAGCTTCTCACTGTTTTATCTTACAATATTTAATTAAATACCGTATTTTTCACCCTATAGGACGCACTTTTCCCCCTCCAAAAATGAAGGGGAAATCTGTGTGCGTCCTATGGGGCGAATGCAGGCTTTCGCTGAAGCTTGGAGAGCGAGAGGGGTCAGTGCGCACCGACCCCTCTCGCTCTCCAGGCTTCAGGAGAGCTCCAGGCTTCAGGAAGTTATCAGCAAGCCTGGGGAGCCCGCGGGAGTTCCTGCAGGGCTCCCTAGGCTGCGGATAGCAGCCTGCTGCCCGGAGCGCGGGGCGCGCTGAAGCCGCGGCTGGGGGGGGGGAATAAATTTTTTTCTTTATTTCCCCCCCAAAAAACTAGGTGCGTCCTATGGGCCGGTGCGTCCTATAGGGCGAAAAATACGGTAATCTTTAAATTTCTTGGTGTTCCTCTTCTTTCTGATCGCGGATTCTTCCATTCTCTCTCTTTTTTTGGGGGGGGGAGAGAAGCAACCTTGCCCCCCTCCCTCTTTGGGCAAGCAAAACGTCTCAGTCCACAGCGCCTAAATCTCTAATAATCGCTTGGCAGCCACCCCGAGAGATGGAGGAGGGCTGAATCGCCCTGAAGTGAAGCAACTCTGTAAGGTCTCACGGGTTGCTCTGTGGTGTCTCCACCCCCCCCGCCAACCCCCCCCCTTCAGCATCTCTCCAGAAAGACACATCCTCCGAGCAGCCCACGTCGATTTAATTAATCCTTGTCACCCAGCAAAGCGGCTGGCTGTGTTTTTGTGAGCTGCCCACGTACGGAGAAGGCGCTGAAATACCGGGGGAACTCAAACACACCACAGGATCGAGGCTGCTGCTTCTCCCACAACACACTCACACTTTCCCCTTCTGGTGAAAAGGAGTGTCGTTTCTCCCGGCGCCCTATCCTACGAGCGTAAAAGGTGCGTTTCCTAAAATCACAAGAAGAACCCGCCAAAACAGGCCAACGGCCCCATCTAGTCCACCACCCTGTTCTCACAGTGGCCCTCCAGAAACTGAGGATCTTGATAGACTGCCTCTGGAGCTGGAGGCTCCATAGGAACATCGGAAGAGCCTGGTCTGCAGGATCAGGCCAAAGGGGGCCCATCTAGTCCAGCATCTTTTTCTCCTAAGGGCCGCCCAGATGCCCCAGTGTGAAACCTGCAAGCGGGATCCAAGGGATTCCAGTGGCAGTGAGTTCCACAGTTTAACTACGGGCTATTTAAAAATCTGTCCGAAACCATCCAATGTTCCGCTTTGCTAGAGTTCCAGTATTAGGAGAGGGGGAATTTACTCTGTCCGCTTCCCCCAAACCATGCATAGTTTTATAAACATCTGTCACGTCCCCTTTGACTCGCCTTTCCTCTAAACTGAAAAGTTGCGCCTCCGATTTGGATAACGGCATTAATGATATTGGCAGTTTTATTTCCATTTCCTTCTTATTTTCAAATTTTTAAAATTGATTTTAACAGATATAACATACAAAACATAGAACATTACAATACTAAGAGAGAAAAAACAAAAGAAAACAAAAAACAAAAAACAAAACTAAAAACGCATATTCCTTCATTTTAAATTCCATTAACTGGCTTCCTCGAATCCCCCCTAACTGAATTTCATTGTATCACCTTGTAACAGTTCTCCAAAATCATCGTTCTACTACAATTTACTCCTTCAATTAACTATCTTCATCTCTTTTCTTATTGACTTAAATCCATATTGCTATACAACATTCTTATTCTAATCCTAGGCCTATTTGATACTTTCAAGTACCTTCTAATTATCTTATATTACAATATTTAGCTAGATAATCTTTACATTTCTTCCAATCTTCTTGATGCTCCTCTTCTTTCTGATCGTGGATTCTTCCAGTCAGGTGGGCCAGCTCCAAGAACTCCAACATCTTTATCTGCCATTTTTCTTGTTGTTGTTTAGTCGTTTAGTCGTGTCCGACTCTTCGTGACCCCATGGACCAGAGCACACCAGGCACTCCTGTCTTCCACTGCCTCCCACAGTTTGGTCAGACTCATGCTGGTAGCTTCGAGAACACTGTCCCACCATCTCGTCCTCTGTCGTCCCCTTCTCCTTGGGCCCTCCATCTTTCCCAACATCAGGGTCTTTTCCAGGGAGTCTTCTCTTCTCATGAGGTGGCCAAAGTCTTGGAGCCTCAGCTTCAGGATCTATCCTTCCAGTGAGCACTCAGGGCTGATTTCCTTCAGAATGGAGAGGTTAGATCTTCTTGCAGTCCATGGGACTCTCAAGAGTCTCCTCTAGCACCAGAATTCAAAAGCATCCATTCTTCGGCGATCAGCCTTCTTTATGGTCCAGCTCTCACTTCCATACATCACTACTGGGAAAACCAGAGCTTTAACTATACGGACCTTTGTTGGCAAGGTGATGTCTCTGCCATTTTTCTACCATTGGTATTTCTTGAGATTTCCAATTACTAGCTAATAGCAGTCTTCCTGCTGTAGTGGCATACAAAAAATAATCTAACATCTTTTTATTTCAACTTCCTTTTCTGTCCTGGGATTTGCCTTTTCCAGGGCTGCCACGCACAGGCCAGGCATCCTCTTCCGACTCACCTTCTCTCTCAGTCACAAAGCCAGGAAACGCCTTTTGCTCTCCCGTTTCCACTGAGCTGGTCGGGAAAAGTCCTCGCGTGCCTGAGATGCGTCACGAGATGACGCAGGGGCCACAACCTTTGGCCCCAGGAGAAGGAAAGCCCCCGCGCTCGTCTGGCCTCCGGCCTGTCACAACAAGCCTCGGACGCTTGACCAGGGGCAGGAGGAAAACAGCCGGCTTTTTCACTGACGCCCAGCGCCCAGGACAGGCTCGTGGCGCCAGAAGGAATTTGGCCTTGAAAAGGGGCTGCGGTGCCGTTTCACACAACCTGGACGCCAGCAATTCAAGATGCGCTTCTGTCCGCAGTGGTGCCCAAACAGGCTGACCTCCTTGCGCCGAAGCAACAACAGTCTCCTCTAGGGCGGGCTAGGAATCACGGCATATCCGAAGCTTTCCATGCCCATCAGAGGCTTTTAAAAATCCACATTTTGTGCTTAAGGAAGAATCAGTGTTTCCAATCTTCTTCTGAAAGGGCTTTTGGTTTAAAAGTAGGCAAATGATTAAGGATGGACAAGGAACGGTCTCGGGTTATGGGGTTGAGAGGCCTGAACTGTTCAGGCTTAACTTGCTCCCACCCCCAGTAAGAATTTAGTGCCATGTATCATACTCCCTCCTCCTCCTCCAAAATTTGCTTCTGAGTGTAAAGAGGTGGATCAGGCCCAAAGGGGTCTGTCTAGCCAAGCCTCTTGGTCTACCAAATAACCTTAATAACTTCTTCTTCTTCTTCTTCTTCTTCTTCTTCTTCTTCTTCTTCTATTAACCCCACCCATTTGGCTGTGTTTTCCCACCCATTCTGGGAGACTTCCAGCACATATAAAAAAAATTTCCCTGAACAGGGCTGCCTTCGGATGTCAGTTGTGTAGTTATTTATCTCCTTGACATCTGATGGAAGGACATTCCACAGGGCGGGTGCCACCACTGGGAAGGCCCTCTGCCTGGTTCCCTGCAACCTCACTTCTCTCAGGGAGGGAACCGCCAGAAGACCCTCGGAGCTGGACCTCAGTGTCCGGGCTGAATGATGGGGATGGAGATGTTCCTTCAGGTATACTGGGCCGAGACCGTTTAGGGCTTTCAAGGTCAGCACCAACACTTTGAATTGTGCACAGAAACGTACTGGGAGCCAATGTAGGTATTTCAGGACCAGTGTTAGATTGTGTTAGATAGGCTGTATCTGAATCTGGAGGTATCGGGCCAAAGGAAGCCCATCCAGTCCAGCCTCCTGTTCTCCCAGTGGCTAAATACCCCTGAGAGCCTAATAATAATAATAATAATAATAATAATAATAATAATTTATTTGTACCCCGCCCATCTGGCTAGGTTTCCCCAGCCACTCTGGCGGCTTCCAACAAAGACCAAAAATACATTAAGAATCGAGTTAGACTGCTCTGGCCCTGGAGGTTCCATCAGAGCAGAAGAAGATCCCTGCAGAATCAGACCTGAAAGCGGGCCCATCTTGTCTCTTGTAGGTCGCGAAACTATGCATACACAAACAGAAAGACACACACACATATATAAAGACACACAGAGAGAGCAGCAACAGAAGCTGCTAACATATGTGCCTCCACGGATGCTTACTGAAACAGTGTGGTTACACGGAGTTATTCTCTGCCAAAATGACTCATCCCTTGCAAGCGCTACCGGGCTGATGGATCTGACCCCCCAACCAGCATATCGGTTAGGGATTGAACAGCAGAGGCGACACTGCAAGATGCAATGGAAGGAGGAGGAGAAGGAGGGGGACAAAGGCCTCGCAGAAAATGTCTATTTGCACACCCAACCCTGTAATGGATCCTAAAAAGTACAGACTCACCTGTTGAGGCTTGCAGGGTAGGGGAGAATTAAAGATCACCCGGTCTGCAAGTTATCTCGTGTTGTTGCAGAAGCTAGGGACTCTGCCCTGTTATTTATTTTATCATCATCATCATCATCAAACCTTTTATTGTCATCACATACAAGCAACGGGTTACTTCCGGGTTTCGGCGGTCGCACATGCGCAGAAGCACTAAATCGTGCTTTGCGCATGCGCAGAAGCACTGAATCGTAACCTGTGCGTGTGCAGACGCGGGTTGTGAATGCTGCGGGTTGGGAACGTGCATCCCACACGGATCACGTTCGCAACCCGAGTGTCCACTGTATGTTTGTTTGCTAGATTGTATGCTGCTTAAGAGATTCGTTTGCAATATTCAGCAGGGGACGGGCACACACACACACACACACACACACACACACACACACACACACAAGCATTTAAATAAATACATTGCTATATGAAGCACAAAGTATTTTGTCCACCATTGCTGGACCCATCAGTCGGTGTTTTTAGTCAATTGGTATTTAAAAGGCACTCCGGAGAAGGGGGGATGATTGCTAGCTGGGAAAGGAAGCGGGTTTTATCCCTCTAACTGGGTAAGTGGGTCAACCCCCAGATTAGTTGCTGCAGACTCTGGCTCACCCTAAAAACCGCCCTCCCTCTACGGCTGAAGCTTCCTCTACACGGGAAAACAGAGTAAGCAAACAGGACCTCTCTCGGAGATTTGCCTGGCCTCCTCTCCAGCCTCGAAGCTATAAAAGGATTCATGGAATTGTAGAATTGGAATGGGAACCCCAAAGGTCATCCAGTCCAACCCGCTGCAATGCAGGAATCACAGCCAAATAATCCCTGACAGGTGGCTGCCCAAGCTCTGTTTAAAAATCTCCCATGAAGGAGGGAGATGTCTGCCATTGGGGATTGAACCCGGGACCTTCTGCATGCCAAGCAGGTGTTCTGCCACTGAGCTACAGCTCTGCCCTTTTTTAAAAAAAGAGGAAGCCACTAGTCCTCATTGTTTTGATTTAGACAGCAATGTTTGATTGTGCTTTAAAGCAGACGGCGCCTTCAGCGAGAAGGCTGTCCTCTGTAAAACTGGATTTATATCCTGAAAGGTGGGGTATAATGGTAATAAAATAAAACAGCACAAGCGCCCCTCGCAAGATCCCTTTCTGCCAGGCGAAAAGGAGGCAGACAGCTGTGCCTTCCCTAGAAAACTGTGGGGAGGAGAGGAGAATCTTCCAAGAAGAGAGTCATATTCGCGCAGTAAATAGAATTAGATATGACCGGTGGGGGAGAGAGAAAGAGAGAGAAAGCGAAGGACTGTAATTATATCTTAAACGCTCACAGAATCTCCCATTAATACCCTGCCTGTCATTACTGCTCATTATGCTGCAGAAAAGAACCAGATGGGGTCCCTTTAGAAATGGGTTCATTTTCTCCCCAAACGAACCTAATCCGCGATGTGAGTCCATCATTAAGCGGGCAGATGTGGGTGGGGGTGGCCCTTCTCCCCCATCCCCTCTGCAAGTTATGTGGGGAGCAGGGGCAGCGGCGGCTGGCAAGTCAGTGGGACTGATGAGGCAGAAGGGAGGGAGCCCGACAGGAGGTGGAGCCAGAGGCAACAAGAGGTGGAGCCAGAGGCAACGAGAGGCGGAGCCAGAGGCAATGAGAGGAGGAGCCACCGGCAAGGAAAGGCGGAGCTACAGGCAATGAGAGACTGAGCCAGAGGCAATGAGAGGCGGAGCCAAAGGCAACGAGAGGAGGAGCCAAAGGCAACAAGAGGAGGAGCCAGAGGCAATGAAAGGCGGAGCTATAGGCAATGAGAGACTGAGCCAGAGGCAATGAGAGGCGGAGCCAGAGGCAACGAGAGGAGGAGCCACAGGCTACGAGAGGTGGAGCCAAAGGCAACGAGAGGAGGAGCCAAAGGCAACAAGAGGCTGAGCCACAGGCAATGAGAGGCGGAGCCACAGGCAATGAGAGGCGGAGCCAGAGCCAACGAGAGGAGGAGCCAGAGGCAACGAGAGGAGGAGCCAAAGGCAAGGAAAGGCGGAGCTACAGGCAATGAGAGACTGAGCCAGAGGCAATGAGAGACTGAGCCAGAGGCAATGAGAGGCGGAGCCAGAGGCAACGAGAGGAGGAGCCACAGGCTACGAGAGGTGGAGCCAAAGGCAACGAGAGGAGGAGCCACAGGCAACAAGAGGAGGAGCCACAGGCAACGAAAGGCGGAGCCACAGGCAATGAGAGGCTGAGCCACAGGCAATGAGAGACTGAGCCAGAGGCAATGAGAGGCGGAGCCAGAGCCAACGAGAGGCGGAGCCAGAGCCAGAGGCAACGAGAGGCGGAGCCAAAGGCAATGAGAGGAGGAGCCAGAGGCAAAGAGAGGAGGAGCCAGAGGCAACGAGAGGAGGAGCCAAAGGCAACGAGAGGAGGAGCCAGAGGCAACGAGAGGAGGAGCCAAAGGCAACAAGAAGAGGAGCCAGAGGCAACGAGAAGAGGAGCCAAAGGCAACGAGAGGCGGAGCCAAAGGCAACGAGAGATTAAGATGGCGCCTTGAGATTAAGATGGCGGCTGTAACAACTTCTCCTTCGTGAACCCTCCGGATTACAAACCTTTTATAGCCTTTTATAGCTTTTTACTGCCGTTTTTATAGTTGTTTTATTAGACTTTTAAATTATTTTACTTCTGTTAGAAGTTTTTAATCGTTTTACTTCTACGGTTGGCCTGTTGGTGCCAATATACGTATCAACAAGGATATTCAAACCCTCTGCTGAGAAAGCCTGTCGCTGATTAGTAACGCCGCCTTGAAGACTGGGCTATGTTGAGAAGTGGAGGAGGAGGAGTAGCAGAGGAGTTGCGCCCATAAAAGATAAGTTCTCTCTTTATCTCCGTTTATCTCTACTTTGAACCTCCGTAGTTAGTGAGACAGCGACAAATGGGTCATGGCAAGCGACCAAGATCTGCTGAGAAAGGTTGCTCACCTCCAAGAGTAAAGCAGTCGAAGCTTGAATCTCCCCACCATCTACTAACAATAACAGCAAAACAGAGCAAGTAATTGTTTCTGCGGTCGAAACATACAACCGCTTTTGGCCTCTGTATGATCAAGGAGAGCCGGAAAAGCTAGCTGATCCAGCGGGGACGGAAGCCATAGGGAAGCCCTCCTCCCTGATACCCTAATTACACCTCCGTCATTGAAACGGGACGCATTAGGGCAAACTGCCCATGAATTAGTACCTGATCAAATACAACTGGTAATCAGGACTTTAAGCTTCATTTTCAAGGAATTGGAGGGGATTTCTTTGACATTGAATAAACTTTCACGGGCCCTTCTGGCTCATCTACCTTCCTCAACTGAGCTATCTAATTTGCATCAATCTCCTGTGCAGCTTGTAAGTGCCTTAAAGAGACAACCTGACCAGAAATTTCACCTTAAGAGCTCAAGATGCAGGCCGCCACTGCCCCAAAGGAATAGGCAATCCTTGATTTTTCAACCTAATAAAATATGTCTAGCCATTTTTTCCCGTGACGCCCCCAGACTTAGGTGGAATAACCTGAGGATGGCTAAAGGGTACCTACGTGATTTGTTAAATATTCCTTTTTCCAGATAGATCTTATATCTGTAGTACCCCTAATTGCCACGCCCTGGCCAAGGAAATTTATGCTCTCCTTCCAGTCTGCAAGGATCCCACATCTCCTTGCAAGAGAGAAAGATCGGCTGGCACCCTGGGAGATTGTAACAACAAGAGTCTTTAAGGACACGAGTGTTAAACCTCTTTTTGCCAACATCTTAACCGGCAATGAACGCTCGTTTCCTCCTTCTGTTCCTATAATAAAGGGGAAAACACCTAGCTGGGTACCCCCTGCTCCATCTGCGACCTCAAGTGCCCATCTAGCTACACTGAGGAATGATCCAATTGCAAGCGGAGATTGGAATATCCCTGAAGAGAGAAATCTTATCTTCTCCTATGGAAAACTCCCTTCAGAAGAACAGCAGGCTATTCTCGATAGATTGGATCTACTCAAACAAAGACTCCTATCGCAAGGGGACCCCTCTATGCCGATGAGAGAGGAGAGCAGGCACTCCACGTCCCACAAGGCGTCTCCATCAAATGCCCTGATAATCTCTCAACCTGCTACTTTGTTACCCCCTACTGATCTGAATCAGCAATCACCTGTTGACCAACAGCTCCAACAGCACCATTCTACCGTGGAGGAAGTTGATAAACTCAATACTCCCGTCTTAGACCTTATGTCCAATCAAAATATGGAAGTTGACGATTCCTTTGCCTCAATGCCTGAGCTAGAATCTACCCTGTCTGAAGATCACCAGGAAATGACTATGCATGTACCATCTCCGCGTTCACGTCCTTCTATACATCTGCGTGATAATTCTTCTCCAGCTGCGCAGCAACTACAAGTGATGACTGGAACACCTCCTAGTGCTACCCTGGTTAAGACTGATAACTCTGATGGATCTACTAGTATAGCCCATCAAAGACTTGCTACTACTCACCTCAATGAACAGCATCCGACCTCACCAACTTTGCCTAATTCTTCCTCCCCGGCAAAGCCCTTCCTGCCTGTTAATGTTACCAAATCACGGATTCAATCAACACAGAAGAAGACTTTATCCGCACAAACTAAAATTACTGATTTCCTTATGGGTCCTCGCTCTACCTCCAAGAACCCATTAAACAACTCAAAGTGACAATTACCGGGACAGCACAAGGACCCGACATTATCAATACTTAGCTGGAACATTGCTGGTTGGAGAACCAAAAATCAGACCCCGAATTCAGGAAGTACATAAATTCATTTAACATCATCCTATTCCAAGAAACATGGGATGAGGAAGAGATTACCATAGACGGTTTTGATCTTCTAACACTTCCGGCCTCCCCTTCCTTGAAAGGTGGTCGCCCCAAAGGGGGTCTTTTGATTGGGATCTCACTCCAACTTCGCGCCAAATTCACCCTGGTACGGGCTTCCCGCCTTTTGCTCTTTCTGGACTGATCGCAGAAGGGAAGTCCTCATTACTAATTACTAATGGTTATCTCCCCCGAAGGCTCAGCACCTGATCTTGATTGGAGATGGGAATCATTTGAAAATCACCTATTGTCATGTCATACCAAATGCCCTAACTCGTACTCCTTAATTGGGGGAGACTTTAATGCTCGAATTGCCACAAATTGGGACCTACTAATCAAGTCCAAATGGTGGACTCCCCATGTTTGGGCAACTTTGACTTGGAACATGCTAGAATTAGAACTTCAAAGGACAACAGAGTAAACAAAGCTGGAGTGACCCTTTACCAAATGGCCATTCGCCTGAATCTAGTATTCTTGAACGGCACCTTCCCCCGATATACCGGGGAGTTCACTCACCTGGGACCAGCATCTAACAGTGTTATCGATTACCTCTTGATCTCCGCAAATTTGGCCGTCAATGTACTTTCCTTCCAGGTTGAAAACCAACATTTCAGTGATCACCTCCCAATAGTGACCACTTTGTCATTGTTCCGGTACCAGAAGGACTATAAACACTCAGTCCCTCTGGAAACCTCATCAGCGACCAAAATAAGTGGGATCAAATGGTCGGAGGCTGTGGCCCAAAAATACCAGGATTTTTTCCATAGGGAAATCACTGCCTATCTACCTCAAATAGCTACTGATTTACAAGATTCCAATTCGGTTTTGAAATTTTTTAACCTTCTTACAACAAACCTTACCACTTTTTTACATTACCTCCTCAAAAGGCGAAAGTAGCGCATTGCAGTGCTGGGGCCCCTTGGTTTAATACCTCTTGCAAACAAGCAAGATCCCTTCTTCGTTCCATCTATAATGAATACAAAAACTCTAATGCCCAGGCTCTACCATCCTCCTATTTACAAGCCAAAAGAGCATACAAACAGACTTTAAAGCTGGCCAAACGTGAGTGGTATCTAAAGCGTTGGCGAGCCTTGATTGCGGCCTCTAGATCCCGCAGACCACAGGAATTTTGGGCTTTGATAAACAAAAGAGGAAGGAAGTACCCACTGACGATTATCCCTGCGCCCACATGGGAACAATTCTTGAGCAAATATTTCTCCTTGGCAGAGGAATCCAACTCATCCACTGAATTCCGAGCCGACCATCTACCTTTGTGGCCCTCTACCGACCCAGACCTGATAATGGACTTGATATTAGATCTGAAAACGGGCAAAGCCCCCGGGCTGGATCTAGTCCCTGCTGAGGCTATTGTTGCGCAACCGAGGTGGTGGGCTGAAATCCTGGCCAAAGTCTTTGATGCAATTAATTCTACGGGGCTTATCCCTAGGTCATGGAAGGAGGCCGTGATCGTGCCAGTCCATAAAAAGGGTCCCCCTGCTGACCCGGAGAACTATCGGAACATCAGCCTTTTGTCTATCATCGGGAAAATCTATGCAAAATTTTTGCTGTCCAAGCTGTCCAATTGGGCAAACGACTCAAATTTGATTGGCCACGAGCAAGCGGGCTTTAGGAACAATTATTCGACCACTGACCATATGGTAATCATGTATCATCTTGCCAGAAAATATTCTGCCCCGAGTCGGGGGCGCCTATGTGTCGCTTTCATAGACCTAAAGGCCGCCTTCGACAGTATCCCAAGAAACTGTCTATGGAAGAAATTAGAGAGATGGGGCATAGATAGAAGGCTGTTATGGCTTATAACCCAATTACACCATGGGTCGTCGGCTAGAGTGAGACTCACACCGGCGGGAAACCTATCCAACGAGGTCCCAATAAATAGAGGTGTGCGCCAAGGTTGCATTTTGGCCCCACTCCTCTTCAACTTGTTTATTAGCGATATGAAGCTCTTTCTGAATGAGTCTCAAGCCAACATTCATGCCCCCGCCTAGCTGATTTTCGCTGCCCTCTGCTCTTATATGCCGACGATGCAGCGATCCTTTCCTACTCTAGAGTCGGTTTATGCAGAGCTCTAAAGATTTTTGCGGCTTATTGCAAACTCAACCATCTGACAATTAATCATGGGAAATCTAAAGTCCTGGTCTTTACCAGGTCTCGGAAAACTTACAGCTGGAAGTTAGATGGAGTCCAATTAGAACAAGTTTTCAAATTTAAATACCTGGGAGTCTTTTTTCACTACAACCTAAGCTGGAAGCCACAGATACAGTATTTACTAAACAAAGGGAAAACAATACTTTATACTCTACTCCAATTTTTTGCGGCCGACGGAGCCTCCCACATCCCTTCTGCATTGAAGGTGTACCATGCAAAAGTGGTTTCCACCCTCTGTTATGCTGCCCCGCTCTGGGCCCCAGGGTCCAATTTAACATCGTTGGGGACATTGCAGAATCAGTTTCTCCGTCGCCTCCTGAAACTCCCCATGTGTGTGAGCAACGCAGCCATACGTCTGGAGTTAAGGATTGCATCATTGGAGACGGTCATCTGGAAGCGAGTCTTTGGTTATTGGCTGTCCAGCTGGCACAGGCTTCCCAACCATTACCTTTTCAGTGCCTCTGGCGGGACGACTTTGTCAATCCATGGGTAGGAAAAATCCATGCCAAACTTCTGAGCATCGGAATTTCCCCAGCGGACTCCTTAAAGATGAACTTACGCTCAGCCAAAAGACTTATTGAGCAGAGATTAGCAGACATTGAAAATCAACACAACCTCGCCGGGGTGAGGGTGTCTGCTCCCCCAGGTATCACGGAATAACCTCACCACTTGGCCTTCCATCATACATGTCATCTCTTTCATCTGTACCACACCGACATGCATTTATTCGTGCAAGGTTCAATGTCTTTCCATCGAACCTGCTGAGCCACAGATTTTCCAAGGGTTTGGTGTCTCCGCTATGCGTGTGTGACGGGAAAACTGTTGATTCTCTCTCACATATAATGTTCAACTGTCCCCTACATAGCATAGCCAGGACTAAATTCCTGGGCCCTGCTTTACTGCGCTTGGTTGGCAGGCCTGCTGAGTCACATGCCGCACTACTTTTGCAGGATACAGATCCTTCTGTAACTCTGCAGGTGGCGAGATTCCTGAATGCAGTTATCTCACACACAAAAACCACCAAAAACAACAACATCAAAAACTAATCGGACAGTTTTGAAGAGAGTGCATGTCGGATCCCGTCTTCAGTTCTCCTTTTCTGGGATCCGTCCCTTGGAGCTCTCCGGGCCCCAAGCTGTTATCTGGCTCTGCTCAATGACCCACCCCTGCATCATGGTGTTCACCTTCTGGTGCCGAATATATTAGTCTTTATGCCTCTGTGCTTTTATGTTTGTACATACTTTATGGGCTAATAGCCGTAAATAAATAAATAAATAAAACGAGAGGAGGAGCCAGAGGCAACGAGAGGCGGAGCCACAGGCAATGAGAGGCGGAGCCACAGGCAATGAGAGGAGGAGCCAAAGGCAACAAGAGGAGGAGCCACAGGCAATGAAAGGCGGAGCTACAGGCAATGAGAGGCGGAGCCAGAGGCAACGAGAGGTGGAGCCAGAGGAAACGAGAGGCGGAGCCAAAGGCAACGAGAGGAGGAGCCAAAGGCAATGAAAGGCGGAGCTACAGGCAACGAGAGGCGGAGCCAGAGGCAATGAGGGGGGGAACCAGAGGCAACGAGAGGCGGAGCCGAAGGCAACAAGAGGAGCCGCCACAGGCAATGAAAGGCGGAGCTACAGGCAATGAGAGGCTGAGCCACAGGCAATGAGAGGCGGAGCCACAGGCAATGAGAGGCGGAGCCAGAGGCAACGAGGGGGGAAGCCAGAGGCAACGAGGGGCGGAGCCAGAGCCAACGAGAGGAGGAGCCAGAGGCAACGAGGGGCGGACCCAGAGGCAACGAGGGGGGGACCCAGAGGCAACGAGGGGGGGAGCCAGAGGCAACGAGGGGGGGAGCCAGAGGCAACGAGAAGCAGAGCCAAAGGCAACGAGAGGAGGAGCCAAAGGCAACAAGAGGAGGAGCCAAAGGCAACAAGAGGAGGAGCCAAAGGCAACAAGAGGAGGAGCCAAAGGCAACAAGAAGAGGAGCCACAGGCAATGAAAGGCTGAGCCACAGGCAATGAGCGACGGAGCCAGAGGCAACGAGAGGCAGAGCCAGAGCCAACGAGAAGAGGAGCCAGAGGCAATGAGAGGAGGAGCCAGAGGCAATGAGAGGAGCCAGAGGCAATGAGAGGTGGAGCCACAGGCAACGAGAAGAGGAGCCACAGGCAATGAGAGGCTGAGCCACAGGCAACGAGAGGTGGAGCCAGAGGCAATGAGAGGCGGAGCCAGAGCCAACGAGAGGAGGAGCCAGAGGCAATGAGAGGAGAAGCCAGAGGCGACGAGGGGGGGAGCTAGAGGCAATGAGAGGAGAAGCCAGAGGCGACGAGGGGGGGAGCTAGAGCCAACGAGAGGAGGAGTCAGTGTCAACGAGAGGTGGAGCCAACTCATTCTAGATTTGCCCCCATTTTCCTCCTCCTCCTCCTCTTTGCTGAGTTCTACAGGTGCAAGGCTCTGTACAGAACTAAGTACATTTAGATACCCTGGAATCTGTATGTTATAAAAAAAACCCAGTGACTCGTTTTCTTAATAAAATTTCCCTTGCAGCCGTTGATCATCTCTATTGCTCACTCTCACGGGGAGCGTAGTTTATGGTTGGGGATCTTAGTCTTATTTATCCATTGCTTTGCATAAAATATTTGCAAATTGCTTGGGCGTGCTCAAAGTCCATTATAGTGAAATATCTGTGGGATTTAATAGACGGGTCCCTCTCCTGACATTTTAACCCCCTCCCCCAATTTTCTCCTTACAGTCATTTTCCTGCAGTACTTCATTTGTATACAAATAAGAAAACCTCCCTGGTTTTTCCTTTAGCTTAAATGGGATAGTCTTGACTCTGTTGCTAGTCCTACTCAAGAGTAGTCCCACTGACATTAATGGACATGACTTGGGCCACTTGCTCCAGCAGGTCTCCTCTGAGCATAACTGTGGAGGCAGAGTACAGTTATTGTGGCTAGTAGCCTTCTCCTCCTCCATGAATTTGCCCAATCCTTTTTTAAAAAGCCATTCAAGTTTATGCCTCCTGTGGCAAGGAGTTCCACAGTTTAACTCTGTTTCAGGAAGGAGGACTTCCTTTTATGTATCCTGAATCTCCCAACATTCAGCTTCACTGCGTCCCCGCAAGTTCTGGTTTTAGCAAAAAGGAAACAAAAAGCCCTTTCTCCCTTCGCTTTCTCTATGCCCTGCATCATTTTATAAACGGCTTATATCTTGTCAAATCTTCCTCGCCTTTTCTCCAAACTGAAAAGCCCCAAACGCTGCCATCTCTCCTTGCAGGAGCGTGGCTCCCTCTCCTCGATCGTTCGGGTTCCCTTTCTCCCAGCTTTTCGATCTCCCTTTTCAGGTGGGGCGACCAGAACGGCACACGGTATTCCATGCACGGCCGAAACCATCGGTTTGTATATTAGCATTATGGATACTCGGCTCTATGGGTCTCGGGACGATTTGGAAACACAGGTAGCTGCCTCCCGTGGGGTCAAACCATGGGTCCCATCTTGCCTGACCTTTCCAAACTGGGAGGTGGGGCGCAGGGTCTGGAGGTCGTCAGTCTCTCGATTCCCATCCTCCTTCCTGTCTGCTGTCCATTGCTGTCTGCTGGGAGCAGAAGTCTGACCATTTCTGGGGCGGGGGCTCTAGACTGCACCCCCAACCACTACTCCCGGGCTAAACAAGTCAACTCAATAATTTGTGGAGTGGGGGGGGGGGAGAGAATAAAAGATCTGGAGATGATGGGTGGAGGGGCACCCCAGCTAATTTCATCAGGATTTTCAAAGCAAAATGTGTGTTAATACAGACTTGCCTTTGTAACCCACTTTCGGGGAGATGTTTAAGTCTGGGGTCCGGTCAGAGGGCGGTCTCTGCAATGGGAGTCTCGCTTGAGAGGAAAACTCTTGCTGCCTCTCCTGCCCCCACCCCGGTAGGCAGCTCAGCTTCTTATTTGTGGCTTAGGGCCCTCGTATCTATGGGACCGCCTCTCCTGGTCTGCCCCGCAGAGGACCTTAAGGTCCATGAATAATCATAGTTTAGAGGTCCCGGGCCCTAAGGAAGTCAGACTATCCTCCACCAGGGCCAGGGCCTTTTCAGTGATGGCCCCGACTTGGTGGAATGCTCTGTCCCATGAGACTAGGGCCCTTCAGGATTTAACCTCCTTCCGTCGGGCCTGTAAGTCAGAGCTATTCCGCCTGGCCTTTAATTTGAATTCAGCCTGATCTTTTATTTCCCTTCCCTCCCCTTTTATGAATATCACCCGCTCTGAGACCCCACAGCTAATTCTCCCCTGGCCTCCCCCCTGGCCCATGTAGGACCAATTCAGCCAGCTAGCCCTGGGGATTCCCCTGAATTGATTTTTGAATTTTATTGTTATTCATGTTTTTATACTGTATTTTATGCTGCTTTTTATAATTAAGTGTTTTAAATTTGTTGTTAGCCGCCTTGAGTTTTTGCACGGGGAAGGGCAGGGAATAAATAAAAAATTATTATTATTATTATTATTATTAATTATTATTATTATTTATTATCTGAAGAGCAAGAAACAAAGTTGGCCTTCTCAGTGCCGCGATGGTGTGTAAGGCTGTTAGCTGAAGAAAATGGGCAGGACTAAGCGAGGCCCATTCATTTCCATAGGTCTACTCCGAGCAAGACCCAGTTGAATGCCGTGTGCCCGTCACCCGCCAGGAACTGCTGCCCACCTGGGGGGGGGGGCTCGGGGTACTGCTCACCTCTTTGTGTTGTGGATGGTGGTCCCGCCCAGCACAATCCGGACCCCAGGGGTGGTGCGGTTCAAGTTGTAAACGGTCAGCGCCTCCTCGTACGTGGCTCCTCCAATCATGAACACAATGATGTCTTGAGGCCTGTGACAGAGAGAGGAAGAGAGAGAGTCGTTTCTGGAGGCAATTCAGAGCGCTAATTTTAACGTCTTAAGGACCGAAAAATCCGGAAGGAAGAGTTCAGTTGGAGTCCAGCAACGTCTAGATCAGGGTTTCACAAAACTTGGGTCTCCAGCTGCTTTTGGACTACAAATCCCATCATCCACTATTCCTGCTTGCTATGGATGATGGGAGTTGTAGTCTTGGGGAAACCCTGGCCCAAAGGGTACCAGGTGGAGGAAGCCTGCCTGAAATGGCTTTTGGGGCCCAGAATACCTTTGGGGCCAGACTAGCCTGCCCAACTCCCATTAAGCGGGGAGACCATTGTCTGACCCGCAATGATAAACCGTGGTTTGCTCAAGAAACAGCAAGCTAACGGAGAGCAATTCCACAGATGATCAAGCACACCATGGTTTGTTTTTCTAAAGACAAAACCCTTGGAAAGCTTGGCAGGTGTCAGAAACAGGGTGTTCAAACAAACCACAGTGAAGAGTGTCAGGGTTATACGAAACACCAAGCCGTACAAACAAACCTTTGGCTGATTAATATTATAATTGTGTTTGGGGGGTATTGTTTGGTTGTTTTTGTTTTAACTATTTATTTGTGCTTTTGCCTGGGATTCTTACCTTGTGAACTGCCCTGAGATCGTATACTGAAGGGCCGTATCTCATGAATCAATAAAGCAAACCAAGGTTTTGTAGGCCAACAGCAAACCATGGTTTCAGGTGGCGGCTTGCTGCCAGTTAAACAAACCACTGTTAAGCCACTGGGTAGGATTTGGCCAATCAAGCCAACCACGGTTTGACAAATCATCGCTTGATAAACCAAGGCTTAGTTGTTATACAGGCAAACGAATGTGCATCCCAGCTTCTGGAGAAAGTGAAGATTATTTTGGGGGAAAGAAACTAGTGTTGCTTTTGAGTTTACATCCGGTCGTTTCAACTTAGTTTGGCAAACTGGGTATATTTTGCAGGTGACGCATTGGATACGTTAGTTGAGATTCCTGCATAGCAGCGGGGTGGACTGGATGACCCCCAGGGTCCCTTACAACTCTACAACAGTATGATCAAAACAGGATGTGAAAGGAGCAGGGGGTGAGAGCATTTGCGTAGGTAAGAGGAAGCAGAAAGGCTTCCAGGAAACGGGGAGAGCTGTGAAGCGGAGATATTTGGAAACAGCAAAGTGATCGGCAAGTGGTCAGAAGTTCACACAGACAAATAATAATAAAAATAATAAATTTTTATTTATACCCCGCTCTTCCTGGTTCAGAAAACCAGGCTCAGGACGGCTAACAACAAAACACTTAATTGATGCAACAAAAAACAGCATAAAATACAGTATAAAACGTGAATAACAATAAATTCAGAATTCAAAAATCAATTTGGGGGGGGAAATCCATCCAATAAATATTAGATGATCACCAGGGCCAGCTGGCTAAATTAGTCCTATTTGGGCCAGCGAGGAGACCAGGGGAGAATTAGCTGTGGGATCCCTCCCACCCAAAACAGGAACACAAAAAGCTGCCATAACAACAACAACGATAACAACAACAACAACCTGCCCATCTGGCTGGGTTTCCCCAGCCACTCTTATATGGGACCATTGGGTCCGTCTATCTCAGTATTGACTACGCTTCAGGTGGGGGGCTTGCCTAGCCTGACCTGGAGATGCATCGCAGCGGGTTGGGCTAGATGACCCCCCCGATGTCCCTTTCAACTCCAGGATCCTATGCCCCTGGGGACTGAATTTGGGGTCTCCAGGTGTGCCAAGCAGGTGCTTTGCCCCTGAGTTGCAGCCCGAACTGGCTAAAAATGCAGAGTGTGTGTGTCCAGTCTGCGCTCCCCGCCTTGCCCTCTTGCCTCCCCCAGTTTCCCAGCATCGCAGCTACCGTATTTTTCGCTCCATAAGATGCACTTTTTTCCTCCTAAAAAGTAGGGGGAAATGTCTGTGCGTCTTAGGGAGTGAATGCCTATGGACGGCAGCGGGATCCCACTGCAGTCGCGAGCGGAGGATCCATGGCTCCCCTTCCCTCCTCCGTGGCTCGCTTTAAAGCAGCAAAGCGGGAGATGAGCCGCTTACACAAGAGGAGGCTGCTGGGGTTCCTGTGTCAGGTCCGTCCAGGGGCGTGCTGCCTCCCCGCTCATCGCTCCTTGAGCGCGCACACTAAAGAAACATACAACTCCTGTCCCTCACTCTCATTCTGATATACCGGTAGTTTATTAAATAGTTTAGTACAACATTTGATTCAGAATATTTCCCCCCTGTTTTCCTCCTCTAAAAACTAGGTGCGTCTTATGGTCAGATGTGTCTTATGGAGCAAAAAATACGGTATGTCTCCACCTTTTAATCTGAGCAAGGCTAGCGCTGGAGGCAACCCACGGCGTGATGGAAGAGTCTGACATCTTCCCCCTGCAAATAGGGGCTTCCTTGTCCCAGAAAGGGAAGGTAAAGGTAAAGGGACCCCTGACCATTAGGTCCAGTCGTGACCGACTCTGGGGTTGCGGTGCTCATCTCACTTTATTGGCCGAGGGAGCCGGCGTACAGCTTCCGGGTCATGTGGCCAGCATGACTGAGCCACTTCTGGCGAACCAGAGCAGCACACAGAAACGCCGTTTACCTTCCCGCCGGAGCGGTACCTATTTATCTACTTGCACTGGTGTGCTTTCGAACTGCTAGGTTGGCAGGAGCAGGGACTGAGCAACGGGAGCTCACTCCATCGCGGGGATTCGAACCGCCGACCTTCTGATCGGCAAGCCCTAGGCTCTGTGGTTTAACCCACAGCGCCAACCGTGTCCCTTAGAAAGGGAAGGAGAAGGTGTCAGATACTTTGTCCCCTCCCTCCGCTCCCCTGGAAACACAGATGAGAGAGCTCCCGCTCTGGACCTGCTCAGATCCCCAAGAACTGGGGCAACCGGATCCAGTGACAGAGACGGACAGATGCTTGGGGTTTTTTTGTTTAATAATTAAAAGGAAAAACCCGTCCCCCAAGCTGTCTCTTGTAACTGATGAAGTCCACCAGCTTTCAAAGGATGAGGGAGCTTGATCAGATGGTCAGACCTGGCACCCCTCCACCGCAATATGGGTCCGCACCCCCTAAACACACACACACACACACACACACACACGAGCAGGGTTTTGTTACAGCTCATATCACAAGAATGCTTACTCACTGGGGACCAGGAGAATGCAGGGAGCATGAAATCCAAACATGAACCCCCCCCGGAAAAAGGCCCCCACCTCTTTCGTGCTCCCGTTCCACACAGGTTAGCAACTTCAGCCCATTCAAATATTCAGGCCCAGAGCCCTGAATCGCAAGCGGCGTTTGCAAAGATCACTTGAGATAGGGAGAGATGCAAATTCCGAATTTGAACGTCGCGAGTCCTTCCTCAATGCCCACATCTGAACCACACATCTCCCGGGTCGGTTCTCCAGATGCCCATTTTGGTTTGGAGCTTTCTCGTCCCTTGCGAATTTACCCTAGCTGCTTTTAAAGCGGTTCAAGCGGGGGGCCATCGCTGCCTCTTGTGGCAGTGAGTTCCGCAGTTTAAGGGCGGGATGCAAACTGAGCAAGCAACAACAACAACAATAATAATGCACACAGTTCGCAGAATGCAGGTTCCGTTTCACGGCAGGCTTTGAAAATCCCTTTTTAAAAGCAGAGGGTCCCCAGCGCACAGAGCTATCGAACACTGGTTCCTGGGCAGTTGCCAGAGACTCGCCGTAAACCAGTCACTGAGACCAACGCAGGATCAGATGGTTCCTCATTCCCTCCCCGCCCACGGAAGATTAAGAAGTCCCGCAGTGAACAGACAGGCTGTTCTGGCCCAAGGTCAGCATTGGAAACAATACAAAAAGGCGGCTGTGAATCTCCTAAGGCGCTACTTTAAGAATAAAATGCAATGTAACTAGGACATTCCCAGTTTCTCATGGCAGAGGAGATGCTTACATGGGTGTCGAAAAGCACCGGAATATTAGCTTTGTTTTGCCATCCTAGGCTTCAGCAGTAGAACAAGCTCATATGTGGATTTTACAGGATGGTGGATCTTATAGTTGCAAGATCCACTATCCTGTAATATAACATGTGAGTCTGTTCTACTGATGAAGCCTAGGGTGGCTGAACAAGGCTAATATTCCGGAAATCCTTGTCTTAGACTCTGTGGAACTGTAACAACCCTTCATGTGGATTATTGGACTCTATGAACAGACAGGTGGAATAGATATTTATACATGTATGGACCTTATGAATGAACTGACTAGAGAATGAACTGATCCACTGGGTCTTCTGCTTTTTTCGTTGAACTTTATGAGACTTCCATTGAAATCTACAATTTGACACAATGAATATTATGCAGTGGTACCTCAGGTTAAGTACTTAATTCGTTCCGGAGGTCCGTTCTTAACCTGAAACTGTTCTTAAGCTGAAGCACCACTTTAGCTAATGGGGCCTCCTGCTGCTGCCGCGCCGCCGGAGCCCAATTTCTGTTCTCATCCTGAAGCAAAGTTCTTAACCTGAAGCACTATTTCTGGGTTAGCAGAGTCTGTAACCTGAAGCATATGTAACCTGAAGCGTATGTAACCTGAGGTACCACAGTACCTCATTTATTCAAAAGTACAGCTGGTTAGTTGTTTATAAACTTTGCAAAATCAATAAAATTTTTGATTAAAAAAAAAGAAATTGCGAGGAGGAGCCAATTTCTGAAGTGAAATTTGTACTCCAATTCCATTAATTAGCCAATAATAATAATATTTTCTTATCGTCATATCAAAATAAATTGTTGCTGCTGTTGATTTATTATCAAAAGGACAGCTGGTTACGTCTTGTGTGTTTATATAGAAAGTAAACACAGACATGTGAAGTAACAATCACACAACCAGAAACGGAGGAGTGGAATGCTAACAGGTGGGGCTGCACCAGAGATCTTAACCTTTGTGTGTTCCTACACACACACCTTTCTGTCCCGAGAGCTCGCAGTTGGTAGAGTGTGAGACTCTTCATCTCTGGGCCGTGGGTTCGAGTCCGACATTGAGCAAAAGATTCCTGCATTGCAGAAAACAGAAGAAGTACCAACAGTGGAAGATTGGCAGATGAAGATGATGGATTTTTCGGAGCTAGCCGACCTGATGGAAGAGTCCGCGACCAGAAGGAGGAGCAGCACCAGGAAGAATGGATAAAATTTAAAGACTATTTAGCTAAATATGTTAAGATAACTTAATTGGAAAAGCTTGCAAATATTACATAGGCTTAGGATTTAAATATGTAAGGATAGGAAATAAGATGTTTAAAGCTAGATTAGAAAGACTGAAAGATGCTAAGTGACAAAGTTAATTTTTTGAGAAGATTGATTTTGGAAAACTGTTAAAATGATATACAATGAAATTCAACCGGGGGATTTGAGGAAGTCACTTAATAATGTTATTAAGATTGGTTTAATTACAATTAGTATCTATGTTTGTTTGTTTGTTTGTCTTAAATTTTTTCTGGAAAATGAATACAAATTTTTTTGGGGGAAAAAGATTCCAGCATTGTGAAGAAGTTGGGCCAGATGGCTCTCGTGTTCCCTTCCGACTCGTTTGATTCTACGATCCAGGCAGACGAGAAGCATCGTGAAAGCTGAAGGACTATGGGAGGGTGCCTGCAAAACATGTGGCTGGGGGAAAATCTGGATTTGACCACCTTAAAGTGGGATTCCTTATCCATAGTTTGAAAAGAACACAGCTCCCCCCGCCCTCAAAGTGAGGTTCAGGAAAAGGGGAGAAGGGTCTGTGGTTCTGTAGTACAGAACTCCGATGCATCTGATGAGCGTTTTAATAAAAATAAAAAATTCCCCGGGGGAAGGTGGAGCATTTTGTCACGAATGGTGTCCACGCTTCGCAGCTCCGCTGACAGCTTCATGGCCCATTCATCACTCCAGTTACCAACAAGGAAAAGGAGTTATGAGCTCACAAGAGGCAAACTACAGATCGTTTGGGGCCTGCCAGGAAACGTTCCCGAATTATCTTTGGGTGGGGAAGGGGAGGCGGGTGGTCACACACAGCGCCCCTCCGGAAAAATATTAATGGCGGGTTTCAGCTCCTTCCGAGCCAGACAGAAAGGTCCCTTTCTGCAAGTTTGTCTGACAGATAAGAAAAGGACGGCGTCGTAAATTTTGAGACAGGCAGGCTTTTTCCAGGAGCGAGACGCACGGCTAATCCGCGGGGATCTTCTCCTTTATCAGACCTGTCTGGAATCCAGATTGATTCATTTCCCCCCCATCCCTGCCTTCAAACCTCAGTTTCAGTAACCTTCCACCCTCCCAGCAACCCTCGGCACCCTTAATTTTAGTACGTATTTTGTGTGTTTTTATATTGTTCATTTTATGTTGTGAACTACCCTGAGATTTACGGGCAAAGGGTGGCCCAGAGATGGAAAGAAGATAAAGTCCCGACCAGAGACGAATGACTGGTGAAGATCATGGACTACGCCATGGGTAGGCAAACTAAGGCCCAGGGGCCAGATCCGGCCCAATCGCCTTCTAAATCCGGCCTGTGGACGGTCCGGGAATCAGCGTGTTTTTACATGAGTAGAATGTGTCCTTTTATTTAAAATGCACCTCTGGGTTATTTGTGGGGAATAGGAATTCATTCATTCCCCCCCAAAAATATAGTCCGGCCCCCCACAAGGTCTGAGGGACAGTGGACCGGCCCCCTGCTGAAAAAGTTTGCTGACCCCTGGACTACGCCGTAATGGCAAAAATGATTGGGAAAATCAGAAACTAGGAAGTGATGAACTTTAAAAAGGAATGAGAAAAAAATTATAATCTAAGAGAACACTGTAATCAACTAAAAACTTTGGCAGGATTCGAATAACGTATGTAATGTATTAAAAACAAAGGAAAAAATTGATTATATAAGAAAAACAGACAAAATAAGTGAAGCAGTAGAAAAAGTTTGAAAAAGGTAACCATGGAAGGGTGGAGGGGAGTCAAAAGGATTCAAGGAATCCTATATGATGCAGATGTTTAAATTTGACAAGTAAAGCGCAATAAAATATGGTTTTTAAAAAGAAATTCTTCAACAACAACAACAAAGTTTAACAGACAGCAGTTCCCTGTCTGTTACTTTGGGGGAAAACATGGGTTGCGATACCCCATCAAATGTCTGGGGCAGACAGGACACTTCACAATATAGGTGTTTTGCTGGCAATTCTATTGTTCTTGTAGCAGAACGTGAGAGGCTGGCTGGCCGTCTGTCATGGATGCTTTATTTGAGATTCTTCCACAGCAGGAGGGTGAACTAAATGACTCTCAGGATCCCTTGCAACTATACAATTCTATAAAACTGGTGAATTTCTTTCCCGTCCAACTAAATATCCGGCTTTATTTCCCCTTTTTAAAATCCCAATACAGTGGTACCCTGGTAGTCGAACACTTTGGTTGACGAACAAACCGACTCCTGAATGTCGCAAACTCGGAAGTGAGTGTCCGGTTTGTGAACGTTTTTTGGAAGCCAGACAGCTTCTGCGGCTTCCGATTGGCTGCAGGAAGCTCCCTGGAAAAGACCCTGATGTTGGGAAAGATGGAGGGCGCAAGGAGAAGGGGATGACAGAGGACGAGATGGTTGGACAGTGTTCTCGAAGCTACCAGCATGAGTTTGACCAAACTGCGGGAGGCAGTGGAAGACAGGAGTGCCTGGCGTGCTCTGGTTCAGGGGGTCACAAAGAGTCGGACACGACTAAACAACAAAGCCGTATCCTTGTTCTACTGGTGAAATGTTTTTGCACTCGCGGCAACTTGCTACGCAGCAGAACTCGCAAGAGCAGGTCCCTGGCAACTTCGCTGCATGACACAATCGGTCACATGGCGAGTTTACGCTGGCGCAGCTGCGGCAATGGATTCCTCCGTTGCGCAGCAGTAAAACTCACCTGCCTGCTGGTGCAAAAGCCCTCGCACTAGTGTATCATCACACTAGTGTATGCAACAACTGCCGCAATAATTATTTTAGCCCAAAAATGGAAACAAGAAGTACTGACGAAAGAAGGGGAGCAGGTGAAGATTATGGACTTTACAGAACTGGCAAAGCTGACAGGAAAAATCCGAAACCAGAAGGATCAAGTATTCCAAAAGGACTGGAGTAAATTCATACGATATTTGAAAGATTACTGTAAGCAATTAACATCACTAGCAGGGTTGTTTGAAGACTTATAATGAAAAGTTCTTTACCTTTCTATATTTATTTAAATTTTGAGTTATTTTGTAATGTGTGTAATTAGAATGGGAAAATGTACAAAACACAATGATATAAAGGTTAATTCTGAGAGCCATGAGGTGGGAGGGAAGGAAGTTGACAAGCTCTAAAGAGCCAGAGACGTAAAGTGGATGTGAGTGTATATTATTAAATGGAAAATAAATAAAAATGATATATATATATATGAAAGCCCTTGCACTAGTGAACAGAGAATGCTGAGCCCTTCCTTCAGGAAGACCACGTATTTTTAAAAGACTGGAATAACTTTCCAACATATTTGAGAGATCACTGTAAACAGCTGAAATCACTGGCAGGAATACAATGACACTTGTAATGTGGCTTGTGGATGCTATGATTATATAGCAGATAGATTACAGGAAAAGATGCAGGAATAAAATTTAGAATTGGAAACCCATAGAGGGAAGGAAGGAGGTCGCAAGGTTCGAAATAACCTTTTTCTTTTTTTTCAGTGTGTGAAAATGTTATGTTTATGGTGTATAACTTTTATGTAAAGCTAATAAAAATTTATATAAAAAGAGAGAGAACCCAGTGAAAAAGAGAGAGAGAGAACCCAGTGGGTTCACTCTTGAGTTACTTATCTAAAGAAACAAAATGATGAACAACTGGGATGGCCTAAGAGCCCAAAGTTGGTGATCTCTCAGCTGTGCCGACCGACTCGAAGCCTTGGGTTCTATGATGGAAGGAAGGCGGGATATAAAGGGAAGAATGTGGAAATAAAAGAAATAAGGTTGCACGGTGACAACTCGCCAGGGAAGGTGGTGCCTTATGGGCGCTTAGGAGAAGCAGAATGAAAAAAGACAGGCAGACCCTCTGCTTTGAAATTTTGATGGGGAGGCTAGTTTTACGAGGCTCATGCAAATAAACAAATGCAAATCCTATCAGCCTTCCGCCCCCATTACGTTTGAACTCTGACGGGGATCGCAGTTTGTGGAGAGTACAGAAAACAAAACAAAAAAACCACAGCGCAGGTCGCAAACGAGGAAAACCAGCGCCAAGTCAGTTTGTAAGCCAGCTGCTCAGGGGAGCAGGCAGCAATTCAATCAGAGAGCTAGAAAGCTTTCGGCCGTAGGGAGGCGTTCGCCACAAAAAATATACTGTCGAGGTGCTTATTTCAGCCCTTGTCTTGTGACGGTTACGGAACGATTTAGGGAGCGGCAGGGCTCAGGAGAAGGGCTCCAGCCCCGCAGGCAGCATCTCTAGGTGTGGGAGAGATGCCAGAGTTGGAAAGAGATGTTAGAATCATAGCATCATAGAGTTGGAAGAGACCACAAGGGCCATCGAGTCCAACCCCCTGTTGCCGGTCAGTGCTGACCATACTGAGCTAGAGGGAACCATGGCCTGATTACATTATAAGTCAGCTTCCTCGGCTCCTATCTGAACCAGGCCTTGGTTCAGAACTGTGAGGATAATATAATAAATAATAATAATAATAATAATAATAATAATAATAATAATAGCAATAATAATTTATTATTTATACCCCACCCATCTGGTAGGGTTTACCCAGCCACTCTGGGCGGCTTCCAACAAAATATTAAAATACAATAAGGTAAAGCGTAAAGGGACCCCTGACCATTAGGTCCAGTCACGGACGACTCTGGGGTTGCGGCGCTCATCTCACTTTACTGGCCGAGGGAGCTGGCGTACAGCTTCCGGGTCATGTGGCCAGCATGACTAAATCGCTTCTGGCGAACCAGAGCAGCGCACGGAAACGGCGTTTACCTTCCCGCCAGAGTGGTACCTATTTATCTACTTGCACTTTGATGGGCTTTCGAACTGCTAGGTTGGCAGGAGCAGGGACCGAGCAACGGGAGCTCACCCCGTCGCGGGGATTCGAACCGCCGACCTTCTGATCGGCAAGTCCTGGGCTCTGTGGTTTAACCCACAGCGCCACCCACGTCCCTTAAAATACAATAGTCCGTCATTAATAGCTTCCCTAAACAGGGTTAGGGTTCCCTAAACAGGGCTGCCTTCAGATGTCTTCTAAAAGTCAGAATTTCCTTAACATCTGATGGGAGGGTATTCCAGAGGGAGGGCGCCACCACCGAGAAGGCCCTCTGCCTGGTTCCCTGTAACCTGGCTTCTCGCAGCGAGGGAACTGCCAGAAGGCCCTCGGCACTGGACCTCAGGACTGCAATCTTACTTTATTTTTTAGCAGCTCAGTGGTCTATAGATCACCTGGTTTCTGCATGGTCCCAGATCCAGCCCCTGGAGGCATCCCCAGCTAGGAGAGACCACGCCTGCCACCCTTACCTGTCGCGGAGGGTGCTGGGGCCAAGGTAGGGGTACTGGTTGTCTTTTAGTTTCCCCTTGATCAGCTGGTCGAGAGTCTCGTGCAGCAACGGCTGGTGTTGGGTGTAGACGTTTTCGACGCCCTATTGGAAGAAGGAAACACAAGAGGGAAAAGCGAATGCTCTCTCCGGGCTCAGCGAGGCTGCGAAAATAAAAACCACGGTTATCTGGAAGAACGGCCCCCACCTTTAGTCCTTTCAGGAACTGTTTGGTGATGGCGACAGCATCTTTGGAGTTGAAGAGGTCGCTCCCACGAACACGCTTCCCTCCATATTCTACGACAGCCGACACCAGCTGAGCCAGGAGAGAAAGAGCAAAGTGTGAGAAGAGCCTGCCGGACCCAACCAGGCCAGGATCCTGTTCTCCCAGTGGCTGACCGGACGCCCCAATGGGAAGCCAACAAGCAGAATTCAAGAACAAGAGTCCTCTCCTGTGGCTTCCAGAAATTGGGATTCAAAAGCATTGCTGTGGAGAGCAGTTCTGCTGGCTAGGAGCCCTCGACAGCCCTCTTCCTCCTCCCTGAATTTGTCCATTCCTTGACTTTCAGAGCCGTCTGGGTTAGCGGCCATCCCTGCGTCCTGTGTGGGAGTTCGTTCCATGGTTTAACCAGCCACATCCAGCAGAAACGTGGAAGCCGCCAACTAGACAAACATTATTACGACCTACAAGAGACTAGATGGGCCCACTTTCAGGTCTGATTCAGCAGGGATCTTCTTCTGCTCTGATGAAACCTCCAGGGTCAGAGTCTATCTCGATTCCTAGGTTCTCAGGGGTATTTAGCCACTGGGAGAACAGGAGGCTGGACTGGATGGGCTTCCTTTGGCCCGATACCTCCAGATTCAGAGACAGCCTATCTAACACTGGTCTTGAAAGACCTACATTGGCTCCCAGTACGTTTCCAGGCACAATTCAAAGTGTTGGTGCTGACCTTGAAAGCCCTAAACGGCCTCGGTCCAGTATATCTGAAGGAGTGTCTCCACCCCGATCGTTCAGCCCGGACACTGAGGTCCAGCTCCGAGGGCCTTCTGGCGGTTCCCTCGCTGCTAGAAGTGAGGTTACAGGGAACCAGACAGAGGGCCTTCTCGGTGGTGGAGCCCACCCTGTGGAACGCCCTCCCATCAGATGTCAGAAACAACTATCTGACGTTTTAGAAGACATCTGAAGGTTTAGGGAGGTTTTTAACGACTGATGTTTTAATGTACTTTTAACCTTTGTTGGAAGCCGCCCAGAGTGGCTGGGGAAACCCAGCCAGATGGGCAGGGTATAAATAATAAATTATTATTATTATTACATATTATCAGTTGGTTTTTTCCTGGGGGGACACAGGGGGACGCACACCCCTAAACATTTTGTGAATCCACCAGGAGAAGAAACTAAAAAAATTAGTTTCTTCTCTAGCGTGGTGAATCATCACAGTTCCGTCGCTATCCCCGATGGCAGCCTCAATTCCTGTCACGGTGTTTCCCGAGTCTCAGACGGAAGCGAGCGTTTAATGTGTGAAGTAGGAGTTGGAATCTAGCACGGCAATTGGTCAGTTTCGTAGTATTTACTAGATTTATTCCCCCCGATTTGAACTATAAAATGGTGATTTTCTGGAGTCAAAATGAGAGTACCCCTAAACATTTTTTAAAGAAAAAAAGCACTGATTATTATTATTATTCTTTTTTCCCCTCCCCCCCGCCTTTATGGTGTTTAAATGATAACAAAAGATTCGCATGTATGCTATTTCAAAAAACCACAAAAATAAATCCATTCATTCCTAAACAGTTCATTTCATCATACATTCTTGTTTTATTACCTATGACTTCCCGTCAACCCCAGTGTATTCCTCATTGCTATTTTCCAGTAGGACAAATAATAGCTTTGTTATATTTTTGTTACTCTAAAGTTTCTTAGACATTTGATATCCTTTTACTTTGTTTTTTGTTGTTATCCTACACAGAAATCGTTCAAATGCTTAATATTATTATGATTAATCAAGTTTCTAGACCACCCTTCGTCGGAAGGATTCCAGGGAAGTTGACAACAGAAAATACAAAACGTAAAGAAAAAGAAAATAAGATAAGATAAAAAGTTAGATAAAAATTGGAAATATTTTGGTTTAAGAATGATATTGGAAAGCTGTTACACATAGATACATGGAAATTCAGAAGGAAGGGAATGGAGGAAGTCAACCAATATGTAAATAAGCATGGATCTTTAAAGGATTAATTTTGTTCTTATTGTTTATTTCTTGTATGGTGGTGGATAAGATGTTTATTGTACTGTTTTCATTTTTTGGGGTGTATTTTCTATTCCTTCCCCCCTTTCTTTCTTTTTGTGTTATTTGTTTGGCTATGTGGTATAATCGTGGAAAACTTAATAATTTTTTTTTTGAAAAAACAAAAAGAAAAAACAAAACAAAACGAGAATAAAAAACCCCCCGAAGTAAGTACAAAATAATAAAACCAAAATGAGAATGCAAAACAATGAAACAAAAACAAAGCGATAACGCATGTTTGAAGCAGTATCGTAACAATGTATGGACCCACTCCACAGTCTTTGCTCCTAAGGACAGGTTCTCCGCGCCCCCTGGAGGGCTCGGGACCCCTACCCACCTTCCGGTGCTTCTCGGAGACTCCTCGGTTCCTCAGCTCTGTCATGAGTCCTGGGAGGCTGTTGCTACTGTGTCTCTCGTAGTGAAGGGCATACAACATCACCAGGCGGGTGGCATCCAGCTCGCTCACTTTGGGGTTCTGCAAGAGCCGGCGGATGTTCTGCAGCAGGAGAGACGAGGCTTTTGGGGCGGGGGACGACGGTGGGGCATCCTGTCTACCAGCTCCATCTGGTACGCAGGCTGAGACCCTACCTGCCCACAGACTGTCTCGCCAGAGTGGTGCATGCTCTGGTTATCTCTCGCTTGGCCTACAGTGGTACCTCGGGTTACAGATGCTTCAGGTTACAGACTCTGCTAACCCAGAAATAGTACCTCGGGTTAAGAACTTTGCTTCAGGATGAGAACAGAAATCACGTGGCGGCAGTGGGATGCCCCATTAGCTAAATTCAGGTTAAGAACAGTTTCAGGTTAATCCGGAATGGATTAAGTTCTTAACCCGAGGTACCACTGTACTGCAATGCGCTCTACGTGGGGCTACCTTTGAAGGTGACCCGGAAACTGCAACTAATCCAGAATGCGGCAGCTAGACTGGGGACTGGGAGCGGCCGCCGAGACCACATAACACTGGTCTTGAAAGACCTACATTGGCTCCCAGTACGTTTCCAGGCACAATTCAAAGTGTTGGTGCTGACCTTGAAAGCCCTAAACGGCCTCGGCCCAGTATACCTGAAGGAGTGTCTCCACCCCCATTGTTCTACCCGGACACTGAGGTCCAGCTCTGAGGGCCTTCTGGTGGTTCCCTCACTGCGAGAAGCCAAGCTACAGGGAACCAGGCAGAGGGCCTTTTCGGTGGTGGCACCCACCCTATGGCACGCCTTTCCACCAGATGCCAATGAAATAAACAACTATCTGACTTTTAGAAAACATCTGAAGGCAGCCCTGTTTAGGGAAGTAATGACTGATGTTTTAATGTATTTTTAATCTTTAGTTGGAAGCCGCCCAGAGTGGCTGGGGAAACCCAGCCAGATGGGCGGGATATAAATAATAAATTATGATTATTATGCTGCAGATTTGTGTCTAGATAACACGTGGATGAAACCCAGTGTTAGCTCTGCTCAGAGTTTAAGCATGGAAATGAATGGGCTTAGATCTAACGTCAGGAAGATGCCTTGGTTGGGAAAGGCTGACTTAAATGCTCCACATAAACCATCCTGATGGGGTGGCTTCCTCCCCTTTCAAAGCCATCAAAGGCCTTGCTTCTCAAATGTTTTCAGCCACAGAGATGGCCTGAAAATCAGCAAGTCTCGGTGAACAGCGGGCCACTTGGGAGAGCAACTCTTGTAGCAGCCGCAACGGACTGGATTTTTAACTGTAATTTCATTGCTTGTTTCATTTCCCGCCTTGCATCTTTGCTTGCATCACAATCTGAATTCCGTATTTATTATTATTTTATTAAATTTGTATACCGCCTTCCATCTGCAGATTTGGGGGGTGGAGGAGAGTACAAAATATGGTCAGAAACTCAAAGTTAAAAAAGCTAAGATCATGGCGACTGGTCCCATCACCTCCTGGCAAACAGAAGGGGAAGAAATGGAGGCAGTGAGAGATTTTACTTTCTTGGGCTCCGTGATCACTGCAGATGGTGACAGCAGTCACGAAATTAAAAGACGCCTGCTTCTTGGGAGAAAAGCAATGACAAACCTGGACAGCATCTTAAAAAGCAGAGACATCATCTTGCCTACAAAGGTCCGTATAGTCAAAGCTATGGTTTTCCCAGTAGTGGTGGATGGAAATGAGAGCTGGACCATAAAGAAGGCTGATTACCGAAGAATGGATGCTTTTGAATTATGGTGCTGGAGGAGACTCTTGAGAGTCCCATGGACTGCAAGAAGATCAAAACTCTCCATTCTGAAGGAAATCAGCCCTGAGTGCTCACTGGAAGGACAGATCCTGAAGGTGAGGCTCCAGTACTTTGGCCACCTCATGAGAAGAGAAGACTCCCTGGAAAAGACCCTGATGTTGGGAAAGATGGAGGGCACAAGGAGAAGGGGGCGACAGAGGACGAGATGGTGGGACAGTGTTCTTGAAGCTACCAGCATGAGTTTGACCAAACTGCGGGAGGCAGTGGAAGACAGGAGAGCCTGGCGTGCTCTGGTCCATAGGGTCACGAAGAGTCGGACACGACTAAACAATTAAATAAACAACATCACAGGCTCAGGGTACTCTTAAGTCCAAGCCTTTTCTTGACGCAAAGATCTCCCGCTGAATCGGGAGGGCTGGCTTGGGAGCCTTCTTGCAGAAGGCTGCCTCTGAGTTCGTGCAGAATGCACTTTTCCCCCCACTGCCAAGGACATTCCTCCGTCTTATCTATGGAGGCATTTCTGAGCCCCAAAGCAGCTTGAGAATTGCGGCTTAAAATTCAGAAAAGAGAGTTTCCCTGTGGTCGGAAGCTGAGATCCACACAGAAGTTTCTGCCCTGACAGCATCTAAACCCACCCATTTTGACCTTTGACCTCCCTGCCCATCTAGGCCCCCGGAGGCGCCGGAAGATCCCTCATAAAAAGGGCTGCATTGTTAACAGCCGACAAGCCTAATTCATCCACACTGATGTGGTGTCAGCTGGCGGGGTCAGTCTATGAATTCTATGGGCTACGGAGGAAACAGACGTCCCATCTAAGCTCCGGAGGCAGACAGAGGATTCCTTGTGAAGCTTTCCCCCCGAAATAAAATTAGAAAGTATCTCCACTGCCCCAAAGAAATTCTTTATATAAAAGCAGCATCTCTCTGAAAGATCCCAGGATTTAGAGTAGAGGGTGGAGTGTAGGATCCAGAGAAGGAGAACCTTTAAGAACGCAGAACGGAACCCCAATAATTTCTTCTTTTCGCTTTTTAGTCCTGGTCATTTCTGAGCTTTTGAAAGCTGAGAATGCACCCGTCAACTGAAAAGCAGGTTAGATATCCCCAAAAGCACTTCCAACATTATTGGAGGCTGAAAGACTGGAAGATTTAGACGTAAACAGAAACACACGAACATGTCTGGTTCACACGGAACACTAAACCGTGGTTTGTTTCGTTTGGAATTGTGAAGCGAGCCTAGAACTGTGCTTTGCTTTCTGCCAACAAGCCATGATCCGAAGTCAGGGTTTGGTTTTGGGCCTACGAACCAAACCAAATCTGTTGCTGCTCTAGTTATCTCCCGCTTGGACTACTGCAATGCGCTCTACATGGGTCTACCTTTGAAGGTGACCCGGAAACTGCAATTAATCCAGAATGCGGCAGCTAGACTGGGGACTGGGAGCAGCCACCGAGACCACATAACACCGGTCTTGAAAGACCTACATTGGCTCCCAGTACATTTCCGAGCACAATTCAAAGTGTTGGTGCTGACCTTGAAAGCCCTAAACGGCCTCGGCCCAGTATACCTGAAGGAGCGTCTCCACTCCCATCGTTCTGCCCAGACACTGAGGTCCAGCACTGAGGGCCTTCTGGTGGTTCCCTCCCTGCGAGAAGCAAAGCTACAGGGAACCAGGCAGAGGGCCTTCTCGGTGGTGGTGCCCGCCCTGTGGAACGCCCTCCCACCAGATGTCAAAGAGATAAACAACTACCTGACATTTAGAAGACATCTGAAGGCAGTCCTGTTCAGGGAAGCTTTTAATGTGTGACATTTAATGTATTTTTAATCTTTGTTGGAAGCCGCCTAGAGTGGCTGGGGAAACCCAGCCAGATGGGTGGGGTACAAATAATAAATTATTATTATTATTAGTAGTAGTAGTAGTATGATGTAAACATCCCTGAGCCAGGCTGGGAAAATATGCTTTGGGCCCTTTGATTGCATGCCTTCTAATGCTTCTACTTCCATGGCACAGTTTATTTTAACATACAGCGCACCAAGAGGGGTTTATTTATTTATGGGTTTGGAGATGGCTCCAGGCTCAGGGCTTGGGGTACCTGCAAAGCGCTGGAGTGATCGTTCTGGCAGGCCAGCTCCTGCTCCACCTCCGAAGTCTCCAGCAAGTTCCTCTCGCTCACCAGCCGGGACAGCTCCCCCACCACCGTGACGTGCTTGGAAACGGTGCCGGACATCTTCTTGAACTGAGGGTAGTTCTCCACAAAGGCCTGAAGGATGGAGAGGAAGGGGAGAGGACACCTCAGAGCCCGGCTGCTGAATCACGTTTCCTCAACGCAGCTGAAGGTGGCGCCCAAAGTTCTCCCTGTTTTATCCTGCTAAGAACCCTTTGAGGTAGATCAGGCCAGTGGCGTAGCGTGGGTTGTCAGCACCCGGGGCAAGGCAAGTAATTTGCGCCCCCTAACCCGTGGATTTTAGCACTCGAGCAGAGAGCTGCGAGTGCGAGCGCGCCCCCCCAGATGTTGCGCCCGGTGCGGCCGGCCCCCCTGCACCCCCCACGCTACGCCACTGGATCAGGCTAAAAGGCAGGGATCAGTAAACTTTTTAAGCTGGGCCGGTCCACTGTCCCTCAGACCTTGTGGGGGACCGGACTATATTTTTTTAAAAAATATATGAACGAATTCCTATGCCCCACAAATAACCCAGAGATGCATTTTAAATAAAAGGACACATTCTACTCATGTAAAAACACGCTGATTCCCAGATCGTCTGTGGGCTGGATTTAGAAGCCGATTGGGCAGGATCCGGCCCCCGGGCCTTAGTTTGCCTACCCACGCTAAAAGGCAATGATTGGCCCCAAGTCAAGCTTCACAGCTGCGTGGGGATTTGAACCCAGGTCTCCTCCAGGTCCCAGTCCAAAACTGTTTTTTTTTAATTAATTTTTTATTGATTTTACATGAATTTATACGCAATAATTTTAATCATTCCAAAACATAAAAATAAAAAGGTTCTTTTGAAACCTTCGGACCTCCTCCCCTCCCTTCATGGGTTCCATTTCCAAAAATTAATAATAAAAATTCTTTTTTCTGCATTTTTTACCGTTATCCATCTGTTGTATAATCGTAGTTACCATTTCACATTACAAGTGTCATTGTATCCCTGCCAATGATTTTAACTGCCTACAGGGTCTTTTAAGTATATTATAAAAAGTTACTCCAATCTTTTAAGAATACTTGAGCTTCCTGGTTTCTGATCTTTCCCATCAGTCTCGCCATTTCTGCGTATTCCATTAACTTGGTCTGCCATTCCCCCCGGACCAAAAGTCTTGCAAGCTCCCTGCTCCTGGTGGGCAAGTGTTTGCTGATGGCCTTCCCTAGAATGCTGTATTATTTTATTGTTGTTAGCCGCTCTGAGCCAGATTTCGGCTGGGGAGGGTGGGATAGAAATAAAATTTTATTTATTTATTTATTTATTTATTTATTTATTTATTAATTATTATTATTCCAAGCTACCTTCATGTCTGCGATGGATTCCAGCTTCTGCTGCTCCTTAGGCTTCCTCCGCTGGAAGTCTTCCATCAGGTTCTTGATGTTGCTTCCGATTTCCGCAAAGTTTAGGTACATGTTCTGCAAATGAGAAAAAGCAGTGGATCGAAGAAAATGTCAGGGGGCCCCAGCATCTCGTTCAGCATCCTACAGAGCGGTCCCCAAAAGACTGTTTTTTTTTTTAAATGGTTTGTATTTTATTTTACAAATATAAATTTATAACCATACCAAATACACATCCATTTAAAGAGATTACTCTGAATCCTGGGACTTCTCCCCCATCACCTCCATGAGTCCTATTGTCAAGATTTTCAACTGCATATTATTTCATAATCTATATTTTATATCTACAGTGGTACCTTGGTCCTCAAACTTAACCCGTTCCGGAAGTCCGTTCCAAAACCAAAGCGTTCCAAAACCAAGGTGCGCTTTCCCATAGAAAGTAATGCACAGTGGGTTAATCCGTTCCAGACTTTTAAAAACAACCCCCAAAACAACAATTTAACATGAATTTTACTATCTAACGAGACCGTTGAGTCATAAAATGAAAGCAACAGACAATGTACTGCAGTCACACAATCAATCAGTAACTGGACTGGGTCGCACACAGTCACAAAAACAAAACAGCCGCAAAAACAAAAATAAATACCAAGAACAGACAGACCTCAGAGTAACACTGAAAACAGAAGTGTGGCACTCAAAATGGAGCACGTTTGGCTTCCGAAAAAAGTTCGCAAAGTGGAACACTTACTTCCGGCTTTGCAGTGTTTGGGTTCCAAGTTGCTTGAGTACCAAGGAGTTTGAGAACCAAGGTACCACTGTATCCATATTGTCAGTAGTATTTGCTCCATTACAAGTGAGATTAAAATCCTGCTAATGTTTTCATCTGCTTACAGTGGTCTCCTAAATAAATTATAATCCCCCCCCCTTTTTTATTGAATTTCTTGTCTTCTTGGTTCCTGAGCTTTCCGGTCAGTTTTGCTATTTCGGCATAGTCTTAACAGCTTGGTTTGCCATTCCTCTCTACTAGGGACTGTTTCTTCCTTCCATCTCTGGGCTAATAGCATTTATGCTGCTGTTGTCACATACATAGTCTTTTCTGTTCCTTTGGGATATCAGTACCTATAATTCCTAACAAAAAGGCTTCTGTGGTTTTTTTTAACAAAAGTTATTTAAAACATTTTTTTCAGTTCGTTATATATCATTTCCCAGAAAGCCTCTATTACCCTACATGACCACCACATGTGATAAAAGGTACCTTCCAAAAGACTTACGTTGGCGTAAAACTCATCGTTCTCGGCCGACAAGACCACCTCCCGGAGGTCCTTACTTATGCCCGGGACTCGCGAGAGATCGATGCGGTTGTTGTTAATCCCAAGCAGTTCGTGGACCATTGCCTGATATGTCCACTACGCAGAGAGGAAAAGAGAGTCAGAAGAGTAAGCAGAAGCAAGAAAAGTTCCAAAACTTAGGAAAAGGATCATTGGGACTTTCGCAGGCATCTCTAAACATCTCCATCTGAAACCCCAGAGAGCTGCTGCCTGTCAGGTGTGCGTGCAGGAGCCAGGCCCTGTGACCAGGACTGGGGCCTTCCTAAGTTTGTTCTGAAGAGGCAAGGCGCGGCCGCACAGGTGAGGCCAGTTGGTAACTCACAGCACCTGGTGGCAAGAGCCGGGAAGGGATATAAGGTCAGCATTTCCCTTCGGCTCTTTGCCACAGCAACACGTTCCCTGCCTTGTTGTGTTTGACTCCTCGCTTCCTGATCCTCGGACCCCTGACTTTGTGACTCCTCGCTTCCTGACCCTCGGACCCCTGACTTCGTGACTCCTCGCTTCCTGATCCTCGGACCCCTGACTTCGTGACTCCTCGCTTCCTGATCCTCGGACCCCTGACTTCGTGACTCCTTGCTTCTTGATCCTCGGACCCCTTGCTTCTTGATCCTTGGACCCCTGACTTCGTGACTCCTTGCTTCTTGATCCTCGGACCCCTGACTTCGTGACTCCTCACTTCCTGATCCTCGGACCCCTGACTTCGTGACTCCTTGCTTCTTGATCCTCGGACCCCTGACTTCGTGACTCCTCACTTCCTGATCCTCGGACCCCTGACTTCGTGACTCCTTGCTTCTTGATCCTCAGACCCCTGACTTCGTGACTCCCAGCTCTCTGACCCTCGGACTCTTGGCTTCCCGACTCCTGGCTTCTGGACCCCTGTTCCTGTTCCCACCCCGCCATCTTCCCCCTGGTCCTGACGTCCCCAGCCGGGACTTCGATCGCCCGTGAACCGGACCATGACACTGCCAGCCAGTGTAGGCAACGCTGACCTAGATGGACCAGTGGCGCTTGGTATAGTGTTGGGGTGGGTCAGCAATAAATCACACCGAATAGGCAAACACTTTATCAGAAGAAACAAGGTGTGCTCGGGAGTGCCAACCCTTCTTCGTAGGTCTTGCCCCTATGAGCAGGGCCGTCTTTACCATATGTGCCGCCGGGGTGCAAAGATCCGCCCAGCGTCCCCAAATTTAGATAATTTTGCGTGCACGGCACCGTTGAGAATGACAAGCGCCATCGTTGAGTCTGAGAAGTGCCACCGTTGTAAATGACAAGCGCCGCCGCTGGCGCAGCGCGTCTTTGGTAAATAAGCGCACAAAGTCGAAAGCCCTTTAGTGAAACAGTAGGTATACATTTCGGTAATGTCTAGGTATATATGTATTTTGTTTTTCTAGCTTGATCAAAATTATTTATTTCATAACAGGTAGATAAGAGCTTCGGCGGCTTCAGCGGCGGGCACCAGGTGCCCCCCAGAATTCAGCGCCCGGATGCCCCGCACCCCTTGCACCCCTGGGTAAAGACGGCCCTGCCTATATGATAAATAAGGCAATGATATGTACAATTTTACAATATGCAGAGGATAATATGTGCAAAGAAACCAGAGAGGAGCTGAGGGAAGTCCTGGGGGGAGGGGATAGAAAGGGGGGGGAATGTAAATGGTTATATTGATTGATAATTTGTTTGTTAAAACTGTTCAATAAAAATATATATAAAAAAGATGGCCCTGCCTATGAGGCAGTTGTGGGGACTAAGTTCCATCCTCTCTGGAGGTTTTCCCAAGCAATCTGAGACTCTGCCATCACACCTGCCTTTGCTCCTCCCGTTTCATGTCTCTCCTGGTCCTGGGAGCCCAGGCGGGAGGGGAGCTTGCTGCAGCAGGATGGGGGAGACACCTGTGCGTCTCATCTCTGCCTCTTGGCCTCTCTCCTCTGGACTGCTCTCTGCCACAGACTCTCCGCTCGCTAAGATCTGTTACCTCTCCGGCTTCCAACACCACCTCCTCCCAGGTAGAAGGCTCCACAGATTCCCATTTAAAGACAGCTTCAAGGCAACAGAGAGGCTCTCACCTGGTTCAGGAGCGGAGTGATGGCGTCATCCGAGCGGTCCAGAAGCAGCAACAACGGAGGGACTTCGGTGCGACGGAAGTCAAAAAGCTCATACTCTTTCGTGATCACTTGCTGTTTGGAGAGGAGGAAAGGAATAGGCTAGCCAGGTAGTTAAGGTGTAAAAAGGTCCTCTGCACAGGGATTGCAAACTTAGTTTTTCTACCCCGACACTGGAAGGCAAAAAAGACTTGCCTGTGACTTTTTTGGCTCAGTGGGAGAGCAATTGCTTGTCTTGCAGGTTCAGTCTCCAGGGGCATCTGCAGTTAGGCCCCTGCCTGAAATCTAGAAAGCTACTGCTGCCAGTCAGTGTAGGCAATACTAAGCTAGATGGGCCCCAAATTCAAATAAAAGTGTTTTCGTTTTAATACATAACCCAAATAACAAAATAGAACGTCATGAGACAAGCCCATAAAAACGAAACCGAACTGAACCAAGGTTGGCACGGGATCATATAGTCAACAGAAGAAATGATAAAGCTGGTTATCCAGATATTTCCAATAAGATACAGACAGGTAAGTGCAAGGTGCCGTCCTAAGAAACGAGAGAGCAAAAAGTGTGGCGCTCGTGACTTGCAAGATACAGAGAAACACAAGAGCTGAGAGACCTCCAGAGGCACAAGGATTGCTAAGAATAAAAAGCTCTGTGTTACATCAAGAAACATTTCCAACCAATTAGATCAGGGCTTTCCAAACTTTTCAGCTCGGTGACACACATTTTAGACATGCATCACTTTGTGACACGGTAATTCAATTTTACTAGCAAACCAGAGGTTAAACTAACCCATTTCCAGCCCCGGGAGGAGGGCTGGGAGCGTTTGTGTGACCCAACACACCTGCCCACTGCTTCCGACACACAAAACATGTCGCGACACAGAGTTTGGAAAGCTCTGAATTAGATGTTAAAGGTAAAGGTGAAGGGACCCCTGACCGTTATGTCCAGTTGCGGACGACTCTGGGGTCGCGGCGCTCATTTTGCTTTACTGGCAAAATGTACAAAATAACAGCTTCCGGGTCATGTGGCCAGCATGACGAAGCTGCTTCTGGTGAACCAGAGCAGCACACAGAAACGCCGTTTACCTTCCCGCCGGAGTGGTACCTATTTATCTACTTGCACTTTGCCGTTTTTTCAAACTGCTAGGTTGGCAGGAGCAGGGACTGAGCAACGGGAGCTCACCCCGTCGCGGGGATTCGAACCGCCGACCTTCTGATCAGCAAGCCCTAGGCTCTGTGGTTTAACCCACAGCGCCACCCGCGTCCCAAATTAGATGTTACTTATCCCTAATTTCTTGAGAGACTTGTGGAAAAGGCAAAGGGTGCTTTACGATTTATCACATGCACTTTGTTGAGAACTGCCCTGATGTTCTCTTTAAAAAATAATTCATTAGGCAGTGTCATACAAATACTTTTACTAAATAAGAACGAACCTTGACGCACTCTGCCAGCCTCTTGGCTGGTTCAGAAGAGAGCTGGTAGCGGATCATGGGGCATTTCTTCAGGGACAGGAGCAGAGCGGTCAAGCCTTGGGTGGTCCTGGAGAGCTGAGCCTGGTCCCAGCTGTGGCCCTAAAAAAATATGGCGAAGAGATCAATGAGAGCCGAGCAAGGCCTGTTTGGTTTTATTTCATTTATTACATTTGCACACTGCCACCTGATGTTCCGTTAACACCCCGTGATCTTCATGATGTCTTATTGATGTAGTTTGGGGGGGTGTAACATGGGGATTAGGTAAAGGAATGCCTGACCATTAGGTCCAGTCATGGCCAACTCTGGGGTTGCGGCGCTCATCTCACTTTACTGGCCGAGGGAGCCGGCGTACAGCTTCCGGGTCATGTGGCCAGCATGACTAAGCCGCTTCTGGCGAACCAGAGCAGCGCACGGAAACGCCGTTTACCTTCCCGCCGGAGTGGTACCTATTTATCTACTTGCACTTGACGTGCTTTCGAACTGCTAGGTAGGCAGGAGCAGGGACCGAGCAACGGGAGCTCACCCCATCGCGGGGATTTGAACCGCTGACCTTGTAATCAGCAAGTCCTAGGCTCTGTGGTTTAACCCACAGCGCCACCCGCGTCCCCTAACATGGGGATTAGCAGCTAATAAAAGTTTGGGGGCTCTTTATTCGGGGCTTCCATCTTGTTGCACCTTCTGGCAGGTGGGAGTCCTGTCGCGACAGTCTTCAATAAAGACCAAGCCTATAGGCTGCTGTTTTGCTCTGGTATTCCTGGCTGGTGTCCTTGTTTTTTGTCCAAGGGAGCCCTCAGATTTCTCCGTTAACAGGGGAAGTTCACGACATAAAAATACGACATAAAAATACGCAACGAAAGCAGCCAGCAGCCTGCTTAGGTGATGCCCCAGGAGCAGCTACAAAATCGTAGAGGTAAAGGTAAAGGACCCCTGGACAGTTCAGTCCAGTCAAAGGTGACTATGGGGTTGCGGCACTCATCTCGCTTTCAGGCTGAGGGAGCCAGTGTTTGTCCACAGACAGCTTTTCTGGGTCATGTGCCCAGCATGATTAAACCGCTTCTGGCGCAACGGGACACCATGACAGAAACCAGAGTACACAGAAACGCCATTTACCTTCCCGCCAGAGCAGTACCTATTTATCTACTTGCACTGGTGTGCTTTCTAACTGCTAGGTTGGCAGGAGCTGGGACAGAGCAACAGGAGCTCACCACCGTCATGGTGATTCAAACTGCCGACCTTCTGATCGGCAAGCCCAAGAGGCTCAGTGGTTTAGACCACAGCGCCACCTGCGTCGGAAGGGACTCCGGGGGTCATCTGGTCCAACCCCCTGCGATGAACCCATGACGAGATGGCTCTCCTATGACAAAACATCTTGCTTAGTCTGCTGCTAGGTGACTTTTGAAGCCTCCAGACATTCGACACAGTTATCACACCCCTTTGGACGGCCACAGCTTCCCCTGAAGAATCCTGGGAACTGGTGCTGAGAGTTGTGAGGAGGCCTGGAATTTACCGGGATTCCTCTCACGCCACCTACCTGACAGCAGACAGAGATGTTGAGAGAGAACACGTGCGGGTTCACGGCGATGTAGTCTCCGTAGAATTCCTGCCAGGCGAGAAGCAGGAGAGACTCAGTGTCATAGCAATGCCCAAGAAGCTATTTAACTCCAGTGACCAGGACCAGGGTCAACGTGTGGCAAAGCGAGCTTGGGTATAAAGCAGGGGCAGGGTTTGTCACTGCGGCAGCTAAACTGGTGAGTGGGTGCGGCCGCCAATCTTGAAAGACCTACACTGGCTCCCAGGACGTTTCCAAGCACAATTCAAAGTGTTGGTGCCGACCTTTAAAGTCCTAAATGGCCTCAGCCCAGTATACCGAAGGAGCATCTCCACCCCCATCGTTCTGCCCGGACACTGAGGTCCAGCACCGAGGGCCTTCTGGCGGTTCCCTCACTGCGAGAAGGCAAGTTACAGGGAACCAGGCAGAGGGCCTTCTTGGTAGTGGCACCCGCCCTGTGGAACGCCCTCCCAGCAGATGTCAAAGAGAACAACAACTACCAGACTTTTAGAAGACATCTGAAGGGAAGCTTTTAATGTTTGATGTATTACTGTATTTTAATATTTTGTCGAAAGCCGCCTAGAGTGGCTGGGGAAACTCAGCCAGATGGGCGGGGGATAAATAATAAATTATTATTATTATTATTATTATTATTATTATTATTATATTCGAGGAGAATAGGATTGCTTGCCTCATGCATCATGAAGAGTTGGGCAAGGGGAGAAGCTTAAGGGCCTGGGGGACTGCATTAGATCGTTGCACCAAATTATACTGCAACAGCCCCAGTCCGCCTCTACATCTCCAAAGCAGCAGGGATACTTTCTTTTTTTTATAATATTTTATTAAGTTTTCCATTTTACAGTATACAACCACTTCCTCATTTTTCACCCTATTTTTGCTCATATGAGGTACTTGACTCCCGCCCACCACCCAAGTCTCATGGTTACCATAATTGTTTATAATGTCCTCGCATTTATACTTCTTCCTCTTTACATTATACAATTCCCATTGTCCATTTTTAAGGAAAATGTAAATAGGTAGGGTCATCAACATTGCATGTCGTCTTCATTCAATCCTGCTAGTGTTGTTGATTGTTTACAATTGTCCTTTAAATACTGCATAAATTTACCCCAGTCTTTTTGGAAAGCTTGATCACACAGGTTTTGGATTTCCCCGGTCAGCTTCGCCAGTTCTGTATATTCCATCTTCTTCATCTGCCACTCTTCAATTGTTGGTAGTTCCTGTTGCTTCCATTTTTGGTTTCTCTCTCCCCTACTATACCCAGTAAAAATGCTTCTGGTTTTTTAACAAATGTACTTTTGTACATTTTCTTTAATTCATTACTAATCAAATCCCAGAAGGTTTTTACTTTGCTACAAGTCCAGCACGTGATAGAGATTTCCTTCTTTTTCTTTACATTTCCAACATTCCTTTTTTTTCATCTTACACATTTCAGCCAATTTAGTTGGTGTTAAATACCACCTATACATCATTTTCATAGTATTTTCTTTTAATGCACTACAGGCCGTAAATTTAATTCCCTCATTCAGCAGGGAGCCTTTCCTCAAAAAGGAAGCCCAGAGATACAAAAACTGATGGAATATGCAGAAACGATGAAACTTACTGGAAGAATAAGAAATCAACATAACTTTTTTTTGTAAAAGAATGGAAACAGTTTACGGAATTATTTACAGTTAAATTGTAAACAGATAAGATCATTGACAAGATTATTGTAATAACATGCAATTTCATAAGAGTACAGTAGCACCTCGAAAGTCAAACGGAATCCGTTCCAGAAGTCCGTTTGACTTCCGAAACTTTAGGAAACCAAGGTGCGGATTCTGATTGGCTGCAGGAAGCTCCTGCAGCCAATCAGAAGCCACGTAAACTGCATCAGACGTTCAGGTTCCAAAAGAATGTTTGCAAACCAGAACACACACTTCCGATTCTGCAATGTTTGGGAGCGAAAACGTTCAACTCGCAAGGCGTTCGGGACCCAAGGTCCAACTGTATATATTTAAAGAAAATTAAGTTAATGTGGATATGCAGAAGATGTTAAAAATAAATTTAAGGAGCCGCAGAAAGAGGGGGAAGGAAGCCAAGTTTAGAAATGTCGATATGATTCTAAAATTAGTGGAATGTATAAACCTGAAAAGTAGAAATATTTTTTTTAAAAAAAGGAAGCCAAGAGACTTCCTGGACTTGTGGCTCGTTGACCGTAGACATACCTGGACTTCTGCCACAACTTCCTGCTCGTCCGCCTCGGCCAGAGACTTGACGTTGCTCTTGCTGATGACGTTGCTGAAATCTGGAAGGAGGCAGGGAGAGAAAGGCAGCAGGATAAGCGAGAGACAGAAGGGGGAAGCAATGGTCGCTGGGTGGGAGGTGGGTCTGTTCCACGGTGGGCCCTAACCACTCTCCCCCCCCCCATTTTTAAAATTCATTTTATAACGCAAATAAACAACACAAACAGAAAAACAAACAATACAGTGGTACCTCGGGTTACATACGCTTCAGGTTACATATGCTTCAGGTTACAGACTCTGCTGACCCAGAAATAGTACCTCGGGTTAAGAACTTTGCTTCAGGATGAGAACAGAAATTGCAGCAGTGGCAGCGGGAGGCCCCATTAGCTAAAGTGGTGCTTCAGGTTAAGAACAGTTTCAGGTTAAGAACGGACCTCCGGAACGAATTAAGTACTTAACCTGAGGTACCACTGTACAAACAAATTCTTGTCTTATCCTTATTTTTTCTAAACATTGTTAGGTGAGCTTCCCCAAGTCTCCCCTATCTGATTTTCATTTTACCTCATCTTTAGCAGTTTACATATATCATAATTTTTAACCATTTTTTAACACACTTACTTTTACCATAATAATCTTCACATATTATCCTTTACAAATAATACTGTTTTAAAATACACTGTCTTCTACTTCTAACCCCACATCCTGTATCCACTTCCAAAGCTATTCTAAGATTTAAATATTAACATGTTTTTTCAGATATTCTTTAAACTTCTTCCAACCTTCTTCCACCGCCTCTTCTCTCTGGTCTCGGAGTCTCCCAGTCAGTTCAGCAAGTTCCATATAGTCCATGGGCCCTATCCACTCTTGACTTTCTCCCCATCAAAGTCTTCCAGGAGCAGGGGCAAAATCAGCCTTAGGCTGCAAACCAAAGCAGCTGTTCTGCTCCATCGGGGCGATTGCGTAAGCCGAGGACGACCTCTAGAGGCCTGTTTGGGTCAGCTCACGCCATCCCCAAATAACCGAAGGTTTGTGGTTAATGCAGCTATCAATGAGAACCGCTTATTCTTAAAAGATGTGCCGTTCTCTCAAAGGAGAGGTCAAAGGCAGCTAACACATGCATAAAAAAGAAGCACTTGATGAATCATTGTACAGTGGTACCTCGGGTTAAGTACTTAATTTGTTCCGGAGGTCTGTACTTAACCTGAAACTATTCTTAACCTGACATCACCTTGCCAACAAATGTCCGTATCTCTAAAGCTCTGGTTTTCCCAGTAGTGATGTATGGAAGTGAGAGCTGGACCATAAAGAAGGCTGATCACCGAAGAATGGATGCTTTTGAATTATGGTGCTGGAGGAGACTCTTGAGAGTCCCATGGACTGCAAGAAGATCAAACCTCTCCATTCTGAAGGAAATCAGCCCTGAGTGCTCAGATCCTGAAGCTGAGGCGCCAAGACTTTGGCCACCTCATGAGAAGAGAAGACTCCCTGGAAAAGACCCTGATGTTGGGAAAGATGGAGGGCACGAGGAGAAGGGGACAACAGAGGACGAGATGGTGGGACAGTGTTCTGGAAGCTACCAGCATGAGTTTGACCAAACTGCGGGAGGCAGCGGAAGACAGGAGGGCCTGGCATGCTCTGGTCCAGGGGGTCACGAAGAGTCGGACACAACTAAACAACTAAACAACAACAAAAACCTCGGGTTAAGTACTTAATTCGTTCCGGAGGTCTGTTCTGAACCTGAAACTGTTCTTAACCTGAAGCACCACTTTAGCTAATGGGGCCTCCCGCTGCCGCCACACCGCCGGAGAACGATTTCTGTTCTCATCCTGAAGCAAAGTTCTTAACCTGAAGCACTATTTCTGGGTTAGCGGAGTCTGTAACCTGAAGCGTATGTAACCCGAGGTACCGCTGTATTTTAATATTCTGCTGGAAGCCGCCCAGAGTGGCTGGGGAAACTCAGCCAGATGGGCGGGGTACAAATAATTATTATTATTATTATGATGAAACATGTTAGGGGAGAATTTATTTTTTATTTTTTGCATTTCTAGGACACCTTCTTCTGCAAGCAGCTCAGGGTGATGCTCCCCCACTTCTCATGCAATCGCCACAACAGCCCTGTGAGGCAGGTTAGGCTGAGAGATGGCAGGGACTGCCCCAAGAGAACTTCATGGCCAAGTGGGGAGATTTGAACTCGAGTCTCTCCCAGGTCCAGCTCTAACCACTACGCCGTGCTGCCAGGAAAATGCAACACACCGAGAGGCTTTCCGTACTTACAAATAAAATAGGTGCTGTATTTCGGACGTCGCAGCTCCTGGATGAGGTAATCCACGTTTTCCTGAAAGGACAACCCATCCAGAAACCACAGTGAGGCGAGAAATCAAGTCATTAAACCAGTTACAGAAAGCAAAGTATTTCATCTCACTCCTGGTAATTTTCAAGTTGTTTTATATAGCTATATATTTGGTTGTCGTCGCCCACCTTTAGGGTTTGAAACAGGGTGGATAAAAATCAATGTTTTTTAAAATATATATATATCAAAAAATCAGATTTTTTTGGATTTAAACTGGATTTTTAAATAAAATGCTTTTGGAGAAAAAAATCTTTCTAAAGATAGTTTTCTATTTAAGTTACATTATAGTCCAAAGGCTATTCAACAGGAAATGAGGGTTTAAGTTTTTCATGTATGCTAAAACTCAATCCAAGTTTGTTTGTTTTAATCGTTTAACCACATCAGTTAACAAACATGGACACATATGCTATAACGTTATTGCTTTAGTTAAATAAATTCTTATTAAGGAAGTGATTATTTTTCTTCTTCCAATAAAGTACAGCAGGAAAGTTGTCCAAATATAAACAGTTCACTTATTAAACCTCACAATAATTTCATAATTATCTGTCAATGTATTTCTAATAGCATAACCAAGTCAGTAATTTCTGATAGAACCGTAAAAACTACTCTGAAAATTTATTATTCAAAAAACGAAACCTTCATCTGGTTGTGAATATTAAGATTATACCTGCAAGAATGAGTCTTTCTGTAAAAAAAAAAAATGATCTAAATCAAGTCTTACTGACTAGTGGTTTAAACCAAATCCACTCTGGTTTGAAATCAATAAATATGCAAGCTCCAGGGACCTGAAGGCTAATGGGGAGAGGTGAGCCCAAAACATCTGGATGGCTCTCCCAGATGTTTCCCCACCTCTGGCACAGGCTCCCTTTTGCCCTGTCTCACCTTGGTGGGTCTCAAGAAGCAGATGGCCTTCAGGTGCTTCATGTTCTCCCGATTCGCTGAATCGATGCGCTCAAAGAGGTACACCTCCTTTTGCAGGATCTCAGACTGCGTGTACACCATGCTCACGATACTGGTCTGCGGGAAGGGTAGATAAAAATCAATGATTAAAAAATAATAATAATTAAAAAATCGGATTTTTTAAAATTTAAATTGGATTTTTAAATTGGATTTTTTTTTCCAATTCCTTATGGATTATTTCCCAATACTGAACAGTCTTTACCTGCTGGTCAAAGAACAGCAAGGAGGGAGCCAGTCTGGCTTCTCCAGGGAGGGAGCTCCAAAGTTGTCTGTGGGGAGCCACCACCGAGAAGGCCCTCTCCCTTGTCCCCACCAAGTGGGTCTGGGAGGGTGGCGGGATTGAAGGAGCGTCTCCACCCCCATCATTCTGCCCGGACACTGAGGTCCAGCGCTGAGGGCCTTCTGGCGGCTCCCTCACTGCGAGAAGCAAAGTTACAGGGAACCAGGCAGAGGGCCTTCTCGGTAGTGGCACCCGCCCTGTGGAACGCCCTCCCATCAGATGTCAAGGAAATAAACAACTATTTGACTTTTAGAAGACATCTGGAGGAAGCCCTGTTTAGGGAAGCTTTTAATATTTAGTGAATTATTGCATTTTAATCTTTTGTTGGAAGCTGCTCAGAGTGGCTGGGGAAATCCAGCCAGATGGGTGGGGTAAAATAATAAATTATTATTATTATTAAGAGAAGGGTCTTCTACTGAAGGACTCTGATGTTGCAGGACTCGAACTCCCATCATGTCAGGCTTGCTGGGAGTTGGAGTCCAGCACCACCTAGGGGGCCATGGAGACACAAAGGAGGGGGTGCGGTCCATTAGAGCAGGGAGTCTCCGATTCACAAAACTGCGGAGTTACAAGGGACCACCCCTCACAAAGGCCATCAAGTCTAACATTCAGGGGAAAGAAAGATCCCCCACACATTTTGCACAATTGAAATGAGGAAACACAAGAGGTCAGTGCTGGAAATCAGCTAAATAACAACAACAACAACAACAACAATAATGACAACAACAACAACAACAACAATAATAATAATAATAATAATGTATTATTTATACCCCGCCCATCTGGTTGGGTTTCCCCAGCCACACTGGGTGGCTTCCAACCAAATATTAAAACAATACAGCATCAGACATTAAAGACTTCCCTAAACAGGGCCGCCTTCAGTTGTCTTTTAAAAGTAAAATAGTTGTTTATCTCTTTGACATCTGCTGGGAGGGCGTTCCACAGGGCGGGTGCCACCACCGAGAAGGCCCTCTGTCTGGTTCACTGTAATCTCACTTCTCGCAGCAAGGGAACTGCCAGAAGGCCCTCAGAGCTGGACCTCAGTGTCCAGGCTGGACGATGGAGGTGGAGACTCTCCTTCAGGTATACAGGACCGAGGCCGTATACCGTAAGTGTTGCAAGCCTGCAGACATCACTTTTAGCAAAGCCCCAACCAACAGCTGCAACACAGAATCACCGGAGAACTTTGCCACCTCACTGCCTGTCACCCTGAATTCCGTCCAGGCGGTCCCGGGTTCGAATTCCAGTGGCATCTCCTCCCTGAGACTCTGGCCAGCCCCTGCCAGTCAGTGTAGACATCACTGAGCCCCCATGGGCCAATGATCTCAGTACACGGCACCTCCACCCTCTCCCCTGTTCAAATCAGTCCATTTAGAACCCCCATGAGGACTGAAATCTTGGTTTTAGTTTTAGGGGACGGGCTGGATCTGAGTGCCAGAGAGCCCCCGTTTGGCATGCCCCGTTTGGCATATCCCCGGCTCCATCCCTGAAGGGCTGGGAACTACCCCTGCCCTGAAACCCCTGGAGAGCCGCTGCTGCTGCCAGCCCGTGCTGGCAACACTGGTCTGGATGCAGCAAGGGTACCTGGCGCGTTCCTGCGTTCCTCCCTCCCTCTTTCCGAGCTCACCGTCTCTTTGTCCATCAGAAGCACCTTCATGCCTGTCCCGCTTTCCTCGATCATCTTCGCGATGTACTGCTTGACTGCAAAGACCACGTTCATTTTCCCTCCCGGCGCAAACCCCTTAATTTTTTGCAAAGAAATGCAACTAAACAGGATCCCCCTTTTTTTCCCTTCCTTGCACCAAGCCTGGAAGAGCTACCCAATTTCTCTTCCTCTCTCTCTCTTGGCTCTTGCAACCCTGGGAGCTGTAGTTCTCCAGCTGACTCGGCTGCAGCTGCAAGCAGAGGGAGACTACATCTCCCAGAAGCCTCCGCGCCGCCGCCACCGCCTCCCGGGCTGACATTGCAAGGCTGGGTTTGCAAAGGAGCAAATCTCATTCCGTGATTCCGCAGCGCGCCGACAGGGGGCGCTTTCAGACCGGAGGAGTCGCTGAGCGAGTTTGCTTTTCTTTCTTGGGAGTATTGATGCTTTTGAATTATGATGCTGGAGGAGACTCTTGAGAGTCCCACGGACTGCAAGAAGATCAAACCTCTCCATTCTGAAGGAAATCAGCCCTGAGTGCTCACTGGAAGGACAGATCCTGAAGCTGAGGCTCCAATACTTTGGCCACCTCATGAGAAGAGAAGACTCCCTGGAAAAGACCCTGATGTTGGGAAAGATGGAGGGCACAAGGAGAAGGGGATGATGGAGGACGAGATGGTTGGACAGTGTTCTCGAAGCTACCAGCATGAGTTTGACCAAACTGCGGGAGGCAGTGGAAGACAGGAGTGCCTGGTGTGCTCTGGTCCAGGGGATCACAAAGAGTCGGACACGACTAAACAACTAAACAACAACAAATGCTATGCTCCCAAGCAAAAAAAAGGGGGGGAGGGAGTATGCTATGCTCAGGGACGTGGGTGGCGCTGTGGGTTAAACCACAGAGCCTAGGATCAGAAGGTTGGCGGTTCGAATCGCCGCGACGAGGTGAGCTCCCGTTTTTCGGTCCCTGCTCCTGCCAACCTAGCAGCTCGAAAGCACGTCAAAGTGCAAGTAGATAAATAGGTACCACTCTGGCGGGAAGGTAAACGGCGTTTCCGTGCGCTGCTCTAGTTTGCCAGAAGCGGCTTAGTCATGCTGGCCACATGACCTGGAAGCTGTACGCCGGCTCCCTCGGCCAATAAAGCGAGATGAGCACCGCAACCCTAGAGTCGGCCACGACTGGACCTAATGGTCAGGGGTCCCTTTACCTTTATGCTATCCTCAGCAATGCATCTGAATGCTGCTTGCTGGAAACACCAGGAGAGGAGGCTTGGGTCTTGGGTTCGGATCCTGCCCATGGGCTTCCCATGGGGGCATTTGGTTGACCGCTGTGAAGACAGGATGCGGGGACTAGATGAGCCCCCTTTGACCTGATCCTTACCTCCTTATGCACGGAAATTAAGTACCTTTCTTCCTGGGAGTGAAACCCCATTGAACAGGGAGAGACCACGGCAGGCTTTACGTTTGATGAGGCCCCAAGCTACTGAAGGTAATGGGGCCCTTTATATGTCCAGCTGTCCTTTGACAACAACAAATTGTCCTGTTTTTTTGTGCTGAATAAATGCTATATAGTAATTTATGGATCTAATAGGTATCTCAAGACATTTGCACATGTTGCCATGCATCCAGTCCATGCAGAATGTGTTGTTGTTGTTTAGTCGTTTAGTTGAGTCCGACTCCTCGTGACCCCCCTGGACCAGAGCACGCCAGGCACTCCTGTCTTCCACTGCCTCCTGCAGTTTGGTCAAACTCATGCTGGTAGCTTCGAGAACACTGTTCCACCATCTCGTCCTCTGTCGTCCCCTTCTCCTTGTGCCCTCCATCTTTCCCAACATCAGGGTCTTTTCCAGGGAGTCTTCTCTTCTCATGAGGTGGCCAGAGTATTGGAGCCTCAGCTTCAGGATCTGTCCTTCCAGTGAGCACTCAGGGCTGGTTTCCTTCAGAATGGATCAGTTTGATCTTCTTGCAGTCCATGGGACTCTAAAGAGGTACTCATATTAGAACCACTGAAATCAATGGCCACGACGGGCAACTTAGGTCCATTAATTTCAACGGGTATACGCCGAGTAGAACTTAGTTTGCTGCGAGCTGAACAGTTTCATCCTGGCGTGAAAAACTCAGCTATAGACAGGCAGAGATTGTGCATTGTTTAAGATCGGAAGGACGGCAAACTTTTAAACCCGTGAGCTAACATTGTCCTCCTAGCCCCCCCCCCCCAACCAAAGATGTCTGAAGCTGCAGACAGACGTCCCCGTCGGATTAAACGCCACCTTGGGCAGATCCCAAAAATAAGCGAGTGACGTCACCGGGGCACGACGGGGCGTCTTGCTCCTTCTGCGGCACGGTTTGTGTCTCCTGGGCTCAACCGCACGCCTCATTCTTGTGACCCCCACAGAAATAAACAGCGGCTGAGAGCAGACAGGGGTCTCTCTCCCCCCAAAACCCCCTGCTTGGTGGCTGGCAAGTTGCTCGGCTCGAATGCTGCCTTCGAGAAACTGCCTTCTTGCTAGAGTCCTAATCTCCTAACATTTTGGGATTAGGTGCTATTCCTGGCACGGCGGGACTGAATTAAAAGAAAGAAAGAAAGACGGCCTCTGCGCAATAAACCCAAGCCACCTTCACTTCCCCACTGCTATTTATAGGTTTGCGTGGTTTCATGGATAAATCCTGCCCTCCTGTACCACTGGAGCAACTCTTGTTTATCTTGCGATGGGCAAACTGCACACAGTACAGTAGTTCCTTCCTGGGTCCTTTTTTACATAGCCGTCATTTTTTGTTTTTTTCCAAGCTGCTACGATGGAACTCACTGCTGCAGGAGGCCCTGCTGGCCAACAGCTTGGACGGTGTCAGAAAGAGAACTGGACAAATATCTAAGACATCCTGGAAAGCTCCTCCTTCCTTCTTCTGGCTTTTTTATGTCACCTCTAAATTTTTTGCAATATCTTTGTCCATTTTGTATATTGTTCTTCTTCCATCTTTGTCCATACGGTGTCTGTATACAAATAAATCTTTCTGTACATACAAATCTTGTTGTCTGTCTATATTCATTTACAAACACTGTTAATTACCTTGATTGCGTTTTACATTTTAATTCATATTGTCAATCATGTCCAATAGAATTTCTTTTTATTTTCCCATTATGAGGTTTATTTCCATTCTACTGATTTCACTATTTCACCTTATCCTATATATGACATGTGGGACGCGAGTGGCGCTGTGGGTTAAACCACAGAGCCTAAGATTTGATGATCAGAAGGTCAGCGGTTTGAATCCCCGAAACGGGGTGAGCTCCCATTGCTCGGTCCCTGCTCCTGCCCACCTAGCAGTTCGAAAGCACGTCAAAGTGCAAGTAGATAAATAGGTACCACTCCAGCGGGAAGGTAAACGGCGTTTCTGTGCGCTGCTCTGGTTCACCAGAAGCGGCTTAGTCTGCTGGCCACATGACCCGGAAGCTGAATGCCACCTCCCTCGGCCAATAAAGCGAGATGAGTGTCGCAACCCCACAGTCGACCACGACTGGACCTAATGGTCAAGGGTCCCTTTACCTTTATATATGACATAATTTCCCCCCCCCCACCTGGATAGCTCAGTGGGTTAGAGCATATGCTGGTAACACCAAGGTTGATGGTTTGATCCCTGTATGGAATGGCTGCGATACATCCCTGAATTTGCAGAGGGTTGGACTAGATGACCCCCAGGGTGCCGCAATTCTGTGATCCTACGAAATTCATGGAGGATAAAGGGTATCGATGGCTCCCTGCCACAATGGCTGTGCACTGCCTCCATGGTCAGAGGCAGCGATGCCCCTGGATCCCAGTTGCTGGGAACTGCAGGAAAGGAGAGGGATCTTGTGTTCGAATCCTGCTTGCGGGTTTCCCACAGGCATATGGTTGGCCGCTGCGAGAACAGGGTGCTTGACTAGAGGGGCTGCTGGCCTGATCCAGCAGGACTCTTCTTTTGTTGTGTAGTCATGTCCGACTCTTCGTGACCCCCTGGACCAGATCACGCCAGGCCCTCCTGTCTTCCACTGCCTCCCACAGTTTGGTCAAACTCATGCTGGTAGCTTCGAGAACACTGTCCCACCATCTTGTCCTCTATCGTTCCCTTCTCCTTGTGCCCTCCATCTTTCCCAACATCAGGGTCTTTTCCAGGGAGTCTTCTCTTCTCATGAGGTGGCCAAAGTCTTGGAGCCTCAGCTTCAGGATCTGTCCTTCCAGTGAGCACTCAGGGCTGATTTCCTTCAGAATGGAGAGGTTGGATCTTCTTGCAGTCCATGGGACTCTCAAGAGTCTCCTCCAGCACCAGAATTAAAAGCATCAATTCTTCGGCGATCAGCCTTCTTTATGGTCCAGCTCTCATTTCCATACATCACTACTGGGAAAACCATAGCTTTAACTATACGGACCTTTGTTGGCAAGGCGATGTCTCTGCTTTTTAAGATGCTGTCTAGGTTCATAGAATCATAGAATCATAGAATCATAGAGTTGGAAGAGACCACAAGGGCCATCGAGTCCAACCCCCTGCCAAGCAGGAAACACCATCAGAGCACTCCTGACATATGGTTGTCAAGCCTCTGCTTAAAGACCTCCAAAGAAGGAGACTCCACCACACTCCTTGGCAGCAAATTCCACTGTCGAACAGCTCTTACTGTCAGGAAGTTCTTCCTAATGTTTAGGTGGAATCTTCTTTCTTGTAGTTTGTCATTGCTTTTCTCCCAAGAAGCAGGCGTCTTTTAATTTCGTGACTGCTGTCTCTTCTTACAAACTTCTAAAAATATCACATTCGTTCCCCCCAGGTGTGAGAGTTTTAGTACAGTAAATCAGCTCCAAATTGCCGCATGAATCTTGCTCTGCTAGATTCAACCCCAGCATAATGGCAAACGGCTGCTAGGAAAAAGTGTCTCCCTGAGACCATATATTTGAAAACCCTGTCGCTAACAATGCTATAAAGGAAACATTTACAAGGAAACAAGGCAGCAATTAAAATGACGAGCCCTTTCCAGATACGATTAAAGCGTTTTAAATCACACTAGGCTCCCGGGGGGGGGGGGAACTCCAACAAAATGCAATTATGGACCAGATTAATACACTGCTTATAAGGCAGTGGACACCAGCTTGTTGCACTTTCAGCGATTCATGGGTGCATTGGGCTCAGAAGCAAACCTTAGGGAGGCGGGGAAAATGTGATTCCTTTGGGACTTTTTGTGTAAAAAGGGAAATGAATTAATCTGAGACATTGGGATTGGAAGATTGGGAAA